CCAACACCGGCGATGTAAACGGCTGCGAGATCCCTCAACTCTACCTCGTCTACCCCGAAAGTGCTGGTGAACCTCCCAAGGTTTTGCGTGACTTTGCCTTTCCACTCGAGCTAATCTTGGTAATAGGATCAACCTCGACCCAGGAGCTACCGCCACCGTTAGCTGGAACCTCTTCCAGTATGACGTCTCCATCTGGGATGTCGAGAGCCAGGAATGGGTTGTTCCCGAGGGCGAGTTTGGCGTTCGCAGACGCAGACGCGCAGACTGGGTCTTTCATGCCCATGCAGTAGGCGTCTGTACTTCCAGAGTTCGAGCTGTCTTGCCGTTAATATTGTTGTAAAGGAAAGAAAGGGAAAAGGACTATAATGGGTACAAGAAGGAAACTTTACTATAATAGAGATGACCTATGTTGATAGAGTTCATACAAGTTTACACAAGTCGTATAGTTGATGAATTCCCGTGGCTTCACAAGGTGCCCGACTCATTGCCATCATCATCGCTCTACTCGAACAATGATACAGAGCTGAAGATCAGTCGGAAGAATGCATAGGATGATGTGATTTTGCGGATTTGTTTTTGTGATATTCCATAAGAAGTGTGTGTAGCCTACTTCTTATCGTTTCAACAAGTCGTTACCATTACTCGTTACTATTATTGTCCATTGTAAAAGCCAGATCAAAAATGAATTCCTACACGATCGAGGAAGGAAGAAGATCAAACAATAAGTCTATCATCTATTACGGTCCTTCAAGCTTTAAAGCAGAAGGACGACGTCTGCGCATCAACATCCGCCACATACTTTCCAACTTCCACCCCAAAGTCGCCCTCGGGCACGGTCCATTCCTGGGTCTCGACATCCCAGATGGAGACGTCGTACTGCGAGAGGTTCCATGACACGGTCTTGGTAGCTCCGGGGTCGAGGTTGATCCTATGATCAAGATTAGCTCCAGTTGAAAAGAGGAGAGGAAGAAGACGAACCTGGCAAAGTCACGCAACACCTTGGGAGGCTCGCCGGCGTGTTCGGGGAAGACGAGGTACAGCTGGGGTACTTCGCAGCCGTTGATATCGCCAGTGTTGGTCACATCAATAGACACGGTCCATCGGGGCTTGTGAAGACTATAACCTCATCAGCAAAAGCACTCGAGGGAAGAAGAAAGGACGTACGAGTCAACAGTGAATCTGCCAACGACAACCTCTCCTTGAGGACTCTCATCAACCTCGGGGAACTCTGGCACATCATCCCTCTTCCTCTTCTCTCCCTCAATCGCCTCAACCTTCAAGTCCTTCAACTCAAAACTGGTGTACGACAGACCATACCCAAACGCAAACCTCGGCTCAATCCCCTCCGCCAAAAAGTGTCGGTAGTCAATGTTGAGGCCCTCGGTATAGTCGACTTGGGGATGGACGGGGTCGTCGGTGTTGGTGTAGACAAGGTCGGCGGGATAGTCGGCCCGGTCTTTGGCGATGGTGTAAGGAAGACGGCCAGAGGGGTTGTAGTCGCCCCACAGAATGTCGACGAGGGCGTTACCACTCTCTTGCCCGGGGAGACCGGCCCAGAGAACAGCAGTGACGTTGGGGTTGCTGATCCACTCCTCCATGATGATAGGCCCAGGAGCTTGGACGACGACGACAGTGTTGTTGTTGACAGCAGCAACACCTTGCACGAGCGCATCGCCGTTGGTCCAGAGAGTGAGGTTGTTTCGGTCACCATCGTTGCCGTCAACAGTGATGTACTCTTCACCCGAAATAGCGTGGACGCCGACGATAGCGACGTCGGCGGGAGCAGCCCAGTACTGAGCACCAGGGACATCCCAGTCGTCCAACCAAGAGTTCAGATGGCACCGTGCTCGCGAGCGCGCTGAGAGATGGCAGAGAGGGGGTCGATGAGGTAGGGGAACTCGGCGGTGCCGGAACCCCAGCCCATGGCGGTGGTACCGTCGATACCGCCTCGGTCAGTGTAGCCGTTGGGACCCTTGATAGCAGGACCGAGATCGGAACCGATGAGAGCGATATGGCGAGGGGTGGTGAGGGGGAGGGCCTTGTTCTCATTCTTGAGAAGGACAGTAGATGAAGCGCCAACATGGCGAATGACCCTGTAATATATCAGCACTCGAACTTCGAACTTATATAGAAGAGGAGTACTCACTTGTAATGGTCATCACGCACATCGACATGGGACTGGTTCGAGCCAAACAGCCTGAACGAATCAAAGTTGACCTCGGGATAATCTTCATCCTGACCAAGCAAATAGTAGGACGCAAGGATCCTCTCGGCCATATCGTCGACCCTCTCAGCCTTGACGGAACCATTGTTGACAGAGTCGGTAAGGTTCTGACCCCAGTAACTCGTCAAACTTCCAAGCGAAATATCTCCTGGCATAGACATGTCCAAACCGGTATTGGCAGACAAGACACCAGAGTGCTGCGCTCCCCAGTCTGACATGACGTAGCCCTGGAAGCCAAAGTCGGTCTTGAGGACACCGTTGAGAGTCTTGGGGTTCTCGCATGCCCAAGAGCCGTTAACGAGGTTGTAAGAGCACATGACGGAAGCGACGTCGGCCTGGACAGCTCGAAGGAAGGGGTGGGTGTAGATCTCGTGGAGGGCACGGTCGTCGATGTTGGAAGAGGAGGTAGTCCTGTTGCGCTCTTGCTCGTTGCCGACATAGTGCTTGACACTGTTCGATGGTCAGTGGTGAACTTAGTGAGAATGGGAAAGGCGTACCAAGCTTGGACACCGGCATCCTGGATACCTCGGATAGTAGCATCGGTAGCCCAACCAGAGAGGTAAGGGTCGGCGCCAAAGCCTTCCCAGTTTCGACCCCCAGCAGCGATTCGACCTATGTTGGTCATAGGACCGAGGGCGACGTTGACACCCTTGCCCTTGAACTCTTGGCCCATGGCGTATCCTCGGGCGTAGATGAGGTCCTTGTCAAAGCTAAATAGTGTCAGCAAAGACTTAAAAGTAGCAGTGGATAGACGCACGTAGCAGCAGCATTGATACCAGCGGGGAAGGCAGAGACATAGTCGGCAAATCTCACACCCACAGGCGAGTCTTGAAGACAGAGACCACCAAAGCCTTGGCTCTCAATGGCGGGGATGTTACCAACACACTTGCCCTGCATCCATCCGACACCAGTGGTGAGTTGCACCTTCTCCTCGAGGGACCAGCCGGCAAGGCGCTCGCGGGCCCGGGAGTGGGCGGCTTCCCACTTGGGAGACGAGTTGGCCTGGGTGGTGTTGAAGGGAGCGGGGATGTTGGGAGAGATGTAGGTGATGTTGGAGGTGTGGTAGGATGAGATGGTACCGTCATCAGCAGGAGCCTCGCTGGGCCAAGTCTCGTCCGGGGTAGCGGACTCGGAGGCAGTAGCAGAGACACTCGACTCTGCCCAAGAAGTGGGAGAGGTAGGGTCGGCGATGGTAGAAGAGACAGTCGAAGCCTCGATCACTGAAGAGGTGACAGAGACAGGACTGGCAGAAGCGGTGGAGCTCCAAGACTCGGTCGAGTTCCAACCCTCGGCAGCAGAGGCAGAAGCAGTACTGTTCTGGGTCCAGCTAGCAGTAGGGGCGTCGGTGACAGAGTCGGTAGAGTTGGCGTCGTCGCGCAGGTTGATGGGGCGGAAGGGGCTGGCGATGGCAGCAGGGACACCAGCGCCCAAAAGGAGCAAGGTGAGGGGGGACGCGAGCATGGCTACTGAGGGTCAGCGTGGTAGGGGCGCTGTGGGAAGACTGACCGTTGTTCAAGAGCGTGGGGTAAAAGATGGTGAGAAGGTTGTTGATGGAGAAAAGAGAAATGAGATGCAAATGGGGGCTATATATGTATCTGTGGCCCGGGTGAGTCAGCCCCGTCGCCGCACATACCGCTTGGATTGATAAAGTACATCTCATAATCAGAGATGTCAACACGGCACCCAGGCACCCTCAAAGTCACGCGCCGAGCTGCATCCGGCTTTCCGATCCCGGCCCGTAAGCCGGCTGTTCAACGGCTGTTTGTCCAAACGCTCGGTCGTCGCACGAGTCCCGAGCAGCTCTGCACAGGTAGCAATGGACAAGAGAGATACAGAACGTAAGTGTGTCTCACTGCACAGGGAAGGGCAGCACATGGAGTCCACTCAAGCTGTCGTACTTCTTGCACTTCTGCCGTCTCTTTGCCGTCTCGTACATCAGCGGCCGGCGCCTATATGGGTTCATGGGTTGTATTCCTTCTCTTAAAGCATCAGAGTTACTGTCGGGACCACGTTTACATGTATTAAGCTACCCGTGATCGATCGTTTCTGTAAAGTGGCCAAGCTCCGGTGTAATGTCGTCCCATCACTCAACAACAGAAGAGGCCATTGTATATTTCTAATTGTAAATTTCCCTAGCGCTAGTGTGCCCGAAAAAGAGTCATGGGTTCATAGTCGGCCCATGTCTTTCATGATTCCTTGCACGTTGACCCTTATGAGTAAGCAGGGATGTCTGCAGGGATGTGGCCAAAGATTTACGACAGAGGCGACATGAGCCGGAGGGATAACAACGCATGTCAGCAGCGTCGCGTTGAGGTAGACAACAACGTGCGAGACAAGAGCCGTCCTCCGGTGTCCAGCCTCTGATTCAGAAGAAGCCATTGTAGATTTCCCTAGCGCTAGTGTGCCTGAAAAAGAGTCATGGGTTCATAGTCGGCCCATGTCTTTCATGATTTCTTGTACGTTGACCCTTATGAGTAAGCAGGGATATCTGCAGGGATGCGGCCAAAGATTTACGACAGAGGCCGCATGAGCCGGAGAGACAAGAGCCGTCCTCCGGCGTCCAGCCTCTGATTTATCCATATATCTGAGACTGTAGGTTCTACATGCTATATTACATATTCCAAGCCATCTACTCTGGAAAGACCGCCCCCTTGATCATTTTCTCCCCTGCCTAGATGATCAGGCGGCGACCGCCGAGTCTGGCTCCCGAGATAAACAACAGCTGATTAGATAAGGAGAGTCGACGAGGAAAGGTTTGTGTGGTTCGGATTGGAGCACTTTGTGATTCAATACCTTCTCTTCCCACAGAGAATCCCCATTTCCAGCCAAATTACTTGGAACGTGTGTCGTTCTGGCCTTTCCTCTGCTCTATAGTCTGCATGTCACCAGGTCATTACTACTACTGTACACCGCCGGTCAAACGGAATGCGGATATCACCGCGCGCGGATGTCTGTATGATGTGATCTAGTAATTGATTTTGATGTCGCGCGGACATTTTGGCGTCCAGATGTCACACAGACATTTTGATGTGTGCCCTTCAAGATGTCGCTCGGATATTTTTATGCAGTTTCCAAAAACATCATATGTATATTTTCAAGGGTATGTCAGAATGTCTGGAGGACGTCGTATACAGCTGTTGCCAACGTCGCCTGGATATTTTACGCAGTTCCTTTGAGCCTTTCCGTCCGTTCAGCATCGTCAGCCTTTATGCTACTACAATACCTGTCGAGACTGATCTGGTACTATTACTACATCACATCCCTCTCATACATCATCCACCTCAACCCACAACTCAATCACCCAACATCGATCAACATGTGCATGACTACCCATTCAACGGACATTCATTTCCCTGCCATGTCATCTTCCCAAGAAGCGCTCCCTCGATATGAAGCTCCACCCCCCGCCTATCGTACACGTCCGTCTCCCCTCTTCCCCTTCCCCATCAATACTACAGCTAACTTCCATCACGTACAGTCGCACCCGCTCGACCCATCAAAACCTTCAGCCAAACATGATCCATCAGCATCGGTCATGTCATCTGCTACATCGCCCTCGGATCCATCCTCAAATTCCAGAATCCCAACAATATCCAAATCGAAGTGGGCGCTACTGTGAGGAGGTATTATGGTGCGGATTATACGCTTTTCCAACGGGCGTTGATCATCAGGAACTACGTGGAAGCTCAGCTTTTGAGGCTTGTCGAAGAGTTTAAGCTGGTCGATGCTTCTTACGATCTCAAGTCGACTCCAAAAGAAATGGTAGTCTACCTAGAACAAGCCCTTCTACACCGACCTCAACCATTCCGGCCTCACGCACGGCGGACTCCCTCTCCTCATCTATCACTCCAAAACCACCTACTTGGACGCTATCCAAAAAGGCGGCAGCACCCTGCAACCGCATTACTTTGAACATGGTACGACCGACGCGCGGGAAGTGACGAAAGGGTCGATTGAGGGGAAGAGGGTGGAAGTGGAGAGGGCTGTTGGAAGTGTGGTGTGTAAGAAAATGATGGCAGAGAGACACAAGAGAGAGGCTGTGGCTGTGTGAAGAATGTAGAGAATGCAGGACGAGTACGGGTGATGAGTGGCCGCTGGCTCGAGGATGTGTAGGTGGATCGAATGACACAGATTCCCAAACTCCTATACCTTCATCTTAGAGTACTCGTACGGTACATCGCTACTAATTCCTCACTGATGTATTCTTATCTGATCTGTCATGGACCCTTCTCACCTTGAACATACGAGCAGCTGTAAGACGATGGGTACAGACTTGACACTTGGTAACGCCCTCAAAGGTGTAGCAAGGGAAACCCCTAGATGGGAAACAGCTTTCGTTAGGGAATATATCGTTGCTTGCTAGTGTCGAGCCAGGATTTCCCCTTGCTACTCCATTGAGGAAATCACCAAGTGTCAAGTTTGCACACGCACACATCACCGTTACAGCTCCCCGCTTGTCATCTCGGGAGGCAGGCAGGTAGGAGCGCGTGGTGGTGGAGCAGGATATGATCAGACTTATGACTGCCGAAGTATCCTGGGATGCACTGTCGATGAGACCCCTACGGGTGTTGATGTGAGGATGTGGGCGAGAAAGTGTTGAGGAATAGAGTCGAAGAAAAGATGGAAAGCGAAGAAACAGATCATATCATCCGTTGTCAATCCGTTGTTTGTTGTCCCGCCGCCGCGCCGCCGTTGTGGAGACAGGCCCAATTACGTAAGCTGAGACACACCATCATCGTTTCCATCGGGGTCGATTCTTGTCAACATTTGCATCTCATCTCCCTCTTCCTCATGCCCAAGGTTTCTGCTGCTACAATGGAGTGTAAGTATCCCTCCATTTCATATGAGTGGGGAGAGAACTGACAATGGGCAGTGACTATCAAACACTCTGGCAAAAACTACAATGTCCCCGTGACGCAGGAGACCACAACTGCTACCTTCAAGCAGGCTGTGTCCGAGCTCACTCGGGTCCCTGTTGGTCCGTATTCGAAGTACTAGTGACTGCGGTGCTATTTGCTGACTTTTCGGTGCAGAACGTATGAAGGTCATGGTCAAGGGCAAGCTCGTCAAGGTGGGTGGCCAGTAGCCGAATGCGACGCGATGGGAGAGATGAAGCTGATGTGCGATTATAGGATGATACCGACTATGCTGCTCTTGCTTCCCAAAAGGTGTGTGCCATGATCAAATGCCACACTATAAAGCTGACACGGTTGACAGGTCACCGTGATGGTCATCGGTGCCGCTGAGGCTTTGCCTAAGGCTCCTACTCAGCCTATCGTATTCTGTGAGTGGTCTAGATGCCTGTTTATTTGATCATGCTGAATTTAGAACTAGTGGAAGACGTCGGTGATGGATCCTATGCTGTGAGTAGAAAGTGGACGTTGTCAAGGACCTCGGCTGATTTCCGACGTAGAAGGCAGAACCCAATGGTTTGGTCAACCTCGGTAACACCTGTTACCTCAACTCTACTATCCAGGCTCTGAAAGTCGTCCCCGAGATTGACAGTGCCCTCAAGGAGTGAGTAGCCCCACTTCCATCAAGATTCGCTGACACCTGCCCAGGTTCACCCCTTCCGGCACTTCCGCCGACACCCGAGTTGTATCTTCTCTCAAAAAGTTGATGACCAACCTTGACTCTGCCCATGATGCCGTCGCCCCCCTCGACCTCATCTCCAACCTCCGTGTTCTCGCTCCCCAATTCGCCGAGACAGACAACCACGGACACTACTCCCAGCAGGACGCCGATGAAGCTTGGACGACCCTCATCTCTGCCCTCCGGTCCAAGCTGCCACATGGTGCCGATGGGTCTTTGGTGGACAAGTTGATGGGATTGGAGCTGGAGAAGACGTTGAAGTGCGCAGAGACGGACGCTGAACCGGAAAGCACCAGTACCGAGAGTCTGTCAAAGTTGCAGTGCAACATCTCGGGCACGACCAACTTTTTGTTGTCTGGGATCCAAGATGTGGGTTGTAGTACCTTGTGAGACTCAAGCTAACGGTGCGTAGTCCTTGACACAGCAGGTTGAGAAGAACAGTCCGGTTCTTGGGCGAAATGCCACCTATACCATGTACGTCCATTCTCCACTTGGGTGCATTGTTGACAGGATTACAGGAAATCCGCCATCTCCAAATTGCCCGAGTACCTCACCGTTCATATGGTCCGATTCTACTGGCGTAGAGATATTCAGTAGGCCACACCCATCACGCAGGCAACATGTCAGGCTAATCTGTGCACAGGAAAAAGGCCAAGATCATGCGCAAGGTCAAATTCCCTCTCGAACTGGATCTCCTCGAGCTCCTCACCCCTTCTCTACGCGCCCGTACTCAGCCCCTCAACGTCCACGCCAAGAACGTCTTGAAGGACCGTGATGCCCGAGCCACCGTCTTGAAGCGAAAGCCCGGAGAAGGCAGGGAGGAAGAAGAGAAGAGGAAGGAAGAGCGGGAGAAGGCTGAGGAGCTGTTGAAGACGCAGGAGACGGAAGGTGGAAGGAGGGATGGGAGTGCGTTCTATGAGCTTGCGGCGGTGGTGACGCACAAGGGTGCTTCCGCTGATTCTGGTACGTGTGCTTCCACGACAAGACTGCTTGGCAGCTGATTGAAGCGATCAATAGGACATTACATCGGATGGGCGAGGATGGATGATGGGGCTTTTGTCCCTGCTGAGCAGCAACAATGGGCCAAGTTTGATGGTCAGTTTGAGAATCCTTCCGCCATCAAAACTTGAATTCTCGCGCTGACAACCTTTCCGCTACAGACAACAAGGTCACATTCTGCGATGCGTAAGTCTTCGCTAGCAATTTGAAGCACCCAGCTGACATTGCCGCATAGTCAAAAGATTCTTTCCATGGACGGCGGCGGTGAGGACTCTGTAGCCTACATCCTGCTCTACAGGTGCGTGATAGATCTGGTGTTGGAAACCAAAGGGACATGCTGATCATCTGTGTAGACAAGCCAAGATCTAAATTCCATCATACATACCATTCTGAATGTCCGGCATGAACCAACGTATCACACTGACACCATCCTTTGCCCACTCTGCATGACACATACTTGTTGTGCCTTTGGTTAGTGCATCTCCAAGCCCGTTCACTGACACTTTTCTGTGCGCCCCTGACCCTATGGACAATGGCAAAAAAACTCAAATGTTTCGAGAACAATAGATGAAACGACCGTTTACACGCGGTCCTCCGAGATGGCCGACGATCCAGCAGCCGTATTGTCTTCTGCGACGGTCGATCCTTTCAAAATTCCTTGCAGTCCTCCTTTTCTTTAGCGCCAGCCACCGTTCATCTGGGGACCTCGAGGTTGTCGTTCAGACTCACGCAACGGGCGGCGTATGTATAAGTACAGCTGATTTTGCGATGAGCCCGGCCACCGGTATCCCTGATTCAGGAATAAAACAAAAAACTCGCAAACCTCCTCTCCTTCACCAACCTTCACAACTCTCCCTCTCGACTCCATTATGAAGCTGCCCCTTTCCAGGAAAGCAAGAATCCTCATATTGCTGGTGATCGACAGCCTCTTCTTCCTCGCCGTAAGTGGTCCGCAGTAGTCGGGTGAACACACACTGATTTGCGCTTTTGTGGACAGGAAATCATCCTGGGATATTATGTCGGTTCCCTGGCTCTTGTCGCCGATGCATTCCACATGCTCAAGTATGTGTCTATTATACGGCTTCCGAAAATGAAAATGCCACTGACAATTTTGCAGTGATGTCCTATCCCTTGTCGTCGCGCTCTATGCTATCAAACTCGCTACCGCCCCTTCCTCCGCTCGCAACTCATATGGCTGGCAACGTGCAGAAATCCTCGGTGCTCTGATCAACGGTGTCTTCCTCGTCGCTATCAGCGTCTCTATCGGCCTGCAATCGATCGAGCGATTCGTCAGTCCTGAGGAGATCAGCGACCCCAGGTTGGTTGTCATTGTGGGATGTCTGGGCGTGGCGAGTAATGTGATGGGCTTGTTCTTGTTTCATGGTGAGCCTTTGTGAGATACAATGTGACCAGCGCTCATTTGGACCACAGAGCATGGGCACGCGCACGGAGGGCATTCACATTCTCATTCACACGACGAGGTCGAAGCTGCTCCCCATCCACACTCTTCCGCTACACTCGTACACAACAACGACCTCCACCCCACCCACTCTCATCTCTCGCACGCCCACTCCCACCACTCCCGTATCCCTCCTCACGACCCCTCCGAGCTCTATGTCCACCCCTCTCAGACCCGGCGCCAAGTTATCCAAACCGCCCACGAGATGGGGTACAACAGCGTCTACAGCAAGCGCTCCAGCGTCTCAAGTCTGTACGGTACACCTGCTGGCTCTTCCGCATCTGCGGCATCTTACAAAGAGTCGGAGAAGGCTGGAGCCCATGAGAAGTATGGAAGTGGGGCAAGACGGAGCTGGGGCAAGGGATGGCTTGACAAGATGGGGATGCAGTCCGCTATTGAGGAAGAAGAGGAGCAGTTGAAAGGCGGTTCGAGTGGAACTCTTGCAGGACACCTTCACCATCACCGTCCTGAGCAAGACTCGTCTGCCACTTTGGCTCCACGAGGCGCTTCTTCGTCTGCTCTTGTTCTCGGCCCAGTCATTTCGGAGAAGCCTCATCAACATGGGCCAGGCTGCTCGCATCACCATCCTCCCCAAAACAACAGCCGTGCCCCGGATCACGACCACGATCACGCCCATGATCAAAACCATAGTCATGGGCATCCCGACGTCGCTTTCTCTGCGAAAGTGCCCCATCCGCATTCCCATACTCACTCTCACGGCGGACACACCCATGACGAGCAACCCCATGGTGAGCTTCCCCATGGTGGGCACTCTCATGGTGGGCACTCTCACGGCGGGCACTCGCATGGTCACATGAACATGCACGGCGTCTTCCTTCATGTCTTGGGAGACTTCTTTGGGAATATTGGGGTCATTGTGTCTGGTATCATAATATGGTTGTAAGTATATTTTTCAGCTGAATATACATTTGCTGATTGTACTCATAGTGGCAAGGGTCGATGGACAATCTACATGGATCCGACCATCTCACTCCTGATTACTGTCATCATCCTCTTCTCCGCCATTCCCCTCTGCCGATCCGCCTCCTACATCCTTCTCCAAGGTGTCCCTTCCCACATCGCCCTCGACGACGTACGCCAAGCCATCTACGAGATCAGTAATGTAGAGGCAGTACACGAGCTGCACGTGTGGCAGTTGAACGAGAACACGGTTGTAGGCAGTGTACATGTTCTGGTGAAGAAGGGGCAGGAAGCGAGGAGGGAGTTTATGGAGGTGGCGAAGGAAGTCAGAGAGGTGATGCACGAGTTTGGGATTCATAGTGTCACTATCCAACCTGAGTGAGTTCTGTATCCTTGCTTTGATGTGTATGGGATCAGCGAAGGACTGACAATACTTTAGATTCTATGACCCCGGCAGCACAGCTCCCGAAGATCTATGCCTCGTGCCGCCGCCCACGGCATAGGGTCGTACCGCATACTCGTGTAGTCTTTCATAGCGGCAGCTGTCATGATTAGAAGAGTGGCAATGATGCATGTATCTATAAACATTGGATCCTACGTGGTTGCACGGCTTAGACATAGAGCGTCGCCCAACCGTCCTTCGTCACGGGTCGATGAAGCTTTTGCATATATTCGTTCAATGGTACCCTTATGATAGTACTGACATCACCCGGTATGATATGATATTTCACATCACTATACAAACCAACAGTACATGCAGAAAAGGCACTACCAACAAGCAATATTGTTGCTTTCATGCAGCCGGTTTGATGAGGTCAGCAGCAAAGCACGTCAACCCTACAGCCACTGGTGTTCAAAACGCCATACCCACGACTACTGAGCCCCTGTCGTCTGGCGCTCTATCAAGCCCAATGCAAAGGGCGCCGCAAACATGCTGCAGTCGTGAAACGGTCGACTTAAAAACGATAAATTTTGATGACAGTCAATTTCCCACCCACACAGACGTTTCATTCGCCACCCTTACATTCACAGCTCAGCAGCAGCAGCGATGCCAGCCCAATCGAAGGCATCACGAAGCCGAATCGCCGACACGGTCTACGACCGCAAGCTAGCGGACTTGCGAGACCAGTATCGAAGCCAGAGCTCAAAGTTCAGTGCCCAGTCCATGGCCATCACCCAGATGATCTCTGTTAACGGCAGACCACATCGGCCTGTTCAGAATCTGGGACCAGCGAGTCAAGGATCTGGGAGTCAAGTACGCTACAAAGTCGAACATCAGCCCGGTGGCAATTTTCTTCTTGGTGAGTACATTTCATGACTCGAGGTGAGTCTTGAACCTGGCTGACGAGTCCAGGTCAATACCTACACTGCCATTTGCAACATGTACTGCAAGAAGGTCATCCCGCAGGTTGGACTTGACTTTCAACTGCCGATTGAGACCATCGAGATGTTTATGCAGATATCAGAGTGAGCTTCGACCCTGACACTGTGTAACAGAACTGATAGGGAATCACAGCGAGGGCCTAGTCATTTTGGACCACTTCTCCCGTCTCGGTCTGCTTCAAATGAAACCTCGGGCTCCCATCACTGCGGCGGAAGAGACAGACCGAGTTTCCATCGGGCTGGTCTACCTCGCCAAGAGATTGACAATCATGGCTCAAGCATGGGTAAGTCATCTCATACTGGGAGGCCATGTCACTTTAGCCAGAGGCTAATGAGAACGTGCAGGATCTTCCTGCTGAAGAATCCGTCGCTACCTTGATTGGAGATTGGCCCGAGAAGGTTGCAGAGCTCTGTCGGGAAGACAGTGGCAACAAGCAATCGCTCCAGGTCATGAAGGCGACTCGAGGGTCGAGCGGATGTGTAGCGCAGTAGAGATGAGATGATGGCGGGGAGCTTGTGAATCAAGGATCACGGTTACCACTCTATAAGGTGGTTGTACAAGTATGGCGCGCTGTGTTGTTGTTGTCGGAATGTCGGTCCCTACGTAACGTACCTCATGAAAACCATACCACTGTAACGTCTGGTCAATGCTTTGAGATACATGTGTTGATGATGCGCTAGAAATGTTTGAGTATGATGGCCTGCCGGCCTCTATCCTCTCCTCATTCCCAATCATGCCATCTCTCCAACCCTGTAACCCTATCGCCCCCGCCAAGTGCTGTCGCCACCTCCCACCCCGAGTACACACAGTCGTTCACTCCCACTCCTCCATACCCGTTGCCCACCAGACTGATCTTCCCCTTCCACTCTCCGCTCCCAATGTTCTCGTGCAGTTCCCTGAGCCTCTGACCATGTCCAGGCAGGTAGGTAGGGATACAATTGTGGTGAATGTTGCCCACAGCGAGTACAGGCTCGACGTTTGCCAGGTGGGGGAAGGTTTTGCGGAGATGCGACAGGGCGAGGGGGATGAGAGTCTCGGGCTCGGAGTGTGTGGGAGAATTGGGCGTGTAAGATGACCAGTATGGTCCGCCGAGCATGACCGTGAGTTTTGTTATCTGTCCCTCGAGCTCGGGTGGGGAGGGTGGCACAGCTGTGGAGTCGAAGATCACTCCCAGTACACCCGAGGGGTTCTTCTCGAGAGGCGATCGGGGGACAAGATACCCAAATCCTGCGGGGTGAACCTGCGAAGGAGGAAGAGGGAGGACAATGTTGATGACCCCTACGCAAGTGGAAGGGTTATGCGCCAGGTGGGGTAATGATGCAGATGAGGGAAGGAGATGCGAAAGAAGACGGGGAGGAAGGGCGGAGATGAGGTGGGATGATTTGAAGGATCGAGCAGAGGTCGACAGCGATATAGGCTCTTCGGGGTTGCGAGAGAGCTCGATGTGCCGGACAGGCTCGCCATTGACGACCCTGACTCCTCTCTGGGTGACTCTTTTCAGGAGTTTCTCCGTTATCACCCCCAGTCCGCCCTTGATCCCATACAAGCTCCATTCCTCCCTCCTCTTTCCTAACTCGCCCAGCTCTGCCCAATCGTCTGCTTCGACCTTTCTGGCTGCCTTTGATTTGGTGCCAAGTAACATGCCAGCTACAACTGAACCATACTTGGCTTCGGAGTCGTGTAGTATGGGGAAGGCGGATCGAAGGGATAGTTGTTTGGACGAGGTGGCGTAGATACCGTGGACCATCGCACTCGCCAGGTTGTCGGCTATCGAGTCTCCAAATCGGCGCCGAAAGAAGGAGTCCACAGACTCATCGCCATCTGCCGTCAATTCCTTCTCTTTTCCTCTCGACCTGAGAGGTTCTGAAAGAGCCGAAGGAAGAAGGCCTTCAAGTAATGGTGGCTGAGGGCGAAGAACAGAAGGTAGGGAAGAGGGTAGGGGCGTGAGAGTGGATGTCGACGTGTCCAGCAAGAAGCGATTTTTGGCTGCAGGATGGGAGAATGGTATTGGTATTATCGATTCCTCCAGCCCAATGTCTCTCAGCTAATCATATCATTAGCTTTTGCCACTTATGTTTGGGAACCACAAAGACATACCATCCGTAGCATCGTCGCAGCCCCTCTTCCACCTCTCGGCCGGATACTCCGAGGCCCCGTCTCGATGCCCACGGCCCCTTCTCTCATGACCCCGTCCTGGCCTTTAAACCCCACTTCATACTTGCGCGAGTCGACCCAGCCTCCAATGTGATTCGCCGCTTCCAAGACTGTGATTTTTGTGCCAGAGGATGCAGGTAGGTGCGTGGAGAGGTGGTAAGCTGTCGAAAGCCCCGAAAGGCCAGCGCCGAGGATCGTTATATTTTTCGGTGGCGGGGGCATGTTGGTGTTGAATTTGAGGGAAATCCTGGCAAAAAAATAGACAAACACAAATGTTGAGAACGAATGAGGGGAGTTGTTTTGACTGAGGCTGTCTGACTTCTGAGTGGTTCGCGGGTGGAGTCGGGAAGTGGAGGCAAGTCGGCCAGTCGTCGCCAAATCGCGCTGTGAAGATGCATCGAGTTCGAGTTGTACTGCAGCCGTATCTCAATCAAGGAATACCAAATCACATAGGTAGTTACATCTCAGGGACAGCAGAGTGACACAAGAAGATTCCAACACGATCATTTTCCTAATTTCACGGCAATCCTCCATATATTTCCCCATCTCAAGCCATCTCAACATCTCCGGCCTGGATAACTCGGTCAGCAATCGAACCCCTGTTGACGTGCAAGTCACGTACAGAGTCGGCAGGCTTCATGAAGTTGTCCAATTCGGAATCCAGGTCACCAGCCGATTTTGGTCCAGGCCTCTCTCCCCTGGCACCACCTCCCCTACCACCGCGTCCTCCTCTCCCTCTCCTTCCACCCCCCGCAGCTCCAGCAGCCCCATTACCGTTAGCTTCGCGCACCGAAGGAGCATTTGCCGCTCCCTTCGGGCCCTTGGGTGCCTTGCCGCCCGCTGGCGCAGATGGTTGTATTCTGGACAGAAGAGATGCGGTGGAACCGTTTCGAGCAGGGCCAGGGCCAGCACCGTTGGCGGGGCCCGGGTTCTGGATGGGAGGGGGGCGACCGTATCGGATGGAGATGGTTTGGCCTGAACAGATAGGTCAACACAAAAAAAGGACATTCCAGAACAGATGGCAAACGCACCCTTGGTCATGGCACCGTCAAACTTGTTGATAGCATTCTTGGCAGCAGCCACAGTGGTGTACTCAATCCAGGCGGCACCAGTTGATCGGCCAGAGCGGTCGTACTATCGGCTGCGACCATGAGTCAGTCGTGTTTCTGGCTCAAAGTAGGAAGTCACGTACAAGGTAAAGAAAGAGAGCAAGGAAAAACATGAGCATCATTCCCCGTCATTACAGCCAATGCTATTTCGTCGCGTCCAGTTCCGATCGCCAGTCCCAATCGCCAGTCTTCGATGTCACCCAAACACCGATATACTGTCTTGTCGCGAGGTATGCCTTGAGGCCGATCCACATGTCGCCATGAACCCTTGAAACTGGACGCCGAAAGAATGAGAATTGAAGATCTAAACGCTTACACGAATCTGGGGCCCGTCCGCGATGGTGCCAGCTTGTGAGAAGATTGTCTTGATCGCGCCATCAGCAAGGGACAGTCGACACGACAAGTCGACACTTACCTTCAAGTCCTGGTTGGACACCTCGTAGTGCAAGCCAACAATCTCAATCCTCTGGTTCTCCTTGGTAAACGTCGCGCCGGTACCTGCGATCAGTGGGTTGGGGGCCGCGCGCCCTTGTCGACCGTTGAAGCCACCTCGGCCGGGATAAGCGTCGTGGACCCATCTGTCGCCTGTCGATCTTGGTGGGGGCCTCTGCGCGTCGCATCTATCAGCAACTTTTCATTGTTTCCGGAGGGCAAGCGGATGGACGCACAGCGTAAGGTGTAGGCCTGGAACCACCATTCGAACCGGTTGAGTGCCTCGGGATGGGAGGACGCTGAGCCTGCTTTGGCCTGTTGTCTTGTTTCTTGGTGGCGATGATGTCGTCGAGGGACTTGTCTACGTCCATGATGGGTAGATGGGTAAGTTTATATAGATGTTAGAGAAAGTAGAGAGTGATAGAGAAGATAGAGCGCGATATTAGAAAGAGAAGGGGAGTGGCGTTCATTTGATCCCGTCGGTGTCCAGATCTCACCATCCAGAACGATTTCTTCATTTCACCGTCGATCTTCAAAAGCCCCTATACACCTATAATCCTCCCGACATCTGGATTGCGACTTGCAGAACCTCAATAATCTCCGCCACCGTTCAATACCACAAAATCTACCAACAAAGTCCCCTTTTCGGCTGAGAAGTTACAAGAAATAAAGATTAGAAAAGATGGTATGTCGGCTATCGAGAAGGGAACGACTGTACACTGTTCACTAACTATATACCAGTCTGCTCCTAGAGTCATCGCCCAGCTGGTGATCACCGGTGGAAAAGCCTTCGGCAAGGCTACTTTTGCTGCCATGCAACAAGCCGGCAAAAGTGCGTCTCGTCTTTTCGCTATATCACAGAGAAGTACTGATGATATCTACAGATTTTACCCACAAGCCTGAAGGCATGGCCGATTCTGCACCTCGCTCGGCGGACGGAAAGAAGAATGCTCTTACAAGCCAATTGCAGATGAGCTTGGACGAGGCGCGGTTGATCTTGAATGTGAAGAAGGATGACCCTCTGGATGTCATTCAAAAGGTACGTGACCATCTGTTTATTGCAGAGGCTCTCATTCGAGCTGGAACTCGTCTTCATGAAATGTTTAGACCCTGTGCTAATACGCAACTCTTTAGCACTACGATGTCATCTTCAAAGCCAACTCCCCACCCCCTCCCCCAACCGCCGCCGAAACAAAACCCGGCGCCAAACCCTCACCCCCTCCCCGCGCTACTGGCAAATCCCCCAAGAGCAAGGCTCCCACGCACTCGTTCTACTTGCAGTCCAAGGTGTTTAGGGCTCTGGAGAGAATAAAGGCAGAGAAGGAGGCGGAGGTGACCAAGAGCCGGCCAGAAGGAGAGGCCACTGCTGAAGCGGGGGCTGAGCAGCCGAAGGGGGAGCAGAAGGAAGGGGAGAGCAGATAGGAGAGACGGTATTTCGGTGGAATGGAGCGTATATGCATGGATCACCTCTCTCAGGATTCGGAGAGCAAGGTTCATGAGATATACGACTCGACTCGCTTTGCTTCTTCTATCTTCTGACAATCGCCCCGCTGGTCTCAGATGGCTTTCTAGAAAGGAAGCTTTGTGCCGTCGCTGTCATACTTCATCAGCACCAAACTCATGAGACCATATGACACTCGAACTCAAAACGACACTTACTATTTCCACATGAAACCAGATGTCTCTTCCTTGGTAGCCTTAAGAAGCAGCTGAACGATAGCAGCTATATGATCTCATCAGAACATTCTTCGCGGGTTGTCGGGTGTACGTACGGGCAGCCACCGAAAGCTTCTCGGGGGGAGCATCGACTCCGATAGCCTTTGCGCCTGCGTTGCCCATGTCGCTATGCCGCGGATCAGCTATGGTCATCCTTGATACTTCATTGATATACGTACGTGTCGAGCCAACCGGGATGGATCGCAAACACCTTGAGCTTGGGCTCTTCTTGGTTGATACCACGCATCTGATCATATCGTTATTAGTTCCCTACCCACTCGGAAACCAAAGTATGGAGCAACAAGAGGCAGAGCTTACCAGGAAGTTGAGAGCCACTTTCGTGCTCCCATAAGCTCCCATAGCAGGGATCCAATCTCCAGTGATACATCCCACCACAGAGCTGACCACAGCAAACGTCGCTCCATCCTTCAACAACGGGCGCACAGCTTGATAGAGCGCAAGAGGACCGCGGACGTTTACGGCATGACCATGGTCGAACTTTTCGAGATCGGTCTGATAAAGAGGGCCAGATGTGGAAGCGACACCGGCGTTGGCTAGCACAATGTCGAGCTGAGTGATGTTGTGTTTGTTCTTGAGCTCCTCCACAGCCTAAAGAGTGCTATCAGCCGAGTGGTCGCGACAGGTGGATAGCACTGGAAAGTGGATAGGACGTACCTCAAGCGCGTCTGTAGTGGAAGCAGAGTCGATCTTGACTACGACCAAGTCCCCATCAAGCTGAGGCATCTTGGTGACATCTCGAACACCTGCTACGACTCGCCATTTGTTCTGGAGGAAGCCTTTAGCGACTGCAAGTCCAATTCTGCGAGTTTCGCGATGATGGTCAGTCAGTGGTGACGATAGCTGAATGTCATGCGTACCCTCTGTTGGCGCCTGTGATCAGGACTGTCTTTTGTTCCGAGGTAGACATGTTTGATATGTGAAGTAGAGTTATAATAACAGATGAGAATCTGTCAGATATGCATGCGTATAGCTATGCAGCTTCTGCAGCAGCTGCTTACACCTCGCTTATTAATTAGGATATCCGCGGCGGGGAGCGACCCGTGACCCGCGACTTCGTATAACGTCATCGCATATACCGCCGCTCTTTGACTCTTTCATATGAGTCATTGTTCTGCGTGCTTGAACAGAAAGAGAGCTGAGGAAAGCATATTTAACACATTCATCTTGTCAGTAGCTATGGACCCGAAGCCCTCTTCGAGCTCGGCTCCTCCTTTTACCACATCCCTCAAAAGGCTCAGAAAGGAAGCTTGGTTCCATCGCTATCCACCGTTCGTCAGCTCATCTCCCCACTACAGTACACTTGAATGCCCCAATGCAGAATCATCGGTTGTACTTACTACTTCCACATGTACCCAGAGGTCTCTTCCTTCGTGGCGTTCTCAAACAACTCATAGATGGCAGCTTCACATAGTTACATCAGTCTCAAGACGGCATGTTGGAGACAAAAGACATACGAGCAGCCACAGAGAGCTTCTCGGGGGGTGCATCAAGGCCCGACATGGCAGCGCCAGCATTTCCCAAGTCACTGATACCGTACAAGTCAGCTTGGATCACCAAGACCTATGAGGGGACTTACGTGTCAAGCCAGCCTGGGTGGAGGGAGAAGACCTTTAACTTTGGTTCCTCGTGGTGAAGCCCTCGCATCTACAGTAACCATCAGTCAAGTCTTCTAGATGAACCCAGACACCGCTCACGAGGTAAGTGATAGCCGCCTTGGTAGTACCATACACCCCCAAATAAGGCTTGTACAAGTTGCCGGTCATGATGCCCAGGTCCGAACCCGCCCCCACGAATTTGTCGTCATCCGTCAACAGCGGACGCACGGCTTTGAAGAGCATGAGAGGCCCGCGGACGTTGGTAGCGAGCATAAAGTCGAGTTGGTCTGGGGTAGTGTCGACGAGCAAGGCAGGAGTGGGAGTTGCACCGGCGTTGGCGAACACGGTGTTGAGGCGGTGGATGTTGTGCTTGGTCTTGACTTCTTCCACAGCCTCGTGAATGTGTCAACATGAGTCTGAGATGAGATGACAAGAGCTTACGTCGAAAGGGTCGGTAGTGGACTCGGAGTCGATCTTGACTACGACGACCTCGCCCTCGAGCTTGGGCATCTTGCTCGGGTCCCTGACGGCTGCGACAACTCGCCACCCCTTCTCAAGGTATACCTTGGCGACTCCAAGGCCGACACTGTACCTCGTCAGTATAGGTTGTATGCTGTGGCGACCTACCCTCTGTTGGCTCCGGTGATGAGAATGATCTTGCGCTCGGCAGTGGTGGACATGGTGGATTGTGTTAGGGAAGCAGTGGTGAGGTTTATCTCCCCCTTATATAGACAGAATAGGCGCTCAGTTGCTGGGCACGGCAAGGGGCAGGAACCAAACATTACGACGCCTCGTGTCTCTCGGCCATTGGCCACCGCACACGAACACATCCGGCAGACTGCTGCCGTGCAAGTCCGTTTCTTCTTGGCAATCTTCATGATAAGGTGGAAAGCTATTTCCTTCCCGCACAATGTCGGAAACAGCACCACGGTGTCCTCACCACAGTCACTACCCAATCGTATCATCAATCGTTGCATTGGAATTGTGAAGAGCGCATCAAGCGTATATACTAAGACTAGACTACGATTTCGCGTTCGTGTTCGAAAACCACAGGAAAAGAACGAAGGATGACTCGACCAAGCTAAACTGAATGTGTTGTGGGACAAAAGAACGTGCAGAGCCCTATGAAAGACAGGTGACTTGTATTGTAAATGCCTAAAACTACTTGGATGTAAAAGTTGGTTAAAGGATGAGGGAAAGCTATGTGATATTTTACAACGATTATTAGAGAATGAATCGTCAAAGACTACAGCTATACACGTAGAAAAGAAAGTACTGTATTACAAGCGGAAGAATAAAGAAACCCTGGGAATGCCACATTTATACTTCTGACCGGTGATCTACTCCATCACGACATCCTCATCGCCAGCCGCCGCTGCAGGCACATTTGGCGTACTGAATCCGCCGGCCAACACCTCCATCAACCAATTCTTGTCTTCTGGCGCCAACGCGTCCTTGCCCTTCCTTGCTCGTTGCACCACAGGGTGGCTGATAATGTGGGTGATCTCGGGTCGAAGCTCGGGCTGGGCAGACATGCACTGGCAGACGAGCTCGCACAGAGCGGGGGACAAGGGAGAGAGGTCGACAACGGAAAAGTCGTTCTCGCGGAGGGCGTGCCAGGGGGCACCGCCGTCGGGGACACAGATATTGGTGGCAATTTCAAGAACGACAAGACCAAAGCTACAAGTCGATCAGCGCTGTACTTTCAGTGTCGAGACCCGGCTTACCTGAAGATATCGGCGGCCATGACGAAGAAACCTCGCAACATCTCGGGCGCCATGTACACCCTGTCCCCTTCCCTCTCCAGCTTCTCCTTCCTCATCGTACTCAACACAGCCATGTTGCCACTCCCCATGCCAAGTCCGGCCCCCTTGAGGATTTCGAGAGGCTCAACACGCGGCCAGCGCGTGGCAAGACCAAAGTCGCCAATTTTCAGCGAGCCGGTGGCAGAGATGAGGATGTTGGCTGGTTTGATGTCGAAGTGGATGACGCCGTTGGAGTGGATATGGTTGATACCCTGCCATTGGGGTCAGCAATGGATTGTACATTGAGCGAAGAACTTACATCGCTCAGCTCGCGGACACACTTCCATACTCGCCCCTCATCAAGCCTCTCAACGACCCGTCCGTACTCCTCCAAGAAAAACGCAAGCGATCCCAAGCAAAGCTCTGTTTGAATAAACAGTTGTCGGTTCTGTTCCCAAGCATCTTGGAAAAGAACGACATGAGGTGAAGGTTTAAGGGAAAGGTGCCGAAGAATGTCGACCTCTTCAAGATGTCGAAGCCTGCAAATCGTCAGCTTGCCGCGAATACACCGGAATTAAGGATCGTACCTATCGCGCACACCATCAAACATACCCCTCGCCTTCTTCACTGCCCAGATCCCCTCGCCATTCCTCTCCTGTACCTTTACAACCGTCGAAAAGGCTCCCTTGCCCAAGGTATCCAGCGTAATGAATTTTGCTTCAAACAAATCTTCCTCCTCTGGCTGGTTGGTTGCAGGGTGCGATTGACGGTGGTGGAGTGTTCTGCTAGGGGCCATCTTTTTTGGCGGAAGGGCGGGAAGAGACAACCGGGGCATCAGGTTGGTGCCAGCTGTCGCGGTGTTGGAGTATGCGGAAGGATGAGCGGCTCTGATCGAAGTCTTTGCGGATGGAGTTGGTGTCATGAGATTCTTTCGGTTCGCTATCCATGGGTCAGCATGCTTCTATGGTGAGATAACAAGCAAAACTTACCGGCCAGCGCCATCTTGGAATCTCCACTTTTTGTAGGCGTCCCATCCTCCTCTTCACTCTCACTCACACCACCCTCGCTTCTCCCAAGCACCCCCAGCCTGTCCTTGCCCTTCGACCCCTTCTCCCTCGAGTTTACCAACGACAAGTTGCGCATTTGGCTAATCCCCTTCAGAGACCCATGAGCGCGCACCGTCGGCGACTGTTCGTCTTCAGTAGCCATCGGCGAACTCGAATTGGCTTGCGTCAAGGTAAGCCTCGGCAATTCAGAAGTACCAGGACGTCGCTTCATCATGCTGGGCGGAGGTTTTTGAGTGGAAGGAGGGGGCATGGTGTTTCGGGGCTTGGCAAAGTTGGGAGGGAGGTTGGGTTTGGAAGAGTTTTCAAGAGGCGCCGTGATCTCACAGTCGAAAGAGTCTGAACCAAGGGTAGGCTGGGAGACAGAATGCCCCACACCATTGCCCTTGTAGGCTTGCTTCTTGACAGGAGTACCGGGCATGGCAGGCTTGGCATCCGCCTGGTTGGCACCGATACTGAGTCCAATCCCGCTGTCGCCTAAAAACTGGAAAGGCGCAGGTTTGCCAGGCCAACCGCTCGCAAGCATGGGGCCTACACCAGGGGTTTCGACATCCTTCTCATCGCCCATGGAAGAATTCCGCTTGAGCATGGCTGGACGACGCAGCCGGCTAGGGGCGAGCTTCATGACAGAGGAAGGAGGAACAAGTGAACGAGGTTGGCTCGGGAGCTCTTCCTCGACACTCCCCATAGAGACCCCCGAGTCACGCGGCTTGAACTTTCGGCTGACCGTCTTTTCCTCCTGAAACACTTCTTGTAGAGGCTTGACACCCTCAAAGATAGGAGGCTGCATGGGTGAAAATGTCGCAGGAGGGGTGAGGCTGTTTGTGGATAGAGACGATATGGAGCCATTGGAATGGGAAAAGTCTGGGAGGTTGCCCAGGTTGGGAGCGAGGGACAAGGATAACGACTTGGCGCCGAAAGACCTGCTTATCGACGCTGTCGAGCTACCCCCAGCCGAGTTTGCCCGCATGTGCGTCAACCCAACCCTGTCCGACGAATTGATCCGCTTGTGCGCCCTATGCTCTGTCGAGCTCGCCGGTCTCGTACCGAGAGGCGGTGGCCGTCCGTCACTGGAGATGGCAAAGGTGGTCGAGGGACGAGCTTTGCGGACGTGCGAGTTGATCTGCGAGTTGCTGCCAAACAGAGCTTCGGCGTCATCGCCCGATGCGGATTGATGGATCTGGTCAAGGGAGATTGTCTTTTTCTGACCAAGGGTGGCGGGACGGTCTTGACTTGTAGCTGTACCTGCCCGTCGTCGAAGGGGATGGGATTTGGAGAGCGTCGGTATTCTGGAGGCATCACCAAACAATCCCCCACTCGACGAGGACGAGGAGTCGGACGACTTTGACTGGCGCACAGTAAACACTGGGCGGGGTGGCGGTGCAGGTGATTCGCCCATCATTGGCGTCGGCGCTTCATCCTGCAAAAACTCTTCCTCCTCCTCTTCATCCGACATTCCCACAGGGTTCTTGAGCGGGCTCATCGAAGACTGCCCATCTGCCCCTGGTCGCAGACTCCTGCTCCGCCCAGGTACCCTCCTGATAGGCGAATCGTCCACCAATCTCAGCCTCGCCGCCGCACTCGCCATCCCACAAGCCGGCGTGGGGCTGTCATTCTCTGGCGTCGACGACGTCCCAGCGTTTGCCAACGGTGACGAGCCATGTCTGACAGGTGAGATCATGACAAAGTCTTCATCTTGCTTTCTCGGTGACGGCGAGGGCGAGGGGGACAGCTTGTGTTTCCCCTTGCTGGATGGGAAGGGCGATTTGAACGACGAGACGGTGAAAGGATTCGGCACGGGGCTTTGTTTAACACCGTCCATTCTCTGCGCTATCGAAGCGCTCGACCCGTCTGATACGTTGGTTGTGCTGGAGGATGTAGATGATGTGGACGACTTGCCGAAAGACTGCGTGCCAAACCACGTTGTAGGCCTGTTGAGGCCCTTCCCACGCGGCAGACGAAACGTGCTGCTGGGTGGCTGCTGCGTGGACGACTTTGAGGTCATGGTTGTTGATACAAGATAGTAGTGGGGTGGTGTGGGTATAGAGGGTGGATGGTGCGTCGGAGGGTTGGATGATGTGTTGCTCGGTTGGTGGTGATGTCTGAGCAGGGGCGACGCGTCGAGGCTGGGTGGGTAATCGCGTGGTTGGGGGTTGTCGGCTCAGCGGGCGAGCATCCAGCAGGACAGCGCGGTGGCAGTGGCGGGTGGCGGTGGGTGTCGCAGTGGGAGAAGAAATGAGGAAGAATAAAAAGCGAGATGGACGAAAATGATGAAACAACCAAGGAGCGGTGTTGCGGGATGTTTGCATCAACAAGAAACACGCGTCGTTACGTAAACATCAATTTGTACCTGCTACGCAGTCCAGCTATGCATTTTTGTTCTTCGTTGTGGTGCTTGACTCGTCTTGGCGCTGCTCTCAGCATGGCTGGCCTCAAGCTGTAGGCATTCGTCGCTCGAAAGTGGGACATTCCACCTCTCAAGTTCGCTACCTTGCGATACCTTCCTTCTCCCTCTTCTTGTGTGGATGCCTCATAATGCCAAGCTCTTCTTCTCATATCCTTATTCTCCGCTTCTCATTCTTGTCTCTCAAATGAGCATGTTGATCAGCCCACTTCCCTCCATTCTTTGCCACTCTGCGTCGACTGCCACTCGTATTTTGCCGCTCATAATGCCGCCAGCGGAGAGTGCCGCCATAGAAGATAGATAAATGATAAGCCACCAGGAACGAGGGATCACCCTGAGAAATCATTCGCGCGCCCGAGATTGCGAAACCGAAGCTTTTTGTGTGAAACCGGCAACGTCGTCTCGCAGCCGGGGGCGTGTGATAGGCTCAGTTCGCAGAGTTGCAGTGGGGTATGGATCAGAGGGATACATGGATGGGAAAAATGAAGAGAAATATTATATGAACAACAGAAGGAAGGGAAAATGTAGAGGATGCCACGACACGAGCGGAAAAGCGAAATATGTGTTGCAATCACTGCGAACAGATGGGGGATGCTATTAGGGGTACAAAAAATGGTAAATAGACTAGATGACAACGAGAGAAAAGACTCTAAAGTGATGGGTTGCCTGGAAAAGCGCGATGATGTGCGGTGACGAGCCGTTACAAGTGTGGCCAAGCATGGGTGGCCAAGGGAAAGCGGAATAGGATGTAGCGCCTGCTCAACAAGAGTCAGCCAATGCCTAGCAATGCCACGAGAGACACTTACTCGGCTACGTCAACTCTTCTCAGTCTCCTTCGTCCTTCCAGAACTTCTACTAGGCCTCTCCTTAGCCTCCACCACAGTAACCTTCTTGGGTCTGCCCGGCTTGACCTTGCCAGCAGCGAGCGGCACTGTCTTGGGGGGGTTGGCGAGGGCATCCGCTACGAGGGGAGTTTCTGTCGCAAGGGGAGAGTGTGATTTGGCGCGGGTGGAGATGGATGCGGGCGAGAGAGACTTTTTGCCTCGCCCTGGCTTGGCCGTGGTAGGGCGGGGCGTGCCCTCCGGGGTGTCGACGACCACCTCCTCAACAGTAGGGGGCACATACACTCCACCACCCAAAGTGACCTTCATCTCCTTTACGAGCTCCTTCACCCTCATCGCCCCCTCCATCTTCGTCTTTTTCTCCTCCTTGCCCATCTTCTTGGCCTTCATCATCCTCTCCTCCCGCACCTCCTCCTCTCGCGACAGCTTGTTCGAGCGAAAGTTGCCCCAGTCCGACGCAGGAGAGTAAGGGTGGAGGTACGTCTTGGTGGCGGAAGAGTGGGTGGGCTTGACTGTGTGCCCGTCGTCGGTTGGGTCGTAAGCGGCACAGCGCGCAAGGATGGTACCAAAGTCTGGCTTCATCCTTACCACCATCATCTTGGCCTTCTTGCCCTCGCCACCAGCCTGATCTGTGGGAGAGGGGAGCACGAAAGAGGCCTTGCGTTTGCGGCTCTGGCTCGACATGGGGGACGCGCTGGAAGGCTTGGGGGCGGAGAGAGAGGCGGGGGTGATGGGTGCGTTGGCGTTGAGGATGGTGGTGCTCGAACTACGGCGAGAGGAGGCATCTCCTTCGCTCGCAGGAGGGGTGGGGAGGGAAGGAGAGGAGGGGGAAGTTTTGTCGAGCACGATGTAGGGGTGGGGTCTGTGTGCGGATCTGCCATCCCGCGCCGGGGGAGGGACGAGGAAGCGGATGGCGATGGGTGGCATGGTGCGTGTCTGGCTTTGGGGTGTGGTGGACAAGGGAGTAAGATAGGGGAGTGAGAGTTCAATAGGTTGTGGCTGTGAAGAGGTGGATGAGCAAAGCGTTCTCTTCCCAGGCAAACAGGGGAACAAGGAAAAAAGTGGAGGGCGGATACTCACAAAGGCTGATTCCTCGGTAGGCGACTTGGGTTGGTGAAAGGATTGCTGGTGAGCTGGGGACTCGCTTGTCTGTGGACTGTGCAGATATAGCGATGATGTAGACGAGAGTGAGGATAGAGAAGATGCGCCGCCTCGCCCTGGGATGCAATTTGATCTCGGAACAACAACCTGGCAGCATCCCAAATGCGACTTCAGGCACGCACTTAGGTAAACCATCCGGCTCTTGTCCGTTATGTCCGTGGGATGCGTTCGCTTCACGCATTGCATCAGCATGTCTTGGAGGTATGCAGGAGGGCGAGGCAGCGGTTCTCAATGAGGGTGTTCAGGGGCAAGAGAGGTGAGCGGGGGAATGAACAGCCCATGACCGTACCGGTCGGTGGTCCGGCGGCGGCTATGCGTCGTCGATCTTGAAGGGAACGCTTGTCGGACGGCTCTGGCTTGAATGTACGTACCGAGAAACAGGTGGTCGGCTCTGAGCGACGTCCCAAGATTTGCACAGCTGAGGCGTCCTGGGTGCTGTCAACTCCGTCCGCCAGCTGACGACTATCCCACCGAGTCGGCCTGTACCAAGAAGGTGCAAGAGCTACCAGCCGCCACTTCCCCGCTTTCCATACACAAACATCCATCATCATTGTTCCTCATCTCCCCGATCTCCCTTACATTGCCCCATCGCTCGTCTCGTCGAACAACAAGACCCCCTCCGCCATTCACGGGCGAACCAATCAAATCCTTAAAAAAAATAAAAAAATCACGAGATCTTGTCAACAAGGCGGTAGGGGCCGCTTCACGGCGATCTGGTTGGTTCACAGATAGAAGCGCTGGGGAGATTAGGTCGCGTCGCAGTTATGCAAGGAGCGGAGGGACCGGGGAATGGGGATTGCTGTGAGATATATCCCGAGAGACCGAGGGAAGTCAACGTGGTTAATTGATGTTCGGAAGCTAACTCGACAGTAGGCAGCGTGACGCCTTGGCTAACAATAACCTAAGAGGAGATGTGATATATTGCAATAACTCTTGTACTCTGTAAAGGAAGCTCGTTCTTGAGATTATGCACACTGGAGTCGAATGAAGACAAAAGCGACAATAGCTTTGAGCGCTTGGGGCTGACTGCTGGCCTTTGTTTGGTTCGCTCAGGTTGCTGACGGAATGTTGTTCTGTAGCCTTCTCAGCAGCAGCAGCACGTTTGGTCTCGTTATAACATTGCAAGGGTTTCTTGTAGAGGGAAAGGAGTATTCGAGTCAGCAAAATACACTTGGATCGTCAAGACGAAGGGAGAACAAAGGGCTACAGCATTCGGCTCGCACCATTTGTCCCTGGACATATGATGCCATCTTTGCATACCTGTCCCACCATCAATGATCGGCTTCTTGCCCCACACCTCTTCAGTAAGCCCCTCTCGGGCTATGCATACCGCTGCCATTAGAGGAACCAAGGTGCAGTGTGAGACCGGAAAACTATCCTGGATCAGATATTTAGAACTGTCTATCTTGCTTCATGTTTTGCTTCGAGGATGAGTCTTCATCTACGACTCGCGTCGTCGTGTGCAGATGGACATCACATACCTGACTGACTGGCTGACTCGAAAGGACAAGGACGCGACTGCCATATCACTTATGACCGGTTGCCGCCGAAAAGCGAACGAAGTCGTCCCTCAACAGCTCATGTCACGAGGGTCACCATTCAAGTCCCATACTGTCGCTGTATAACCCCCTTTAAGGCGGTTCCAACATACGAGTTTCCATAGTATAGTGGTTAGTACGCTGCTTTGTGGTTATCTAATCACTCTCTAGCAGCAGAGACGCGTGTTCGATTCACGCTGGGAACATTTCTTTTTTGCTTTTGCCATACCCCGACATCAGCTACTGCGTGTTGTCTCTTTGCAGCTCCAAAACTGCTCGACAGCACATATATGCACCAGCGCATCTCCTCTGAAGACTATGTATTCCTGTTACGTTGGCTTACCAAATGCCACGTGGGGGCCGGCGTCGGCCGCCTGTGGCTCCTGGGCCGGCTGCGCGCATACTCGTCGACGATTGCCCTCCAGTTGATTTTTCTCGTCATCCCGTCCGCAGCCCCCCTCCGGCACACCGCCCCCAGCGAGAACACTGCCCACCATGAGCCGCCCCACCCCCAACGTGTTGATCAATAGAAATCTCCGCCCCGCGTGCGTATCCTGCCCATGCGACGCTCTCGCTGACGGTCCATAGCGGCGCTTCGGGAAACGTCGGCGCTGGGGCAAGCATATCCTCATCCCTCCTCTTCTCTCCAAATTACCACCATGATAGCGACAACGCCTACTTTCCACCTCTCGCGATCGCCCGGGCAGGCGGCAAGGGCGGGCAGATCTTTGTGTACTCTGAGGACGGCACCACAACTTCCGGCTACTCTTCCTTCGCTGGGGGTGGCCGGCGGTGGGTTTGAGGAAGGCAGGAGGAGAACACTTTCCGTGAGTAGCTTGTAGCTTGTACTGAGGCCAGGGTGTGCGACTGACCTCGTTGCCAAGGGCGATGCTATCGCCGGTGAGTCGACAGAGAACACGAGAGAATCTCCGCCGTCCTACCTGCATCAACACTTCTCTCAATTCGCCGACACTACCACATCCCAGTCCTACCGCCCGCCATCCAATATGCCCATCTCCCACAACCTGATAACCCCTCCCTCATCTTTCACCCAATCAGTCGACATTCCAGGAGCTCGCGGGCAACCGTCCGTTCGGCCCATGTCTCTCCCCCTTACACCCCTCTCGTCTTCCGCTGCTCGAGTTGGGCAAGAATCCCCAGAGCACTCTGGATCCACGCCGGACTCGGGCAAATTTGACAATTCCATCATCACCTTGATCACCTCCATCTTTCCCCTCCACGCACAAACTGTATCACTATTATCTCATACGCTCGAGATCCTCACGCCTCCTGTCCATAAGCTGCAAGGCTTCATTGTGGATTACCCATCGTCATATACTTCCGGTCGTACCGTCTTCATCCATATGCCTCCCGGGCATGGTACGGTCAACCAGCGCCCCGAATCCCTATCTCCCAACTTTTCCCAAGTCCTCCGTCCTCACGATCCCCTCTTTTCCACCTCTCCCACTTCTGCTTCTCATCTCGCCTCCTCTGCCTACGCGTTCGACATTCGAGAATCTCTCACTGCGCTTCTGGACCTCGCGGCCGAAGCGCTCGAGGGGAATCATCTGGTGTTGGTACTGGAGAGGAATGAGGCGGAGCAAGAGGCTCTGGGAGAGATGCTTCATTCGTTAATGTACGTTGGAGGGCAAGTCGTGAAGCCAGGTGGGCTAGAGGGAGGGTGGGAGTGGGATGCGACCAAGTGGGTGCTGGTCGGTTTGGAGTTGTAGGATTATTCCTCCATGTTTTTACTCTTTCTTTCTCGACGAGTTCAACTGTCGTTGTCTATAGAGTTTTTTGTGTTGGTCAAATATGACGAAATCACGTAGTTGTATATGATAGTTTCTTTTCTGGTCTCATGTTTTCCGCCCGCGGGGCGAGCTTCGAATGCATATAATCCTACCAAAGTATTTCGCAACCCGATGCATATTCACACATGTCCGGTACTTTTGATCATGTACTTTGTATTCGTATAACTGCCTATGCCCTATGAAACACTTGGCATTCTTCTAAAGATACAACACGCTTGGTCTCCTAATAAGCCCCAATCTACCCGTCTAGTCTACTTTCGCCTTCCTGTCCGTAGGAATCTCGGAAGCGGAAACATTCTCAGCGATATCCATTTCCTGATCCACCATCTGCTCGTCACCAGCCAGGGTGCTGGCATGCGTGCTCGAGACTCCTTCCTCTCCGACTGCTCCAGCATCCGACATTACGCTATCCAGTGTCTCGTCTCCCGTGGGAGTCGTGGAAGGCCCAGAAGCGTAAGTGTCGGAAAGGTATGGCAGCTCGGTCCCAGCTGGTGCCGGATATTGCGTACCCGCGATCCCATCAAAGAACCCGACATTGTTAGAGTACTGCGAGGCTCCATTGGACCCGTTGCTTCCGCCCCAAGCTACACTGTTACCGAACCCGAGCTGACTGGTGTTGAACGAAGAGTAGTTGCCAGCATCCATATCAGGCAGCCCGGCGGCAGCTCGGGTGCTGGCGCGAGAGAGAGAAGGCTCGGCTTCGTCCTCGCTAGAGTCTACGTCGCGAGATGTGTCTAGGGGGGCACTCGAATAGGAAGGGAGCTCTTCGTCGATGGCGGCGTCGGGATTAAGAGGACGGTAGCCGGGCATGTGCATGGTAGGTCCAGAGGGCCCGGCTTCGGGCTCGGGAGCATCTTCGGCCTCTTTGCGGATAGCTTCTTCGGCCTTGATTCGAGAGATGCCACCGATAGGACGAGTCGTTCTTCTGCGATAGAAGAGCAAGTAGGCCGCTCGACTCTGTGGTATTCGTCAGCTCGAGATTCGCAATGCTGACAAAACTCACCTGTACAGCCGAGGCATCGGTCTTGGAGACTCGAGAATCATCATAGTTGTACCACTCGCCATCCACTCGATTTCTGCAGAAAGCAGTGTAATGACCACCGCCCATCCCGCCAAAGTGATTATCGACAGCGTAAAGGTCATAGAGCAGAGCTTCGTCACTTTCCTCGATTCCGTACTCTGTGACATTTTGACCATCGACCTTTAAAGTTTTGGCCAGCTGTCGCTCGCCAATTCGATCTTCGAGATTGAGGCCATCAATGGGGAACTTGACCAAGTTGTCAAGTTTATCGTTCATACGACGCGAAGAGCCGAAACGCTTGATGCAAATGACAAGAATGTCGGGAGCTTTGTGAATCTCGAGCTTTTTCGTGGCCGCCTGGTGTTTCTTACACTGCAATATCGTTAGCCCCATCCCCAACACACTTGTTACAACTTACGACAGGGCAATACCAAAGGTCGTCATCTCCTAGTGTTTCCTCCTTTGAAAACTCGTCTAGACAGTCCTCGATACTGATCTCCTTGCCCGCATTCTTCTTTGCCAGTTCCCTTCCGATAGCAGGGTCGACAAACTTGTCCTCCACTACGTCATGGTCAAGCCACTCGGCAAAGTCGCGCGGGGACCATTCACAAAAGATACCTTCCCCGGGCCGAACGACCAGCTTTGCCTTTTCTTCCTTGAGCTTGAGCTTGGCAGCTTTAGCAGGTGAAAGTTTGGGGTCGGTGGAGCCATCGATAGCCTCGTCTTCGGAGCCCGCAGCCGAGGTGTTGGAAGTGTTGGAGCCCCCGATCATGGCTGAGAAGCCCGTTGCGAGACGGGTCACCATATGTCTTTTGGACTTTTTCTTCCTGCTCTCAAGTAGAGACCAATTCTTGCAAGCAGCAGAAATCTCTTGGTCGTACAGACCAGCAACTTCCTGCTTTGGCTTTGCCAAAGAGTTGCGGAAGTTGCTGTAGGACAGGTCTCCAGCTGGGTCTGCGACGTAGACTTTGAACAAGTCGGCGCGGGGAACAAGTTTGCCCGCGGTACTTGAAACGGACGCAGCGGCTGATCGGGCGGATGTTAAAGAGGCGAGAGAAGTAGACGAGCCGTTCATGTGAAGACCTGTGACGTTGCCAGAGATCGGCGCAGTAGCGGGATCGACCTCCAAAAGATCGCCGTCTTCGGCTGGTACCTCAACAATCTTGACAGGAGTGTCCTGCTCAGCATTCTGAGTCGTGGGCACCTCGACGATGGTTGCTTGATCGCCGTTCATGTGTATCTCGGTGACGGGACCATCTTCGTCCTCGGGCGAAGCAGCTCGCGCCTGGGCGCTGGAGGCGACCACGTAAATTTCCCCCTTCTTGTTCTCTCGCATAAATCTGTTGTATCCCCTCATGATCGCCTCCCGTACCTTGACCGGGTCTGCAGCATCGGCCTTCGACAAGGTAATAAAGAACGGGGTCATGTGTGTGTCTGATGGCGAGTCTCCAATACGATACCCGCCTCGGGCGTTCTCGATGGTTTTGAATGTGTAGACTGGAACGGTGAAAGAGCCGGACGCGTCTGCAGGGGTAGTACCAACGGCCTTGCGAGTGGCCACAACGTTGACGGTCGGTTCAAACTCGTAAAAGACTGCAATATCGTTGTTTTTGCACTCGCCGTTGTGATCAGGGTCGCGCCACCAGGCGTAAGGCCTGTTCTTCCAGAGATCGAGTCCAATGATCTGTGATTATCAGTCGAGCCGTTCTACGAACAATTGCATCACTTACATTGTTGGCCTTGCAGCCAAAGAGCGCGCCAAGCTTGTCTTTGATTTGCGAGAAGGCGGCGTTTTGGGGAATCAGTAGTTGGAAAGGGGTTGGGCCTTTTTCAGTGTCTCGAGGGACAAATATACCCTTGAACTGCCTATGCTGGGCGACAGGTAAAGGTACAGTCAGGTACATGAAGGGGTCGAACGTGATGGATTCCTAACATATTGTTAGCTTCGAATGTTTGCTCGCGAGGACTGAACTTACCTTTGTACATTCCGGACAAACCAAGGTACTCTTCAGCTGACCCTGGAATAGATCCACAATCACCGAGTCGTTCCTCTTCTTATAACCCTCCCAGCAATCTTTGCCTAGTGAGGCCAGCTCTTTGTTTCCACCCCCAGGGACCCAGTCCGGCTTTTCAATATACGGTTTCTTGATGATCCTGTTCAAATCTTCGTGCAAGCCATCCAGCAAGAATGCGATGAACTCTTGAGTGTCGTGCTGGCCGTAGCCCGCGAATTGAGAGGCAAACTTGGCAGTAGTCCATTTGAGCTGCCTGGGAGAATATGAAGCGTACGAGTTGGACTGAGCTGCCCAGAGATTCTCGATGACTTGGCCAAAGGCTTCGGCGATCTGCCCAGACATACCAAGAGGATTGTCACGGTTGAGTTCACTGTTGTAGACGCCAGCTACAAGAATTAGTGTGATTCACTCTGCAAGCCATATGAACTTACCAAGGAAATACTGCGAAAGCTCTGGGGTATTGCTCAGACATTGCACAGCACTGTTCATGAAGCAAGTGTTACCCAGGTTTTGCAGCCCAACTAAACCCTTGCCCGCCTTGGGCTTCGTCTGGCTTCTTGTTTCTACGCCAGCAGTGGCAGCAGAGGAAGTGCCCGCAAACATGGCAGGTTTGGAAAAGAGGGGCGCGGGCTTTGAGCTTTTCTCTACAGCCTGCTTTTCCGTACCGACATCAACACTCCAAGTCGGCGCAGTCGACCCCTCCGCAACCTTGCCGAACTCGATAGCAATGATTTGCGACTTTGAGATACCCAGCACGGTTTCAGCGAGATCGGCTTCTGCAGCCGAAGTGTCAATCAATTCACCCTTGGCGGCGATCAGCGTCTTGGGTGTGATCTCCAGAGAGCCAGCTTTGAGCAGCGTCTCGTCGTTGTCGCTCGACTTTTCGACTTTCCACAGCCTGCTGCCCCATTGACCAATGAACCGACTCTCGCCGAGTTTTTGGGTGGCCACGTGATCAGCAAAGCTCTCGAAAACCTTGATTGGGGTGGTGCTTGGGCACATGAGGATAGTCTGCGAGGCCTCATCGGAAGTAGGTGAGGTAGTGGATTCGGGAAAGATGATGAAGAGACGGATTGTGGCAGGTTGAACTTCGATATTATCGGGCGGAACGCAGTAACGCGGTAAAGACGGCCCCTGGTAGGGGCCAAACCATTCCACGACCTTCAGCCAGGTGGCCTCAGGGATAAAGACGTAGTCCACATTCTCCTCGGCATCTCCCAACGCCCATACATCCTCCTGTTCACCCTTTCCGATGAGTTTGGCGCCTTCCGCCCCACGCTCGGAGCGGATGACCCAGAACGACTCGGCGGACTGGTCTGGGACAAGCTTTTGCATTGCTTCGAGCAGCTCGTCCGGCGAGAGAGTCGCATCGGATGGTTCGCCAAAAGCCAATTGCTGGAGCTTGTTGAGAATAGGTTGGGGGAGGATATAGTATCGCTCATAGTGTTTAAAAGGAGGTGGAAGGTTTTCTTCAGGATTCTTTAGTTTGGACATACTTGGCGCCGGTTGTGACTCACCGAGTACATCGTTCACTCTTTGCTTCCATTCGCTCTGGGACACCACCGGCAACGGTTCCTGCGACTCTGCGATCATGGTCTCATCTCCGTCTCCTTCCGCGTCGCCTTCGGAATCAAGCCGCACTTGGCCGGTCTGCTCCACCCAGCTCTTTGTGCTCTCTTCGTCCGCGGTATCAAGCCTGAGAGGACTAGATCCTGGTATCATGTTGGAGTCGGCAGTGAGGAATCTGGTTGGCTCTGAGGGGTCTTCGCTGGCTGCTCTTTTTGGGGAGGAGGTGGAGTCCGGGGAGGACAGCTGGGAGGATGAGCGTGCGCGCTTGAGATTTGGTGTGAGCGTGGGTGGCTGCGACATTGCCCGCCTTCGTGGCTCAGTCGGTGCAGGAGGGGTGGGGGCAGCCAGAAAATATAGATGCACGTCAGCGTCTATGCTGCTGCTGCAGCTGCAGCTGGTGCTGGGGATATGGTCCCGCTTATGTAATCATGCCATGTCCTTCCACAACACCACCTGACCGTGTCGGTGAACGATCTGCAAAGCCCCAGAATGGAATCAGGTTGAGAGGAATCTGTTGGGTCCAAGGGACTTGGACGATGAGAAATTCTTGATACCAATACATACAGAAAAGTATGCGCCACGCCCAATGATAGCTGATTGTATAATGGTGCCCACTGACCCTAAATTACTATCTCCCTCCCTCGATGGCTCTCTCCTTTCCCATAGCCCCGTTCATAAGGGACAGCGCATGTATAATGAGCTTTGGGTCCGTTCTGGTGGCAGTCTGAAGGGCAGCCAAAACGCCACAGAATTCTCCAAAATTCTTCAGATACTAAGCAGAATCGTCAATGTCGAGTTGCAGATGTGGCAATGATCAGACTCACCAACGTCGACACCGCATTCTCGATCCTTCCCACCAAGCTTTCCACAACCACCGCAAGTTCCTCGTCGCTCATTTCCTCCTTTATACTCGGTCCGAGATAGCTTGGCGGCACAGGCACCCTTCGCACTACTGGCTGAGGCGATTCTCCGGGAGACGTGGGAGCCGGCGGGCTGTACGAGCAGATGGCCTCGAGACGAAGGGCGATAGCGGACAGCTGGTGGACTTGTTCGACATCAATCATTCGATGACGATCAGCATGTTTCCTAACATCGTTGACTTCGACTTCCGGGCGAATCTCGTTGGAAATTTCCAGGCGACCGCAGAGGGTTTTAGGATAAAGCAGATGGAGCCTTTCAGGGACTATGGCCATGTTAGCGAGTATTCAGTCGTAAATGACGTGGCATACCTTCAAGACCCTTCAGCTTCCTATCACCCATATCTCTGACCTCTACGCCTATCCTTCGCAACTCCATGATTTCCCTCTTCGAATCTCCCTGCAGTTCGTCAAGAGCCTGTTCGTCGGTGGTTTTGAGATACTCCATAAAGACAGATATTTCGTTGAGTACATCCTGACTGGCCATCAATTGACCTCCATCCGCACTGGCGTTGATACGGGCGGCTCGATTGACCATAGGCCCATAATAGTCCATCCGCCGCGTGATCGGATCCCGTTCGCACTCTGGCGAGCCCCAATGAACACCCATACGCACACGCAGCCCACGTTGCACGATCACACCGTTCGAATCACGAGTGACATTTCCGTCCGCCGCATCCAGCAACTCTCTTGGCCATTCCGCCATGAGCAAACCGATTTGGCAGTTGAAACACCACAGCACAGCGGCAGTGACAGACTGGAAAGAGACCATGAAGGAATCGCCTTCAGTCTTGACCTCGTAACCTCCGTCGAGTCGAAGCTGCCGGCGCATGAGATTGTGGTGCATTTTGATAGCGGTGGGCATGGCCGGGTTGGTCTCCCAAAGATATGTCGAGTTGACAATGTCGGTGAAAACTATGGCCACCTGTCCGGTGGGAGGTTCGATTTCCTGTTGAAGACGGTTTAGAGTCCGGTCACCAACCTCCTCGGCTCTCCTTCTGGCGACACGCTTGGCTGTAGAATATGATTCTTGCTCCGGGATCATATCCGTGGGCGTTTGGGAGGAGGACCCGCGAGTGCGAACACCATTTCTGCCAAAGAAGAGATCGGAGACATTCACGACCATGACCATGATATTGCCCTCGGCACCATACGATATGGCAAAGTCTCTGAGCTTTTGCGCGGCCATCATAGGGTCGTCGCGCTCAGTCCGGGCTATGTCGACAGCGGTCTGATAAGAACAGAACTGCCAAAGAGCGTGATTACCGATGATGACAAACTCGTCAGACTCTTGAAGGGTTCGAGTACGGATCTCGGGGGCACCATTGATAGCTGGCATTTCATGCCAATAACCAAATGCACGCGAGATGTCGAGGTCTTTGTCGTCATTGACAAAGCCCTTGGTGGAAACCCAAGCTTCGGCCTTTCGGATTCGAGCGACTTCTTCCCTGTCGGTGGGATCATGGCGTTTGGCGAGAAGTTCCGCGTCACCCTTGCGGGAGAGTACAACAAGCATGTCTCCTATGCTGCCGACGTAAAGCACCTTCTCTTTGAGATATACGACCGCACCAGATGCTCCAGTCTTCAACGTGGAAGCGGGGCCAGGTGACCAGCCTCGGAACATGCTGTCGAAACTGGCGAAACTCGTCCATGACGGCTTGCGCTCATTCTCAATCTTGATTTGCCCAACAAAGTATTCAAAGCACTTGCGATGGGTAGACATGAAGGTTCGACGAAGGGCTTCACTCGTATCTTCTCCAGGCTGTAATTTTTCGAGATGATGGGCGAGCGTTTCGGCAAAGATCTCTTGTAGATACTTTGCGATCTTGCCTGGCCTCTGCGTGACCGTAGCTCGGCCAAACATTCCGAATATACACTCGTTATCCTTGCCTCTGAAATTGGGGACGACAAGATCAAACATGGCAAGGTGATCGATATTACCCAGAGTATCTGCGATACCATAGGCCATATTGTTGATGTCTGAGAATGACGTTCTGACTCGCTTGTCGTCGGACTCGTCGGGTAAGGAGGAGATACGCAGAGTAACGTCCATGAGACCGAGGACATGGAGCTGGGACAGAGCAGTAAAGTCGGACAGCTCTCGGCGAAAAGACGAAGCGTGAGTCATGTCTTGCGCGGATGTGGGCTTGATCTCCAGCCGCTTGTTGCCTGACAGATTGAGGTATCGAAGCGAAGTGTTCCAATTCCTGTATATCAAATCAGTCCGGTTCAGATTTGAATGAAGACACTTACCAGTTCCAGTCATAAGGCCAGTTGGCAATGTTATACTTGAGCACGTTACTTCCAACATCAAGATGTTGCAACGTCTTGATTGCACCCAGTTCACTCGGTAACGTCTGGAGCTTGTTCCCGTTCAAATGCAAAATCTTTAGATTCTGAAGCTTCTCCAAATCCTCCGCCGGCAAGCTTGTCAGCTTGTTTCCACTGAGATACAGCGCCTCAAGCTTTTCGCATCTGCTCAGGGTGAAAGCGGGCACCTCGTAGATGTCATTGAAGGAAAGGTTGATGACGCGAAGGAACGGCAGGAGTGAGATCCAGTGAAAGACATCGTCATTGAGACGATTATCGGCAAGGAACAGTTTGCGCACGCTCTTTCCCAACGGAGAGATGGATTCCTTGCTTCTTCCGTTCCCACTGCCTTGGCTCGCCGTTGACCCTCTGCCCACTCTGAAATCCATATCGTCCGGGGGTCTTTCAAAAGCCTCGATAAGATTGGAGCTCGCGTTGAAAACCTCTAGAGATGAACAACTCCAGAGGTCATCGGGCAAACGCTTCAGATTATTGTTGTGTAGATTGAGAATCCTGAGCTTCTGCAGCTTGCCGAAACCGACTGGCAGAGTGTTCAACATATTGTCGGTACACGAGAAGACTTCGAGATTCGTCAACCTGTTCAACGTGGTGGGTAACCTGGTAAACTGGTTGAAATTCAGGTTTAACGTGACCAGATTGGTTAAACCGCTGAAAGCCTCGTCGGCCAAAGTGGAGATTTTGCCATGCGAAAGATCTAGGTTCATGAGCATGTAGGTCACAATGGCCATATTGGGAGGAGGGGCGAGGGTGAAGCGAGTGACAGAATTGTGAGGGACAGAGAATTGGCGGACGTTTGCGCCAAGTTGGGCATCGAGGGTGACAACGTTGTTGTAATCTGCTTGCAATGTCGCCAAATTGGGCAGAGCATAGACAACCGATAGATCTGTAATGTTGTTTCTCCGCACATCAAGTATGCGCAGATTGGCGAGCGTGGAGAAGGACTTGGGCATATGCGTGATCTCGTTAGAGTACAGCCCCAGCTTCTCCAATGACTTGAGATCGCTCATCTTCGCTGGTAGCTCGGTGATGTTGTTGAACGAGACATCCAAATCTACCAAGTTACTCATCTCGCAAACGACAGCGGGGAAGCTCTCAAATTTGTTATTTGAGATGTTGAGATACTTCAAGCTCTTCATTTGCGCGAAATAACTCGGCATCGAAGTAAGCTTGTTGTTCTGTACCTTCAACGAGACGAGCGTCTCCACCTCATTCAATGCCACACTCTCCAGGTCGGCGATCCTGTTACACGACACATCCAATCGAGCTAGCGTTTGACTTGCTCGGATGCTATTGGGGACCCGTTTGAGAGCCATATTCGACATGCGAAGCTCTTTGAGGGCCGTACACGCTTGAATGAAATCGAGTGGGATGTCGCTCATGGGGTTTCGAGACACATTGAGGATGATGATGTCGTGAGCGTGGAGGTGCAAAAAGATGGGAATGGTCTGCAAATCACGACCGGCGATGTCGATGAACTCGAAAGAGTCGTACGAACTTTCTTCCTCCTATGTCAAGAATCAGTCACGTTGCCTCAGGTGTACTTGATAGCGTACAGGGTTCATGATCGGCAGGATTGGAGCCTGGTAGATGAATCGGCATAGTATGGCCAAATCGCTCTTGCCCAATTCTTCAAGGTTATCTTGCTCCGTGTGACCCATCTGAAGCAGTTTTCTGTGCTGAATAGCGATGGGCTTTTCCGAAGGCGACAGAATCCGATCTGGTATTGATCAGCCCCGCAGATTTCTGTAAACCTTTCAACTCACCTTGACCTCGTTCGCAGATATACAGCTTCATATTTGTGGCAACCTTCTTCTGTCCGCCTTGTGTCTGGTCATTGGAAAGGACTGCCAGTAGTTCGGCGGTCGTAGTATTCAGCGGCAGGTTGTACAATCCGTACGAATTGTCTGCTCGATATATTCTCGCCCAATACTATGTCGAATAAGCTACCATCGCGAGACATGGTGTACAAGACTCACCAAACCTCCCGAATGAACACTTCCGCTCGTCCCTGGCCGCATGCCCGTCCCTGGTCTCCCCGCCGAACTTCCCACCCTCTTTCCATTCTTCTTCCTCCCCACTGACCCGATCGTCCCAGTCGTATTCGCCGTTCCCGGCCTCGTCCTCTGCTGCTGCGATTTGAACCCGAATGGCGGTGCCTCCTTTGGCGACGGCGGCTTGCGGGTTGGGGAGGGGAAAGTATCGCTGGTTGGACTAGTGGCAGGTGGCGAGGCCATAATAGGTGATAAAGGTTCATCTTCCTCTTCCTCTCCGACACCAACCCAGTCGTCTTCACTGGACGATGTGGTATCTTCCCCAGGCCCATCTTCATCGGCTTCCACGCCCCACGACTCGGGGGCTGCCCAAGCAGCGCCCGGGTGGGCGAGTGACTGCTGAGCCAATGTACTCGGGCCCGGCCCCGCTTCTGCCGCAGGAAGTAATGTCGGAGGATGCACAAGGGTGGACGGAGAGAGACCTGCGGATGTTGGAGGGTTGTCACCCTTGTGGGAGCCGGAGAATGGATCCTGGAACAGTGTCGTACTGTGAGCTCGCGCTCTCCAAACCGGCGACATGAATTGCGACCCATCTGGCGAGCTCTCTTCCTCCAGTTTCTCGCCTGCGTTCCCCATCTCCACATTTCTCAGCGCTGACGGTCTTCGAGGCAGATTTGCACCAGAAGGAGGGAGTTGGTTTTTCGGTTGAAGAGAGTGCGGTGACGGCGGATTGTAAGGTGGCCGAAGATCTACTGATCCCGACGAGGATCCCGGTTTGAAAGGATTCGTCTGAGTAAATGACCCATGCTGCCTCTCTGCTTCTCCTATCACACGTCTTCCGACGTTTTTATCATCTGACCCAGGCCCAGTGCGTGAAGGGCCCGACTCGCTGGAAGACGATATGGTGGTGCCAAACGAGCTCATTTGGTTTGCCGGCTCGCGCACACCGGTCGAGCCCACGGAGCTTTCTGTGGCAGCGACGGACGCAGCAGGTGGTCGGAAACCCGAAGGCGGGGTATGTGTAGGCCCACCCGCTGTAGGCAGTCTGGCTTTACTGGGATCGATGATACCCTCCATATCGTCCAGATTCATATCCAGATGAAATGGTGTCTCGTTACCTTCGTACGATGGTGAGACGGCGTCTTCCGGGACGTATGAACCGAGATTGTGAGTGGAGTGGAACGCTTTGAAGAAGGGGTCGGTGGGACGGTCAGTCGATGCTGCGGGAGAGTGGGTGCCCGTGGACGCTACGGATCCTCTGGAAGATGTTGATCCGGGTATGGAAGTTGTGCTGCCGCGGTGATCGAAAGCGCCATCATTGATTGGATCTACGTTTTCGAGTTAGCGACATTCCACATGTTGATCAAGTACGCACTGAGCGAAAGATTTGGCCCCTTCCTCTTCAGCAGTCCCCCCAAAAAGCCCTTCTTTTTCTCTCCCGTACTTGACGTTCCACTGGCGGTACTGGCCGTACTACCAAACCTCCCCGCCCGCGTACCGGTTTTTCCTTGCCCCAGCTGCCCCAGCTCTGCAGGACTCATTCTCCGGCCCTTTCCTGAAGGCAGAGTCTGTATCGAATCGCCAGAACCGGCGCGCGATGTTCTGCCTTCCGTATTGATACTGGAAGACGAGGAGGCAAGGCCCGATGGCGAGTGAGTAGCAGTACCGGAGGCATACAGGGGCAATTTCGTCCCGTCTGCTGTGCCGGATCGCCGTATCTTTGGCAAGGTAGGAACTGACGAGAAATGGTTCAGCACAGAGGAAGACTTCCTATCCTTCTCTCTGACCGTCGCCGCGTTCCCTCGCGCGGGATCTTGCGCTGTCTGCGAGGGGTCATGCGACCGCGACGGGGGCTCATCGTCTTGCAGCCAGGGCGCAATGTTTGCTCCAGCCTGTGGCTGTCTACCCTGCCCTGGTTTGGAGTCTGATCGAGCATTGGGGTCGAGTATATCATCCATACTGCCGTCGAGCTGCATGTCTTGTCCAAAGATGGAGTTTGACCCGCTGCCGCCGGCGAAAGAGCCGATGACAACGCCTGGGTAGAAGGTTGATTCTGAGCGAGAAGGATGGGGAAGCATGAAGGGAGGTTCTTCACCTAGCCGCTTCATGAGAGGAGACACACGTCTTTTGGGAGGGTGCTCGTCGGGAACGAGAGACTTTCCAGGGGAGCGCGAAGGGCGGGGGCTGCGGGATGCCGGCGAAGTCGCTTGTGGTTCTTCTGGTAGGTGAAGCTGGGAATAGTCTGGCTCGGAATATGCTGTCGAAGACACGGAGCCCCTTCCCGGTAAAGACATTGCTTCAGGCTCCAGCATTATTGGCGCGTCCTTTGTCGGCGGTGCATTGGGAGGAGGTACATTGCCTGGCGCCTTCTGCTGGCCATGATACGCTGGGATTGAAGGCGCGCGATTGCGTGACATGGGGGCTTTCTGAGGGTGGGCAGTGACAGGCTGTGGGACTGGCGGGGGTCGATGGGATGCGGAGAGAGATAAAAGATCGAATCTCAGTTGCTGGAATATTTACCGGCCTAAATACGCAAACGCAACGGCAAGCCTGGATGTTCAACGCGAGCTCAACGCTTGAGCCCGCCAGTGACATGTACATGATGGAGCATAGTGGTATCGGGGAAGGCTGAATGGTTATAGGTATAGTCCATGTATAGAAGAGAAATAACACGTCGACCGTTTCAACCTCTGGAACGATGTTGAGGGACACCCGTAGAGGCGCTCGGTACGTCGCGAGACCATGCATGCCTCTCACTCGAAGCTGAGAGTAGCTACACCCCTGTGGGCACTCTAAGGGAAGCTGGTTTCTTTGGGATGTCTGGTACTCTCATGCATGGCCGGCAGGGGGCAGACGGCATATATATAGCTGAAGATTGCCGCATTTGGGCCCAGTTCTGGCGAGGAATGGGCCACTTAGAGGGTCCCCCGTTAAGAAGTGTGTCCAAACAACCAGCCTCATTTCCTTCTTCTTCTCCGTATTCTCTATTTCTTCCCTTCGACCTGCTCCCCTCTTCTCCCCCTCTCCCGACTGTTCCCGCTGCCGCCACCGCCGCCGCCGCCGCCACCACCCCGCCTACCATCTACCATCCACTCCTTCCCTCGTCCTCTGTCATCCTCCACCGCCCTCAATACCTGTCCAATGTCCATCTACGATACCGAGTTCTCCCGCCGAATCCGGTCTTCCATCCACGATGCCCCCCCAACACCTATATCAAAGTCACCTCGGTACGATCTGAGATCGACCTCCCATCCAGCGGCAAGCGGGGGTAGCAGTAATCTGTTTCATGATGGCCTGGGGAATCCCGATGTCTTTGGGGGCATAGGGATGGCTACCAGTAAGAGTGCGAGCCCAAAGATGAAAGGGAAAGGGGTGCAGCGGGACTATGGTGATAGGTGAGTGTGTTTCTGGTGATTCAAGAGAACGAGAACAGCGGTGCATGTGTGTATGCAGGACGGCCCAGTACACCCAGCAGGGCATGGGCGATTGGCCGCCTTGCAATACCGTCGCAGCAGGAGGGCATCGAAGACCCTGTTTTGGCTCGGCAGCAGTGGACACTGGCACCTTTGGGCCGGCGGCGGTCTGGGTGTGCTCGGTTGCTATGGAGGCACCTTGACTGCCTTTGTTGTTGTTGATGCGCGTGGGGATTCTTGGGATTCATCCGTCCCCACCGTCGACTGGCACATGGGTGCTCTCGTTCCCAACTACGGACCCAGGATAGCCCAGGCCACATGCATCGCTGCTGGCATTGGGATGACGGACAGATGGCAGGGGCCTCTACGACGAGCCGTGCGCAATCCGTGATAGACTGGCTGACGAAAAGCAGATTCATCCCCACCCGAGATGGGACCGACATGCATGCAACTTTCCAGCTGACCGACAGTGTTCGAAGCTCTGCCAAGGTCAAGACCCGCAGAAAAAGCGGGCAGCAGCAGACTGATGGTGATGTCCGGCGAGGTGAGTATCGTCTTGGGCATCGCTTACAATGCTGACTACATTTACAGAAGAGGTCCAGGCGACCTTTACGCAGCTGCTCAAGACCGAACTCTTCCCCTCCCCCTCATCCTCCCGTCAATCCCCGTCCAGCCTCTCCAAAGCCCGGCATCATAAAATGCGCCAGCCGATGACGTTTGACACCTCCAACATCCCTCCCAATGCCCCTTCTTATACAATCTCCAGCGCTGGCAGCACCCCTAATCACCACCGTCCGCCTCCGATGGCTCTTCCCACGTCGTCCGGGGCACCAATGGAACGGCAGATGTCGCCGGCTTCGACACTGCCTCCTTTACCGATGCATGCGCCGTCGACGCCTACTTCGGGGCACGGCAGACCACCAGGAGCCGGGCCAAGCTCGTCGCATCATCGAGCGCATCAGTCTCAGGTCGCTCTGACTTCTACGACACATCGCGCCACTTCTCCCTCGCATTCCAATCCCCGTCGCTCAGCATTCTCCCCTCCTCCCAACTCCGTCACCAATGGGGCATACTCTCCTTCCACTCCTACGAAAAAGAGAATATTAAACTTTGGTTCCCCGGGTAGGACTCTGGGAGTGAATGGGATCTCGGCTAGTGATAGCCTGGATGATATGAACCACCCAGCCTACAGTCTTAGTCCAGTGGGAAAAGAGTCGCAGAGAGTCCTCTTGAGCCCGAGAAAAGGCATACGGCCAATATCGAAAACGCCCTTCAAGGTGCTTGATGCGCCAGATTTGGCTGTGAGTAGCGATCGGACCCTTGTAAACTTTACTGACCCGCTGCAGGATGATTTTTACCTCAATCTCGTCTCTTGGTCACAATCAAATGTCTTGGGCGTCGGGCTCAACAACTGTGTCTACCTGTGGAGTGCTCAGACAAGCAAGGTCACCAAACTCTGCGACCTGAGTCCTACCGACACAGGCGAAGGCGGCGATGTGATCACCGGCCTGGAATGGACCAACAAGGTGCGTCATCCGACTTGCTCCCAGACATCACTGACTCTTGCTGCAGGGAAGCACTTTAGCCATCGGTACCAACAACGGTCTGGTCGAAATTTGGGACGCCGAGTACAACAAGCGTATCCGTGTCATGTCTGGCCACTCTGGTCGCGTGGGCGCTCTTGCGTGGAACTCACACATCCTCTCTTCCGGCTCTCGTGATCGAACCATCCTCCACCGCGATACCCGTATAGCAGACCACTACATCCGTCGCTTGTCGGGTCATCACAAGCAGGAAGTCTGTGGGCTGCGATGGAATACGGATACGGACCAGCTGGCGAGCGGTGGGAATGACAACAAGCTGTTTGTGTGGGGCGGGGTGGATGCGAGGCCGACGTGGAGGTTTGGAGAGCACAGGGCGGCGGTGAAGGCTATCGCTTGGAGTCCTCATCAGAGAGGGTTATTGGCAAGTGGGGGTGGTACGGCGGATAAAAAGATTCGGTTCTGGAACAGTTTGACCGGAGGACTGATCAGTGAAATTGATACGGGTAGCCAAGTGAGTAGCACATTGTCTTCCATGGTTCCATCTGACAACGAACAGGTCTGTAATCTGATGTGGTCCAAAAACTCCAACGAACTCGTCTCCACCCACGGCTACTCTGGCGGCCCCGTCTCCAATCAAATCCAAATATGGAAATACCCATCCATGACTCAAATAGCAACCCTTACCGGCCACAATTTCCGTGTGCTCTACCTCGCCATGAGCCCCGATGGGCAGACGATAGCGACGGGTGCTGGCGATGAGACTCTGCGGTTCTGGAATGCCTTCCAAAAGGCCAAGGGAGAGGTCGGGAAGGCTGCTGTTGTAGGCAGTGGAATTGGGAGTGGGTCGAGCATTGTGAGGATGGGCGGATTCGAGAGGCTGAGATGATGTTGCTTGTTTTCATTTCAGAGATGAGGTTGTTTTCGTGTCGATTTTGTTTCTTTTACAATATACGTTAGAGGTTATTGCACCACGGACGAAAGTACTTGGATTCTAGAGTGGGCTATATGGCTGTCTATACGTATAGTCAGATGCATGTTCCTCCATAGAGTCCATACAGGGCGACTTCCGCCGGCTCTTTCCTGAGATCGGCCTGCCGGCCAGGGACCGCAAGTGCTCGGAGCGAAATGTGCCCTGTTGTTCCAGTACCGTGCTATCGTGCCGATGCTTCGGCTTCTTGCGGTATTGGACTGTATAAAGGGCGTGAGAGGCCTTCAAGAGAACAATGTCTCCCGTTCGTCTCTGCTTGATAACTACAAATGACCGAGACGCCTAGAAAGATCCTGTTCTTGACCTGGTACGCACCTTGTCTCATTTCCACCCACTGTATCCAGCTAACGAGGTTCTTCAGCTCCGAGCATGGCCAGGCCAACTCTCACCTAGCCATTATAAGCTCCCTTCTGAAGAATTCCAAAGACGACATTGACATACATCTTGGGTCTTCCAGCGACTGCCGAGATCGAGTTCCGGAGGGTGTAATCTTCCACTCCATCGTAGGATTTTCCGCCACGGATAGACTCGCCCGAAGACATGGGCTGAATGGGAAGGCTGCTAAGGGTGAGTTGACCATACCAAGTATCATTGTTCTCGGCTGGGTGCTGACCTCGCCTATACAGAGAAAGCCATGGATATCTTGTGCGCTGATCCCGGGTTTTTCAACTCTTTGAAATGGTCCACTGTCATGTTCCCAATCACACACCCCGAGCCTGTCAAAGAATACATTGAAACAGCACACGATGTCGAAAGACTCCTCCGCGAGCTCAAGCCGGACCTCGTCATTGTCGACACCATGTTTGGCCCAGCCAGAGATGCTATAAGCAAGATGGCTGATGTACGATTCATAACCCTCAGTCCGAATACAATAAAGGAGCTTGCTGTGGGGGATCAGGGGCTTGGTGCTTTTTTGTGGCCTGCGTAAGTACTCTTCAACATGGAGCATTGTCAACTGACGTTTTTACCTTCCAGGCATACGACAGGCTTCCCCTTCCCCGTCCCTTGGTACCTCGTGCCCCTCAACATAATCGCCCTCCTCTTCCCCCTCCTATACTTCACCTTCAGCTCGTACCACAAAGCCTTTGACAAAGCTCGACATGCCTACGGGTACCAAAAGAGAGTTCCTCTATTCGAAATCGCGCAAGTGCGGCCAAGCAAGACTCTGTGCATGTCAACGCCAGGGGCCGAGATCCCGGCTATCATCCCAGAGTCTCTTCTCTGCTGTGGGCCTATCCTCCAAGCTTCCACGCCTTTGGAGCTAGCGGACAAGGAGCTGTATGATTGGGTTACAGCGCGACCCACGGTAATGGTCATCCTCGGATCCCACTTTCTCACCAGGGAGCCGGTCGCCAACAATATGATTGCAGCCTTTCGAGTGCTTCTAGACAAGCGCAGGGATATTCAGATCCTTTGGAAGCTAAGGAAGTATGGGGAGTACGAGCTGCAGGGCCTGGAGGAAGTCGGAGACAGACTACGGGTAGTAGACTGGCTCGAAGCCGATCCTTTGGCGGTGCTCGAGACCGGCAACGTCATCTGTTCTGTCAATCATGGGGGTAGCAACAGCTATCACGAGGCTTTGTTGTAAGTTCACATGTATCCGGCGTAGAATGAATGATTGCTGATGACACCAATCCTGTAGCACTGGCACGCCTCAGGTCTTACTCCCTGCGTGGTTTGATTGCTTCGACTTTGGGAGCCGTTTGGCCTTCCTCGGCAATGGTGTCTGGGGCAACATGTCTTCGGGGTGAGCTTTATCAAGACTTTGACTATTTCAACCTAGGCAGGCTGATACTGGCCCTAGGCTCGCTGTCTCTCAACCAGAATTTACAAAAGCCCTTCTTCGAGTCATCGGCGCTACTCCCGACGCACCCGAAGCCGCCAAGATCCTCGCCCGGGCGAAAGAGTTGCAGGATATCGTCACCGATAAGGGGACGAGACTGGGGAGAGATGTTGCGGCTGCTCATATCTTGCACGAGCTCGAGTATGGCCCTGATGCACTTTAAGGTCGTTGTCGGGTATTGATGCATACTCAGTGTTCGTTTATCCATCCACCTCGGTTTGCTACATATGAACATGTCCTAAGGTGTGCATTCTTTGAAGCACAGTGCAGATACCAGACCTCCTCCACCACGCTGATATTGGCCCTCCTTGAGCGTCGTACTGATCACTTGGAGTCGGGTGGTGATAGAAGATGGAGGGTAAAGCATGGGCTAGTCAAAAATTCAAAGAAGGCGAGGGAGTCTTGGAGAATAAAGCTGTGTGCATTACTACAGTATAGTCATTTGAGAACAAATCGCCATGATTATGAATTATAATGAATACATTTGAAAAGCCTCATCAAATAGGAGTAGTGCGACAGTGGTTACTCGGTCCGACTCGAATGTCTCAGAACGTGCTTATCGGATGCCGTAAGGCACGCAGGTTCGAATCCTGCCTGCTCCTTTCTTTTTGCCTATCTTTTTTGCCTATCTGGTTTTTTATGCCTATCTTTTTGCCTATCGCTTTTTTCTATCTGTAGTGCTCTTCAACCCCTCCCAGGTCAGATATCAAGCACAAATAAGCCTCTGGTGGATGGGGAGATGGGTGGTAAGCCCGTCTCCCCCAAAGTCAGTATCATTCGCGTTCAAGCGGCGATCTCACACGCAGGGCAATTCCCTTTGCTGAGTGGTGATAATTGACCCAGAAGGGGTGAGCGAGGCAGGTATCCTGCTCCTTCTTTTCTTACCTTTTACCCTGTCCCCATGGTACTTCTCTATCGCCTCGTCAGCTATGTACAGTAGTACTACAGTAGAGTGGAATACTAGGCTTTTTTTCTGCTTCGGTTGAAAGACAGAGATTATCGTCCAAGCCACGCGCAGCAACAACGGGGTATTCGAGTTTGCTACGTGATAAGAGCCATGTCGTCTGAATGATACAATGCACGCCTTCGATGGTCCGCAGATAGAATTGTGACCTTTGATTTCATAGAAAGTACTACGTCTATTCCAGAACACACACACAAACAGTTTGAGCAGAGGCTCCAGATGAATCCCAAACTACTTTCGCACTTACACAACTCCTCCTTGGGTATACTGGCTATAAGGCGCTCTGATACGCTCGTACATGGAAAAGAGAGACCTGTTTGCAGATCTAGTCTGTATAAGAATGATTGGAATGAAAATGGTGTGAAATGGGAATACTAGACAAACAGTGGTGGATGTTGAATGAATTGAAAGAGAGATGGAAAATGGAGAAGGGGTATAAACAATATTGGCGTAAATGCGACAAGATGTCGGATGAAAATAGTTGAAATGATGATGATTATTGCTGACCCCTGACTCGGAATTGGACGAATACTGGGATATGGCTATACACTTGTCAGCATTCGCTCTGGCGCACGCCCAGGCAACTCACTCTGAAGGGAAGTGCCCGTTGGGGAATCCAACAATCTTGTCCAGATACTCCCTGTCGATATCACCCAACACACTCGTAACCTTCATCGTCCTCGGTGTGTAAAAGACGTAATCAATCGCGGCATCGAACGTCGGCGTAAAGTTGGTCATCCTCATCTCTCCTATTCCGGAACACGCCGAACGCAGGTTCAGACCGTGCTTGAGACCGGTAGCAGTGTATCTGCCATACAAGTGGGTCATAAAGTCTTCGTGGTCGCCCGATACCTCACCCTGGGAAAGGTAATCGTACACACCAGAGCCCGAGAGAGAGTTCAAGTCGACACACATGATGAGTGGGATATCTCGACCCTTCTCTGAGCGCTCGTAGACGACAGGGCGGCCGTTGTTGTACTCGGGGTCCAAGTCGAGCTTGGCAGGGTACTGGGAGAACTGGTCGATAATCTTTTCGAGCTCTTCCATGAGCATACCAATCTGTACCAGCTTGACGTCTCGGTAGCGGTGGTCCCAGTAGATATGCGAGTTGGCGACCAAGAGACGGCCACCGGATGCTCGGAACTCGAGGGCGGCGACGACGGCAATATTGTCTCGCGACATGACACGGTTGAACATGTCTTCGGTTCGCATGTCGGTCTTCTGAAGAGCAAGCTGGTTGAATTCGACGACCTGAGACTCGACAAGATTGAACCTGTTCTACTGTCAGCACACTCCATCACCTTCAGAGTGGATATCCACTCACTTGTCATCCTTCCAGAACGTCGCACAACCATCCACATTCTTCTGTTCATCCGCCGACATTGTCTTTGCTCTCGACCTCGGATAGTGCTGGCCCTCATATCCCTTCTTCTTCAACTCGGGATAGAAAAAGTCGGCATACTGCTTGCAGTCAATCTCTTGCAAACACACCACATCCGCCGACGCCGCCGTAATCTCCTCCAACAGCAAGCTCTTCCTATAGTCCCAATTCAGCGCCCACGATGGCGTGTAGCTGTATGTGGTCGCGGGGGCAAAGCTGGCACAGAGAATGTTGTAGGTGAGAACGGAGAAGGATTCTTGTTTGCCGGTGGAGGGGGAATCGATATCTGTCTCGAGGTCTATCCACGGTCTCTCGGGAGGTGGTGGGCCCTGGGGCGCGTGATCTCTGAGATAGGTGATGAGACCTCGAGTTCCCTCCTCGATGAGCTTTTTGCGGTAGTCTGCGTTCATGGGGTTGCCGTCGATACCAAGCATCTCGAGCTGATAGAGGGTACCAAACTCCCACGGGAGGGTAGTGATGTTGTTGTCAAAGAGCAAGAGATCTTTGAGCTTGCACAGTACACCGATCTCTGACGGTACAGAGGAAAGTTCGTTGCCTGTGGCGTCGAGGAGGGTAAGATTTCGGAGGTTGGAGATGGCTGAGGGGATGGCGGTGAGGGCGTTGTGATTTATGTACAAGGAGGTGATGTGGGAAAAGGAAAACAGGGCAGTCGACAGCCTCTTCAGCCGTATACCACCCAGATCCAGACCAGTCCACGGCTCATTCGGCCGTTGCTCATCCTCCTTGTCATTCGTCGCTGGCGGTTGGGTAGGATTCGCGGGGTCGGTAGAGGGGGTGAGGGCGGTCATGACAGGAGTGCCCGTGGAGGGTTCTCCATTCAAGGCGACTGATCCTTGCTTTCTGTGCAGACCGTTGGACCCATGGGAGGAGCCAGGCCTCGCGTTGGGGTCTACGATAGCCACTGCAGCAGGCTTGTTGGTCGCCCTCGACGAGATGGCAGCTGCTCTAGCCCGATGATGGGCAGAAGAGGCCGTCCTCGACGTTTCCGCCCGCGCCAGTTGCGTCTGCCAGTGGCTCGTCATCGGTACAGGTTCTCCCCTAGGCGGGCTCGCCTGCACTCCCTGAAACATTCCCATACCGAAACCTCCCGGCCCGTGGCCCAGTCCTCCGCTTCCTCCCAGCCCGCCGCTTCCAAACGACGGGTGGATGCCTCCATGCGAGTGATTAAGACTGGGATGGTGGTGGGCACCTCCTACGCCGGGGGGATAGCCGGATCCTAAAGGAGGATAGCCGTTGGGGGAAGGCATGGGGAGGTTGGGGGTGAAGGATGGATGGCGTCCCCAGGAGGAGTTGCTGGCTCCTGGTAGACGATCTGAGGAGTCATGATGTTTGGCGGTGGCGGTGGCGGAGGATTGCTGGGACTGGTGGTGTTGGAAGAACATGGGGTGTGGGTGGATGGACCATGGGCTCTGGGAGATGTTGATGAGAGACGGAGGAGATGACAGTGAGTGAGATGGCCGCCGCCGACCGGGATCAATTCAGCGGGGGATTTCGGTATTACCCCAGTGGCGCGTGCGCGCTTCTTCTCTTCTTTTGTCTCTCAAACAGTTCCTGCCCCTCTCTCGTCCCTGTCTATTGTGCAGGGCGACTGGCCTGTATCCAAACACTGGCCCTGTGTGTACCCTCGCGTGCCGTTGCCAATTGCAGAGTCCAACACATGCAAGTGCCCTGGCCGAACTCGCCTCGTCCTTCTCTGCCTATGTACTCGAGCACATAAGACAGCTTTGGTACAACATCGCAAATGATCTCCAATCTCCACCGAATTCAGTCTTACAAGCATGTCTGTGTGTCCATGCTCACAGCTAGGGCTGCTTCAGGCCCGATGCCGAGCGTATCCGCGCACAGCCTTCTGATTCAACCATGGACGTGCCATCGACGCTATACTTTTCAGGTCCTAAAAAGGTAAAAAGGAGCAGGCAGGATTTGAACCTGCGCGCCTTACGGCATCCGATAAGCACGTTTTCAGAACATTCGAGTCGGACCGAGTAACCACTGTCGCACTACTCCAACTCGATGTCGGGCGCTCTTCTTTCCCAATATGAATCGGTTGCGCTGTCTCGTCACGTATCGCTTGGCCTATGAGCTCTTCAAGCATCCAAGATCAAGCCCAGTCTTCTCTGCTCTGGCTTTTTTCCCGATCCATGAGAAGAGACGACAACACGTGAAAGAGAAGATCAACGGCGACGCACGACAGCCTCTGCCCTCGCGTCATCCTCAAGGGCCCGGTGTCAGCCCCCAAAGACGTCATGATGGCAGACCTCAAATGTCACCATGGCATGCGGTATCCGGCTGGCAGACCTCGATCAAGCCCAGAATATCGTCACGCTGGGCCATGATGCTGTGCTCGAGGGGCCACCTGCCTTGGATCGACTTCTTCCAAACTGCCCCCACCTCTCCGACGTATGCTCACCGACCGACCCGGCGTTTTATCATTACAAGGAGGCTATGGATAAGCACAAGAAGAGCGCCAGCAGCAGCGCGGTGTGCGTCTTGCGCAGGCCGCGGCCGCGGCGAGTAACACTCGAGAGGGTGGTGTTGAAAGTGCAGAGGATCGATGCTGGTGAAGTCAAGCTCAAGGGGTCGGCGGTACCCAGTGTAGTCGGAAGTGCTGGCCCTTCTACTTCAGTCTGTAAGCGCTTTTCCGGATCTATTCCGGCATGCGTATACTGATGATTTGCTGTAAGACCTTTTGTAATGACCTGTTGTCAACATATTGAGCTCTTGTATACATACTTTTCGCCTACTTGTTGTCTTGTGAACCCGGTTTGTGTGTGAACCCGGGGTTGTGATACTCCCGATGATGTCAGAGTAGAAGATGGACTTTGAATGGACTTTTGAGCCTCTTTTCCTGCACGGTTACACGCCAGCGTGCAACTCCAAAGCAGTCACAGAAGCATGCCTGCTCCTCAACCTCTCTAAGAGGCACTTGATTGACGTTTGTCAATTTCCTGCGGTGTCATCATGGAACCTGGCGTAGTACTGTACTCGTACTGTACTATTATTGTAGTTCATCACTCTGTGCTCACGCTCACAACTCCAGCTAGCGCTGGAAAGACAAAAGAGAAAGACAGTCGCGACTCCCGTGGAGCCCTGATGAGCCCGCCGCTCGGAAAAGACCGAGAGTGGCCAAATTGATGACGAGCGAGGTGGCACAGGATGCATGGCCCCTGGAGCGTGGTGGCGAGTTGACAGACACTCTCGCTCAACGGTCAACACCACACACTTTCGGCGTTTGGCAGTGTTTGCACGCCGCATCCAACAATTTCAGTCAGCAACGCGCAATCACAACACCACTTCTGTACTGTACATACGTATATCACAGCGTAACTCAGCCAGCACCCACGCTCGTCCAGGGCACCGCCGACACCCAGCATGGCCGACAAACCCCCAGCCCACGGGACCCACGGCCACCATCCCTCAGCCCTGCCCCCTTATCTACGACCGTCCATCTCCCACTCCTCGAGCACCTCTTCCGGCCACTCGGCCCTTCCCCAGCCCCAGCCCCAACAGCACGAGTATGTCCCTGGCTCCATATTCGACGCCGAGGGCGTGACTGGGAGTGGGCTCGAGGAGAGAGCGATCTTCGATACAGCCATGTCACGATCGGGGACGCCTGTAGGAACACCCCTCCCCCGTACCGACCCTCTGGCGTCGCCGCTCGAGTCTGAGCTAAACTGGGATGCGGCCCGCGAAGGCTCCATAGCCAGGCGCCCGTATTGGAGAAGACCTTCGCCAAAGTGGGTGTATCCTTTCATCCTCGGCGCCGCTGTCAGTCTGGGGATGGCGACTCCACCGAAATCGGAACTGTTTATCAATCTCGCGTGTCTGGCGCATCCTCCATCATCGGAGCAGACAGTGATCGTGAATGGGCATGGGTCTTTCAATGCTCAGATCGCCGGTGATTATCAGACAGGGTGGCAAGACCAGGCAGACCCTTCCAATTCTGCTGTCCTCGCTCCGGTCAATCAGGCAAATGCTACAGAGCTGTCACCTTCAGACAGGTGGTTCCTCAAGCTACAGCACGAGATATTCGAATACCGACAATCTCATCGCAAAACGTCTGTGCCAGGAGGACGTCGAGAGCGGCTACCGCCAGGTCCACAACCGACTGGGCCTTTGCCTCGCCCAGGCGGAGATGAGCCTTGGGGAGATCACGAGCCAGAGAGAAGTGGAGAGGATGACAAGGAGGGGCAGCACTACCAGGAGATCGACCCATCGCTGTGCAAAAAGAATCCCAAAGTACAAGCGACTGCTGCCAAATTGACCATGAGTGGGTACCCAAAGTGTTTATCTGAACACGAGCTGATAAGCCTCTCAGTCATGACTCTGACCATGGGTATATTGTCTGCTTTGACAACTGGATTCTGGGGCCAGACTTCTGACAGACTAGGCCGTACCAAAGTCATGGCCGTCGTCGAGCTCGGCCTGCTCTGCAAGTGAGTCACATCTCCCCATCTCGACTTTGACTGACGCTTCTCGTAGCGAGCTATGTTTTATCCTCGTCGCTACATTCCCATATCTAGCGCCCGGAGGCTACTACGCTCTATTGCTTGGTCCTGTCATTGATGGCTCCTTGGGCGGTATCTCGACCATCACGGCCACCATCAACGCTTATCTCTCGGACGTCACGCCCGATGGGAGCAGAGTGATGGTATTTGCGAGGGTGCATGGTATCATGATGGCAGGATTCGCTACCGGTCCAGTACTGGGTAGTATGCTCATCTCTTACACTGGCAACATGTGAGTTTATTCTCACAACTTGAATTTGCAGATGCTAACTCGATGCAGCATGACACCCTTCTACGTCAATGTCCTCATCCACTCGGTCTATATCATCCTCATCCTCTTCCTTCTCCCCGAATCGCTCTCATCTGAAGCACGAGTCATCCTCACCAAGAACGCGGCTCTCGCCAAAGACGCTGCTGCCCGGCGCGAAGCTGCTGAACGAGAGTGGGAGGACGAGGAAGTCGCTAATGATGCACCTCGTGCGGCTGGCGACGGGAACCGGGAGAGCGACCCTCTTCTGAGCGGATGGTCAATCGTCTCTGCCACGAATCCCTCCAGGCGCAGAAAGAGGTTTGCCGGTAATGTCCGACGGACAATCCGAAAGACCTTTTCTTTCCTCGACCCGTTGACAATCTTCTTCCCAAGAACAGAGGAAGATGCTTGGACGGGAAGAGAGAGAAAGAATTGGAATATGACCTTTGTCGGCCTGGGCTTGTTTTTCATGTCTTTGCTCATGGGTGTTCTGGCCACCAAGGTGCAGTACTCTCTCTACGCCTTTGGTTGGACTTCAACGCAGGTGAGTTTTTTTTTTTTTTTTCAGCTCGACCGCGACATCTCTGACGGTATACTAGCTCGGACCGTACATGTCTGCCATGTCGTTCCTTCGTAGTGCCATATTGATCGGTCTGGTACCTTGTAAGCTTCTACACGTATGTCAAGTTGTGAAGCGCTAACAATCATCAGTGATAATGCGCTACGTCAAGCCGCGTTTCCAGCAGGGCAACAACACTGGTGTGTCTGAAGCACAAACGTACGCTGCCGGTGACTCTGCCATCACCACCTCCTCCGACCCTTCCGCGCCAGAGCCCAGCTCTGACGAACCGTCTTCTCGTGCACCACTTGGCTCAGCCTACCTGGATCTCCTCACGGTCCGCATCTGCCTCTTCAACGAGTTTCTCCCCTGGGTACTCTTGGCTTTCGGCCCCTCAGAGAAAGGTTTCGTCCTTCTCTCTGCCTTTCTCACCTTGGGTGGCCCAGGCGTCCCGGCCTCCAACTCCCTGGCCCTTTCCCTCCTTTCAGACCCTTCTCAGGCAGGCCGCCTCTTCGGCGCACTCGCGGTCATCCACGCCCTGGGCTCAACCCTCATCTCGCCCCTCATGTTTGGCACCGTCTTTGCCGCCACCGTCGGCACGTATGCGCCTACAGTGTTTGCCCTTGCGGCGTGTTGTGTGGCGGGGGCGTTTGGATGTATGGCGATGGTGAGGCTGGACAGGGACAAGAAGGATAGTGGGGAGGAAGAGAGAGGGCGGAGTAAGAAGGTGAAGAGGGTGAATAGCTCGAGTGTATATGGGGCGAGTGGGGTGACGATGAGGAGCGAGATGGCGGGCGCGAGTGGGCTAGCGAGTGCGAGTGGAGTTGAGTCTGGCGCAGATTGATCATGCCATTGTCATGATACCTGTACCATGACGATTCTAGTTGTATTCTGTAAATTCTTGTCCGATGCTTTGTCGATAGATTTGTTCCTCATTTGCCGCGATTTACATGTTGTCCTTGTTATATACCAGCTTTCAAGATATAATAACTCACGATTAGAAGATGTGTGCTTTCAATGCAGAATGTACGATCGCAGTCGAGGCTACAGCTAGGGATACATGATTATGTGGTCAAGACTGATTTCCAGATTGTCTATCAAATCACCTGCTCGTCGACGAAGGCCTGCTGATTGACGAAGGCACACTTTCACCAGACCTGGCCATGGCCTTGGGACTACTCGAGCTCACACTACCGACCAAAGACATCGGTCTCAGTCCTTTCGGACTCTCGTCCTTTGGCGGCGCGCGGAAAGAAGCCACTTTTGACCCAAAGAACGAGCCTATACCCGACCCAATGCCTCCGATGGTAGATTTCAGATCCTGACCCGTGGGCGTGCCAGGCTTTGCAGTCGGTGTTGAATTACCACTCGCTCCTGGCGACGCTGCTCCTCTCGCCCGAGCCTGCTCCTCCCTCTCCTTCATCCGCCGATCAACTTCACTCCTGACGCCGTCAAAGGCTTTGAATATGGATTGCGAGCCAGCTTGGAAGGCGCTGGAGAGCACTTCGCGAGTGGGCGCGAGTTGTTGGTCGAGGTGAAGATCGTGGAGACCTTCGGCGAGGCGGAGGCCTATATCTGATACAACACCAGCTTTGCCTTCACATGGATGCCTTTTTAAAGATGTCAGTCTCCAAGTCATTTGCCCGTCAAATGTAGCTCACTTGGGCTCGTGGATATCAAACAGCACCGGGTCTGTCATGCCATTCCATTTCTCATAGACATCTGTTTCCTTGAACGCAATTATCCACTGCTCCGAAAAGTCTTGGATCACATTGCCTTCCGACCCAGGTGCGCCTGCAGTCTCGGCAATGATGGAAATGTCGGAAGCTTTGCCTTTCGTGAGGAAATCAGCGTATTTGATGGATGAAAGGGCTGATAAGATGTATTCTTCAAAGCGGGCGCGGAGATCGTCGTCGCTGCCTCTGAATCTGTGAATTGTCAGCGGCATGTCAGATCAAAAGGGGTGCCTCTCACGATGGTCTTTCTCCCTCCGGCTGAATGACATGTCAGCTATAGGCCTGAGGGCAAAAACATACCGGAAGGCATACCAGGTTCCACGATTCCTCCACTGTCTGCACCACATCGTCCATCCACTTTCTATCCGCGGGCGTGAGACCAACGGTCTTTTCCAGCTTGGGATCTGTAAACTCGAAAGTATTGTTGTCGATCTATCACTTCACATTAACGCAATCCTTATAATGCTAGGCCGTATGCTCACGTTTACAAGCAAATCATACTTGCAGTCCTTTTGCTGGGTCACGATCTGGTTCGTTGTCCCCACCAACCAACTCTTGCATTTCAGCTTGTCAATCTCTTGGAGAGGCATGTAGGGCTGGAAGAAAGCACCGTTGCCAAACACTCTCAGAGCTTGACAGTGCCCATCAGCTCAAATCGTCCTAGCTGTCTCCCAAACGACTCACGAAGCCCCATAAATCTCAACAGACTGGCCCTATCACTAGTCCTCAAAGATGTCGGCCTTGCCTTCTTCATTTCCTTCTCTAGCTCCGGTCTACCCGACTCATACAAGTCCATCAACAGTCCAGGTATCAGCGATACCAGCGAGTACTGGTATGTGCACAGCTTGTCAACCGGGTATCCGAAGAGCATGATGCGCTTTTGGAGCATGAGGAGTTTAAGGAGGATGAGGGTGCGATGGCGGAACTTGTGTACTAATTCTCGTAGGCTTGTACCTATACTTTGCGTCAGCTGCCAATCTCAATTGATATGGCTTGAAGGCTTACCCATGTATATGGCTTCCTCTCCACTCTTTCCTTGCAAACTTGTCTCGAGACTGTGATAAAAGTCCTCCAATATCTGGGTATGCGTGAAATCACTGTCACGATAGATGTCAGCGGTGGGAAGCTGATGGGACATGGAAAGCCGACCGTTGAGCAAAGTATGCTCTTGTAACTACTCCCAGTCTATCTCTGCATGCAAGTCAGTTGATAACTTCTGGTCATAGTCGGCCCAACGAACCGTATCGGCCCCTGCACAGTCAGCACCATTACACCATGATTGAACAAGAACGACTCACAAATACCGGCTTGCTAGCCACAACAATGACTGCTTTCTGCACCATACTCCTCGTCACATCACTCGGTCTCTTGAGCAACTCGGTAGACGCCAGTTGTCGATTACATCTACGGCATCAGGTCCTTGTCAGTAAGAGCCAACGCACAGCAACAGGTTTACCCACGAAATCCCAAACAACGTCTGAGAGGACGGGACGTTGGTGTGTACTCGGGAATCCGAGGGGGAATATGTGCAGTGCTATGCGAATGATCAGTGTCTGTGCCGGCATTTGCAACGCAACATACAAAGAATGAATAGTCTTCTTCACTCTGAGGTCCATGTCAGCGCAGCGTTGGAGTAAGGGTGGTAGTATGACTGACCAAGTGTGCACCATCCGGGAGGGCCAGGAATGGTAGAAGTCTTGACAAGTCCTCGTCATTTGCTAGAGCATCTTGCAGTGAAGCAGGGTGGGCAAACTCGACTGTAGGCCCGATCTATCGTTCAAATGTCAATCAGCTGTGATGCGGGTAGGGAGAACGACTTGCAAGATGGTTGAAATCTACCACAGCGACACCCAAAACCATAGGGGTCTCCCCCTCCTCGATTCCGGCCACATCAATGTCCTTGCCTTCCTCCTCTGTCGTTGGCGTGAACTCGGTAGCAGGAGTCGAGACAGCTCTCGACAGTCTTTGCGTCGTGTCAGTCCTGAAAGAAGCACCGCTATCTCTCGAAGAAGCCCCAGCGACCGAAGGAGTAGCCGCGGCAAGGGGTACGGTGCGCCAAGGGTCGTCCTCAGGAGCGGGGTCGGCATTGAGATCGACCGTGTCGAGCATTTCGTCGTCGTCTGACCCTGTACGTGACCCGGGAGATGGATGGTCGAGGCTGAAGAGGGGAGATGAGGGGGCGGGGGAGGCGGGCATGCTGCGATGAAATGGGCGGAAAAAGTTGGAAGAGTGCCGTTCGTTGTCCTTGCAACGCGTTCGAGCGTCATACGCGTCGGCGCTCTCCGCTGCAACGAGAAGCTTGTGGCTCGTCAATGTGATTCAACTGCCACTTTGCCCTTGGAAGGAAGCACTTTCTCGCTGTCCATCAGACCCGTCGTGTCTCTCGTGTGTCCTCTTGTGTAGCACAGGGCACAATGCATGCCGGTAATGCGTCTACCTGATAGTGGGGTTTGCCGCTGCAGCACCCGGCGGCCGGCTGCAATCCACGATCGCTGCTGTCGATGCCCAAATATCTGCCATCGTATCCATATCTCTTCCACCCATCGACTCTCAAAAATGGTGCGGATATCCATCCCCACCCTCCCTCCCGCCCCCCTCGTCCCCCCAAACGCCCTCACCCTCCTCCCTCCCGCGCTCGCAGCCTCCCATCTTGCCCGTTTTCTCGATAAAGGCAAAGGCCAGACTGTCATACTGACAGGAGCTGGTGTCAGTGTGGACAGTGGTATCAGAGCTTATAGAGGAAAGGAAGGGAGCTATAGTAATCCCAACTACAAGTAAGCTACTTAATCAGAGTGGTCTTGATGTAGAGGAAGCTGATGGGTTTGCCGCTCGGCAGGCCGATTCTGTATCATGAGCTGGTGGAGGACACCGATAGGGGAAACATGTTCAGGTGAGTGGAGACACGCGTACCATGAGCATCTACTGACTTTCCTACAGGCGCAGATGTGAGTCTTGAGCGCTCATCATTACCTGTGTAGGCCGCTGACTCTTAATCGCAACCAGATTGGGCACGATCATTCCTCGGTGTAAGCCCGTCCATACCACCTATAAAGCATCTGCTGACATAGACTTAGTACCCTCCTGTCAGAGATGCCATGCCAAACCCTACGCATATATATATAGCAGCTCTACAGCACCTCGGTCTCGCACCAAACCTCATCACTCAAAACGTACGATGGCTACCTCATTAGAGCGATGAAGCTAACACTCTGGCAGGTGGACAACCTGCATTCCAAGGCGTATAGTTTACTCGATCCTTCTGTATCTAATCCCCCCATACTCGAGCTTCACGGGACACTCGCAAAGGTTCACTGTCTTAAACATCGGCACGAGATCACGCGAGATGTGTATCAAGAGCATATAGCAAAGATGAATCCTGTATGGGATGAGGCGGCCAAGGAGGCAGAGAGGACTGGAAAGTGAGTCTCGCACATCATAAGGTCATTAAAAGATGCTGATCTTGCTCTATAGTCAACCACGTACGAATCCTGATGGTGATGTTGATCTGAGAGGAGCAAATTTTAGCACATTCAGCGTGCCCCCTTGTCCATCCTGCAAGGCAGAGGGAGAACACACGTCCATCGTGCGTACAGCCCTTCCACAAGGGACATCTCTAACGCGATTTATTGCAGGTCAAACCCAACGTAGTATTCTTTGTGAGTGGTTTACCCGTTCAGTCGAATGTCTACTAACATCGTCCAGGGCGAAACCATTCGACCAGAAGTCCGCGATCATTCATTCGACCTCATCACCAACTCCTCCTCCCTCCTCATCCTCGGAACATCCCTTGCTACCTACTCTGCCTTTCGCCTCGTAAAGCAGGCCGTCGACCAGGGAAAACCAGTGCTCATGATATCCACCGGTCCATCACGAGCCGACAATCTGCCGGGGCTGGAAAAGATGGACAGGATTGCGGGTGATGTATTGAGTGTTTATATGGATAGTGTCTTAAAGTGAGTTCAGTCTGTGTGCATGCTGTATGTGGATGTACTGATTGTGTCTTGCGCAGGGATAATCGCGGAAAGGTGTTCGACGATGTGAAAAAGGTCTTGCACAAGGGAGTCATCAAGGCTATACCCGAAGTGGACGGACCTCGCGCTGAGGGATAGAGACTTCATTTTGCATTCATGCCTGGTCTATCATGCATTGCATCCATCATGACCATGTCAGGGAGGAGGAGGAGCGATCAGAAGGGGATTCGAGTACCGGCGCTATAATCACATTCAGTCACCAGCCTCTCTTTGTCAGCCTCTCTTCGTCATAAGATGACTTTATTCCTGGGTCCCACATCGGGACCGTTCTTGTTGATAGCAGGTACACGGCACCAGATCTGCGATAGAGTGATACGTCATTGATAAGCGTACTATCTCGCTCTCTGGTAGACGGCTGGGAGAGACAATGACCAGCTTTGTCACACCTCCACTTTCTGTGCCATCGTGTTGCGAGCAAAGCAGGGCATCGCAACATTGTATGGTACAGAGTGAAATTGCCCAAGAACGACATGTGCATCATGCTTCTCTGGATTCCATTTACACTCGAGGACATGGTACATAGCTTAGAAGGCTCGAGACAAAATTTGAGGCCAGAAGAGCCTACGTGCAGTACTACGTTACCCCCGCATCCGCCAGTCACGCCTTCCGCACTTACTTGACCTGACCGCCTGACCGTCATCAGAATGGGATTCTGGTGCCATCGCTATACATAGCGTCAGCCAGGACCTCAATCACTCGTGGCTCCTGGGCACCTACTAGTTCCACAAGAGTCCAGAAGTCTTTTCCTTTGTTGCCTCGTCGATCACCTTGATGATACCAGCTATTCATCATCAGCTACGGCCCGACTTTTCATCAGGAGAGGACACTCACGGACAGTATCAGACAGCTTGTCAGGGGGCGCATCAAGCCCGGCCAAGGTCGATCCGACGTAGCCCATATCGCTAGCAAAAGTCAATGACTGACCAGAACTGAACAATCTGCCGCTGCTGACTTACGTGTTGACCCATCCAGGATTGATCGCAAAGGCCTTCAACTTGGGCTCTTCGATATGAATTCCCCGGACCTGTTGATTGTAAGCCACTTGTATATCTCTGACGAAAGGAGGAGTGCTCACGATAAAGTTGACGGCAGTCTTGGTAGCTCCATATGCCCCCAGGTAAGGCATCCATTCCCCAGTGATACTTCCCACTGTAGAGGTGATCACCACAAAAGCATCTCCATCGCTCAACAAAGGCCTTGTCGCTTGATAAAGAGCAAGAGGGCCGCTGACGTTTGTGATGAGGCCGGAAGATAGTTCAGAGATTGAAGCGCTGGCGAGAGGAGACGGGGTGGGGGCGACAGCGGCGTTGGCAATGACAACGTCGAGGTGGGTAATGTTGTGCTTGTTCTTGAGCTCTTCCACGGCCTGGAAAGATCCGTCAGCGCGGTAACCGGGAATTGATGCTTCACTCACTTCTTGAGCGTCGGTAGTGGAAGACGAGTCGATCTTGATGATGACCACCTTGCCCTCTTGAGCAACTTTGGTGGGATCGCGAGCGGCTGCTAAGACACGCCAGCCTTTCTCGAGATAGAACTTGGTAAGCTCACGACCGATGCTACATCGCGAGTACGTCAGTTACTCTGTGTATAAGCGCACAGGACTTTCCCCGAAAAGCGCGGTAATTCAGTACTTACCCCCTGTTGGCACCGGTGATAAGGACGGTCTTGTCAGGCATTTCTGTAGGTGGAATGAAGGTGTAGTGGGGTGGGCTGGATACAACCTTCTGCCCCTTCTCTTATAGCAAACTGGAGTCATCCCTCCATGCTTCTGCTTGCTCATCTCTTCCTGCCACGCCAGCTTACTTTCCCAGCAACTGAATCATCATCTTCGGGTTCGGCGACGTCCAACGTGATTTCAGCCGAGCCCACTAATACTGGGAAGGCCGAGGCGGTTGTCGGAGCTCCGAACGGGTACCCGGGGTACATATGTATTTCGATTTTTGAGAGGTTGTTGGCAGAAGGTATGTCTCGTTGGCAATATTGGTAGATGTTTATCTTTGACCCTTGGCTGGTGACCTGACAATTGAATGCTTCTCTGGAGTCAAGGCGCAATGCGATGTTAGGAGGCATGTCACTTGCCCATGTAAAGACCTCTCGAAGGGAACGCACAGCGATGGGGACACCCGGTATTTTGCGAAATGTCTACAATGACCGGTTCCCACAGTGAGTGATGATTATCTGAAATAGCCGGTTAGGGGAAGAGCTGTATCTCATGCATAGTTCAAGATAGAGAGCTGTTTCGGGGCTCAATGCATAGCTCAGACACGCCGCAATATGCATGTAGGTTGGGGAGAAGATACAAGCTATATTGCTTGCCTTCTCTGCCGGCCTCAACATAACTGGGTATGTGGTCGCGTCCAACAAAGTGCGGCGCATTTAATATTATGGGCCAAAGTCGCCCCTCCTGAGCCTCTGTATGGCAACCGGTCATTCGAAATAATAAGGCCGCTCAGCGAACCGGTCATCGTAGATAATTCAGGTAATAATTTAATGGTCCTTCGCAAACATGCATCCGAGGACCCTGCTGTTTGGGTCTCCACTTATGTTATTGCATCACTAACATATGAGTTTCCATAGTATAGTGGTTAGTACGCTGCTTTGTGGTTATTTAATCACTCTCCAGCAGCAGAGACGCGTGTTCGATTCACGCTGGGAACATTTCTTTTTGGCTTTTGCCCTACCCGCCATCATTTGCTGCGCTGCCTTTGCGCGTTGTCTTTTTGCAGTTGTAAGACACCCCCGACAAGTATATATATGCACCAGCTCTTTTCATCTTCCCCTCCTCATCCATCTCTACCACAGCATGTCCCTCTTTCACCTCCAGCTGCCCCCTCCCGCCGGACTTCATGCCCCGTGAGTTACGTCTACCTTCCTCGCCCCATAGAGCTGACGCGTCCGCCTCCAGTGATCCCTCTGTTGTCCGCCCCAGCCTCGCCGGGGCTTTGGCCGTCTCTTCGCTCCCCGGAAACTCCAACGGCCGTGGCAAGCGCTCATTGAATGCCAGATACGACCAGCTCCTCAGCCAAGTCAAGGCCAAAGGCAGGTCTATCCTCTCTCCAAAGACCAGGGATGCAAAGCCTATGCTGGTGAGTTTGAGAGTCGCTTCATGGAGTGATGTTGATATTGGAATAGAAGAAGCTCCCTAGTCGGTCTCGGGGTGGCCTCTTTTCCCATTCAGTTTCTGCCTTACCCGTGTCTGCGCCAACCAAGCAAAGCGTTTCTCGGTCTACTATCAACCAACTCGCTTACCATCTGGGCCAACGCTCGGCCGCGAGTACCGCTGATTGGGATCGTGAAGCTCCCTCTTTCCACCCTGACCCGTACCCCTATCAGACGAGTCCGCGGCGGGATGGATATCTAACGGACGCCATCCCCACGGATGTTGACGTGTACGGCGACTACCCCATGGACGAAGACGGAGGCCGGTACATCGCGTCGTCTATACAGAACCGTAGTCCATCCCCGTTGAGCCAACCCAATTACACATATCACCCGGCACCTCCCCAGCTCACGCCAACGCCTATCCATCTTCACCATCCGACACCTCCACAGGTCAATCCCCAGCAGAACCGTCAGCCGATGACACTTGCTCAACACCGAGTTCGGTTCAGGCCAGCGCAAGAGAATCAGCTGTACTCGCCTTCTCCGGCAACGTTTTTGCAGTGGCAGATGTCGACCCCGAAGGGCGCAGATGGTTCATTCGCGTCCCGAGATGCCAGCATGGTGAGTGATCTAGCGGGAGTGGGAGGACGGTATGCAGGATATGTACTGGAGCATGAGAGGTGGGAGGAACCAAGCTCGTTCAACTGGGCTCCTGCACCAAGGCAGATGGACGTCTCCGATGTGGCCACCGCGCCTCCTCTTTGGCAGCAGCCCCTGTCGCCCAGAATGGAAGCCGGACCACCGCCGCAGAAGGAAACACACGATTACCAACTTTCAAGCTCTCCACTCTTCAAGCACAACCAGCATTCTCAGACTCAGAATCTCTCGTCCGACGCTTACGTGCTACACTCCCCAACACCGCAAAGGATCCTTCGACTTCCGACCAACCTTGGGCCGACGCGACGCCCAACCCCTGCCCCACCTCAACCCTCGCTGCTACTCTCCGAGAGCATCCCGCCACAGCTGATGCAAGCCCACCAATCTCTCCTTCCCGCCCACATCAAATCCTCCTCGGCAAAGGCAAAGAAGGCGAGAAAAGAGAGGTCGTACAAGGTGAAGGGGAGGGAGGTGGTGAGGTTGTTGGAGGAAATGGCTGAAAACGAGAGTGACGGGGAGGAGAATGAGAGCACTGGGGCCGATTTGTGGACGACGAGTCAGAGGGATTCACGACCGGTAAGTTTTATCCCAGCGTCCTAGCATGGCGGCGCCTGATTGTGTACAGCCCTTGGTGCTTCCTGCCATCACTTACGAGCCATCTCCATCTCGAACCCTCGTCAATCTGCCCATCAGCCAACACTCATCCTCCGCTACAAAAGTTCCCAGCTCGGGCATCAACGGTTCTTCTTTCGACCTCTCCTCAGACGCTGCCCGTCCCTCTCCCACCCATATCGCCGATCCTGGGCCAAAAGCCGAGCCACACTTGATCAACGACCTTTTGAAGCGAAAAGAGGCACCCTCGCCTTCCAGCAGTCCAGTAGCAAAGGCAGGCAAGAAAATGAAGGGGATGTCTGTGAGGGAGAAGATACGGGGAAGAGCACCCACTCCGGGACCGACCCCGCTCGTTGTTAGTCAGACAGAGGACGAGGATATAGGGCTTGATCTGGATCTGGACGCGAGCGAGTGTGGTTCTCAGCTCAGCTCTGCCACCAACATCAAGAACGTCCGCGCGGACATCCCATTCTCAAACCCACCCATTTTCGCCCTTTCCCAACTTCCTGTCCTTCCTCTCCCCCGACCTCTTCCGGACTACACACCCGCTCGCAAATCTCTCCAGCCTCGACGCAAAACTACTGGGAAGCGTGTGCAGAGGATAGAGTCAGAATCTGTCACGTCGGAAGAACTAGAGTCTATCAGGAGCTTTTCAGAACCGCCCGGTGGTGGGAAGGTGATGGTGTATGGGAGTGATGACGGGCGAGGCATAGATGGGAAGGGTGATCAAGTCATCGATTCGGATGGAACTGCCGTGGAATCCGACGTGGTCGCAACTTTACAAGCAGGGCACGGGAAGGATATGACAAGACAGGGAAGCAATGCGGACAGCGAGATGTATGGAAAGGGGAAAGGATGGGTGGACGAAGGGTTCTTCGATGCCAATGGTGGGGAATTGGGGTTCCGTATCTGGCACGATTGAGAGCATCTTACCCCATTCATCTTTGACTTAATCTTGAGAGAAACAATCATGTATCGGTGTCATTAGAAGGGTGATCGCAATCTTCAGTGCGCAAATCATGCGCATTCACTGATTCACGTGCTGCTGTGCCGAATCTGAACTTCTAGGCATGATACCTCTATCAATTGACATCATCACATGATATGAATTCGTGATATAGCGCAGCTAGTGGGCATGATGCATCTCTCGAAACGACAAGGTCTGCTTATTGATTTCCCCCTGAGCCAGCGCGTCGAGATCCAAACGACAAGAAATCTTCATATCAGCACCATATCTCGTATCGCGCAGACTCTTCACCATGTCTTATCCTACTTGAGCAAGTGAGACTACTCCCCTAGCAATGAATCACACTCTTCACCATTCTTCTCCTCGAACGAGGATCTACACCGCCATCGCCATGGCCTTTTGCGATAGTAAGCGGGGCTAAAAGGGACCATGCTGTACCAATTAGCGAGCTCATAAGCGAATGGTGTTAGCCAGATCACTCAACATCAATGAATAGCCGGCAGACGGCTACCGCCTCGTGGTCCACCAATCCTCCGGCGTCATCAACAAGATAGTGCCACCAAAGGACTTGAGAGTAGCCTCGACCATAGCGCTTATAGGTCAAGGCCGGGTCAAATTTGACGACGAGCTCCCCCAGCAAATGGAGCATGAGGAGGAAGCTCAAGTCAGTACGAACGAGCCACCTGATGGTCACTGGTTCCTTGCCCACATCATTGACCTTGCATGTGTGAACGTGGGCCCTGCTATGTTAAATATGCTATATAGTACCGACCTTATCAGAAAGGCCGGACACGTGTGTGACTTCTGAAGAGACGATTGCAGGAAACCAAAAGCCCAAAAGAGAAAAAAAAAATCAATATACCTCAACGCCTCGCCTGCATCGACACCTCGAACGCCCCCCATTGTCTTAGGCCTCTACGATCTGACTGCTGATCTCAAAGTTGCCGCTGCCTTCCAACCTCTTCAACAAAACATCTCCGAAAGCTGTAGCAGGCGTGAGGACACCGCCCTTCTTGGCCAAAGGCGGGAGGGAAGTGTTGGCGGGAGGAGGGAGGATGAGAGAGAGGGCCGACTCGGCGATCATGTCTAGACATGCCATCAGCAAGCGTAAATGATGAGAATAGAAAGCAGACGTACAAGGAGTGGAGAGATATCCCGGGTCACCTTGTCCGTTAAACTTGGTCAACACCTGTACAACCTTGCCGTCCGTAGAGGTGGGACGGGAGGTGGAAATGTTTGTGACTTTGAAATAGCCCGCGTGGAGTTTTCTGAACGTGTCGTCAGCCTTGCGCGGTCAGAGGAGAAGGTAAGCGTACTCGAGAGAAGCGCCTTCACCGGCCTTGGGAAGGTAACTCAAGATGAGATTCCTGACCTGATTTTATCCGTCAGCGCATCGCTCTTGTATCAATGTGTGGAAGCTTACCCATTTGACACCAAAGAACAAGCCAAAGCCAAAGCCCATGAGGATGGTCGACAAACTACTCTTCACCTTGCCATACCCGATATCCAACCCTTCCATGTACTTCATGACCTCTTTCTTACCCTCGCCTTCGTCAGAAGGCTTGGGATCGGTGCTCCCGTAGGTGGAGGTAGAGGGGTGGAGGGTAGTAGAGGAGAGGAACTGTGATCGACGGACGATACAGCGGTTGAAGACGTACATGAAAAAGTACGTCCCTGTCTGAGCGTTGGAGACGCTTGTGGCGGGGAGAGAAGGAGACAGAAGGGGCTTGCTCGTAGGCAAGTTCGCTTTTATCCATTGTCAGTGAGGAAAGAAATAAGAGAGGTAGATACATACATCCAGGACAGAGAGTAAACTCGGGCGAACGGCGCTCGCTCTTGGGCAACTCGGTGAGAGAGACGAAAGACTGGACGGTGCCGCCGGCGATGGTGGCGGAGCACTTGAACATGGAGGTGGAGTCTGCGAGGATACCGCCGGGGTAAGATGCACGGAGAGTCTTCTGGGCAAGGTACACGGTCATATCGCTGAACCCACGTCAGCCTCATCTATTTTTGTAACTCTGCCTCTACACCCGCTATCCCCTACAGGATGAGGGTGTAGAAAGGTGGACAGACTTACGAAGGGACAGAGTCAAATCCACTAGCAGGCACGATGCAAGCTCCAGTCTCACCCGCAATAGCGTGATACTTGGGGACGATGTGAGTGGAGAGCCAGGCGGCTTCGCCACAGAGGTCGACATAGTGCGTGCCAGTCTTGGCGCAGGCGCTGTGAAGATGAGGGGTGTTAGTGTTTGTGAATCTTTGGGGATGATGTTGAGTGATGGGGACGACTTGCGAGATGATGTTTTCAGCGTTGGTGTTTCGGTAAGGGCCTTTGCAAGCGGTGAGCGAGGGACAGAAATGACAGGGAGACTGACGTACCAGCGCAGTTGATAATCACGTTCGCCCTCTTCACCATCGCCTCCACACCCTCCAAATCACTCAACTCTAAGACAATGACCTCCCTCTTGCCTTCCAACAGCTGTTCATTCAACGTGTCGAGCTTCTCCTTGTTCCTACCCGAGATGGCAAAGTCAAACTCTTCAGCAGCGAGGGCAGGGTGCGCGTGAAGGTAGGTGAGGAGTTGACGGGCGGTGAAGGAAGTCGCACCGTATACGACAGCAAAGGGTTTGGGGCCAGACATATCAAGAGTCTTGTTGTTTGTTACACGACAAGGAGGGAGAGGGGAAGGGAGGTTTGTATATACACAAGGGAGAGAGAGAGATGGAAAAGAGAACGCAGCAAAGAAGACGAGGCGAGTATTTATCCTTGTTCACAGCCTTCTGGGGAGGATTCCAGGATTCATAAAATCATAATACCCTTCTCGGTCGCATACCGAAGCAGCTGCCCGCACATAAATACCCGACCGCGCCCCCCGGAAAGGACGGAGACGCAGAAAAAAAGAGCTGCCCGGTTATAGGTTAAGACCGACGAACTAAATCGGCGCGGTAGACGAATCAAAATAGAGCGGAAAGTCCGGAAAGAAAAAGTGGGAAAGGCTAAAAATTCAAGCACGCGCGTGCCTTCCCGGGCATTATGGACAACTGTAAACCTTGAATGCCTATCGTGGGATATCTCCTTGGTCTCTTGTCATCATCATGCAGCTGGTGCAGCTGGCGGGGATGGACGATACGGGATATGCAGGGCCATCGAGCTGGTGATGCTGGGGGAGCAGATGCAGGGCTTGCGGCAGAGCATCTCGCAGATGGGGTACGAGGCACGAGGGGAGCTCGCAAGCCGAGAGATCCGCGTAAACATATAGCACCTGCTTTGCACCTAGTGGTTAGTAATGGCACCTCTTTGGTCGAAAGCGTTTCAGCTTTGAGGCCTGTTATCTGGGCGCTTGTTGGGAGCGCTGGGAGGCCGATACGTAGTGTTTCAAGGATTTGTGGTGGTTCTTTTCGCGACTCGCACTGATTTGAGCCATTACATCTAGGCGAGGGATGATGAGGTGAGGTGATCACGTTGGTAGATCAAGCAGTGAGTGCCGCATGAAATGGCCGCATGCCTACGAGGTTCTTACGAGGTCTACGAGGCTTACTATGTATTACGACCAGCCTACGATCTACGATTGACCTATGATGAACTACCGGCCAAGATCTACGATACTCATGTAATGGTATACGGCACAGAAGACCCTTGTCCTTGTACCTGGAGTGACGCGGCGAGGCGGCCGCCTTTATACATAGGGACCAGAGGAGGCCCCAGATCTCAGAGGCATCCAAGGACTAAATGCCATGGCCGCATGGCCCATCCACCATCTCCCCATCCCCTGCCCCCTGCATGGCACTCCTGAGACATGGTGATCGACTGCTGATTATATCGAGAGACTCCGACAGTTGAGTAAGTACTCTACTCTATCGCTCCACCTGAACTTTACTCGTGATCATACCCTCGACGGCTCTCGTAGTCCCGCCCTTCCCCGTCCATCTTTGCAATAGAAGTCTTCCCTTCTCTTCTGCTTTATTGATCCTTCTTGCTGTTTCTTAATAATTTATCAGGTGGCACTTCGAGGTGACTACCTTCGCGTAATAAGAGATCGATAGTCGGGCATCGCGGCGGGCGCCGAGCATCCGGCAATGTGGACGCGACGCGACTATTTTGTGGTATTTTGGGGCATTTGTCCTGCTTCCCTGCTCTGTTGTGTGCATGTTCTCTGATGCATAATAAAGTTGTGAGACATGCGATGACTCCTTTCCTGCCCTGTCGCCCCGCCTGCCGCCTGCCGCCCGCTGCAGCACACCCTGCTGATCTCTCCGTGCCGCTAAACACGCTTGCAGCAATAAATCACCGCGCCGGCGAGGCAGGGGGAAAGGGGGTCGCGAAACAACCCACCTCCTTTCGGCAGCAGATCCAGATGCTACCATGCTGCTCTTCCTCGCTCCCCCTCTTTGCATCCTCTTCTCCGTCTCTTTCTTGCCCCCCGCCACCCCCCGCCCATGCCCGCCCCCGCCGACGCCGACGCCGCCCTCGCCCGCCTCTTCGACACCCCCCGCCTCGACAGCGATCATCTCGTCGGCGCCCTCCAGGAGCACGTATTCCGCTCCATGGGCCAGGGCAAGCGTGTGCGAGAATGGTGCACCCAGGTCACCCGCGCTGTCGAACGAGTAAGCCCCCGCGAGAAAAGAATAAACGTCGGTTGACGGTGGCTGACTCAACTACGCAGGCCCCTCCGTTTCCCGCCGTCGGTGAAGCACTCGCCACCCCCATCCTCACCTCCCTCCTCCCCTTCACCCGCCTCCCGTCCAACCCCTACTTTCCCACCCCAGAGCCGCCTATCCCGCCGCCCCTCTTGTCCAACTCGTCTCTCCCCACACTCACTCACAACCAGCTCATCGGCGCCCTCGCCCGGCTCAGCAAAGAAGACCGGCGCATCTCTAAAAAGCTCCACTATGAGCAAGAACTCGTGCTGGAGGCCTGCCTCGAGTATATCGGACGCCGGTGGCGGTCGGCAGCGACTATCGACGGCAACGTCGTAGATGACATCAGCAGAAAACTTACAGAAGTCGAATTCGAGGTACGTTGCTCCGTCACTCGTTACACAAGCTAATATCCCACGCAGGTACACCTTCAAGGATATCCCCCGACGGTCCGAAACGCGCTGTCCCCCGTTTTACACAAACTTCGCCATACCCTCGGCTTCATCACATCCTCCCAACTCGTCGCCAAACTCTGCTCGACCGGGCCTAGCGCCTGCCCGTACCCCCCGAGCCAGCCTGACGAGATTGTCTCGTCATGGGTGGTGAGGCGTCTCCAAGCCGGGGTCAGCTACCAAAACATCCTGCATGAGCTCCATACCGTGCAATCGGGCTTGTCAGACGACGACCTCTTGCCCAACGTCCTCCGTCCACTCGGCCTCGCAGACGCCTTTTCCTGTCCATCCACCCCCAGACCCGCCGAACGTCAACCAAAAGGTCTTTCTTTCAAGCCCAAAATCACCCCCAGATGGTTATCCCATAAACGCGCCAATTCTTCCATTAGCAAGCTCCACCCCATCTCCTCTCCCCTCGCTGCAGCCGACCACCGCCGCCCATCTTTACCCGTCATCTCCTCGACACCTTCGCTGTTGACGCCGCCTTACGGGGACAGGCCGTCCTCTCGGGCCAGTGTTTGCTCTTCTCTGGGCTGTACCGACGTCAAAGGTGTCAAGTCGACCCTCCTGGGACAGCTGCTTATCATGCGGTACCACATCCACGGGCATGAAGACGAAGGCTGGTTCCTCGGCGGTGGGCGCGAGTCGGCAGAAGAGCGACTAACTTCCCTCGAAGCTCGTTCAGGGCCAGATGAAGAACTCCAACAAGTCTTCTCCTCGCTGCGCGGGGTCTTTTCGCTGCTTCAGCCCGCTCTTTCCGGGATGAATATGCATACGCGGGATGTATCTTTCGACCTCGACCAGTACATCAAAGACGTTTCGCTTCCTGTTCGGATCACCGAAGAAGACGATGATGAAGATCCTATCGAGGCGCTTTACGATTCTCGCTGCGGGACTTCTGCATCAATGCACTCGTTTGCCAGTATGGACTCGCAGGCCGAGCACGAGTTTGAAGAAGGCCAGAAGCGTGTCTCGGAGCTGAGCACTTTTACTATCCGGAAAGCTGTAAGGGAAGAAGGGGTCAAGCATAGGGCTGTGCAATTTCGGTTCCCTCAACTGCCTCAACTGCCCGAGCTTGCAGTGCCGCAATCGCCAGACACGCCGACTCGACCCTCTTCGCGTCTTGCGGCGAGCAGAAGCGTACCAGACTTTGAGGACGGCGGTAACTATACTCGTCTGCCGAGGAGGATTCTGAGGAAGGAGAGGAACGCGACGAGGTCAGCTCTTCAGCTCGGCACCAAACCCAATTCAAAGCCGGGACTGGGCTTGAGGATCGACACGACTACCACCCTTCTCTTGCGCCCTCGACTCTCCCCTCCCCCTTCTTTCAATTCAGACCTGCCATACACTTTTCCAGATCACTCATTGCCTTCGACACCTACCACCTGCTATTCTACATTGACGACAGCGACGGGCATGGCCACGGCGTCAACCCCGAGGGGGTCGATGCAGATGACGGACCAGACCTTGACTAGAAGGCAGATGCACCGGCAGTGTGTCATTTTCGATGGTGCACCCATCAGCCCGGGGACTGGGGCGGGTATGGACACTAGTGGGGGCGAGGGACGGTGGTCAGGAGAGATCTCACTCAACTCGCCGAGTTCGCCTGCTTCTCAGGCTTCGAGGACTTCTAGCACCACTCTCTATGCGCCAAAGCACTATCCTTCGCCCGAGTCGCCTATCCTCTCACCCACACCGACGTTCCATTCGCCATGCTCCCCTTCCCCGTCTTTCCTCATGCCGAGCTCTCCTGTGCCTCTCTCCTCCATCCTCGCCCTCTTCCAATCCCTTTCTGAAGGTCATTCCCTGGAAGCGGCAGATGTGGAAGAGGCTTTGGGCAGGTTTGTGGAGGATGAGCAGAGGGCGGTGGAGGAAAAGGGAGGGGAGTGGGATGCGGAGGCGAGGTGTAGAGTGGCGTGGTTGATAGAACAGGTTGCTGTGCTCGTAAGTATTCCTTAAGGCTGGGGATGGCAGGATGCTGACGAGAAGCAGTTGAATGATCCCGCGTACCTCTCTGCGATCAGCAACGTCGTATCGTCTCTCTCAACCCCGCCCCTCTCGGTCACACCAGCGACCCCAGCACTCTCCCTCTCTCCACCTTCCACTCCCCCAGCCAGCGCCGCGCTCGGTCTCAACCTCGGCCTCGGCACCGCACCGCACGATCTGAGCCCGGTCAAGAGAGCTCCATCGAGCAGGTCTTTTTCACATGCGTATTCGTCGAGCCGCTTTGGGAGCGTTGAAGCAGGGAGGGGAAGGGGTCATCATTCGGCGAGCTACTGCTGAAGGCTCCTGGGTTCGATCTGTATTCATATTCTCTCTTTCTCTCCGGGCATGGCTTTCATTTTTACGATACCTGTATTCCTAAATAACAGAATCAAGACACCCAAACTTCTCTTGAGCATAGCACTAGTATCTATAGACTTTTTACATCACTTCTTTCACTGTAGCTATAATGGTCGTTTCTTTTCGCTCCCTTTTTCCCCTCTCGGTCTGATACTCACCTCACCCTCTAACGTGTCCTTATAATCACTTTCCGTCCCCTTCTTATATCGACCCCGCTCTATCTTCATATACACGAATACATGATGTGGCGTTGAGAGGGAGTCACAGTAATTTATATTCATATCTCTTCTTTTCAGTGGCCTTCGCACACCACGGTACTTATAATGACACCGCCATATGCAATGTTTATCCATGGTGACACCACGGTGCTGGCGTCGCATCCCACGATCTGGGTTCGTGTCGTTGGTGGTACACCGAGAGAGACTGAAGGATTGCTTCTCGTGCTTGGCACGATAGTATTGGCAGCAAAGTGCATGACCCGCGTGGACCGCTGATAGCTGACGTTCGTTAGCGAGCGTCAAAGTGCCATCGTCCAACTCACGGTGTATAATGCTATTCCTGCACCACTTCGCCAAGCATTGTAAACGATTCAAATGGTTTCCCGCTTACCAGCCACCCTTCAAATGGCGGATCTGGCCCTGTAGATTCCTCCGACTTGGATGTAGAGTACATCTCCCCAAGCGCCTTCCAAGCGCCTTCGCCTTGTACTTTCACCAACTCGCCGCGCAAAGCAGACTTTGCAAGCTGGTAGGCTGGCGTTGGTGAGGGGTGTTTGAGATCCCAGTATGTCGCTTCATCCCAGCCGCCGGGCGGGGCGGGTTGAATTCGTTGAAGAAGGGAGGTATACGCTGACAGGGTCTCGAGTTTACAAAGCCTGCTGCGCCCTTTTGGCCGCAAGGATACAAGACCAGGGGCTTTCCATGGTGCCGACAGTATCGTCCCGTTGGACAGTATCTCTCTTTTAGATGGCTTGCCGCCGGGTAGAAGAAGCCATGGTAGATGTGATAGGGAAAGGGCGGATGGTTGGGGTTCGGGGGCCGTGGGATGGAGTGAGGCGATGTATGGTTTGGAGTGGGGGAACGGTAAGGAGGTGAATTGGATGTCGGGAAGACGGGGAGTATACTTCTGTGATACTTGGTCTATCTCTGCTTTCAGTACACGCTTCAAATGACAGAGGCTCACTTACTGGCCACTCGCTCGTATACAGCCCTCTCGACCTCACCTTTCACCCTCCTCTCCCACTCTTCCGGCTCGAGATCCACCCCACTAGGCAGTTCCACACCACCCAGCACCATGCCATCCAGCTCTATCTTCGCCCATAACCCACTCGCTCCCAATAGCCCGCCCTGTAGGCCGAGTACGACCCAAGAAGCAATCTTGTCGGAACACGACATTGACGTGCTTGGGGGCGAGTCGGGTCGACCGGGTTTGGTGCGGAGAGAGGATATGTGGGAGTACTTTCCGCGTCCTCTGAGCGGACCTGCGGGGGTGGGGAGCGGGGGCGGGGCGTCGGAAGTGAGTGATGGCGCCGGCGTGGGAGGCATGTCCAGAGAGTCGGACCATTGCGACGCGTCCTCTTGATTTTGATGCATTGCTGTATACATTGTAGAAGCATCTCCACACTATAGTATGGTCAGCGTAGCGTCAAGTCTTGTTGGAGAATACGTACAGGGAGAGCCGAGACGTATAACCAGACCTTGACACCGTTTTTGAGACTGAACTGCCCGCTGGCATTCCGCTCGACAAAAATTTCTTCTCTGGGTGCATTATCCACAGGTGTGCCCGTATCAGCGACTAGAGAGGCCTGGTGTATCAACCACCGAACAAAACCTCTTCTGGCCAGGATCTCGCCATGACAATCATGTACTGCGTCGCCCACTGGTGGTAGTCGCGCATGGGGCAAGACTTTGACTCCTGTCCCAATAGATATTGGCACTATCCGTGGAGGTTTCTCTGTTTCATCTTGAAGGGTTGTATGTTCTTGGCCAGTAGAGCAGACGAGGGATATGGTCGAGAGTATTGTCCATTCCGGGACGCCGTTGTCTCTGCAGGTGGGTTTGCCGTGGGCGGGAAGGGCGGTGTACAGGTCTATGGATGCTTGGGCGAGGCGGGATGGGAGCATAGTCCAGAGGAAGGAAGAGCTGAAAAGACAGATGGAGAATGCGATCCGGGGCCCGGGAACGCGGTTGTGTTTGTCTTTTCCCCTATTGTCGCCTCGTCTCTCATAGTCTGGGACTTGGGAGTGCTGTGCATCTGGGTCCCTTGACCGCTCTTTAGCCAATGCAAATATAAAATATATGAGGGTAGAAAAAACCTGCAGGTCAAAGGGGAAAATGGTAGATGTGATTTCGTCGGCTAGGCTGGTGTCGAGCCAGTGCAGCTGTCGACAAGGATGAGCGCAGGATGAGCAGGCGCTGACTTCGGCTTCCCATGTGGCATAAAATGAATACACACTACTCTAGAGGGAGGGCACTGAGAAAGGGAGGGGAGGAAAAGAGGAAGACAGCTGCAAAAAGACAACCCGCAAAGGCAAAAAAGAGATGTTCCCAGCGTGAATCGAACACGCGTCTCTGCTGCTAGAGAGTGATTAGATAACCACAAAGCAGCGTACTAACCACTATACTATGGAAACTCATATGTTATTCAGGCAGTAACGTGGGGTGAGAGCCAAACAACAGGGAATATTTCGAGAGTAGCAGGCAGTCGCGTCCTTGCCCATTCGTGTGAAGCACAGGTAGGCTATTCAGAGCTCTGTGTCACACACGGTCCTTATAGAGGAATTCCGCCCAGCAACCACACGTCAGAGACATTGATAGATTCTGTACTTTCTCTTTAATGCGATAACTTTACCCCTTTGATGTCCCCTTGCCCGCCCCGCGTTGATTGCCGCCTGCCTGCCCTACCCCAACTGCCTCTGACACACTCTGCTTGTTGGTCGTGCGACCAGCCGACGCCTACTGGAGCCTGGAGACCTCACTCTGGCGCCTGCCATCCAGCAGTCATATGTCCCCGTCCTTGCCTCGGTTTCCATCCTTCTTAGTATTTCCTCGTCCTAGCACCGCCTCGTCAGCTACTCCCCAAATCTGAATTTATTCAAGAACTTCGATGGGAATTGGTACATGGCTGACTAGATATCCACAATGGCGTGTGATGATATAGAGTCTACAGTGTAGGTCTAGGTCTATTGGTATCTGTCTGGTAGAGGTACTTCACTGTCGGCCAGTCATCGATTTTGGTTCCGTTCGGAAGCCGACCGCACGACGCCGATCACAAAGCAATCACAAAGTCACAATCTGCACTTGAAATCACTCTTCTCTATCTTTCAGCACCATGTCCTCTTCCCTCGATCCCGCCAAGGTCGCATTCATTGAATCCGCCATCAAGCACGGTGTTCTCCTCTTCGGCGACTTTACCCTCAAGTCTGGCCGGTACGCTCCTCTTATCCTCAACCGATCAGTCCTCACCCGGATGTATCTCTTAGCAAATCACCATACTTTTTCAATGCCGGCTTGCTCTACTCCTCGTCGCTTCTGACAGCTACGGCCAATGCCTATGCCAAGATCCTGGCCGACTCGCGAATCCCTGATTTCGACGTCCTGTTCGGCCCGGCTTATAAGGGTATCTCTTTAGCTGCTGTCAGCTCTGTGGCCTTGTACCAGCAGACTGGAAAGGATATTGGCTACTGCTATAACCGAAAGGAGAAGAAGGACGTAAGTACCCCTCACAATTGTGGAGGGCGCTGCTCATTTGAAACAAGCACGGAGAAGGCGGTACCATGGTCGGCGCGCCGCTCAAGGGCCGAATCGTCATCATCGACGACGTCCTCACCTCTGGCAAGGCCATCCGCGAAGCCATCGCCATCCTCCAAGCCTCCCCCGACGCCAAACTCGTCGGTATCGTCCAGCTCGTCGACAGGCAAGAGAAGGGCCAAGGCGGTAGCGGGAAGAGCACGGTGCAGGAGGTGGAGGAGGAGTTTGGGGTACCGGTGGAGCCGATCATTGGGCTGGATGATATTATTGCGTACTTGGAAAGCTCGGGCAAGTGGGAGAAGGAACTGAAGGATGTGACGAGGTATAGGGAGGAGTATGGTGTCAAGAGGGCGTAGAGTATGCAGTCTTGGGTTCTGAGCGTGATCAAAGGCATGCTTTGGTATAGCTGACAAAGGAGGCAGCTCGCTATATATCACTGACCCAGCAAATTATCTCTCGCTGACCCACCATCATGCCAAATCCTGCCCCCATCACCTCGCTATCCTTCTATCTCGATGACTCTCTCTTCCCATCGCTTCCTCCTGCAGGCGGGACGATGAACCATACAGACCTCATGGGCCGGCCTCGACTGTCGCCCGCCCCGCCCTCTAGTGTACCGAAACCGCTCTCGCATGGGCAGCTCCGCAACAAGCAACCAGCCCAGATGGCTGTCGGACAAGTCTGGCAGGGGTTACAACCAGGCCAGGTCACTCGAGGTCGTAGTATCGGTGCTGGAGTCGGTTCGGGCCACGCGAAGGCTGCTGCCCCCCCTGATGCAGTACGAGGAAAGCAGGGCGTACGCCGGATAGCTTCCTTGCAGGACCATCTCCCGCCGAGGCATTCGTCCAAAAGCCACACGCGAACATCATCCGACCCTCAGCAAGACCCACAGTTGGCAGCTCAAATGGACGTCAAGCGGTCTATCGCGCTTCCAGTCCCTGCTGAAGGGATACCATTGGCATCGCCGAGGGATACAGCGCTGGTCAAACTCCTCACCACGCTCCAATCGCTCACCCCAGCATCTCGTACGCCCGATCCGCCACCTCCCTCTCCATCATCTGCTACGCTCGCCCCCATGTCGCTGCTTGCGCCCATGGCAATCATTCTAGAAGCTCTAGTATGGGAAAGAGAGACATTGAAAGGACAAGAGGGGAAGAAGACGCTACCAGTGTTGCGTGATGGCAGTCTACTCCAAACCATGCGCGACAATACACCCCAAGAACTAGACTGGCGCGTCGTAAACACCTACATCCACACATTCGGCACCCTTCTCTCCTCCCTCCTACCCTACCTCCAGTCCCCTCACCCCTCGGATCAGATATCAGAACTCACAAAGTCGGCGAGGCAGTATGTGGGCAAGTTGAAAAAGGTGTTTGGGGAGGTGGCGGGGATGTATGTGGATGGGTATGGGTTTGTGAGGGGGATGTGGGATGAGGGGGCAATGAAGGGGGCTGCGGGGGAGGTGGGGAGGTGGGGCGATTTGTTTGGTGTTTAGGCGACCGTTCATGCGTATGAGTACGCATGCGATCAATTTACCCTCAGTCAGCCGTAGCATAGTGGATGACACTCAGCGGGTTGGCGAATGCATCGTACTGGTAGCGATAGATCCTTGGGCATGCACAATACTACATTCACATTCATCCTCCCTGACATATCAGCCGAGTCACAATACGCATGCAGCGAATGAAGGAGACAAACAAGAACGCTGACTAGCGCGCACATTTCGGTGATAAGGACTGTATTACATAAGCACCTCCTGGCCTCGCGGACGGCGTTTCGGCGAGATGGACTTTTCAGCGGCAGTTCCCGCCTCTGCCCGCTGCTGGGGCTTGGGACGAAATTGCAGGATTCGAGGTTGCCTTTTCCTTATCCATCAACAAAGTGAGTCAACGCAACATCGCCACACCACAGGGGAGCAGGGACACGGATGGGGAGGACAGGGAGGGAGGACAGAGGACTGTGGTGTGGTGGTGCAAGGATTGAAGGGATATCCCGGGGCAGACTGCTGACAGAATTGCAGAATGGGTATCACTCGTGATTCGCGCCACAAGCGCGCCGCCACAGGTGCTCGACGAGCTCACTAGTGCGTTCATCTCCCCGTCCACCCATACTCAGAACTAACCCCGCCCAGCCGTAAGAAGAGAAAGTTTGAACTTGGACGACAGCCCGCCATGACCAAGCTCGACTCTTCCAAGCGAATCCACTCTGTCCGAACCCGAGGCGGTAACGTCAAGTACCGTGCCCTCCGATTGGACACTGGAAACTTTGCTTGGGGTTCCGAGGCTATCACCAGGAAGACCAGGTTGATTCAGGTCGTGAGTGGGCAAGAGTTGTCATCCGATCTTTTTCGCTGACAGTGAATAGCGATACAACGCCACCAACAACGAGCTTCTCCGAACTCAGACTCTTGTCAAGGGCGCCGTTGTCGACATTGACGCTACCCCCTTCCGACAGTGGTACGAGTCTCACGTACGTCAATCCTTCTTTTTTTAAATTTCCATCTAACATCTTTCGCAGTACGCTCAGCCCGCTTTCCGAGGTGCCAAGCTCGCCGAGGAGGAGGCCGACAAGAAGCAGTCCAACCACGTCAAGCGAGTCCTTGAGGAGCGCAAGACCGTTGCCAAGCTCGACCCCATCCTTGAGCAACAATTCAAGGCCGGTCGACTTTTGGCTGTCATCTCCTCTAGGCCCGGCCAGAGCGGACGAGCCGACGGTTACATTTTGGAGGGCAAGGAGTTGGAGGTGAGTTTGATTGTGGATGGGTGGGATGAAGCTGATTGGTTTTGCAGTTCTACCACCACAAGCTCCAGCTCCGAAAGGCCAAGCACGCCGCCTAAGTCAACCGAAAGAGGGTCGATTTTGGTGTCTTGTGAAGCTTTGTATTCGAGATGGATACGATTCAGAAACCATATGTTGCAGGCGTGGCTTTCCACTTGATCATCCGACACTTTTCGTCCTCTCCACTCAACATACCTCGACGCATCGACAGTTTTTCAACATCCATTCTCCCCTCTCTTGTCACCTGTGCGATTCCTTCGGCGTCATGCGGTTGGCGGAAAAGTTTTTCAAAGGCGACCAGCAGTTGGATTCTATGGCTCCACGACACCATACACGCTATTACTGGTTGCACTGACCACGATACATACTGAAAGAACCCAAAAACGCAAACTAATCCTTCTTATATTTTTTACAGCTCATCTGGAACCATGGAATGCGCATCACACCTTCACTTCGCCCGTCTTTTCCGTCAACTCTCCCATCGCCCCCGCCTTCTCTACCAAGCCCTCCCTCAATCTCCTCAACCTCTCCTCAGTAATTTCAAAACACTCTGGCACACTCGCATCCCACTTCTCCCCCTTGATGAGCCGGGCAAGGCATGGCGCAACATGGAAAATCCGCGCCATACCATGCCCATTAAAGCCTGCTATGATATACTGCCCCTCTCGATCGGGGACGGAGCCTACAAAGGGCACATGGTCGGGCGTGACACCGAGGATACCTGACCAAGCATAGTCCAAGCCGCCTTCGCCTTCTTTTGCGTACCCTTCTGCGCCACCGTCTTTGACGACTGTATACCCGCCCCCGGGAAGGGTATCACATACTTCGAAGAAGGTGTTGGTCGTCCGCTCGGATAGGGGCTGGGTATCGTCGTATGTCCCAAAGAGGTGTTGGAATGTCTTGGGGGATTGGCCGGGCCATTTGCGGGGGGAGGCGAGGATGATGGAGTTGTCGGGTCGTTGCATCCTTGATCAATAATGGTTAGCGGTCGAGGTAAGGAGTGATGAGAGAGTGGCTTACACAGAGTAGAATCGCTCGACGTAACGGAGAGACATGGTATGTTCAATCCTCGGGAACTTGGCCATCCCGGCCGGAGGGAGGGTGAGCTTGATTGCTTGGGCTGTAGCTCGTCAGTCAGTTGAGGGTGGTGAATAGGGCTGACCTTTATGGGCTGTGATAAGACCGTCCATCTCGGGCAAAACCAAGTTTGTATATCCGTTCGTCGCCCAAACGACCTTCTTTGTCAACACTTCCCCTCGGGGAGTCATGATCTTCCATCGATATCCGTCTTCGCTTTCCTCTCCCTTGTCAAGGGTGGTGGGAGAGGAAGAGATGCAAGAAGTGACGGGCGTCCATGAAAAGAGCTTGGCCCCGAGGGCAATGTTCAAACGGTGAATGGCATAGCATAGTTGAGCTGGGTTTACCGAGGCTGCGGGCCATTCGTATGCTGCCAAAGCTCTAGGGGAACGAGTGATCTACATGTACCCCATCAGCTTGAGCATGTCGATGTTGCAGTACATACCTTTTGGGCCTCTTCGCCTTCGTAATACTTGATGTGCGAGACATCGACGCCGTAATCTTTGGCCCGCTGCATAGCCTGAGAGCAGTAGGTTTTGAATTCTTCGCTCAGGACTACATCAAGTGTCATCCGTTCAGTAAACTCGCACTCTACAGAATGCTCTTTCACAAAGGCTTTCACCCTGGTCCGATATATCAGCCGCGCCTCTTTTCCACACAGTCAAGACTCACTTGTCCAGAGTGATGGCCTCACTAGCCAGTACTCCCGCAGCATTCTTCTCCCCATGCATCGTTGCAAAAGCCGTAAAGCCTCGGAAAGCATCAGGACGGCAATGGCCAGCGTTTCGCCCAGATGCGCCAGAGCAGGTCTCGCGGGCTTCGAAGGTGATGAGTGAAGGGCGGGCTTCAGCTGGGTATGAAGTGAGCAGGGAGTGGGCTGTCTTGGCGCCTATTCGTATCATCAGCCGGTGCGCTTCCTAGAGGGAGAAGGAGAAGGAGCTTACCGGCCAGACCAGAACCTACGACGACAATGTCGACTTTCTCTGGTATAGGGTCGTCTCGACCCCAGTTGACTAGGGGGTCTGATCTGGTGGTCTGTTGCCATTCGGACAGGGTCCATGTGGGAGGCAGGACTGCTGGGCCCCAGGGAGAGGATGGTGGGGTGGAGGACATGATCAGGCTGTTTGGACGATGAGGAAGCGGACAGGGCGTTTGAGCTACAAGATTCACAGTGAGTGATCTTGACAGGACTTGGCGGGTGCTGAATGGGCTGGGGAAGGCTGGCGCTGGGAAAACTAAAAGTGACTGTAGGCGCTCAATGGCTGATAAGGACTAAGAAAGCCGACTCCAGCATTTCGGATCAACATTTCGGGTCGGATTTGGCCGATCGGTCTTCAGAAGGTGGATCACGCAACCAAGTATGTAGGGCGCGTAAGACGAGAGTCGGGGCTGGATTGCCATGTTGACACTCCTAAACGCTACAACTATCTCTGGCAGGGAAGAAAGAGTTGTGGGACGATAGCCAGATGCAAGTGGCGCTCTCTATCGTCATCTGCCATTGGTGTAGCCGACATCATGAGTCGCTGCTTGAGCTTTCGGGTACGAATCAGCAAGGTGGGTTTGTAGCAGAACCTGTTGAATTAGCAAGCTTGAGGAGGTGCTGAGTGTTCCACTGTGAGTAAGCAAGTCGATTGGCATCTGCTGCGTGACTCCCTCTCCCGCCTGCCATACTTCGGCTGTTTCTTTCTCTTGGCGGCCTTGTCAGCTGCTCCCAACTCAGAGAGTAATATTATAAGCAGCTTTGTCGCTTCCCGAATGCAATACACTTCTCAACAGTATGACTACCGACTGGCAATCCAAGGCCGCTGCCTACAAGCATCAACGTTGACGCCATCCTGAGTCTTGTGTCTTACGGCCCAGCCGCTGCTTACGACCAGGTATGGGTCGTACGCTTCCATGTACAACATTGTGGATGTTCCGGCGGGGGTATTCCCTACCGGGCTGAAGGTTGATTCAGAGGTGGACGACTTGAAGGATGATGGCAGGGAGTATTTGAGTGAGATGGATGAAATGGTCGCGACAGCTTGTAAGATTTGGATTTGCGTTTGATCAACCGGGAGACTGACGTTATTGTGCCATCGCAGACGACACCAAGATTATGGCGGGCGCCCCCTTGGGTTTGCAAGTTGCGGGCGGGAGGTGGGAGGATGAGAAGGTGATGAAAGCACTCGGGATGATTTCTGAGGTTGTGCACATGTAGAGCAGATGAGGCAACGAGCCACGAGGCCTCGAATCGTGAGGATACGTATATACATGTCGTAAAGGTATCACGATGGATCAAGATCACAATTAACCGGAACTATATATCATGAGTATAAAGGAGGAATAACACCACATATCTTCCCCGAGAGACACAGCGAAAACATCACAAACGCCCCTAGAGGAAGACGCCCATACCAATACACACGAGTGTAATCATCAGGCCGCCATGCACAATATTCCCAGCAAAGTTGAGATCGATGGCGAAAACAGCGCCCGACGATGCGGAGCTGGCGTCAGTGGCGAATGGGTTGGAGCTTCACACAAGGTTATCAGCAAGCGCAAGGAGCGGCGAGAGAGGTCAGCCTACGATGATGGAGCGCTGGTGGTGAGCTTGGCGTTGGGGATGTTGCCCGCGCTAGTAGAGGATGCGGAGTTGGTGGATGAGGAAGAGGTGGTGGTAGATGCGACTGCAAGAGGGAGCGGGTTAGTGTACGGCTGCAGGCTCTCCAATGTCGACTTACCGATGCCGTCTTGGATCTCAAACTCCTCGGAACTCGCAAACACTTGCGCTTCGTTGGTGGTGTTGACAAGATTCACAGTGTACCCTTCGCTATTAAATCTCTGTCAGCTCACTTGTCCAGCTCACACAAGCTAGACTCACGAAGCGGGAACCTGCGGCAACAAGATCCAGACAAACTCTGCTGTCGCATTGGTACTGTCGGCGATCGAGTGATTTCCCTCCAACACGCTCGAATCCTTGTTGGACAAGTATGCCCGGAAGAAGTAGTTGTCGGTGGCAGGGTCGGTGAGGGTCCAGTTGAGGGAGACGGTGCTGTTCTTGTACCAGATTGCACCATGACCGGGGCTGAGGATGGAGATGGCGGCTGTTGCTGGAAAGTCAGCCTCATGTCTTGAAGGGCAGGGACGAGAACTGACCGTTGGCGGTGGCAGCGAGGGAGAGGGCGACGAGGGAGAGGTTGGTGAGCATGGCGATGATTATAAGGATGGAAATATAAGTGTCGGTGGGGATCAGAGGATCTGGCGAGGGCTGCCCTTTATACCTGAGTGAACTCGGCGGTCTGTGCGATCCAAGAGGCCGCATGGGGTTGTGCCTTACAGATCCCTCAAACGAAGGACATCCCCGGCAGGCGAGGAAGGCGATGCATGGGGCAAGGTGTAGGCCGAGTCGCTGGAGAGGGGCAGTCGCCAAACATACCCAGGTGCGATTCTCTCGACGCGACGCGTTTCATGACCCAACGCGTACAACTCAAGTCCCCTGAATCATCAGCTACAACCTCCACATTTGTAAGCTGCTGCTAACACTAAGGAGGTAAACATACATGCAATTAGAAGTCATGCCAATATACAACTGTATCATGTGCGTAAAGTAATCACAATCATTCCTCATCCATCTTCTCGTCCCCACCCTCGCTCGTCACCGCCACACTATGCCCTCGTTCTCTTTGCTCATTATCTTGCGACTCCCTGAACTCGTTCAGGTCAAAGCTCTCATCAGCCTGCCCCAACGTGCTCCTCCTTGCACTCTTTCTCGTACCCTGCGGCCCATCGCCCGACTCCTTCTTGCCGCTGGATGTGCCAGCCTTGGGGTGCGCCGCAGTGGCCTTCTTCACCACAGCATTGGGAAAGAGGGGGTTGGTGGAGGGCGCGAGGGGCGGCAGGTCTTCGTCATTGAAGCTGGCGACGATCCCTTCATCTTGATTATCCTCGGCGACCTGCTTCTGCCGGCGTCGTTCGAGAGCTTCAGACATCGGTATAGGAATGGGAATGACGTCTACTTCTCTTGTTAGCCCTGTATTCACATGGTGATTTGACAAGGGCAGGAAGAAGGAAAAGATTCAGAGAGAAGATTACAAATCTTAGCACGGCGTGACAATATTTGCCGGCTCAGTCGGAACAACTGGATAAGTTTTTTCATCCTTGTAGCGAGCATAGCTCGAAGATAGGAATAGAAGAATAGTGGAATTGGACTTGCCTTTCAGGAAATCAAACTCTTCGTTACGAGCAACCACGTTGGCTGGATCAAAGTCAGTCTCAGTCGCGTCTGAAAAGTCACCCGACTCACCCATATCCTTGTAGTTGATTATCTTTCTCTTTTCCAACCGCGCCTTTGTATATCCCTCCTCCATGAAATGCTTGATGAAGTATTCCTACACCTGAATCAGCTCCATCCCCGATGAAAAACGCGTGGCAAACTCACAGCCGCAATAGCACACATGAAGACAGCTTCACTGCTCATGATATCCACATCCCTATCCGCCTTGACAATCTTCTTCACCTTGCTGATCGGAAACATTGTTGTACCTGGCTGCTTTTCAGCGAGAGACTGACGTTGCTTGATGACCCGCTTGGTTTTGGTCTTCTTGGAGCCTGAAAAGACGCGTGTCAGCTTGCTTCCGACGCGTCAAAAGCTTGAGGACACCCAGCCAGGAGCAAGGGGATGAGCAGGACACGTACCTTCACCACCAGCCTCATGGTCTTCCGCTTCTTCCTCCTCTGATTCTGGCGCGCCGTTTCCTGGGCGAAAGGAGAAGCTCTCCTCGGCCTGGTGCTCCCCGACAGCGGGGGATGATTCGTACTCGACTTGCATGACGGAGCGGTGGGGGGGGTTCGTAGCACTCTCACGGGGAGAAGGGCCTTGGATGGGAAGACAGACGATGTGGATAGGATTGAGAATGGAAATGGGGAATGCAAGCGAGTTTTGGTTGCATAACGCCGAAACAGGGGCGCGTGTTTGCTCCCGTTCGTGAGTGCGGTCATGGCCGCCCGTCATTCAACATGCTTGACATGGGCTATTTGAGTACGAGTACGAGTACAGTACAAGTAGAGTGGAAGGGTGAAGATCTGTTTCTATTGCAGTGGCAAGAATAGTGTCTACTTTAAAGTACATTTTCATTATTATTTGCGGACTATATCAGAGCCACTAGCCGAAGGCGCTGACAAGAGAGGCAACAGGCTGAGCCAGCAGAATGACAACGCTCCTTTACAATGCGGCTGAGCACGAACTTATATGGCTTTGAGCTAGAGATTGGCACTGGCTTGGATGCAGAACGAGCTCCCTTTGATGGACATACATATATGGCCTGAAGGTTTGAAATCTCGACCACCAAAATCATCAGTACACGACACCAGAATGATTAGCCATCAAGACGATTCCTCGACCCAAGATTCCTCCCTTGACCAGGTAATTGAGGTACTATCCGACGACAGTCAAGACGTAATTTATGGCCCCAAAAGCGAGTACTGCTATCTGTCCTTTGCCCCAGATGTCACGTTCTCCTGCTACCTGAACCCTTCCCTCAAGCGTCTCACTGCTCTACGAGCTTCCACTGTCCCCCCTGGATCGATACGAGGATCTGAAGCCGGTAATCAAATTGTCTCCTACTTTGAGGGATGGCGTGCCACTCACGAATCCCTCCTTGACCCCCGTATGAGGCACCTTGCCGACGATAAAAGTCTACCCTCCCGGCTTGCTACCAAAGAGGAGCTCATGACGTTCTTCCGTGAGGGAGCGACACTGTGTGAGGTGGAGGGGTGTTGTAAGTCTGCTCTAGAGATGAGCAAAGGTGGGTTTGAAAAGACGGTCAAGGGGGGTGTGGACTGGTTTATGAGGGAGATGGAAGAGCATGGGAAGGAGTTTAACAGCGTACTCGATAGGTTTGAAGATGAGGAGCGAAAGGATATTAAGAAGGTCGTTGCCGAGTCGCTGGGGGAAGGATGGGAGGACCAGATCAGAGCGTTCAGGAGTGCTACGGATGAAGGGGAGAGGGTGTATTTCCCAGTCGAGCTGGCCGAGAGATTCATTTGAGAGTATCATCAGGTCCTTGATATGAACGTACATGACAGGGTGCAATCAAGGACTTTGGTGTTGCTTGAGGCGATACTTCATTCCAGACCTTATTTACAGCTTGGCAAGATCCTCATCCCCGAGCTCATCTCCAGCGACCGCCCCGGCCATCTGCCCCTGTGCCACACTGATTGCCACATTACCTGCCGGCGCCCCGCTATTCCCCGCCCAGAACAAGCCCTTCACAGGCGTCTTGGGGCTATCGCCCATACGGGGCATACCGCCTCCCCCACCACTCTTTTGAGAGGCAGGGTCAAAGGGGATGGTACCCATGGGCCCGAGAGGCAGGCCGAAAAGCTGTTCGTTGACGAAAGGAAGGGCGTGGTCGTTGGGGGTGCACTTTTCGGGGAACAGGAGCATGTAGGGGACTTGGATAGAGGAGTGTTCTTGGAAGGTGATCGTGAGGGTGGTATTGTCGGCGTCACTCTTTACCGAAGTGATGGGTGATGATATAATGGTATATCTATGAAAGCGTCAGCGGAAGCTCTGGTAACGCAAGAACTACTGACCCTTTCTTCTGCACGATATCCCAATAAGGCTCGAGCCCCGCAGCCTTTCTTCCTTCAGCTGTGTTGACATCCAGACCATGGGTCAGCACGTATACTGGGTCGTGCTTCAGACTCGGCCACAGCTTCAGCATGGTACCGGCGAGGCCTGTGTTGATCCAAGCGTTGGGGGCAGTGAAGAGGAACGCGAAGGGTTTGTTGGCAGTCTCTGTGCCGTGGCAGAAGATACAGTGGATGGCGCGCTTGCCCCATTGGTCGGCAATACCTACATTGGCGTGAGCCATAGCCAGTCAAGACCCAAAAGAGACTCACCAGGAATGTCAGGAAGCTTGTCCTTCAGGCCGGTAGCAAGAATGACCTTCCGTGCCGCGACCTCGTTGCCATTCTCGTCCTTCGCTTCAAACACCTCTCCGACCTTGTTGAGTGTCGTGATCTTCCCCTGCTTGAATGTGGTAGTGTCGCCGTAAAACTCGATAAGGTCTTGCCTGTACTTGCGCCTGAATTCGGCCGGGTTGACGCCTTCGAATCCAGCGACGGCATGAGCGTGGTCCGAAACGTCGTTGCGGTACACCCCAGAATCGTAGATAAGACAAGAGCGCTTGAGACGAGAGAACATCTGTCCGGCTGCGAGCCCTGCAGGGCCAGCGCCGATCACAAGGAGATCGACCTGGGTACGCGAGGTCATGACGGTGCTGAAGAGGAGAGCGTTGATGGCGGTTTGGATGATGGACAGAATGGTGGGATGTGGGGTTGGGGGAAGTGCGAGTGGGAAGGGCGATTTATACATGCCGGTGCCATTTTGCATGCTCCATTGGAAGGGACCCGGATGCAAAGACAACTTGTTGACAGGGCGCCGAGATGGGCCGGACGGCGCCCGACGGCGTCCTCACAAAAATTTCCCATTCCGGCAAGATGATTCTCGCTAACTTCGGAACGCCGGGGTATACAGGGATGCAGGATGGTTGAAATGAAGGAAGGTGACTAGAGGCTAGAGGATACATAAGGGAGACGATTTGCGAGAGAGTCGGAAGGAGGTGTGGGGAAGACCGCTGATTTTGACCCGGGGGAGGAGAGGGGCACCCGAAGTATGCACTAGAGCTGGCAAGGTTCTTCAATATTGAGAAAATATCTTAATATCTAAAACGACCTCCTTTTTCTCGAAAAAAATATGACATTGATGGGGAAGGGTACGGCCGCTTGTCGAACGTGACCGCTTCAGCAAAATCAGACCTGACACTTTCAAACAGCTATCGTCGTAAAGGCTGGGCCAAACGTCCTGGCCACGATGGCCTCAAAGATGGCTTTGTGTATGGTATCAGTTCTGTCGTGACCCCTCCCCAGCATTACCGTAAGGCATCCCACCGACTGCCTCCTGATATATTAAGCTGACGTTGAATGAAGGTCGCGGCTACGCGACCTACATGCTCCCCCTCCTCCATCTCCATCTCCAACCTCCTTCCTCCATCCCATCTTCTCTCCTGCGTTTGAAGCAGGACGAGCTTGTCTCGGGCTTCAAGCCAGGACAAGCCCATGAACTACCAGTAGCTCTCGGTTCGTGGCTCATATGTCTGACGTCGGCTCGACTTTCTACTCGAAATGCAGTCTACAAGAAGGTAGAAAAGCCTGGGTAGTAGACGACAGTCAAAACTCGGGTCTGAAATGGGCTATCAAGCCCACGGCTCCAGACTTTGACGAAGATAAAGTGGAATGGATCTATCTATCCCACATCGAGTCTCTCAGCAAAGAGCTCTCCACCCGCGAGAAAGCTCGCCTGGCAGAGGCAGACGTCTCCAAAGGCGCGATCTGGGCCGAAGACCCAGCGTCAACTGGTGCCCTCGCTTTCCTCCCGGTCAAGTCTACGTGGTATGACCCCTCTTGCGCTCCTCACCCCGTCGGCATGCGTATCAAGACGGGTACCCCGGCAGAAGACCCTATAGTGTTGTTTTTGACGAGTTTCTTCCCTATCGGGTTTGAGTTTATGGTCACACTCATCTCTAAACTTACTCCCGAGTACCTTACCTTGGCTCTGCAGGCCTTTGACAAGGCAGCGTCAGATGCTGGGAGGGAGGGGGGATTTATCTGGGGTTTGGATCCTTCCAGTGAGATCGTGGAGGCGTGGAAGAATCATGGGAGAGAGGTGGAAGTGAAGAAGAGGGCGGAGGCGAAGGGAGGTCTGTTGGGTGCTGTTTACTATGGCGAAGAGGGCCAGGAAGGTAGATCGCTCGACGGGCAGATGTGGCACTGGCTGTAGAAGGGCAACTTTGCAAGGGTAGTCAGTAGGAGCGATCAGTGGGATTAATAGAGATGTGACCGATCAGTGTGACTTTTGCTACATGCAATCAATCTAACCACGGCTTGACCCATTCGGTATTCTCCCATACGTTGGCACTGAGCCCGTTCGTCTCTGGCCAGGGATGGCATCGGACCTTCTCGGGCGGGCTTTGACGTGATCAGCCTTCGTCGGAATGTTGAAAGAGCACGGCGCTTACTGATTTCTCCACTCGAGCTTTTCGTCTAGATGATCTGGCGGGACTCCATCAACCCATCCTATCTGCGCCTTTTGCTTGTTCAGGTCCTCTAAAACATCCTGCGCCACATCTCGCTCGTACGCAAGCTATCATACATATTAGCGCCATCTTCCTCGGCGGCAAGCTTGTTGTACTCACCTGGACACTTGGCACCACTGCAATCTTTCCAAACCCTTCCTTCCAGAAATCACTAGCCACCAGCGTACACTCACTCGCCGCACACTCTCCCTTCTCTAGATCACCTCTTCTAAACCTCACTCCATGCTCCAAGAACGGCCTCCGGTCCAGGACTGCGAGGGCATTCCAGGAGGAGAATACTTGGAACGGTTGTAGGTGGGTGTATGCGTTCTTGGAGGTGGATGCGGTGGGTGAGGAAAAGAGGTCGGATGAGGGAGACCACCAGGGCCAGTCGATGGGGTAGAAGAGGTCGCCTTTATCGATCTGCTTTTGTTAGTCCTATACCGGAAATTTGATGAGCAAACTCACGGTCCTTCCGACCCAGATGTCGTAGTAGTACTCTGGCCTCTTCTTCCACCAGTCCAAAGCCGTCGTTATACCAGCCCCATTCCGCTGGTGCTGATAGAGCACTTCCAGAACGTCCGCAGCGTGGAGATAGACATCGTTGAAGAAGACGACTGCTTCGACCTCTTTCGACCATTCTTCGTCTCCTACTCCCTCCCAGAGGGGCTCGAGAGCCCGGTTACGCAGCTCTGCGATCTTCTCGATGCGGTTGTACTGGGACCAGTCGATCTTGTGCTCGCCCGTCTCGATACGCATCCAGCTCCTCCCCAGCCCCTGCTCAGCTAGCATCGGTTGCAAGACATCTTCGATGACCTTCTGGGTGCAGTCCGAAGAAGGCCCCTCGAGGATGGACACCGCGATGTGTTCGGGGGAGAGGTAGTGTAGGAGGACGAGGAGAGTGTTGAGAAGGTCGGGTAGATGAGCTTCGATCTGTCGAGTATTGGTGACTAGCATATAACGGCCTTTGCCATAGCCTTTCAATCCCTCATATCGCTTCTTCTGAGAGGCAGTGAGGTCTGGATTGAGATGCACTCCGATCCCGCTTGAGCCAGGACAAGCTTCTTTGAAAGCCTCGTACGTCTGATTGATCGCCCTTTCCAGCACCTGGTCTTTCAAGTGTGCAGGATGTGGGGGTTTCGTTGGAAGCAGGCCCGGAAATTGCAGTTTTCTTCCAGCAGAGGGATCGGGATGGGATAGTAGTGACAGGCCAAAGAGGGCACTGAGGACGAGGGCGAGGAGGATGATTGGTCGATTGGATTGAGGACGGTGGAGGTGGGAGTGGGAGTGGGAGGGCAGGGGCGGGGTAGCTTGGCGGTGGGAGCCCTTGAGGGTGTTGCGGATCATGGGGAGGGGCGAGAGATGCAGGCAGCCCCTCGTAGATGGTGAAAAAAGCGCGAATTCGTCTGCGCGGCGTACCGAATGCATCGCTGCAAAAAGCAATCATCGAGCTCCCATATCCCATCTCGCCCATCTCCATCCCCATCCCAGCATGTCCCGCAGCCATGGCCTCAAGGCGACACAGTCAGCACTCAACTCAAGCGTCAAAATCATCTCGGCAGAGCGCACCAACGATGGCCAGGTCTTCACTTCCTTGAGACGGACCACACGATCGGCCAAGACTGCTGCTGTGGACGATGAGGAGGAGCTGCCAAAGAAGAGCAAGCTCAACGTCCCAAAATACGAGTACAAACCTGCAACGCCCTCACCTCGCAAAAAACCAAGGCTCGAGGATGCCAAAGCCGAGCCCGATGTCAAGATTCAGGCATCGCCCATCAAGAGGGTGGCAACTCCCCGATCGACACCCAAGAAGCCCATGCCCCAGACTTCTCTTGCAAAGCCACACCAAGCCCCTGCAAAGTGGGAAGATCAATACCGGCTCATAGAGCACATGCGGCGGGGCATCATAGCTCCGGTCGATGATATGTAAGTCTCCATATCTTCATTTGGATTACAACTGACCAAGAGGCAGGGGGTGCGAACGCCCAAGGACTGGAGCAAACGACGCCAAAACGTTCCGGTTCCACATTCTCATATCCCTCATGCTTTCTGCCCAGACCAAAGACGCCGTCACCTCTGCCGCCGTCTCTCTCTTGCACGAGACTTTGCCCGGCGGGCTCACTGCTGAATCGCTCGCGGCAGCTCCTGCTGAGCAAGTCCATGACTGTATCAACAAGGTCGGGTTCTGGAGGCGCAAGGCAGACTACATACAAGAGGCTGCAAAGCACTTACTGGAGAAAGAGGGCGAAGAGAAGGGTGACGTACCCAACACGTTAGAGGGGTTGTGCGAGCTCAAAGGTGTGGGCCCAAAGATGGCGTTTTTAGCTCTGCAGTGTGCTTGGGACATGTAAGTCCCCGGACCATCTCGGAGAATCAAGCTGACATGTACCAAAGCAATGCCGGTATAGGTGTAGATGTCCATGTCCATCGCATAACCAACCGCCTCAAGTGGCACAAACCCCCAACAACCAACCCCGAACAAACCCGGCTCAATCTCCAATCCTGGCTCCCCGAGAAACTGCACAAGCCCATCAACCCGCTCATGGTCGGTTTCGGGCAGATGATCTGTCTGCCGGTGGGACCTAGGTGTGATTTGTGTCTTCTTGGGCAGAGGGGTATCTGTCCGAGTCGGGTAAGAGGGGTGACGGGGAAGGGCAGGAAAGACGTAGTTTTCACTTTTGGGGAGGTGGAAGAGGAAGGGAAGGAGGTCGGGGAGTGGGCGTGGGGTCAGACTTCTGATTCTTTCCCCGATGCTCTGAGGCCCAAGAAGGAGCCCAAAGTCGAGATCTCATACGAATCTCTACAGCAGATTGCCGATCTAGAGCCACAGCCTCAGCCGATTACGCCGGTGAAGATGGAAAGAGGTGTGGGCCTAGAAGAGGCTATCGAAGAGCCGGGATTGAGATCGCCGGAGCAAGTGTTGGAAGTGATAGATCAAGTTGATGGTGTCACTGACATTGGGGCAGAGGTGAAGAAAGAGACGGTGGATTGGTAGAACTATAGTGTATCTCGGTTGTAGCAGCATCTCATTTCAAAAACTTTGCATTGTTGTTCTTGTATTCTCATAATGCATGCATGGGTGGTTCATCTACTTGCTTCATTTTCATTACATCGCACCTGCACATATAGTCAGCATTGGTCCGGCCGGTCTATCATCGAACCTACGTCGAGCGCTCAAAGCTTGCTTCCTGGCCCGATCAATTTTGCCCATCCAATCCTTTGCATCGCTAGCACTCATTACTCTGCCATTGACGTCAGATTCGTTCTTCTCTCAAGAACCCGCGGACTTACTTGAGAGCAACAGTGTCCCCACCTCGCCTCTGGTCTGCTCGAAGAGCAAAGCCCGTGACATCCCTCGTCTGCTTCACCTCGACTTCGTGCAATGCTAATGGCTATACCCATCTGTTAGCTCCTGCCGCTCCTCGTCCAGAGGCTCAAGACGCACCATGCGATAGAGATCCTTGTTGTCGAGGAGCACGATGATGTCGTTGCAAAGCAGCATGGTGAGCTTTCGCCCAGATTTGGCTTTCGTGACGGTGCCTTCCTTCACCAGCCTTCGAGGGCCCGAGAAGGCAGTCGGCGCTGTCAGATCCAAGCGGCTACATGGTGTCACCAGGACTCCCCTTGATAGATCAATATCCTCAACTTACCCTTCCCCTCCGATCCACAAGTTTTCACTCAGAGTCCTCAGTCTCTCCTGCCCTTCACTTTCCCGCACACTCTCATTGATTCTGCTCACTATTCCTTCTGTCACGCGCAGAGCTTGTTCGAGCTGGGGAAGGTCGGAGTGGTCGTAAGGCGTATAGGCGATGATTTGTTTGATCAAAAGAGGATATCGGGTGATCCTTTGCACTAATAGACTGTCAGTGATGAAGGTAGAGACGCAAGATGGCGCTTACTCGGGATGAGCAAGAAACTTGAGAGATCAAGTCCTCGAATGGAGGCATTTGTCTCCCGGATGTGTTGAAGATGAGCGTTGAGCTCCGGCCTCTCTTCTCGCAAACTTTGGAGAAGCTTGATGGCTTGGTGCTGATTGATGCAGTATGTCTGTGTTGCGCTCAGCAAGAAATGCAGTCAACCGATCAATAGACGTACCATGTAGATGCCCGCTTCATTCAAAAAACTCAGAACATCGCCAATCTTGACGACATATAGCCTAGCAGCCTTTTGTCTCTCTTCCAATGCACTGAAGAAGCCAGTGTTGAAGAGCAAGATGTCTTCGATGTTGGCAAAGATGACCGTGAGAGCCTTCTCGTCCAACATAGATAGGAGAGAAGCGTAAAACACCTAAGCCATATGTTAGCCTTGAAACAACAGATACAAGCATGTCACTTGCCTCTACAATCAGCTGCAAATCTCGATTATACGCATTCTCCGTGGCAATAAACTCAAAGATGGCTTCCTGCCTCTTTCTTTCACTCTTGTCCATAGTATTCAACACACTCGGCTCCACCAAACTTGACCATGTCTTTCCAAACTCACTACTCTCTGCTTCGGATGACTGACCTGTGGAACCAGGGGAAGGCGAAGATGGTTGATCGTCAATACCGACCCGGGAGATGGTGGGTCCGCTGATACTCGGGCGTTTGGGCTCGGGATGGTGTGTGGCCAGAACACTCTTGAAAAAGCCTGAAATTTTCCCACCTGCTTCTTTTCCTATGGATGGAGGAAGGGATGTAATGGTCGATGTGGGTGAGAGGGGAGCGCCTTGAGGAGATTGACCTGTCGTTTGAGGTGACAGCCCTTGCGAGCTGGGTCGAGATTGGACACTGAGAGACTCGGGGCGCGGCAAAGGCTGGCTCTGAGCTTGGGCAGATTGCGCCAAGAAAGCTTCGTATCTCGCATAAGCATCTTGCGTACCCAGCCTCTCACTCTTCTCATACTGCTCATCGGGAATCGGAGGCAGATCTTTGCCCCGCCTCCTACCTTCTGGGACAGCAGGAGCATGTCGCCTCTTTCTTCCACCTGGGACAGCAGGCGCAGCCCTCCTGACTGATGGCTCTCGCGTCACTTGCAGACCGGCGGCGGCAAGTAAGGAGTGACGCTGAGCCTCTCGGCGTTTACGCTCGGCTTCCTTCTCGGGATTGGTAGGCGGCTTCGGAGCAGACCTCCTTGTCTTTTTGGCTTTGGGGGTTGTATCGTTGCCCTGCCCGTTCTCCACCTTTTCACTGGTCTCTTCTCCTTCGGCCTCTTCGTCATCCGACGAGTCGTCAGACCACCAGCTCAACATTGAATCATCAGACGAGCTATCACCTTGATCGTCCTCGTCTTCTGAAATGAATGAAGGCGGGCGCGAGGCTGTGGTACTGGCCACCGAAAGGGTTGATGCTGCCCGAGGTCGACTGCGGATTTGGGGAGTACCAGGTGTCTGAGTTGATTTTGGAGACGAGGGGCTTTGAAGAAGTGTGGCGGATGCTCGGGGAGGTTGGAGCTCGTTGGGGGACTGTGGCTGTTCTGTCTGTTCGCTAATGGTCACAGTTGGTGACAGGTTGCGGTCAGTAGGCACAACTGGGGCCGTCTCTGTAACTCCATTAGCCGAACCTGTAAGAGAATGCCAAACCATGTATTGGGGTATCAAGCCGAGAGTCATTGGTATATTCATAGTTGCGTTCGAGGATTTGGCGGGTTTTGGGGTGTAGAAGGGGACATTCGTGAACGGCATGGGGACAGAGTAAATATTCAAAATATTAATGTAGAAAAAAACACAGTTTAGCCTGCGTCAAACAACGTGAACATCCTCTCATTGCTGGGGAGAGAGGGGCTAGGGCACTAACCTTGGAGTTCCAAATAGGCAGCAGGGACCAAGAAGATTACACCAGAGTGCTCGGCCTTCCACCAGTCGGGCTCTGAGTGGTCGATAACGGAGAGCTTGTCGCCTTCGGCGAAAGGAAGCTGGTCGGCCTCTTCGGGGGCGTACGAGTACAGAGCCTGGGCGGGGACGGCTGAGGAGGCGTGAGTGCTGGTATAATTCAGCTACTTGAGGACTCACCTTGGATCTGTTCAACGTAGTTGCTAGGGAACCAGCCCTTGGACTGGTCCTTCACCACAGTACCGTACCACCAGGGGCTGCTCGGGTCCTTGGCAGGATGAGCGTCAATGACGACGTCTTCCTTGAAGCTGACGTCGACGTCTCTCGAGCCGACAAACTCGTACAATGACCTGACTCGGAGAGCTACAAAATCAATCAGCATTTTGACTAGATGCAGAGTAGACCTGACTTACTCGTTGAAAGGTCAAACTCGTCCTCATCTTCGGCCTTGTCAACAACGACTTCCGGCCCTCTAAGGCTCTGGTACACCTCCTGCTCCTCTTCGACCTCTTTCGTAGGTTCAAGCAAGGAGGTCTCGCCAACGCTGGCCGCCGGATGGGAGGCGTCCGCTGCCAGCCCAGCATACCAGTCCACACTCTGTCTATTGGGGTTGCCGCCGACATAAGAATCCTCAGAAGCAGGCGCAGGGGAAAAGGCGCGTTCTTCAGTATGGGCAGGAGCATCCTGCGCCTGAGGAGGAGGCGCGTGTTCTCGTGGTGTGGCGCTGATATGAGCCGGAGGAGCAGCATCGCCGATGACTGATCCCACGCCGGGAGGCCCGCTCTTATCGACAGTCTGTGTCTTCTTTAATCTGGCACCGCCCTGAATAGAGGACAGCAGCGCGCTCATACCCTGTCCAGGATTACCGCCACCGACATTTAAAGTTCTGGGGGCAGCTTTGGGAGCCGCTGAGCCAGGTCTCGATGTAGTCGGCGAGGGTGCTGATCCACCCATGATGTTGCCAAACAATGCCTGAGCAAGACCTTGACGGCCAGCGCGAGAAGAAGCAAACTCGTCATCAGAGTCAGAGTCGGAATCCTCGACTTGCTTCTCGGTAATGTCTTCCCACTCTGGCTCACTTGGAGGCGCCCTGGGAGGAGGCTGGAAGGCTGGCGGGGCAGGCGCCGGGGGCGCCGGGGGCGCAGGTGGAGGAGGAGGAGGAGGAGGAGGGGCTGTCTCTGGCGCAGGGGTGGACACGGAGGGCTCGGGCGACTTTGCGGCAGGAGAAGCCGTCGCGGCAGCAGCAGGCTTGAAGAATGGATTGAAGCCGCCTGACGCGGGAGCGGGTGATGCGGCTGGAGCACCTCCGGGCTTTCTGAAAGGATTGTAAGAGCCAGATGCTTGCTCAGCTGCAGGGGGAGCAGGAGGGGCTGGCGGGGCTGGAGGGGTTGGCGAAGGAGGGGCAGGGGATGCGGCAGCAGGGCTAGGGCCCAAGCTTCTGTTTTTCCTAGCAGCCAACAGCTCCTCTTCCTTTTGCCTCTCTTCCTCCTCCTCCCTCTGCATAGCTTCCAGTCTCTTCTTCCTCTCCTCCTTCTTCCTAGCTGCCTCTTCTTCCAATCGACGAAACTCGACTTCCTCGGGGTCTTCTTCGGGCACCTTGGGAGCGGGAGGGGCTCGTGGAGTAGGAGCGGGAGGGGCAGGAGCAGGAGCCCTGGAGGCAGGAGGCGCGGGCGCAGAGGGCTTGGCTCGAGGGGCGGGCGCTGGGGGAGGTTTCTTCAGAGCACTCTTCAAGGGTGCAGATGGAGCAGGAGAGGCAGGCTTGTCCGTCGGCAGGTCCTCGGCACCGTTCACTCCAGCCAACTTCTTTCTCCTCGCTTCCTCCCTCTCCTTTTGCTCCTCATCCGCCTTGCGCGACAGTTCCTCGGCCTCCTTCTTTTCCTTCTCAAGTCTGTCCTGAACGGAACTGTCGACTTCGTCCTGCTTGGTCTCGCTCTCGATACCAAGCGAACGAAGACGGTCGTTGATTCGGCGCTGAGCCTGTTCACGGATGAATGCCTTGCGCTCCTCGGGAGTCATGTTCTTGGTGCTGGGCACCGCAGCCGAAGAGGTCGGAGCAGGAGGAGGAGGCTGGGCAGAGGTAGCAGCCGACGGCGCGGGAGGAGGAGGAGGCGGTGATCGCGCCCCAACAGGCGATCGAGGACGGTCATATCGGTCTCGCTCGTCTCTCGAGCCACGACGGTCACGGTCGTAACGATCATAGTCATCGCGTCTGTCTCGTGACCGGTCCCTATCTCGCCTGTCGTAGTCGTCATATCTGCCGCCACGGTCGTACCTGTCCTTCTCCTTCTCTCTGTCAAAGGTGCCGCGGTAGCCACCGTAATCATCCCTACTGTCCCGGTCGTCGTACCGGGACTGTGTTCGGTTTCGGTCGTCTCGGCGACGGACACCAGCCCTCTCCTCCATGGCCTTTTCCTCTTTTCTCCTTTCCTGCCTCCTCTCGAGCTCGGGCAGCTTCTCGTGCATCAAGAAAAGCAGTTCTCGCTCAAGCTTGCGGCGTTCCTCGTCCTTCTCGGAAGTCCTGCGTCCCTTGGAGCAGTACTCGATGTCTTCTTGGATACGCTTGAGGCGGTACTGGAGAGTCTCCACCTCTTCCTCGAGTTCTTCGTCCTCTATGCTCTTCTCGGCAGACTTTTCGAGCAAGGTAGAAGTGTTTTCGAGCTTGCGACGAATGTCTTTCAAGCCAGCATCGGGGTCTTCACCGGCATAGCGCACAGACTTGCGGTCCAGGTGCCTCGACGAAGGCTTGTAGGTAGTGGAGACGTCATCCGAATGTTTATAGAGGAGAGCGTCTTTGCTTGCGTCACGAGGAGTAGTATAGCCAGGAGAGGAGGTGGCAGAACGAGATGCAGATGACTCGTGTTTGAGGAGATCCTTCATGAAGTTGACGGTGGAGTCAATGTCACGCATGGATGCCGGTACGAGCTCTTCGGGCAAAGTATCGGGGATGGTGTTTCCGTTGAGAGCTGCATGCCAAGTCAGTCGAAAGCTCTCAGGATGGGCATGCAGTACTGACCTCGGTAGACAAGACCCATGGCGACGTGGAATTCGGGGAGATTGAGCTTGCCCCTGTTGTCCACGTCCGACAAGTTCCTGCAGTCTCATTAGAATGGTCGGATTCTGGAGCAAATGACACTCACCAAATCTTCATCAGATCCTCTTGCCCCAGACCACTCTGTCCAAATACCTCCTTTGCCATATCACCAGAGATGAAACCCTGACCAGTAGTATCCCACGCGCGGAAAATCTGGTCATAGTCCTTCTTTTCCTGGCGCGAAAGAACCCAAGGGATCTTGGGGGTGTTGACCGATGGGTTCTGGAGGAGCGAGTTGAACGTTTGCTGGAGAGGCTGCGCCGGCTGGGCGAATTGAGGGATGCCTGAAGAGAAAGGCTGTGCAAAATCGTCAACGCGCCATCCAGCTATACTAAAAGTCACTCACTTGAGACAAGTTGCTCGGCAGGAAACTCTGCATCATACTCTGCAGCCTGGGGTCATGCGGCATACCGGTCGGCTGCGCCTGCAGACCCTGCATCCCGGTCGGCTGCGACATCAATCCGCCTTGGAACCCTGTTCGCTGCGGGGTGATGCCAGCGCTACCCATCCCCGTGGGCTGAGACATCATGCCAGTCGGCTGGGACATCATACCGCCGTGGAAGCCCGTCTGCTGGGGCATCATGCGCGCGTTTCCGGCACTGGAGAAGCCAGTCTGCTGGGGCATGAGACCGGACCCGGTGCCCTGAGCGCCTGGGTAGCCAGTCATCTGCGGGGCAAGGCCCTGGCGGAAGCCGCTGGCAGGGGGCTGGTTGAGGAAGGCATAGTTGTTGGGCTGGCCGGCTGGGATGGAGAGGTTGGCGGTGGGCTGGGGGCGCTGCTGCTGCTGGGCTGGGTTGAAGGCGGGCTGCACTGGCTGGAGGGGGTGGAAGCCTGTGGGCTGTGCGTTGAGGAGCTGGGGTGGCTGTTGCTGTTGCTGGCTGTAGGGATACTGCCCCCACTGGTTCTGCTGCATGGCGGCGTGGGCTGGCAGAGATACGACACAGCGAGAACAACCCTCGTCATACAACCCTGAACCACAGATTTGATCCCGTGCCATTACGTACTCTTATTCGTTGCTTAACATGCCATAGTGCAAAACGATATCCATGCTTAGATCAGAGATGCAACTCAACACGCTCCCCTACTCATCACCCCTTACGATATACTGCTCCAACTCCTGAGCCCTTACCACCGACCACCAGAATGATCTCCAATGCAGCAACGATCCCTGGTGCCCGTCAGCATCACCAACATCCAAGAAGAGATGAATGCTACTCACCTTTCCACGACGCATAATCACCAAACTCTGCCCCTCCGCCGCCAAACTATCATTCCCCCTCACAATAAACGTCCCCTCCATCCTATTATTCCCCGCCAGCTTGACCACGGTGATATTACCCCCCGCAGAACCGTCTTCCACCACCCGGCCTGTGGATGGGTCTTTGGACAGAGTGAGACGGATGTTTTTGGCACCGAGGGAAGAGGTGAGGTAGGAGGAGAGGAGTTGGAGGGCGTTGTGGGACGAGAGGGAGAGCCAGAAACGGGTGGTGATGGACATGAGATCACCAGCTTGGGTCTGTAATCATGGGCGTCAGTATTGCCGTGTAGGATTGGGAAGAAAGGCATACAATGTTACCCGTACCACGCATAAATTGCGACTCTTCCTTGTTGAAGAATCCCGTCTGGCTGGCCATCCTCTGGTTTCGCCTGCACAGCCAGCCATTTAGCCAGACTCTTGTCATATAAATAGAAAGGTGACATACTGGGAAGTGTATGCCTGAGAAGCACCAGAGTTGAAAGTGGGATCGGCATAGGTCATCATACCCGCACCTCGAAGACCTTGTGTCAAGGCCTCTGGAATCTGCTCGCGGTGCAGCTGACTGGGACTGTACGAGACTACGTATCAGTATACAAGCACGGAGATGACACGGGGTACACACGTCATGCACCAAGGATGCTGCTTGATGCCTTCGATGGTGATACGTTGTTGGGGATCAAGGTGGAGCATGCTCAGCAGGATGGCTACTCGATGTCAGCACTGCAATATCAAGATGGAGAGCACCTTACCTCGTGCTTGTCCACGTATTCTCGTCCAGGGGTCATAGTTGAGCAGTTCGCCGGTGCGGTAAGCGCAGAATTCGGGGCTGTTGTCTCCGGGTTCATCCCATGGCGTATCTGGCAATATCAGCTGCGTTGTTGGCACGGTAGATGGGGGACTTACTTCCTACGAGAAGAGTGTAGAGGACAACACCCATACCCCAGATATCCACCGGCTCAGCAGCGTATCCCGAGCCCGGCAACCCATTAATCTGCCCACTCATCAGTCACGCCCATCGCAGCTAAAACGACTCACTTCAGGCGCCACATATGGCAAGCTTCCTACCCTTCCGCTCAAGAGCCTTGTCTTGCCTTGATGTCTAAAGACGGCACACAAACCAAAGTCGGTGATCTTGAGGTTGCCGTTCGCGGCCAGGAGGAGGTTTTCGGGTTTGAGGTCGCGATGGGCAATGCCCTTTGAGTGGATGAATTCCTGCGGCATGTGAGTTTAGGATGCGCAAGTAAAGCTGTAGGCCTTACCATGCCAGAACACATCTGGGCGAAATAGAATTTGGCGAGGTCCTCTGGGACGCCGACATCGGGCGCTGTACATCCATCAGCGTGACATCCCTCATACTCGCAGACACTCACCAATCTTATCAAACAGATCACCACCAACAGCCAGCTCCAACAGGATATACAGCCCCGGTACCAGCCCCTCCCTCTCCTTCTCCTTTGCTACCAGCTCATGGTGAAGGTACTCTAGCACATAGTGATGTTTCAAAGCTTTGTGCACCTGCACCTCCTTCTGCAGCTCCTTGACGTTGGGCGCAGAGTGGACCGAGTTGGGGTTGACAAAGATGTTGACTACTTTGCAGGCTGCGAGCTGGTTGGTGGTGTCGTCGACTGCACGGAATACCCTGGGACGATGTCAGCGCTGCTGGTGGGAGGGGGGCGTACTTGGAGAAGCCGCCGCCGCCGATCTCTACGCCGATGCGGAAGCCGTTGATGGTGGGGAAGCGGCGTGGGTGGTCCATGTTGGGTGATGTGAGGGAGGTCAGAGGTGACTGGACTGCAAGTGACGGTGCAGCATTCGACGCGACGCGTTTTTGAACCGGTGCCATTTCTGAACATTCCGCACTCTAAACAGCTAGTACCACAGCGAGGGTAGCGGTAAACAATCACACCCAAAAGTCACACCGCCCTATATATGCCATGCACAAACAACACTTCCCCCCTCTGCTCGTTCTCGTTCTCTACCTTGCTGCCACTAATCACTCACCCTTCATCCCCCGGGACCCCACGCTCTTTACCAAAACACCCTCCTCCCGCCATGGGAAACTCCTACTCCCACCCCTCCCGACCTTCGCACGCCCCCATATCCTCCAAGGGACAGCCCGCCCATTCTTCATCCGAGCACGCCCACGTCGCCCAGTCCAACCTCCCCAATCTGCTCGAGAGGCTCAAAAAGGACAAACATGTGAGGAGCATGTCGGTAGAGATCAACTTTGCGCAGACCGAGACGGTCAGTACTGTTTGGTCATGGAGGTGTATTCTGACAACAACCGGTAGCCTGTCCAGTCTTCGGGCAAGCAGAGAAAGGCCGATTTTATGAACAGACTCGCTGCCGCAGAGCGAAAGGCCCGTCCCCCATGGCCGCTACTGTACCCAGCTGATGGCATCACAGATGAGATCCCCTTCTTCTCCAGTCCCCAGAGAAGACTCTCCCACGCTCAGGCGCTTCAAAGCATCCTCCGCATCTCCACCCAGCGACCTTGTGTTCATGCCTGATGCTTCCTCTTCTCCACAGACTCCCACCAAGGCAAGTTTATCAACCCTCCACCAGCCATCACTGACATAGCACAGTCTCGGTCTTTGCGCAACCTCAAGACCCCGTGGACCCCCAAGTCATCTGCCGACCTTGAAGTATGCCTCCCATTATCCATCCCGAGATGAACTGAGCCGTTGTCACAGGCTGAGAGGGCGATGGCCCATCGTCTTCATCAAGAACGCCGTGCCGAGTTTATCGCTCTGATGGCCGAAGGGCAGATCAAGGTCTGTTCTCTGTCCTAATTTTCGCATACAATGCTGACACCCATCAGATCGACGCCGAGCGCGACCGTCTCGCCCGAGATAAACGTTCACTCGTCTCCGCCAAACCCATGACTACCCTCTCTAGCCAGACCGACAAGCCTGCATTCAGCCTCCCTCGTTCTTTGCGCACTCCTCGAAAGGTGAGATTTCACCCTAGACTTAGGGTGGGATGCTGATTGGTACAGCCAAAGCACCATAATGTCGACTATCAGCTGGATAATGTGGAGAAGAGGGAGGGTTTCATGGCCAGGCTTGTGCAAGGGCAAGCTAGAGTATGTCACATCGCTAGCCGAGTCTAAGAACCTTCTGGCTGACTTTTGCAGATCGATGCCAAACACGCGCGCAAAGTGGAGCCCCTTCAAGACCAACTGTCTCCCCACTCTGAAATATTTGCTAGCGTTGACGATATGAAGCCTTCAGACGATGCAAGCATGACTGCGGTACGTTTCTTGCTTGTCTTGCCTCGCCTGTCTTGACCAGCGAGTCTAGGAGGAGATTGTCTTCCAGCAACGCAAGAAGGAGTTTGTCGCTCTGATGGCCGAAGGTCAGACCAAGGTACGTTTACTTCTCGGTCAAGTTTGTCATCAGCTGAAACGTATACAGATCGAGGCTGTCCGTAGGGTTCAGATGGACTCTCCCACTCTCCCGTCTTTCCCAGTGTCCAGCAAGAACCCGATGACACCGCCTGCCTCATCTTACAGCGTGAGCGCCCTTTCTTTCTGTGTATTACAGTGCTGATGACTCGGCAGCATCGCGAACCCACATCTTCGTCCTCATCGATCAACACCACGTCTTCTTGGAAGTCCCGCGGACTCAAGCCCCTTCGCCTCTTGCAGTCTAGCTCGTCTAGGGCGATCACTCGACCCTTCGGCTCCCCGAGCACTCCGACGCCGTCCGTCGGCGACCCAGATGTGAGCATCCCGAGCAGCAAAAAGGCCACCACGGCGAACGGCCGTCTAGACGATCCCTTCCACCGCGCACCCGGCCATGCACAAAAGCCGAGTAAACCTTCTTCCGAGCCGGCCATGCGCTCCACTCGGGAGAAGGGCGACAATGTGTTTGATGTGAGCTTTGCCAGATTCCGAAGCGCTAGCGGGAAGAATATCAAGCGCTTGGAACTTGAAGCAGACCTCAATCTGGAGAGCTTGTCCCAAGCTGTGGCATCGGCCGCTGTCTCTTCCTCTTCCTACAAGGAGAACCACGACACCAAAGCCCGCGACACTGCTGCCGCAGACACATCTTTTGAGTGGATGTCGGACAGTACTGGAGTATACCATGATGCGGCGCAAGATGTGTCTTTGGACAAGGTGCCCCTTACTCCGCCAAGCTTGTATCCCGACGAGACGACGAAGGAGGCCTACCAAACGCCTGTGCTTAGTCCAGAGATTGCGACCCCGGACCATTCCGATACCTCTAGGGTGTCTATCACGGATATCATCAACAACGCCTTCATCGACCCCGAGCATGAGAACGCCAACCTTGTCAAGACCGCTGGCAACCCCTTCCGTGTTCCTGACAAGGTCATGTTTGACTACGACAAGACCTTTCCTCGACAGATGCCTGTGCTCCCAGAGTCGTCCCCGAAGAGCGACCTCTCGACTTCATCCGACGAGGTCAGCCAGTATGTGCCGCAAGATCACAGTCTCATGTCTTTCGACTCTGAGTATTCTCAAGCTACCGCTACCGCCGACACCTTCCACGAGCTCGACAACCTCACCCCGGTACGATCAGATACTTCTCCCGACTTTTCATTCCCCGGAGACGACTCTGGACCCATCAAGTTTCGCCGGGAAAGTCTAAAGGCGTCAAGTGAGGTCGAGATGCTGAGCGGGAGGGACGAGACTTTTGAATCTCTGTCTTCTCTCTGGTCTCAGCCTTCGCTGGTCATCCGGGCGAGCGAGGAGTCTGTCCGACATGTGGTCGAGCCAGTGGTTGAGCCAGTGGATTGCATGCCTTCCGCACATACTGATCCTCAAAACGTATCCGAGGGCTCCAAGAGAGCGAGCGTGGTGATCTCTAGCCCGAATGGGAGTATCCCGGGTATCACCATCTCCGACATGTCTGACGACAACGATGACGACTCGACCCACGACCCTACCACCCCTCCCCACCGTTCCCTAAAATCCAAGCGTGCTCCGGCCCCAAAGAGGATGCGAGAGAACGACACATCCTCCATTGCCTATCCCAAATCTCTTCGACGTGCGCCGACAAAGGACAAGACTGGCCGTGGGCCTTTAACGCCTCTTTCTCCAAACCTGTCTAGGATGAGTCGCAATACACTGAGCCTTGGAAAGTACAACTCTACCCAGCCTACCGTACAAGACAAGGAACAAGAGCAGGATCCCAAAGATGGCAAGAGGACTTTGAAGGGCTTTGCTATGAAGAGGATGAGCATGATGAGGATGAGGAGTGGGAATGGAGAGCAGAGGAGCGTTGGGCAGGGGTTGAGGATGTTCTAGTGAGCTGTGTAAGCCTGACGTCTGGTTTCTCGAACGCAGCTTACTCATCATCAGACTTGAGTCAAACTCTCATCCGCAAGGTTCCACCGACCCTTCTCTACCATACTCTCTTCTTCATCAGACAACCACCACCGACTGGGATTCTCGTTGGCCAATTTCCATGTTACTATTAGATTGACTCTTTGATTTCATCCTTTCGACCGACATAACGTCTGGCCCCTATCCCCTGGCCACTATCCATGAGCATGTTGCTCCATTTTGTTTCATATATGTACTCTCAACATTCGCAAACCTTATCGCCCTAATGCTTTTGTTTCGATAGCCATTTATATAGCACGCGGCATACGCGCGCATAATTACGGATGTATGGACACTCGAGTCATTACTGTCAACGCTTGGCGACGGACCCCGCGCACTGGTCGTTGCCTATTCTTTCTCGTTCCCGATTGCCATCGATCCCGCTGTGCTACATGACAAAGCTGGGTGGAATAGGGAACCACACTGCGGGAGTCGGAAAAGCGCAAATTCTGGCCCAATGTGGGCAATGAGGGTGTTGAATGCAAATAAATGATACATGCTGACAATGCGACGCCAGACAACGGCTCTAAAACTCCATTACACGCATGTAACGCGCCTCCTCCTCCTCTGCGTCCTGGGAAAAGTCAGCAAAACATCCCACAGCTTATTGATTGCGCTCACATCAAAGACGATAATCCTCTCTTGGTCGATGATGATGGTATCAACCTCATCATCTTCGCCTTCAAAGACTGGCTTATGTTTGGTGACCAAACAAGGCAACTCCTTCCCCGTTACCGTCTTTTCAGCCAACACACTAAACTCATAGTCTTTGTGCGCCTCGATGACCGTCTCTTGATTCATCACTTCCAAAGCCCCGCTCTGCAGCTGGACCGCAATGTTGGGATCCTGGAGAGCTTGTCGGACACGGAGAGGATTGAAATCGTACAGCAACAATTTGTTACCGATTGGGATTTCCTCCTTGGTAACGTAACGGTCCTGGTAGACGTAGCAAACCCAAGCTGGTATATGTCAGCCTAGCTCTTCAAAATCGGAGGTATCTACTCACAAGGGACTTTTTGGTGAGGTCCAAGCAGTCTACACTTTGGCGCAATCTTGGAGAATGGCACGACGGGGGCAGGCCGGGTAAAGGTCTGATAGAGCAGGGGACTTGTTGGTGCAGGGAGATACTGTAACAGCATCTTTCGCATGATAAACATGACATAGTGGATGGGCACTTCTGAGTAGGGCTGGCAGTAGAATTCGATGATAAAGACCCCGCTTTCAGGGTCCGGCACAAATGGTTGAGGGTTGGCCAACGGGTAGGTAGGGAACGTATACCTTGGCGGAGGATCGGCTCGGATAGTCATGCGCGGAGGAGGTATTTGATCATCAAAGTCGACGACAAACTCGGGCATGTCGATAGTGGTTACGTGTGTCGCAGTGTGGGGTGGTGGAACTGGCTCGCCCGCCTTGAATGTCGCTGAGGAAAGAGGCGGGAAAGCATAGATGTGGAGATGATGAGTAAAGAGGAGGTCGGTGTGACTCGGCATCGTATCCACGATATCTGCTTCTTGGCGGATAGCAGTCTTGACAGACGGGATGGCGAAAGACGAGGGGCTGAGCATGACAAACGACTCGAAGGTTGACGCATTCGAGGCAGTCAATGTCTACCGGGTGTGAGTCACGGACAATGTATCAAAATGGTCGCACTCACCACAGCGTGCCGACCAGTAGTCCACTGCCATCCACAAAGCATGTCCCTTCCTCCAAATCCAGTGCTCTGGTTCCTCATAACGTACAACCCGTCATCGCAGATTTGGAATCCCATCGACGGAGCCTGTGTCTTGAGACTGATACCAGGCCATACGATAACGGGGTCTTTCGCCTTTGGATGTGGTTGGAACGTTGAGATTGTCAAGAGATGGAGAAGAATCATGGAAGTTGGGACATTGCCAGGATCTTGGAACCCGGGCCTACATCAATCAGTGAAAGTCGCTTGCGGAGAGCAGTTTACTCACTTTGAGCTGATGTATGGGTTATCCCCCGCCTTGTAGATCACAAACTGCGCTGCGACAAACAAGTCTTGACCAGGGTCGAATGTAAAGTCGAGCATATCAAAGTCGAGCTTTGTCACACGCCTGAATTGGCCGTACTCTTCTTGCTCTTCGACATCGACGACATCGCTTTCGACTACAGACGAGTCGTCTTGCTCATCCCCATCCTTGACGTCCTCCCATTCTCTCATCTTGTCAAATTCGTAGACTCCCATTTCTCGCCCAATCGCTCTCGTCCATGGATTTGCGTCTGGCGGGGGTATACTCCTCATCAGGATACCTTCCAAGAATTCGTAGAGCCGCCCCTCCCGTTCCTCAAACTTGACAGTCTCGGGCTCCTTGTGCTCGAACGTCCTGAAGCGAGTCAGGCGCTCTCGGAGCTGGTCCAGAAGGAAGGCTCGGGAGGGAGGTACGAGATGGGGATTCGAGGTGTTGGGTTTGAGCGCATTGGGATTGAGATGGAGCGAGGCCGTTTGTAGAAGATTTTGGAGCTTCATAGAGGCGTTGCCGCTGAGAAAGTCATTTATTTGAGAGCATACCCGGTGACACCTGACGAAAGTCGCTCTGTCGATGTTTTCAAACACCTTTTCAAAGAGCTCATCTGGCAAGCGGAGCAGCCATGCGACGCCGTTGGGATCGGGTACTTCGTAGGGGAGCGGCTCGCGTCGGGGGCGGTAGGGAGAGCTGTCGCTGCTCTGTGGCCCCTTGCCCATGAGTCGTTCTATCATCGAGGCCATGTTGTTGGAAAGGTGAGCAAACTTGAGATAACATCGAACTCGGACCATGATGATGTCCTGAAAAACGGGAAACACGACTCGGCTCTTGCAAATGCATCACAAACATCCAATTCTCAATCGTATAACGGTCAGTATGCTCGCTTGTCATTACGTAATTGTATTGCGCGGGAGACCAGGGTTCGATTCCCTGTTGGGAAGTTCTTTTTTGCTACCTGTCAACGGTTCGTTTTGTAGGTTTTGTAGATTGTCCCTCTACAATAATGATCATTGATAAGGATACAAGTACAGGGCGAATACATGCCAGAACAAACAACAAATTCTCCATCATAACCCGTCCCTATTAGATCTTGTACAACACGACGTGTCTACCAGAACGTCTCGTCCCGATACTCGACCACCGCAGGCATCTTCTTTTCCTTCCTCCTCGCCTTTTCAGTCAACCACTTTTCAAACCACTTTTTCATCTTTGCTCGACTGGTGGCAGGTCAGAATCGCCTCGTAGACAGAGATGAAGACTTGCCTCTTTTCATTACCGACGTTGACTGTGGCTATCATCTTGAGGTCTGGGCCTGGCAGCGACAGTGCAAAGCAAGTCAACTCGAAAAAGCTCGAGTGCTCGGAATACGGAACCCCTGCAGATATCAGCGTACTTTCTGCATTCAAAGGATGTGACTCACCATACATCATGAGATCCTTCCCACTTCCCCTCATTGCCTTCAGATCTCCCTCGCCAAACCTCCTCGCCTGATCCCGTCTTATAACCGTATTCACATCCGGCATCATATCCACCCCTGCCGGCGGAGAGTAACTCCAGCCGGTGGGACGGAATCCGAGGACACGGTCAAAGTGGGGATGGAGGTTGGCGAGGTAGGGATGGAGACGGTCGGCTTGGATGTTGCCAAGTGGGAGCAGGTGAACCTGGGCCTGGATAAAAAATCAGTGAAGTCCGGATGAGAGATTTGAAAACTTGCCTCTTTGGGATCCGAGGTCATCATAGAATGAAGTTCGGGATCTGTTTGGCATAACAAGATGCCCCGCTTTCGCGGATCACAGTAAATTTTGGACCCTATAGCTTTCGCAACGGCTATACGAATGTCAGCAATGACGTCTCCATAGAGTAACACACTTGCCCTTCACTATCCTCTCTTTACCTATAGAATAGGTCCCGATGACTACAAGAGTCCGTCCCTTCTTCTTCTCTTCCTTGACACTTTTCAACTCCTCATCCACGATTTCACCCTTGATTTCATCTTTGACCTCCTTCTTCACCAGCCATCCCTGCATCCTATCCCGCTCCCCCGCCCCATTCTCCTTCTTCACCACCGCCTCCACAACAGTCTCCTTTCCATCCTCGCCTTTCACCACCACATTGGCTTTGCCACTCAACCCCTCCGAGCCCACACTGAGACCCACCCCCGTCACCTCTCCTCTTTTGACCTCTTCCAAATTCGGCGCAGAGGGGGACTCGCCCACTATTTGCCGTCGGGCCAAAGTAGCGCAGGCGGAGATGACGAGAGGCTGGGGAGGGAAGCAGTATTTGGGGTTGAGATATGTTGTGTCGAGATAACAGGTGTGTATGGGGGCACGGGCGATAGCAGGATGAAGAATCATTTTCGGATTTCTGCTCGTTCCGTCAGCCCCATCACACGAGGAGATAAAAGACCCACGCTCGAAAGTCCCCACAGTGGAGATACCTAAAGATCCTCTTGGTCCCGACATATGCACTTGCAAACCCCGAATCACCCGCATTTATTGTTTGAGGCCCTTCGAACAAGAATATCGAAGAACCCGGACAGTGGTTTGCTTCTAGAGGCGTTACCTTGACTCCGCCGGTATTGGGCATTTCAAAAGGGATGTTGTCGGGGAGGCCATGCACATACTTGGGGTTTACTTGCAGCATGTGGACAATGAGGTTGGCCGTCGTTTCAGAGCAGTAGATGGGACCGTGTGTCCAGGACTTGGAGAGGTTGGTATAGTGATCCGAATGAGCATGCCTATGCAATGTAAGCGCTAGTTGATACCAATGATGAATAACCTACGTGAGAAGGTAGGCGGTGACACCAGGAATCTTGCCGTAGCGAAATGCGTCGACAGCTACCGGCATGCCCGTCATGACCTTGTAGAAGGGCGCCTTCCTCCTTCCGACCACTCTCGTCCCGTCACGCCTCAGATCATCTTCGGCCACCTTCCACTGCTCACGCTCCTTGTGGCCAGACATGAGCAATGAAAAAGCGTTCGGGCCTTTCGTCGGAGGCGGCGGGGGCGGTGACGGTTCTGCCGGTGGGGTAAAAGAGAAGGATGATATAGGTCGAGAGGATTTTCCACCATCCTTCATGGAAGGTGGTTCATCCTCTTCGTCTCCATAACCCTCCATGCCCATTCCCTCATCGGGCTCTTCCCAGTCCATACCACCCAAGCTTCCTTCAACACCAGACCCAGATGGGCTCAGACCCATCCCTCTCGCTGGATGCCTAGGCTCATCATCCTCCATCTCCACCCCTGAATCATCCTCTTCCAGCTGCCCATCTTCGGGGTCCTGATCCCTCGCGTCATCCTCATCGCTGGGCGGGACACCATCTTCATCGTCGATAGCGGCGGTATTGATGACCTTGGGCCATGACGGGGGAGGCTCGAAATCGGGGTAGCCAGCAAAGACGGGGGAGTCTGGAGAGGCAGGTTTCTTCACCACAGGCGTTGTCGTTTTGGTTGTCTTGCGACGTTTTGGGCTCACAGGGCGAGAAAGAAGCTCGATGTCATCGTCGTCGCTGATGACTACAGGATCATGGGCAGACCCGTCCACCTGTGTTTCTTTCCGTTTCCCCTTTCGGCTAACTTTGCTAGGGGTTTTGACAATCCTGGAGGGTCCAGCGACGGCTTCTTCTCGTTCTCGTTTGACCGGTCGCTCTGCCGGCACGACATGGCTCGATTGATTCTTGGTGGGCGACTCGGAGCCCTTGTTGAGGAATCCCAGGAGGGTATTCTTCTGGGACGGCTGGTTATTCTTTGCCTTTGGGGCCATTGTCGAACATCTGCACACTCATGGGGGCAACCCAAAGATAAAAGGCAGTTGTACGGTTGACTGGACTTGCATCGAGATCGCGGTCCGTCATCGCGGTCACGTGGTTTGCCACCATGTTGAGTCATCCTCAACGTATCGCTGTACAATTCATGCGAAGTTAAAACGATATATCTCAGGAGGACCCCATCCCACAGCAACTCGAATATGAATCGACGAGCAGCTACATACCAGTCATACGAGGAAATGACCGTGATTTCTATGATGACCGTCAGAGGCGGCCAACTCCGCCCTCCACCCCGCGCATCCTCTCTTGCATCAACTTTTTTGTCCATACTCCTCCCTCATTTCCCTGCACAAAATCACTCAAAATGGCCTCAACAAAACCCACCCAAGATCAAATTGAAGACGCCATCCTCGCTTCCAGATTCGGCGACTTGGACGACCTCAAAGCGTTCGTGGGCGAGTTCGGGAAAGAGGCTCTTGCGGAAGGCAGGGATGAGCGGGGAAACAGCGTTCTGCACATGTGCTGCGGCAATGGGCACATTGGTAAGTCTGAAGTCTAGTGCACGCAGGAGTGTCCACTGATCGCTACTCAGATGTGCTCGAGTACATCCTCCCACTTGTACCCTCCTCTCTTCTGACGGCCACGAACGAGGCCGGCTCGCCTCCTCTCCACTATGCGATCATGAACAACAAGACTGAATGCGTCAAGAAGCTTGTCGAGCTGCCAGAAGAGCAGGGAGGTGGTCTTCCCATATTAAAAGTCTGCCATTATATTCCATATCAATAGGTGACAGATTGCTGACAGTCGTCTAACAGCAAAAGAATGCCAACGGTCGAGACGCTTTCCTCGAATCCTGCTGGTCTGGTGAAGGCAAGGAAGAAGTCTCTGGCTGGATCGAGGGTTATCTTTACCGAGTCGAGGGTGCCGACGACGAGGACTATGAGGCGCAGGCAAAGGAAGTCAAGATGGAGGAGGGCGATGAGGTGGTTCAGGCCGAGGCTTCCGCTGTTGATGAACTCGCGGAGAAGGCCGAGGGCCTTGATGTCAAGGAGAAGGAAAAGTAGAGGGGGAAATAGATGGATCTTGCCCTGTTACTTTGTATGTATAATTCAGTATAGCATGTTTCAAGACCCAGACGATGTTGAACTCTGACTTGACGTATTCGAGACGTCGATCTCCTTTGGCGACGCGCTCACGAATCCAGCGATATGCGATGGGGATGTGTTTTGTTCTGTCGTGAGAGCAGTCTTGTTGATATGATACGGCGAGAGCGGCTGGGAGCGGATCAATCCCTACCTACTCTGCTCAAAACCGACAGGCAAGCCACTCTCGCCATATCATGTCAACGAAAATGCTCCCACAACAGAACAAAACACATCCCCATCGCATTTCTTTGTATTGGGGGGGAGGTGCTTGAGACGGGAAGGTTGGAGCTGGGGATAAAGCGGTCAGAGTTGAGCGTGACATGAGGAAATGTTTGCAACTGTCTCGAGAACAAGAAAACGGTACTATGCATGGTATCGTGAATGCTGGGTACCCAGTAGCCAGTACTGAAATTATCGAGGCTACTATCTAACACAAGAGAAATACTACTTTTCTTTTGCCGATTCTTTCCGCTCATCAAGAGACTCTGAGATGAAGAATACTCGACGGGATTACTATGCCACAAACAAGAGAGGGAGAGAAATTACGATGTTACAACTAGTTCCTTGTCGTTACTTTTCATGATCCTGGCCTGTCGTTAACCTCTCCAAGGTATGCTCTTTGCCACGATCACCCCACAATCCTCCTCCACGCATCCCTCCCCACACTCAACTCCAACCACCTCTTGCCCAACTCCAACCTCCCCGTCTCTGCCACCTCCCCTAATAGACCGCTTGTCGCACCCTGTCCTGCCCCTCCCGTTCCGGATGCCAAACCCACACCAGCCCCTGGACCAGGGAGAGCTTCGCGCTGGGGAACATGGAGATTGAGCGTTTCGTACGCTTGTCGGAGGGCGTGGAGGATGCTGCTTTGGGCAGTTTGGACGGCCGGGACAGCAGGCAGGGCGGCAGCGAAGGATATGAGGTGGAGAACGGCCAAGGCGAGAAGGGGTCTATAGAGCGGGAATGAGCTTCAATGGGGTTAGCTGATGCTTGTCGGTAACGGGAGAAACATACTATGAAAGCGTGCGGCCAACTTCTGTAGAGCAGATGGACTGAATCAAGCTGATAGCGGCGTCCTTGCCCCGTTCCAATAACTGCTGCCCTTCTGGCGACGTCGCAAGCTCTTCCCATGATCTGTCGTCCGCAAAGCACACGGGTGTGACAGTGAACAAGACAGCATACATGTGGTAGAGTGAAAGAATGCTACCGAGGCGTCAGCTGATTTGAAATGTAAGTCAAATGGGTACTCACGGATCGTTTCGAACATCGAATTCGGATGCCCAAGCATCCCAGTGCTGACCAAATTGCGACCAAGGACCCACGAGACGTTCTTCCCGCATCTCGAGAGGATTGCCCGTGGCTGGCGTTTCGCGGTACTGAAACACTGCCCCAATGTTAGCCAGACCACCATCGTCTCATCACTCAACTCACCTTCACCGAGAAGCTCGGCGTACACTAGCCATGCCAGCAGTCTTGAATCTCTCTCCCTGATGGCAGGATCCGAAGTCGGCATCGAGCCCAGCCTTTCACGCCATGGGCCCGAAAGTCTTGTGCGGGTGACAGGATCGAGATAGTCGGGAACGTGACACCTGTCGAGACTGATCAGTGATCGCCCTATAGCGTGATGATCTGCGCTCACATGGTATCCATAATGACAACGTAAGCCCATTCCCGCCAATTGTCCTGAGTTCTTCGGAGGGCATGCATGCCTAGCGATCTTGCTTCCGCCACAGCCAATGCCGCATACGTTCTGTCGTTTGTCCACGTCCTGACTTTTTGTTAGGTGGAAAAGCAGAAAATGTGCAGGATGGACTTACGCAAGCACACACAACCCATGCACTTCTTCCTTTGCCCACTCCCTTCCTTCCCCAATCAACCTCCCCACCTCTCTCCTCGCCTCCCCTTCCAGCCCGATAGTACTCGTACCTTGCCCCTGCTGACCCGCTCTGGCAACTTCCTCTGCTCGCCTGCCCATCATATCCGCCACCATCCCCGGCAAGCCCGCGCCGTCCCTCAACCCGACGAGCCACGGCGTCAAGGGCCAAACCCTCGTCCTGTAACAGTCCCACGTACCCTCTGCGACTGTAAACACACGCCTGGGAGCTACTTGTGCGCGGAGGTCGTTGACGGACGATTGTAGTGTGGATAGGGCGCTGGGTACCCACGAAAGGGGACGGAGGGTGGATTCGAGGGTGCGTTCAAGCGCATGTAGACGGGCGTCGGTGGATGTGCGTGTGGGTGACATAGGACGTTGGGGGATAGGTACTGCAAATGGCGGGGGGTGGATGACTTGGGGAGGCGCTTGAGGGGCTGTTTGGTAGCCGTATGGACTTGGCGGGATGTTGGCGGATGACGCTATCGATGGCGGACCGGGACTGCGGCGGCTGGTCATACCAGAGTATACAGAGCCCATGGTAGAGCCTGGGGGTGGACCCATCTGTTCTCTGCTGGAGGGACGAAATGCGTATTCTTGACCCATAGGGCGGGAGGTGACGGGCGGTGCAGGCTGGGCGCCTGGAGGGTAGAATGAGGCTGGTGAACCTGGCCGGCCGGGGTAGAATGGGCGGGAGGGGATGACTGATATGGATTTCGGGCGGGAGCGAGGTTCAAAGATGCATTGCTGGCCTGCCGTGCGACAGCCCCGACAGGGCACCGAGGACGGCCCATCACACTTCATTCTACAGCCAAAAGTCAGCACAGCAGTCGAGATGGTGTTGGCTGACATGGCCTTACTTTTGCCGCCGACATCTGACACATGCCATCATACTTCTGGGCGCTCTTCCGCCCGTGTCTCGCGTGAAAACCATGGATGACCCCTGTTCGCTCGTACCGGCGTTGGGCCCGCTGGTACTGGGCCCAGCGATAGGCTCTTCGTCTTTGGGCGACGGGGATTCTTCCGCACCTGACCTCCTGGACCCGCCTCTCCACCCAGCGCTCCAGCCGGCGCTTCCGCCGAAGGGGGGCGGTAGCGTAGGCGTCCCTTGTATAGGCGGAAGCTGGCGGGAAGGGGAGATGGAAGGTCCCTGGCGAGGCTCAGGGGAGGGGGTGGATGTTCTCCGCGGGCGTTTAGCAGGCGAGGGATTCATTTTTTCTATGTCCAGGTGAGTTTTCAGAGTACAAGGCCCAGGAGGATAGCTTACTGTATACTAGCTGGGTAGGATTTACACAAGTCGGGCTTTTTATACAGCTTCCGCTTGACGAGATATAGGTCTTTGCCCTCGTTCTTGTGCTCGCGCACTAGCTCCTTGGGACGCTAGTCTGTAGGACTAGGTAGTGTATTATTGGGAAAGACCAGCGCGTGTCAAAGAATGTGTCGATATGGGTGGCTTATTCAAAACACTTCATTCCGCCTCTGCTCTTGTGATTAGTATCGAGCCGGGGTGTCCAGACGACAGGCGGGTCAGGGCAAGACGTGAAAGTCGCGCAAGGGAACAAGGCAAGATGAGATGCGGAGCGGGTGAGTGGGATATGCTGTGAGGAGGTGGCGGGGTGATGAGGGAGAGCGTGGTGGCCCTCTTTTCGGCGTGTGCTGTTGTGGCACGCGAGGCGGAGGGGACCCTGGGTGTGGGCAGGGTGTGGGTGGGCAGGCGGTGTGGATGGCGGCAGGATGGGGTGAATATGGGAGTATACGATGGCAGGGAGGATGGGCGAAGAGGAGAGGAGGATGGCGGCGGGAGGGGCTACGGCGGGGAGAGAGGATGGATCTGGACCGGCAGTGTCTCCCGCCCTGTCCCGTGCCTGCCTCTCCCGCCATGCACATATGCACTCCAATCCGCCGTATCCGGTATCCTGTCCCCCTATGATCCCTATCCCCGCCCCCTGGTCGACAGTCTATCCACTCCAGTCCTGCTTGTTCGGATTCTGCCTCGCGCCGCGCCGCCTGCTGCTGTTCTGTGCCTCCCGAACACCCTCCGAAGCCGCTGTCCAGACTATAAATGTACATCCGCAACATATATCCCACCCCTCCCCTTGCGCCCCGTGTATGTACGCACACGGGTGCATATGGACATAACAGGGGACAGGGGGCAGGGGAATGAGATGATAGACGCTCGCCTGTCCCCGTTCTTCTGGTACGCTAATCACCTCCTGTTCAGGGCTCCGGCTTGACTTCTCCAAACGTCCGAAACAACGGGCGGGTGTCGCGCTTGATCGCGTTTTTAATTTTGTCACGCAGCCCATCTCCCTCAACATCCTCTGCCTCTGCCCTCTGCCCTCTGCCTCTCCCTGCTTCCTGCCCTAGCCGCCCCCTTCCATGCATACCCCTGACCCCTGGTATCCCTGTTGCATCTACGAAAACCGCCCGTGCAGCTGAACAACTGGTCCGCCGCATGGTAAGACTCGGGACTCCGGGAAGGGGCCTGGAACGAAAGTCATCCTGAAGTTCCGCGACCTCTTTCTTTAGTCTGGATTCTCTCACAGTTGTCACAGTTGCCATCCGCAGCCTGGCGCTACGTACGCAACACCAAGCTGCACCAAGCACAGGTGGCACGAAAAATCTCAAAAGAGAGACAAACAACGTCAAGACGTTTGACACCGACGTTAACGTACTCGTTGCTTGACTTCAAGCTTCATAGTGTGATCATTCTGCAAGGCACTTTTACGTACACGGACCACTCCCACCGCCACCCGTTTCAGCGTTCTCGTCATCCCTTTCCACGACCATCCTCTTGCATTGCAAGCCAGCTTCAGGTCATACATATGTACTCGGATCCCACAGACCGCATCATGACATGTCACTCGTGGACGAGCGCCTGTCACCAGCGGCCTGCGGGTGAATCACGGAATCGGAAAGACCGGCACACGTTTTCCAGGTCCCTCGGGCCGTATGCCAGCGTGCTGCCCTATGTAATGCCCCTATCCTGTTCCTCCTTGCCATCGAGCGCCGATACTCTCGTTCTCACTCGATACGACATGTGTATGAGACAAAGAGGTCCAAAGAGGAAAGATGGTGCAAATCAGGATGCGCACTCTGAAGAAGGGTTGTTTTTATGACGCATTTTCCAACTAGTGACCCTGCTTCCAACTACAAGACATAGTACGCAACGTCCAGTAGCATGCCCATGACACTCGCTCGTAGATCATACATAGCAAAGCTACTCCACTTTTTGCTTCGCGCTTCTAACCACAAACGGTAAAAAAACCATTCAAATAGATGTTCTTGCCGCCTTCCGCCTTGCCGGTTTTTTTTCTTGATTTATTTTCTCATCCCGGGATCCGGGACTCTTTTGCATCGTTTGTTCATCGGGTGTTACGGGAACCGGAAGGCAAGTGGGGCCAAAAAAATGGCATGCTTGGCGGACTAGATGACAGACGATGATAGAGTCATCGTCCACATGGTAGTCCTCGAGTGCCACTTTGGGGGATCAGCCAACCTTTAAACCCATTTGACGGCATGCTTTCCTATCAACATCATGATCATGATCTTCCCGGGCCATTGTTGGCGGGCGAGGCGCTTTCGAGACGATGAGGCGCACCGTCGGGCGGCATGGGCGGCGTCTTGCATCATCCCCGCTTGGCAGGTTGATCTACCTTTGTCACCGCTGGCACGGTCCAATGGCTAGCATCCCTCCCAAGGGTCTCCCACCCATTCTTCACATTCATAATCAATGATACGTTTCATGATGGTTTGGTACAACTCTACTTCTAATCCGCTATTCCCTCTCCAGCGTTGCACTCTACGCCGCCACCTTCTTCCCCTTGACCGCCTCATGCATCGCATACTCCTTGCTAACCAAATGGCTCGCCTTCTCCACCAAATCCAACATCTTGCCCAAGTCTCCACTCCACCCGTTCAACGTCCCGTTCACATTTTGCTTCTTCCTAAAGTCGACGATGCCGGCTGGGCGGTCGATACGGGCGTAGACGGTTTTGGAGGTGACGAGCTGGCAGAGGGTACGTTCGGTGGTGAGGGGTGGCAGGTCGAGGAGGGCGGACAGGCGGGGGAGGGTTATACGGGAGTAGTAGGTGGCGACGACGCGGATGTTCTTGATTTCCATGTCAGCAATGACTTTTCACTTTTGATCACCAACGTACGTGCTCGACGACCCGCTTGTGCAGCTCTTCCCACCTCTTGTCTCCCGGGTTCTCAAACTCCTCTGTAGTCTTCTTGGCCTTTTCCGTCACACCAATCTTCTTGCCCAGTGTAGACCCAGAAGCAAAGATGGGCGATTGGCGGAGGGTGGTGCCGTAGATGTCTTCGATACCCTTCCACCGCATGAGCTCTTTGGTGACGAAACATTTCAACAGGTCGCTACTACTCGTCAGCCAGACACAAAGATATATATAATGACGTACAAGTGCAGGGGAGCCTTTTGCAAAGCCGCGTTCGCATACAGCTTGTGGATCATGTCGCTTTGCTCATTGTTGTAAGAAGCGAGCACGACATATATTATAATGTTTTCAATCGCGCTGAGCTCCTTTGCCGCATCGGCCTTGACTTCTTCAGTGTCCCACACTTCCTGGTAGGCCTGGCAAGCTTCAAGGTATTCGTCATCTTGAAGAGCAAGCTGGACTATCAGGTCGTAGAAACGGAGTTTAATGTCCTATATCCCATCAGCTCCTCCCTCATCCACCTCGGGGAAAAACTCACCTGCACTTCCTTGTCTTTCAAGTACACTCTGTTGATCTTTCTGCTTCCCACGCGTACTCGCACCCAGTTGCCTCGTTGACTTTCCAGTCTCATCTGCTCCAAGATGAACTCGGTCTTTTCGCGCTTGTCCATCGAGGAGTAGGTCTCGACCTGGATATCAGACATGAGGTCGGCGGCAGTGTCGAGGTGCTCCTTGGCGGTCAGGGGTTCTTTGGCGGGCTCCTTTGCATCCTTCTTGTCCTTTTCCTTCTCTTTGGAGGCCTTGGAGGATTCGGCTGTTACGGTATTAGCTGGTTGTCAACTTGTACAGATCAAACTCACGAGCATCTTTGGGAGCCGTCTCGGCCAACGCCTCATGGTGAGCCGCAAGCATGCCCGTCAAGCGCGCCCTCGGCAGTTCCAAAAAGATCTTGCCCTCCGTGATATCCCTCAACGTCTTGACCAGCTCCAACCACCTGTCCACCTTGTCCTTTCCGTTATAGTCCCCCTTGTCCCTTCTCTCCCGAAGCTCCGGAAGCCACTTGATAGCCTCATCCACCATACGCACCACCGCCTCCTTGATCTGGCCGTGCTTCTTGGCCATGATGGTCAGTTGGGCGTTGAGCGTGTCCAAGTCCTGGGTGGACCAGCAGAGACGGGCGAGCAGGACGAGCAGGGTGGAAGTGGAGGACATGTCGGCGGCGTTTCGGGTCTGCTTCTCGAGCAGAGTGATCTTGTCGATCGCTTCCTGGAGCTTGCCATCCTGGTTGATCGTCAGTGGCATCGCGGTGGATGTGTGGGGGAGGGCGGACCTTTGTGAGCTGCTCTGCCTCTGGCTCGAGGGCCTTTACTTCGGCAGTGAAGTCGCGTTCTTGCTTTCTGTTATTGAGAGACATGGCGATGGGATGGGAAGTGAATTAGAGAGTTGGAATTAGAGGATACGCTGCGATGAGACGCGTGAGCGTCATGGTGCCACGTCCCACGTGGATTTATTCCCGCAAACGCCGTCGAGAGCATTGTGTGGTTCCATGTACGAGTATAGTATCTCTATTCTGTCGTATACAGTGTTCGAGTAGCAGCTGCCACTGGTATGTGTGACGGTTTCAAGAACTCGCATCAACATGGCGGGTAAATGGGACATAGTCTAAACTCGCAATAGCATTCTCTCGAGCCCGAGGTCACCAGCCATCCATCAACCATGATATCTGATGCTCCCTTTCGTGATGATGCTCATATCGACGGCTTCATGGGAGAGTGACTGCCAGAACTGTGACGAACAGATGGGACATCGGTCACTCCACCGAGGTCATCTGAGAGATCTGAGAGTGGCATGTAGCACACGTTCATCAGTTTAGCCTCTTCAATCATGCTTCTCTCTTCGGTCACGCTCAGTTGATTTGGATCATTACCGAGAAGCCCGCTCATTCCCCTTTGACGTCAACCGGTCAACAGTATACTACCCTGGCCCGGGTAAACCAGAGTAATCAAAGACTCCGCAATGGTAGTACGAGGTCGAGGTCTGTTTCGCCGGCCCGCCGAGCCGAACAAAGGCGAACGCAAGCTCGAGACGGTCTTGCGCTGATGCACCTGTACATGCAGCCGTATAGAGTCCATAGTAGAGCGATTAGACCACGATTAAAGTCTGCGATGCATCGACAATGGTAAGCTAGCACGATTCCTGCACCTGATTCATCGGGCCAGAGGTGGGGGAGATGTCGCAGATCGTCTTGAAGGATGGGAGATGGCAGAGAGGTGATCGTCGGATGGGCAGCGTCGACAGACAGCGTCCTGGGTGCGTGGGTGGTGGCCAGGGGGGGTTGAGCGAAGAAGGGCGGGAGCAAATAGACAGCAGGGAGAGGTGACATACGAGGCTCATTCATGGTTCATCTCCCGCGAAACCCAAGATTACGGGATCGCAGAGACGTCACCCTGTGATTTTCCTCTTTCCCACTTTTATCTTCTCTTGTGGCTGCATTTCCATCTCCACATCCACAGCACCCGCCGCCATGCGCCCGACGCAGACACCATAGCAATCACCCGTGGACCAAACAACAAACACCGACACCAAAGGAGGAGCGGAGTGCCGACACTGGGCGCGGAATACAGAGCAAACGAACGATTGAGGCTGTGAACGATGCGGTCCCCCAGCAAGAAGGAAGACCTCGAAGCCAAGTACGACGTTGTGCTCGACTGTGAGTGCCCATCCAGATGCGGTTGGGTTCGGGGGCGAGGTAGCTGTGTGGGACGGACGGCTGTCTACATTCCATCGCCCCTTTCATGAGCATCATCGCGCGACATGATCACAGGCTGACATTCAATTCTCCATCTCCACTTCCATCTTCACCATGCTCGTCGTCCCGTCCATGACCCTCTCTCCTCCGTCCCCTACAACACACATCGACCGCGTCCGCCATCTCCTCTCTTTCGACCGCCCCGTCTACCCCCTCCCAGTCCCCAACCTCGAACTCCACTCGGCCGCAGCGAGCGGTAACGTCGGCCTCGTCCACTATGCCCTCACCCACGGCCAGCCTGTCAACTCGGTACTCCATGGCGTGTTGCCCTTACATGCTGCGTGTTCCGGAGGGAGCCTCAGTGTTGTCAGGATGCTGATCGAGCAGGGAGCGGACGTGAATGCGCCGAGATTACCGAGAAGATATAGTGATGGCAAGAAGGGTACAGCGCCCAGTGTTGGAACTGCAGGTGAGCATTAACAGCTGCGAGGTATAACACGCTAATGTCGGTAGGCTCGACACCCCTGCATTTCGCAGCCGCCAATGGCCATGCCCCCGTCGTTCAAATGCTCCTCGCATGCGGCGCCGACCCTTCAAAGCCGGACAAGAATGGGCACACTGCACTAGACCTCGCCGAGCTCAGCAATCACGACCAAGTCGTCAACGTCCTGCATGCGTATCAAAAGGTACAGAATGAAGACGCTGCTACATCTGGCGAGAGAAGTCCCGCAGCCAGCAGCTTGGCGCTCAACGATGGCGAGAGTGTGGTTGAGCACGGCAAGGGGAAAGAGAGGGAGAGGACGTTTAGCTTTTCGAGCCTGAGGTCAAATGACTCCAAGCCGAAAAAGGGACTGCAGGCGCTGCTGTCAAAAGCCAGCAAGAGCTCTCTCACCTCAGAGACCCCCAAGGAGCGCGCTCCGCCCCCTCCAAGACTACATCTCCCCAGTGAGGCATCTGCTCTCGACAAGCTGGCCTCTCCGTTTGAGCTCGACACGCCACAAACACCTTCGCCCATGAAAGGCGACAATACACCTCTCTATACAGACGGGAGCACCGGCTCATGGCCGTCTTTGCCCCTCAGCCGTCAATCGAGCAATCGTTCGGCGACAAGCCAGACATCCCCTGGTATCGCGTCCCCCATACCACGGCCTCCTCCTGCTCGTGCCCAGCATTCCACTTCCTCCCGTCGCCCGTCGCTACCATCTATATTCGAGAAAGCGGTCCACCCTGGTGCTGCTTTCCGGGCTGCTCTCCGACACGAATCAGACCATGAAGAAAAGAAGAAGAAAGCGGCACAGCAAGACTCGCATCACCATCATGGCTTCAAGAGGCTCTTTAGGCGCGCCCACTCTCCGCCTTCGCGCTCGCCGAGTCCTCCAGCGAGAAACCCAGAAGACAGGGTCATCTCGGCAGAAGATCTCGATGCCGGGATGGCGCGCTTGAAACGAGCGAGCTTGGATATGGAGAGGCCCGTGTGGGAAGACGGCGCGGGGATGGGCAAGGAGCCGATATCGGCACCGGCTACTAAGAGCCGGTTCTTTGAAGAGGAACTGGTGCCGCCGTCTTCTAGCTCTTCAGGCTCTTCGGGTGTTTTGCCGAATACTTTGAACCCTCCCCCGCCTTCTTCCGTCCAGTCGACACCTTGTACGAGACCAAGGACAGGCAATGAAGTCATCGCGCCGAGTCCTCTTGCCAATGAATGGGCCGGTGATGAAGAGGGGAGACTGAAGCGGGCGTGGGAGATTGTCACCCGACATAGTTCGGCGAGCTCGTTGCCCACAATCAGCTCTCCTACAGAACCCAGCCCGGATCTGCCGACTTCGCCTGGGTCTACAAAACCTCGATCATACACGATGCCAGGTTTGAGCAACCCGATGACTACTGCCACAAAGTCTTCTACTGGGTCAACATCAAGCCGGCCGACTGACGATTTGCGCAAGCTGGCAGCCGAGGGGTCGATCAGAGAGATGGAGAAACAGTCTGTCAAGCGAGAGATGGAAGGGGAAGAAGGTGACGCAGAGGTCGAGCCAGAAGGAGAAGAATGGCATGATGCGAGGAGTGTGCTGGAGGCCGAGTCTACTGCCAATCTAGCGGACAGTGCGATCAGCCTGAATGAGGGTCCTGTCCACACCTCTTCCAGACCAACATCATCCCACTCCCTCTCACATACACGAGGGAGCTTCAAGGGCGGTAGGATCAGGAGCGGGAGCATAGGATCGGTGACGACGGATGTCTCGAGGATATCTTCTCCCCCGCCGTCACATATACGGATGTCGAGCATCACCGATATTGCCGCCGCTGACGACAGTGCCGAGGATGACGTTCCGCCTCTCTCCAAGCCCCCATCTCTGCACGGGGCGTCACGCCCCCGAGGTAAATCTCTTTCATCCAACTCATCTGGTAACTCGCACTCGCACACCTCGGGCGACCACCAGCCACTCTCGTCAACGACTTCGACCAGTTTGACCGTTCCCTCGTTGGCGCCGGCTGCAGTTCTAGGACATGCGCCAAGTAGCAATTCGCTTGCATCTTTCCCTCCAGTGCCCGAACATGCTGCTCTCTCTACCACTCCTTCCTCACCGTCCCTTCACCGACGCCTCACCCATTCCCGTACCATCTCATCCCGCGCCGAAGCCAAGGCAGCGATTCAAGAAGGTGAAGACGAGATTCTCTTGCTCGCCCAGTTGGAGCAGGATGGAGAATCCAAAAAGGATTTGGCGGCAGTTTTGGCTGCTTATGGAGAGAGTCATGAGATTTATGCAGAGATGGAGAGGAAAAGAGGGGTGAAGGACAAGGAAAGCGCGCATAGGTCGCGTGAAAGCAGTCGTGATAGGCGTAGGTTTCCGTTATCCATTTTCTTATGTATGACTCTGACATTTTTGCAGCCACCGCCCTCACAACCATCTCCGCCCCGGACGCTCGATCAGACATTCGCTTGTCCAACATCTATGACAAGCGTGCCGAATCCTACCGCGAGCGTCTCGCTTCTTTAACGATCCCTGCCACTGGCCCGCTCAAGGCCAAGCCTGCGCCTACGAGTAGGACCAGACAGAGACAAAGGCAGCGTGCGGTGTCAGCATCGGCGAACGATATGTGGCTGAAACCTGGATCGGCTGGGAACCGGATGAGAAGTGCCAGCGGCGGTATCCCTCTCCAATCCAACTCTTCTACTTCTGGTATCGGCTCATCTGGCAGTTCGGGAGCGGGGTGGAGGGATAACAGCAGGCCTGGGAGTGTTTTGGAGAGAGAGGAAGCACTGGAACAGGAGGATGACCGTTATCCGTGGATCAGTGTGCCCAGGCCAGAGTCTGTGGGCGTCGGAGTGAGCCAATCTGCTGGTAGGCCGAGGGGACTATCGAATGCCAGCACGGCATCGCATAACGTCCACAACTTTATCCTCCCCGCTCCTGCCCACACATCAAAACATCGCGATACCATCTCCAGCTCTCCTTACACCCCTCACCCTCGAATACCTTCCTCAGGTGGGACTACCATCTCCATTTCGGGCAACAACCCTTCCCCTTACGCCTCGCTCTTCTCTCACAAATTCACGGGTACGCCGTTGAATGACGACGAGAGCGAGGATGAAGAGGCGGAGAGGCAAAACTATACGGTGATTGAGAATGACTGGCGTGGAGGCCGGGTCGTGGGTGCTGACGAGCTGGGATTTGGGGGCATGGGTCCCGGGGGTGCTGGACTAGGCGGGGCGGGGGCGGGTGACAAGAAGAAGTGGGGGTTGAGAAAGTTGGGGCATCATCTCCATCATCATCAGAAATGATTTTCGCGTGTGCTTTTGTGATCTTTGTGTTTCATGTCTGCTTTCATTTTCTTGGGGGCTATTTTCAGTATCGTTCTTGTTGGTGTAGCCAGTCTGTCCTGTAACACTCATTCACGACATTATCTTATCTTGCTTCTGATCAGAAACGTTATATACATGCCACTTTCATACCTTGGGTTTTAGAACCATGTATCGCTTTCACGATTTCTATAGACCCTCATGCTCCCTCTTCACCTCGACTGCACTTCCCACCACTTGTTCATAGATCCCTTCTACTCTCTCGGCCAACGCCACATCTTTTGAGGTGACTCCTGGGCTCATTTTCGCCCCGCCCTTCGTTGGCTGGGGATACGGCGGTAGCGGCGTATGGGTGTGGGTGGAAAGCTCAATGATGTAGTCTGACTGGGACTGAGGAAATATTAGGGTAGGGGAGGGAGGGGCGTAGTCGGACAGAGGGGATATGTGTATTGTAGGGTGGTGCTACGGCTTTTGTCAGAGAGATGCATATTGCGGAGAAAGGCGGTATTACATCTTGCTCCTCAACAGCCGTCCCCGCCATTCGCAAAAACTCCCCAACCCTTCGCCAGCCCTCTTTGCCTTCTCCCATCTCAAAGACCCTCACCAGTCTCCTGCCTTGCAAATCTCCCTTGTACAATTGCGCTTCAATCGTATCATCCAGGTTTCCCTCTTCTGAAAGCTGTGTCCCTGACTTGAGTGACTCGAGACGCCATCCGCGGACATGTAAGGGGGCGAAGGCGGCGAAAAAGGCTTGGGGCTGGAGGAGGCGGTAGGGAGAAGGGCGACGAGCTTGGGGGGCGGATGAGAGAAATCGTACGGGCAGAGATGTCCTGGGAGAGATTTTCCTGGCGCATTGTGTAGAGGACGTTAACACACTCATTTTGAATGAAAATATATAACAGCGCTTCGAGAAATTCCAAAATGAAAGAGGACATGACGCGCAGACCGACGGCCGGGGCGGAACTCTCCGCCGTCCCAATCCGGCAAGTAGGGACCCGATGCCCCATCATCTCTTGCATCTCAGTCGTCTCGCTGCCATATCCATCACCATGAAGTTCGCCCCCCTCCTCCTCCCCCTCCTTGCCATCCCCGCATCCGCCTCCATCGCCAACGACGCGCTGTCCTGGGCGAGTGAGCTCGTGTCCGGCGGAAAGGGCAGCCTTGCCACCGCTCACGGCGCTCATGTCGCCGAGGTCGACGGCCCTATCAGGACTATGGACTCGTGGAGCTATGTGGACTGTGGTATGTGACCTTATATCTCGCTTCGGGACGGAAAGCTGATGGTCAGGCAGGATTGGCCACTGACGCCATGTAAGCTCATCGGCCGATGATAAGACATCTAGGGGACTGACGAACGTGTCTCTAGCCAGCTCAAGTCTATCAAAGTGTCTCCCGACCCCCCTGTTCCAGGAAAGAACCTCACCGTTAGCGTCGAAGCCGACGTCCTCGAGCGTATTGAGGTGCGTACCTGTCATCAACTCTCTACACACCTTTGTCTTTGTACTGCTGCTAATACGACGATCACAGGATGGCGCCTATGCCGACGTAACCGTCAAGCTTGGTTTAATCAAGCTTCTTCAGAAGCAGTTTGACGTCTGTGAAGAAGCTGCCAACGCCAACGCGTCTGTCCAGTGCCCCGTTGAGCCTGGGCCTTACAGCGTACAACACACTGTGGAGTTGCCGGAGGAGATTCCAAAGGCCAAGTTCTCGGTCCAGGTCAGGGGATACACAGCCGAGGATGAGGATATGGTCTGCTTGGATCTGTTTGTGGACTTTGTGAGTTGACTCTTGATTTCTGTGAGGAGTGTCACTAACAGCGCCGCAGATGAAGCCCAAGAACTAGAGACCTCCTAGAGTGACCCCCAGAGTGGTCATTCCCTCTCGCCGTAACCGGCCGCGTCTGATCATCAGGGAGGAATACTTTGGACGTGTAGACATAGTGGAAACCTCCATCTAAAGAGACTGGAAAGAACGTTTGGAAATGGCATTTTCTTCTTGTAAAGCATGCATAACTTGTATATGTTCCTCTTGCAGTGTTTCTATCGACGGCCCAGGAGTATAAGGCTTCGAAGACACCATGGGCCATGAATGCTCTTGTTGATTGAGATTCAGAGCCGGAACAACAGTACCCCCCATTTACGGACTCCTCTCGGCTCTCCGCGAGTTTTTGATACTTCTGTCCCTCGCTCGCATTATCTATCTCTGACAAGCCACTGAAAAGCTTTCGTCTGCTCTCGAGCTTCCTCGACTATCGGCTCCCCAATACAAAGCTCCAAAATGTCCCTCAGATCTGCCCCATCTTCCCCTCCGCCATTCTTCTACCCCTATGACCCCGACTCGCCTCTACTCGTCATCAAGGGCATCATCTCTACTGGTAAGTGGTTGGCCATAACCACCTCTCACTTTCACTTGGCATGTGTCTTCTGGTACTCGACTAATCATAGTCTCTAGCTACTTTCGGAGCTGCCACAGGCGCCTCGATTGGAGTCGCCCAATCTCTCAATCCCACCGTGTTGGCTATGAACATGACTTTGAACATGTCTATCGCCGGTCTTGGATTCTTCGGTAAGTATATGTCACAATGTCTGATATCTAGCTGATACCTTCAAGCTCTTCGAGAATACATCATCTCCCCTCTGCTGTTATCAATAGAAGCCACCCCCGGCCACTCTATTTGTCTGCACGAACTCCAACGGCGCCTGGATCCATTGGAAACGATAGGACAAGGAGAAGCGCCGACAGTGGGGCAGAGGAGAACTGAGAGAATTCTGGATAGTGCTCTAGCTGGAGGATTGACTGGTGGGGTATTGAGTGCTGCTTTCCGTGCGTCTTGTGTCCTTGATCCCGGGGTGTGATGCTGACCTCGACGTGTTTTCTAGGAGGCAGGGGGACATTTGGGAAAGCCGCCTTTACTAGTGGGCTTATAACATCGACATTACAGCTCGGAGTAAATCAGTTCAGGGTGATGAGGTTGAATTACCTCGCTGGAGAATCATCTCCTTCACCTGCTGGAAGCACTCCTCCCTCTACACCGCCGCCCGTATCGTTACCACCCACCCCCACATTCGACACCCTCAAATCTGATCTGCCCATCCCCCAACCAGCCGATAAACCTTCCCTCCCCGAACGGATGATGACCTCTCTTTCCACCTTCCTTCCCGTCCGCAAGCTCACCAACCAAGAGTACCTCGAGACGCTGGAAAAGAAGAAGGAAGGGGTGGAGACGAGGTTGAAGGAGATTGCGGATGAGGAGGTGAGAATGTATGAGTGGGCAGACAGGCAGGGAAAGCAGCCTTCATGATCATGCATCAGAGCCTGTTCGAATGGCTTCGGGTCACCTTTTCCCCTTGCTACCACACGAATACAATCGAAAATCCCCCAGCTATTACACAAAGCGCAATACTAAATCAGTCACGCCTGAAAGCCAACAGATCTGCCTCTGAAGGAATGGAAGAGACAGAAGGGGCTTGGGACAAGTCGCGGAGTTCGGGACGACGACCGCGGGACCTGCTTCGAGAAGCGTTGAGGCCTTGTTTTTGCTGAATAAAGTCTTCGAATCGGGCTTTGTCTGCATCAAGTGTGAGCTAACCATTGCGCAAGGGACACGGAGGGCCTACAGCTGGGATGCCATCGAGATAGGGCGGGACGATTGAGAAGCACATCCTCCATACTCCACTGCATCCTCGCTTTGTCGAGCGACTAAGGCTCTGTTAGCCTTCTGTCGTATGTTCCAAAGTACAGCACAGCACTCACAGTACTGGTCTCGTTATCGGGACAGACCACATAAAAGTCTCCCTTCTCAAACACCTTCTCCACCATGTAATCTACTGTTTGTTCCGCTGTCCATGCACCAGGAGGTTTGGTAGCGTTAGGAGATGCACCGGCTAGAGGGGTGAAGGTCCAGCCGGGGATGAAGAGGTGGGCTGAACAGGGAGAATCTTCGGCGCGGAGTTCGTGCGCAACTGTTCACACATAGTCAGGACCGAGTGTGCAAGTTCAGGTACACTTACGTTGCTCTGTGTAGGTTTTGACAGCCGCCTTGGAGACGTTGTACCCAGCCCGGCCACTGACATTGTCAGCCTTATGCCGAAGGAGGGAGACTTACGGAGGCGCAGTGATACCCTGTTTACTACCAGTCACCAAGATCACACTCGCATTCTCCGCCTTGGCCATGAACGGCGCAAATGCTTGGCAAGTATTGAGCACGCCCCTAAAGTTTGTGCTCAACACCTTATCCCAATCTTGCTGCAGCTCCTCAAGAGGCGTATGGAGGGAGAAGGCGGGAGTGGGTGCGGAAGTGCCAGCATTGGCCATCAGAATATGGACCTCGCCAAACTCGTCGAGGACGCTATCGCGTAAAGAGATGATGTCTTTGATGCTGGTCACGTCGACCTTGAAGCCCAGGACGGTCCCGACGCCTTCGGTGCCCTTTACCTTCTCGAGTGCCTGATCGAGGGTAGCTTGGTCATAGTCAGCGAGGACGATAGACAGGCCTTTCCTGGCGTAATACAGGGCAGATGCCAGGCCGATACCAGATCTACAAATGTCAGGTCATAGATCTGGGCACACGACGACGACGGGAAGGCGTTGGACTTACGCGGCACCAGTAATGACGGCGACTGCTTTTGCGTGGAGGATGTCAAAGTTGGCCATGGCTGTCGCAATTGTATAGCACTGCGAGTATAATCGTCGAAAAGAACGAGAAGATGAGGCTGTCACCACAGCAGCCGGCGGGCCGATAAGAAAGGCAGGAACGGAAGGACCAGATAAGAGAGCTTTGATCCCGCTAATCAGGCCAATAAGTGTCCTTCAATTGACTATCCATGTTAATCACAACAACTATTCATGTTGAATTGTAAATGGTCAGCAAAGCTTTGGTCACAGAAACGGATTCAAAATCTCATATGTTACTCGCCATATTTCCATGCTGGAGTAGAAAGACTCCGACGTCATACAAGGCTACATAGTTGAGTGAGGGCCGAAAGAGGGATGTCCGTGAACGCGAATTGCTGCAACAACAGTAGCTACTCGCCCTTCGGGCAGCTTCCTAGTAGACTGCTACATATGGCTCCCGTGCATTGTGCTTCCATGCATCCGCTCAAGCACAATGCACAAAGACAGGCAGCTTGGCTGACGAGAACCAATTGAAGCGGCAGCTAATTATTACCAGCCGCGATTTTCCACATTTTCTCCCAACTCTTACATCCACCGTCTTTTGCCTGGAACATTTCGTGCTGTGACTATATTCTGTCAAAAACAAGCACAATGTCTCTCAGAATCGCCCTTCCCCGTCTCAAGCATCTCCCGCAACGACTCATCCACACCTCTCGTCCAGTCTTCAAAGACGATGTCCCTACAGCCTCGTCCACTCCCGAAGGACTTGGCTTCACGCCCCACACCGACAGGAAGAGAGAGTTGCCCGATCTGAAGATCAATATCGGAAGCAGCGCCAGGAAGCACGTTATCGACAACTTTGTATGTTTTTGATATTTTCGCTCCATCTGCGAGAAAGAAATCAAGCTAATGGAGAGTAGGTACCTAAAGGGAGCCGAACTGCAGCCAACCCCAACACAGACGCCGACTTTTTCTCAGACTCCCCTGCCCCTCAGCGTCAATCGCGTTCGCCCCGACAAGCTGGCACTCCCCGACGAGCTCGCGCGACCGATGCAGTAGCTGCTGAGGCCTTTTCAGCTACCGGTACCGACAGGGCACTTCCTCCTGATGTCGCCCGTCGTACGCGTGGAGACCGGGGGGACAAGCGTGGAGCTGGGGCTGGATCGCGAGATTCTGGGAGGGAGAGGAAACCTAGGAGGGACAATGCGAGAGATTCGGCACCCAGGAGGGCAGGTTTGCCCAGGAGCCATCTGGTGTACGCCGAGGCAGACCAATCGAAAGATGGGTTGTTTGGCAAGAAGGGATTACTGGGTGCCACCAGTCATCGATCGTTGCCTTATAGCAAGGGTATGTCTCCTGCCGCTCTGATACGTTCCTACGAGTAGCTGATAATCCCGGCAGCCAAGCACCCCATTCCTTACAACACCTCCCAGATCATTACTCCCCTTCCCTCTACCCCTCTTCCCATTCTCTCGCCCCATCCTGCCAAGGCTGCGTCTCAGTCAGTCCACGTTGCAGACTGGATAGCTGCCTTGAGTCCGACTATCGGTCAAAGTGGAAAGGAGGAGCTATCAGAAGTGACACGGAGGGTTTTGGGTGTGAAGAAGTAGAGCTTTGGCATGTATGGCATCACGAGCTTTCGGCATCTTTCCCCGCTATGCTGAAATTATTGCGGCTGTGCCCCAGGTTTTCCCAAGCGTATAACAAGCCAAGTCCTTTCAACGACAATTACTCGCGGTAATACACTTCTCTGTCAAATACCATTTAGCACCCTGAGCTATGCAAATCTGCCACGAGCGCCAGCGTCAAAGACGGGAGGGATGGCTTCAGTCTTCCCTGGCCCGGGTACGTTGAACCCAACAGTCCATCGTGATCTGCTCTTCGCGAAACACCAAAAAGAAGCAACAACGACGACACCCGGGATTCCCAGGTGGTCCCCCACCCTGGTACTAACCGAGCGCTCTCCTAGTTGACTTCGCGGATCAGACGGGACGCGGTACGTACTTTGAGGAGGCTATGGCCGTCGATGCTAGTTATTTGGACGTGCCAACCAAGCGCAGACTCGAGGAGATACGTGATCGTTTAACGTGAATGGAGCTTGACAGAGACAATACATATCCACTCGACCAGGTATACCAGTACATTTTTTGGGCTAGTATACATTCGTTAGGCTATAGAGACCACGTATATAGGACTCTTAGTAGATCTTAGGACTTAGGACTGCAGTGTGTGCCGGACAGCCGGAGAGGTCGAAGTGCGCAGGCGGACATGTCCGCTTTTGATGGTTCGCCACCAACCGCTCCGCTGCAACTCCGCTGTCTTAACAACAAAACATCAATTCTCTCTATCACATTAAGTTTCATCCACTCTCGCCACTGGTCAAGTTGGCGCCGCATTTCCTAACGGAACCCCTTAAACAAACCCCAAAACCAAAGCAAAGAAACAGTCAAAATGGGTGGTGGAGATCTTAATATGTACGTTACACTCTTGCCCCGCATCTGGCCTCTCGCTGACATTGCGCGCCTAACAGGAAAAAGTCCTGGCACCCCGTCCTTCTAGTCAATCAAGAGAAGGTCTGGAAAGCCGAGAAGTCTGCGAATGAGGAACGCAAAAAGCTTGCCGACCTGCGCAAGGAGCGCGAGGAGGAACGACAGCTTGAAGAGCTTCATCGGCTTCAGGAAGCCTCGACGGGAAAGAAGAGGGTGGAGAAGTTGGATTGGATGTATGCGGCTCCTGGAGCTGAGGGAGGAGCGCTAGGTGGGGCGAGGTTGGGTGAGAAGGAAATGGAGGAGTATCTGTTGGGAAAGAAGAGGGTGGATGAGGTTCTTGGGCAAGGAGACAAAAATGTGCGTAGCTTATCGATCACAAGAGGGTACAACTGACATTGAACCAGGTTGGTGCAGCAAGCCGAGAGTTTATCGCCGTTCAGAACGCCAACACTGCTCGAGACACTGCCTCCAAGATCCGTGAAGACCCTCTTCTTGCCATCAAGAAACAAGAGCAAGCCGCTCTTGCCGCCCTGATGAACAGGCCCGACATCAGGAAGCAGCTGAGAGAGGCAAAACTGAAGAAGGAAGAGAAGGAGAGGAGAAAAGGAGAGAGTAAGGAGGAGCGGAAAGCGAGGAAGAAGGCCGAGAAGCATGCAGAGAAGGAGGTGAGTGCCCATACATTTATGGCGGAGCAAATGCTGACAGTATGCAGGACCGACGAATGTCGAAGCACCGATCGCATAGAGACCGGGACTCGCGGTCACCAGTCTCTGATTACTCTGATGATCGTGACAGGCGACGCCATCGCGACTCTTACGACAACCGTGACAGAGACGACAGGCGTCGCTCCCGCGACCGACCTCGATCTATCTCACCCAAACGAGAGCGAGAGTACAGCAATGATAGAGATGTGGATTACAGGCGAAGAGATGACAGAAGGCCCAGGGATCAGAGCCCTAGAAGGGATGGGTACAGACGAGATGACAGGGATGACAGAAGGAGGGATGACAGAAGGAGGGACGACAGAGACGACAGGAGGTGGAGGGATGAACCCAGAGAAGGGCGAAACGACCGCGCCCCGCCGCCTCATCATCCTTACCCCGTTTCTGCACCATCTTCGCGTCCTCCTCCTCCTCGTCCCCAACCTGCTCCCTCTACCGTGAACCCCCAATCTCAAACGCTCGAAGACCAGCGTGCTGCCCGTTTGGCCGCCATGTCTTCTTCTGCCGACCAAATGTATGCCGAACGCTCCAAGACCCTCGCAAACAGGGCAGAGCAGGAGAGGTTGGAGCTCGCACGCGAAGAGAGCATGAGACAGAAGTATGGTCAGGAGCAGGCGAGCGCAGGATTCTTCAAGGCGCAGACCGGCATGGGTCTGTCCGAAGCGCTGTCCAGGAGGGCGGGCAAGGGGCTGTTGAAAGATATCTAGAGGGATTATTTGTATATGCATGTATCTGTTTCGTTCTTGTTCCGTGTATGCATGGTGTCTATGCTCTCTGCGGGTAGGATGCATGGACCAGAGTGCAGCTATCCGATGCATACCCGCGACTGCCCCTACAGGTCATAGGGTCTTGCAACCGCCACCCTTCCTAGCGGGGGATCAAACACAAATCGAATAAATCTCTCGCCTTTTACTAGAGATATCCGTGTATTTGGTCCGCAAACCCGTGTTCGAATTTCTTTCCTCCCACTTTCATGGGCAATTTAAATCATCTTTTTGTCTTTTTGCCATCTGCTTCCGTTTGTTTGGTTTCCAGTCCTGCTTGACTGCTTGTTGATTCCAAGTTGATTCAATCTCAAAACATGACCACAAGCATAACAGTAAGCCCTCGAGTACACCCTCCAGCTCGACCTAACACTCCCAGGACGCCCGCTTCACTGTCCTCCACCGCTCCCTCACCGACACCCTATCCCTCTCCTTCGATGATCCCCCCGAGACAGGATGGTCCGTCATGCCAGGCTACGACGAATCCATTCCCATCCCTTACCACCTCGAACCCCCTCGTCTAGATGCAGACGAGACACTGCCGTCTCAGATGCACCCTTCCTATCCCTTCGGTCGCCCCGTGTCTTCAGGTAAGGGCCGAGGAGGGGCAGGGAACGGGAAGCGGAGAAGAGGTAGAAGAGTTGGCAATTTATTGGGGACTGTTGGGGGGCGGGAGGAAGGAGGCAGTAGCGGACTGAGGGTGGAAGGGTTTGGTGCGAGGGGAGGCCTTGGTGGAGGGCCCGGAGGGTGGGGAGGTGGTGGAGACGGGGACGGATGGGAGGAGAGCGGATTGAGGGAGATTGTGGAGAAGGAGGAGAAGAAGGAAGTACCTCCTGGCATGGCTGTGCGTATGGTTTCTTCCTTTTGGAAGCTTGCTGATCGTGATATAGGGCGCTAAACGTCCACCGACTCCGCCATCGCCATCCCTCCACCCCAATCAACTGCCTCTTCCTCGATCAGGACATCTGCTAAGACAGCTGGAAAGACAGCAGTTAAGAGAAGCGATACAAGCAGAATTGCAATTCGACGGCCCAGTGCCGAATGAAGTACCAGCAGGGCAGAGAGGAGACGAAGCTGAGGGCGAACAAGGAGGTGGAGATGGTGGTCAGCAGGAGTAGAGGTATTGATTTTTGTATCTATCATCTCATTCACGAACTCCTGAACTGCATGATGAACTGTGTAATGGGCAAGAGATGTACAAATGTGTTTAATCATGTGATGGTACATCTCGCAGCAGATCTAGAGTCCTACAAGATACCATCTCTACACCGAGTCAACCCTGGCGAGACCGCCGTAGACAGCCTTTCGGACCTCCCCATAGATCCTTCCTACACTTCCTTCGACAACGATCCTGCCCTCCCCGACCTTTCTAACAGCCACCACCTGTCCTCCCTTCCTCTTCTCCTCTGCCACTACCCCAGGCCCGCAGATCAACACACCTTCTCCTGCAAACTCTGCAGGGATAGGCGGGTCAAGTAATGAGAGACGGTATTTTAGACGAGCAAGACGCAAATCGCCAATGAACGTAGACGTCGGTAGGGTCAAGGGCAGGTTGGACACTGTCGGAGCACTGGGAGGAGGAGTAGCCTCCTTGGGCGGTGCCTCAAGCTCGGCAGCAGATGGTTTGACATCTTCCTCTGCCGCCTCGTCTCCTTCGGCCTCCTCGGTTTTGGGGAGGGGCTGGTACAGGTGAGAGGCCTCCAGGATGGGAATGGTGGAGCCCGCTGGGAGGATGATCTTGCCGTCGACCATGGTGACTTCGTAGCCTTCGAACTAAGACGACCATTAGCGAGAACAATGTTAGTTGGAAAATCAAGACCTACTTCAGACCACTTCTTGGCCAAAGCGGAGGTTATACTGTCACCAAGAGTGAGGGAATAAGACGCGACGTGTGTACCGATCTTGATCTCTTCGTCAAGGGAAGGAGTGAAAATGTCTTTGGTGAATCCCGATATGGAGTGAAGGAAGGTGACGAGGTTTTGGGTCGCTTCTTGTGTTGATCGGACCAGAATCTGTCGCGCCATGAGCATAGTCTGGGAGGCAAGAGGGTACTTACAAGCTTTCTCGGCTGAAGGTCATTGACAATGGTCTTGATACTCTGCCCGTCATGCAACCCATCCATGTCCACGAACCCGATCTGCGCTTTCATGTCCACCGACACCAGCTGGTTCACAAACTTGCTCGGCACCTCCGGTTGGACCTTTGCCTTCTCTTCCTCTTCCTCTTTCCTCTTCCTCGCTTCCCTCACTTCTTCTGTCTCTCCCTCTTCCGCAATTTCTCGACCCTTGCGCATCCATTGACCAATGTCAAGACCCTCACCATATTGATCGATTTTGCGACCCTTACGCTCGACAAAGGGGAACATTCGGAATCGCGCCATCTCGGCGCCTCGACCAGAACGCATCTGCTGACCTTTGACATAAATGTCAAAACTCATTGTTCGCACATCCTCTCCGTCACCGGCAAAAGCATTCGCTCCTTCTGCTCTCTTGACCGTTGCGCCACCAAGCTCTCCCTTCTCTTCAGCGCCAGCCAACGCGCCGTCATCAGATTCGTCATCAGAGTCGGATTCGAGATCATCGGCTTCGAGCATTCGCCGGGAAGAGCGTTCGAGAGCGGCTTTTTGGGCGGCTTCTCTTTCTTTGGTCAGCCGAGCTGATTCCAAGTGGGCCTCCAGTTCGGCACCCTCAAGGGGGACCTTGGAGTCGATCTGTAAATAATGTCAGCTTGATCGATGGGGAAGAAGACAAGAAAAACACACCTCAACTTGCAGTGTTCCATCTAATGTGGCGAGCTTTCCAATCTTGCCTTGTCCCCACTGCTCTCCCTCGCCCTGTTTCTCTTCCCATTTTCCAAACAAGTCTCGCCCCAGCGTCCCTTCTTCGCCTCTAGCCGTCAACAAAACCACATTCCCCTCGGCATTCGCCATCTCCGTGAACAAGAACCTGGAAGGCCCGTGTGACATATTGGGAGGTACCGCCAACACAAGTTTCGGCTGGGACAGAGGAAAGGCGGCTAGGAGGTCGGCAGGAGAGGCGAAGAATTGCAAGTGACGGAAATCGAGTGCCCCGTATTCAGAACCAAGCTGCACACGGGCAGGTCGACCCTTTTTTCCGGGGCGCGTCTCAACCACAGAGTCACCGCTATCTTTGACAGTGCCACCCATCCACTCGATGAGCGACCGGGCGAAAGTGATCATGTCCTGCGCGGTCCGGCTGACGATGCAAAGAGGGTAGGGCCACATGGCCATCTCGCCTCCCGGTTCGGCTCTGAATCGCTTGTTCCCTTGTCTAGGGGTACGCTTGAACGTCCAGTGTTGGTCAAGAAGTACGAGAAGCTCGAGTAGTCTCGGGGAGGGGTCGACTGGGAGGAGGAGGGAATGGTTGGATTCGAGGGTGGAAGAGATGAGGGAGATGAGGGCCGCCTCGCGTTGTTTTCGCTTGGGGTTGGTGATAAGGGATCGCCCTGATTCTACTATCAGAATGTCTGGGCGTTGGACGCCGTCGGCATAGCCAGTGGGTCCATTTTGAGCTAAGCGAAAAGTCAGAAAAGGGTTGCAGAGCAGCGGCAGAAACTCACCTCCGACCATACCGTCCAGATGCCTTTCACTAGTGTGATTGATACCGACAGCATAGAGAATGGTGCCAGATGTAGGAGATCGGATTTTGAACAGACTCCCACCAAGAGTATGTCCCGATGGGAAGGGCGTCAAGAGCAGATGTGAACAGTCTCCGCCCAGGTGTAGCGGTTGGTTGTATCGTACCGACTTGATCCAGTCAAAAGCTTCGTGGATCTCTTCTGACGTGGCTACAAGCGGACCTTTCAATGGCTTTCTTGACACTTCTTCTCCTTCACTTGATGATTCCCCGATGGCCTCGGCAGCTTCCACTGGACATTCGGACCGCCAGCTTTCTGCTTCGGCAAGACACACCACTCGTCCCATCTCTACGGTTGGCTGGGTCGCATATACCGGACATGTGAGGCCCCATCTTGCCCGCGCATAAGGATACAGTGACAAGTAGTTTGCTGGAGAGTGCGATAGTAGGACAAGAGACAGCGTAGGGGCGAGTCTGAATCACAATGAGCAGATGTCCCAGTCGTGGAAAGCCCATTACTCACTCTCGTACTTTCTCCTCGTACTCCCAAGAAGTTTGCTGGGCGCTTGCTCGGTAGTCTCTTTGCCCCATATCCAGTAGGATGCGGGCATCATCCAGTTGCAGGAGGTAAGAGATGGGTTCTGACGATGAAGACTCGTTTGCCGAGGCCGACAAGGGTGTGAGAGTGATCATGGTGGGGCAGCGTTGAGATGAGGGGTTGAATAGAGGGGGTGAATGGCGGAGACAGGAGGATGAACGAGGTGATAGATGGAATTAGAGAAATCGTTTGAAGATTCAAGTCAAGAACGAAAGTCAAGAAGACGACAATAGTGTTGATTAGAAATTCCGAGCTGAGATTTGTATTCCCTCGAATTATTATTAGTTCTCTTGTTTCATCAACACATCTCCTTCTCTGCCCCGCCTTCCTCGAGAGTCCCAGGGATCCATCTGAGCATGCTCTGATATCCCCCAGCACGAGTAAATCCCCCCACCCCCCACGAACACCGACATGTCCACCTCTCCGAACTCCCCGACCAAGAAATACTACTACGCTTCCCGCCCCTCGTCCCGTCCTTCAAGGCAAGAAAACAGTTCCTCTGACTCGGCTCAAGTCCGGTCTCAGGCGATAGCAAAGCTCAAACGAGCAGCATCTCTGCCCAGGCAGCCAAACGGTAGGCGGCCAGATGCACGGGCCGCACGAGAGGAGGTCGAAGAGCCCATCGAATCCGTCGGAGGCTCACGTCCAGTGCTCGAGAACGCAACGCCCGCCAAACAAAAGGGGCTCGGTGCTGAATATGGGGATGAGCAAGAGATGCTCTCGCCGTCGCCAGTGCACACTGCGTTTGACCATAGCGCAATGTACCCGTCGCCAATCGATCCAACCAATGTGCAACGCTCGGCCTCGGCAGCAGACTATTACAGCAGACCCTACGATAACTCCATGTCTCCCATAGGCAACCAGACCCCAGACTGGCATGCCATGAAGCTGGCCCAGTCGTACCTTCCTTCGCTCACACCGACCAGCATCTCTCAATTTCACCCCCCGCGTAGTACCCCAAGTCCGTTGCCCACCCTTGGCGAGTTGCGGACACTGCAAAGGTCGAATTCGCAAGCTGCACGAGCGCATGCGATGAACAAGTTGACTGGCGGGCAAAACATTGCAGTGTCAGACGAGGACATTACGCTTCACCCTTCACCTTCGAGGAATGGGCTACAAAGAGCGGGCACCCTGGGAGCTCCTCGGGGGCTTGGTATACTGGCCAGAAGAGCCAACGTGGAAGAGCCAGGAGTCAAGATGGAACAGTCCAGCATCGATCTCGAAAAGCCTCGGCCCCGGCTACAAAGAAGCTTCACTGTGTCGTCTTCGAATATGGGAGAGGAGCGCCGCAGTGCTGTCGGAAGGAGGATGGTAGAGCGCTTGGCTGAAAGGCGTGAAGCGAGCAAGAATGAAGAAGCAGAGGTCAGAAGACTATGGGAAGAAAGGCGAGCTGCCGCTGCGGATCTTCCGGACAGTGGTCCCATCAAGGACTCCCAAGACAGTGCTGCCCAGTCTTCTCCTGCTCGGCTAGGTGAGCCGCTCCCTGCTGCTTCCAACGACATGCTTGCTGCTCCAGCTATCGACAATGACCGGCCTATATCTGGCGGTACTTTTCGATCCGCTCAATTTGAGTATGAAGATCATCTGCGAAGAAGTCTATCCAGTCGTACGGCTCGAGGGGCGCTGGGCACTGCTCCAGAGCCTGTTCCCACCATCGTTACGGATTCTCAGGGACTAGAGCCTGAAGAAGAGCATCTGAATACCCCAACATCTGTACGGCCCGGTGATACGGCGGCTACAGAAGCCTACCTTGACGAGTCTCCCCTTCTGCCTCCCCAACCGTCATTTGCCACGCCAACTCGTTACACGAATCACGAGACCGTCGAAGACGAAGGGACGCCGACTACATCCACTCCTGGAGATTCGACTACCATGTCGGGGTTGGATTCCATGATGTTTGTGATGGATGGGACTCCGACGGGGCAACACAGTAATCAGGCAGGGGCGATCGAAGGAAATTGGCCGTCAGATATCGGAGAAGGGGGTAGTGAATGGGGAACTCCAGGTAGAGATATACATCGTGAGTCTTATCATCGCAGTGCCCCGAGCTCTACTGACCAGAGCAGAATCTCAATTCATCAACTCTCCTTCATTGTTGAGCTCGCCTGATCCGAATTCCACCAGCAATGGCCACCTCTCACCTTCGTTTCGCGACTCGTCTGTCCTCGAGAGCCGCATGTCGTGGGAAGAACTCCCGGTAACGCCCCAAGTTGCAGAGAACTCTTCTCATTCTAGGTCAGGGAGTGTCAGCGCGAGGATGAAGCGCTCTGTGCAGTCTGCTTTGCAGAAGCGTAGTCGAAGCAAGAGCTCCGTCAGCTCAAGCCCGCCCGTCTCTCCTAGTCAAGGCTCCCGCGGTTCTGGTGCATCTGGCACTCCTTCCCAAATCAGCATTGCGCAAACCCAGTTCCCACCCCGGCCCGTAGCCCAGCACCATCCGTCGATTTCTTCCCTGGCTCCGTCACAAGCAGATTCGTCGTCGTCGAATCTCCTGATCCAGCACCAACTGTCGGCCGATCCCTCGCAGGTGTCGCTATTACCCAGAGCCAACCTGAATGATCCAAGGATCCACATGGCCAAGATGTCGCCCTTCCCGGGGATCGATACGCTCGCAGGCGGAGAAAGTCAAGGACGGCTGGAAGCGCCTCCCAAGTTGACGCAACAGTATTCAGACTCTGTTGTTCCTTTGACAAACTCGGCGCCTGAAGCCCGTGACATATATGCTCTCCCTCTCGAACCTCGTCCCGCGTCTGTTGATGAAAAGCACGGCCCAGTGAAGCGTCTTTCGGAGGACAGCGTCAACAAGAAAAACTGGCTCGCCAAAGCTCTCGCTTCTCCTCGAGCTTCCATTAGCCGAAAGATGAGTAGCGAGTTCCGTGCGCAGCGAGAAAACAATACGCTGGGGCAAGGTGCGATGGTGATTGGCTCTGATGTTGACCCGTTTGCCAGCCCTCCCATGGGCGCCACTCCGACATTGGGGCAAGGAGCTACCCTCTCTCCTCCTCTACCCACCAGGTCAAGAGCAGCAAGCCCCACAATTTCAATGGTACCGGAAGCGAACGAAGAAGGCAGGGCGACACGGTTTGCCGGGATGAACGGTGGGGTCGTGCAAGAAGCAGGAGAGGAACAAGCATTGCCGGAAAAGTCGGTAGAGGTGCTCAAAAAGATGGACGAGGTACTTGCTTTGGGGCCGGATGATCCTGCAAGACCAGAAATCTTGGATGATCCACCTCGCAAGTTCTTGATGTCTGCGCAGATATTGCAAGTCGTCAATGCCAACGTATGTGTCCTCTATTCTACGCCCAATTCTGAAACTGATGTTGTGGCAGACTGTCAAAGACAGATTCTTGTTCTTGTTCAACGACCTTTTGGTTGTAGCCAAGCCACTCATCACCGACGGTATTCACGCCACTCTCGATATGAAATTTCTCGTCAAGCATATCGTGTCCCTCGACAAGCTGTCCATCTCTGGAATCACAGATGAACCCTCTTCATCAAACGAGCCCGAGAGGCACCCGGTAGTCAATGGATTCATCAAACGTTTCGCCGGAGATCCTGAAGAGGCTTGTCGGTATCTCGTTGAGAGGAGCCAGCCGAGAGTGGACTCTGCAACGCTCGCGAGTTTGATCTTTAAAACGCCCGAGTTGGACAAAGCTCAGGTCGGCAAGGTCCTGTCTGGAGATGCAAAGCTGGCCAGAGCATTCGTCGACAGATTCCACTTCAATGCCGTCCGAATTGACGATGCTCTCCGCATGCTCTTGCTGTCCATCCGCTTGCCGACCAATCCCATCGCATGCGAAAATCTGCTCTGCATGTTTGCAGAAGGGTACTATGAAGCCAATCGCGAGCGCGTACCCTACACGCGAAAATTGACTTTCGAACTTGTCATGGCGATAATGAGTTTCAATGATGCGCTCTACTCGACGTTTGGGTTCGCGCTGCCGAATCATGCGATCACGTGGGAGACGTTCATCAGTGCCTTCAGGAGCAAAGACCCTAGGGGGCTTGTGGCAGACCAGGTTCTGTGGGACGTGTATAGCTCTATACGGTCTATGCGTCTCATCCAGGCGCTAGCTTCCCACGAATACCGACTCGAGCGTCCAGTGGTCATGAATCCTTCTCGACTACCTTCGAGACTGACCTATGGTGTCTGGTCTGAGCGGATATACGTCTCCCTTCCTGCAGCAGACCCAATGTTGAGGATCAAGTTGCTGGGCGAGGGATTGGAGTTTGATCCGCCAGTGCTAGACTTTGCAGAGAGCTCGGAAGAATCATTCCGCGTGAGAGGTACTAGCTTGGGGTCGAAGAGCTTGTTGTTTGATCGAGTCGGTAGTAATGCGTGAGTAAATCTTGACTCTTGGGGTCCTCAGCTGACATGGATACAGCGCCCTCTACGCAGGTCTTGGTAATACGCGCCACTTTGTTGTCGAGCGTGCCTTCATGCGGTACACTTTCCAAATAGCCTTTGTCAGCCATCTCGGGCTCAAACGCAAATACTGTTTCAGTGTCAACACCCCCGAAGCCCGCCACAAATGGGGCAACTTGCTTGAAAGACAGATCAAACAGACTAGGGCGTCAAAAGCCGAGTCTGAAGAGGTCTCTGGGCATGATGGAAGAGTGCGTCAGGCTATCAGAAGGAATGCTGAGGCGGTGTCACTACAGGTCTTGCGAGACGCTGTCATTCCTGCCGAGGAAACGAAAGAATCTGCCTCAGGCCCCACATCGTCCTCCATCGCCCCTCTTGTCTCAAGGCCGGCCACGGCGGCCACCGTCCGGCCTACCACTGGAACAGATACCGTCAGCCCCGGCGAGCCAAGCGGCCGATTCAGGACAGCATCTATCAGCGCTGCTTACACGCAGTATGCGTTGAAGGAGGAGTATGACCTGGGACCATTAGTACCCACAAGGGGAAGACCGGGAGAGGCATCTGATGCGATGCTTCGGTCGCAGACGGGAAAGGAGCTGGTGTTGCTGTGTAGGCAGAATAGCTTGATGTCGGGGCTGTTGGAGCTGTTGTATGCGGGGACGGGGAATGGAGTCAGTGAAGAAGAGTTGGAGCGGTCAGAGAGGTCGAGGGGAGTTAGAATGTGACCGGGTCGTGTGTTTGGGGCATTTTGTGAATAACGAACTCTTGATGATCTAAGGATGATACTTGTAGATAGCTGTGAATGACATTTGCTTGTATATTGACTGATACTGATGCATCCATGTGCCAATACAACTGTACGCTACTGATTACAAGCTTCCTATCGTCATCTTCTTCCCCTAGAGTCCCGCCCCAAGCCCTCCCACATTGCGTCTGCCGATCCACTTCTCTTCGTTGAACCCCTCCTCGTCGGCTCTCTCTCAACATTCTCCTTTCCTTTCCCCGCCATTTTGAAAAGCTTGGCCAAAGGAGAAGAAGACCTCTTTAGCCCCACATCCGCTGTCGCCTCTTCGTTCAACAATGACCCGCGTCGACTCGGTGTCGATGTTGTAGAGTATACAGAGACACTAGAGCACGACCCCCTCTTCTGCCCCTTCAAGCCAAGAGGGATCTCATCGGCAAAAGTAACTGAGAGGGTACGTCTCATGCCTCCCGCGAATGGGGGCGCTTCGCCACGCACATGGAGGATAGACGGGGAGGCAGGCGCACTGATCCTCTCCATCGGGGGAGCATGGAAAGGATATCCCTCTAGCTCAGCTTCTGCTGCCGCTTCAGCCGCCAGCCGTTCATCCGTCGTCGGACCATCCCTCACCCCCGAGATGGTGACGGGCGCAGCCCTTGGGGTGATGAGGGACTCGAAAGACGTTGCCGAGTTGAACGACGCGGCAGAGGGCGAGAGGGAGGGGAACTGGTATTGAGAAAGCGCGTGGACAGCGAGGGAGGATGTGGTGGGGAAACGATAAGGATTTATGGGGAGGGGAATGGAGTGGGGGGCGTTAGGACGCCAGACGGACTGATCTTCCTGTCGAGGGAAGAGAGGCGGGGCGTCCGCCAAGGAGCCTCTTTGGGAAGGACCGTCCTCCTCTGACGACATTACAGACTGCCGACGGGCACTTTCTCGAAGGGGAGATGAGCCGATAGGGGCAGTACGGGCGACAGGAAAGGATCCGGTCGATCGTTCTTCATGCAGATGGACAGCGTAGCGCGAGGCGGGTGCGATAGCGCTGAGAGCGTTCCGGATAGGTGAGGGAAGCTCGGGGAGATGAGGTGCACCAGTATTGCGGGGAGGAAAGGCGTAGTCTGTGAGAGAACGTTGAAGAGATGGGCGAGATGAGGGACCGCCGAAGGTGTAGGAGGATGTGTCTGGGATGGGGAGGTGTGCAGGGAAGGGTGGTGAATGGGGTGGTGGATACGAAGAGATAGGTATGGTACCCAAACCATCGACGAAGGAACTCTCAACAGGGTCTGGAGATAGAGAAGAACGCTCGGGGAAGGAAGGGGACGGGTGTGCAGGCGTAGAGGCATAGGATGCCGTCAAGATCTCGGCTTCTCCATCATCCTCGTCTCCCTCGTAGTGGTGATGGTCTGACGAGCTCAGCGACCACCGACTGAGCATTTCCCTCAGGTCGCTCCTCCTGCTGGTATCGGGCTCTTCATCCTCGTCCTCACTGTCGCTTTTGGTATTGACGACGTCCGAGTACCTTCTCCGCAGAAGCCCAAGCCGCTGAAGCTGGTGCAGACGGTTCTCGTCCACTGATTCAAGGCTGTACCCGCCAGAACTTGCCGAGCTTCGAAGTCGATGGCTCGCGTAGACGTTGTGCAGACCACTGGACTTTCTTCTTCTGGAAGTCGAAAATCCAAAGCCGACCAAACTCCTGTTGCTGCTCCTTCTACGCCCTTCTACGCCGCCAAACGAGCTTCTCCGTTCCTCGTCTTCCGACAATCGCATTCTCGTTCCATAAGACAGCGCTGATGCCTGCTGTGAAACGGACGAGGCCGTAGAGCTGCGAGGGGGGAAACACCACCCAGGCGACCCATGACGAAAATGAGGAGACTCGTCCCACTCGTCCTCAAGAGGTCCCCATGGGTCGATGGACATTGCACTACCGCGCCGGCTGCCGGCTGCTTCTTGGATCTGGCGTAGACTTCGAGGCTGGGACGACGTGGATGCGCGAGACATGGTGTAGGCCGGATGGAACGGAGAAGAGGTGGAGAGTGTAGGTTCGGGCAGGAGATGGCGGACGGCTGCCTGGGAAAGGGCGGATCTGAGAAGAGTAAGTGGGTGGCCTGCTGGAGAATGGGTGTCTGCTTACTCTGAGGGCATGGCGCGCACTGGGGGACCTGGAGGGGATGGCGAGGTGGATGGCGTCGTGGATGGCGTCGTTGATGGGAGGGGGCGGGAGGCACTTTATGCACTTCAGTCTTCATACATCTGTCTGCGATTCCAGCAGCCTCAGCAGCCAGCATCGGCCCTGCAAAAGAGTCTCTCAACTACGTGCCTGGCTCAGGGACGCTCAACAAAAGGCCCGACAGCAAATGCTCCGACCATCAGTGCAGCATGTCGTCCAATGCGGTATTTTGTATACGATGTCACCGGGATGCCTGATGCAGAGCATCACTACAGAGTGAGTGGTGAGGCGGTCTGCCCAAGCAGAATTTGGATACCGTTGGAGCATCGGCAAGCCCCCCGAGGGCCGAGCAGGTGCTCACCTCATCTGACTTCAAGAGCTGTTGCTTGATCATTGTCGATGAGGCCGGTGATTGTCGGTGGGGAGCACTTAGAGCGCTATAAAAGCTTACACATTCTGGTGTCATGTTGATCGATATGCAAACATGCATGATTTAGATACCGCACATGGCGAGAGAACGAGAAACGAGAGAGCTCGTTCTCATCCTCGATCGAGGCGCCTCTTCTGGAGCTTCTGGCTGGTCATTGCTATGTATTTCAGAATTCAGAGTGCTCACTGAGAACATTGGCCGGTATAAGCTCACAGACAGGGAGTGACATAGTAGATTCCTCACTACCGCTGACATCTCCAGACTTCGAAAGCGATCTGATCTGCATGGAAGACAGTCCCATTGCAAGCGATGGGCCCACGTAAAGAACGTGATTTGGAGGTTGGGGGCAGCTACCCGAACCTCAAACGCCTCTTTAATCTATACTTTAATCACTGACAACGAGGGGTATGATGCTTCGAGGGGAGGGGATAGTCATGATGTGATATCAGTGTTCATTCGGAGACCGAGTGATATTTTCATCGGGTGCAAAGGTGTACTCGTACCAACTTCGAGTCAATTCAATCGAAAGCTTCGAAAGCAAAGACCGCCCTCTCACTTGCATGCCTCTGAGTAGCCCAGGACTGCCGCCCACCTGCAAAAGAGGGGGATGCCAAAAGCCGAGGATGCGGACAGCCACGGAAGAAGCCCGTCCCAACCTTCTAACTGCCAATTCTGCCAAACTGCTGGCTGAAGAGAACGAATTGCTTCAAACAAGCAGCAGAAAAAGGATGATCGACGGCACGGGCGCTCAGGTCCGAGATCCGGTGCCTAGTAGTAACCCCGAGGCCCGACGCGAGCTTATTTCAGTCATTTCCTACATACGTAACAAGAGACGAAGCGCGAAGGTGACTGAGTACTCAGTTACTCACTGAACGTATCGAGGAGTGCATTCTGAGGGCACTGGAGTGAGGAGTGAGGTGAGCCCGTCACTGGGAAGATGAAAGCCAAATTCAAGATTCAAGACGAACCCAACAACGCCGGTTCATGATCCTTGAGTTCCCCGTTCGGCGATCCCCACCCCCTCTATGTAGAGAAGTCGGTGGCCGGCCTGGGCCGGTGAGGTTCAGCACCGCAGCGAGCAGCGAGGCTGCGTCAGCTTTTACGTTACATGAAGTCTCACGAATGGCTGCTTCTTGCAATCTCATATAATACCCACCCGTACGGAGTGCAGCTGTAGCTGGCGGCGCTTCTAGTACCGCAGGAGGAAGAAGTTGATGTTGTCGTCAAAGAAGACCTTGAGAAGTATCACCTGGGGACGCCTCAGTCCTTGGGCGGTCTTGCATCCTCCACGCATACGTCAAGTCTACATAGTTGTAACTTGAAGATCCAGGAGTGTCATGGTTAAAGGAGTCATCTGTGTAATTAGTTCATCCAATAGATTAGTTGTGTGTTTGTGGACCGTGCTCTCCGTTGTTACACGTATCAGAGTCTTTTTCATAGTTTTCTTCTTCTTCATATGCGACAATAACGAAAAGGTTTTTGCCCCTTACTACAAAACTCTCTTCAGCACGTCAAGGGCACTCCCCAGGCGTGACAAGGAGTGGTTTTCGCCTCATACGTATCTTTTCGAGTAAGCGGCCAGCAGCAGAACCAGGATACAACAAGCAAACTCGCTGACTCATGGAACTTCTCACTCCAAGCGGTTGCTCTATCGCTGCGGCCTCTTCTATTCATTCTCCTTTGCAAAGTGGTGGCCTGAAGGCCCTGGGGGGCGGCGTTGATCTCGTCGCGTTGGCTGACAGGCGGGATTCGCCGCCTTCATGAACGTCATCTGCGCTACGCACCTCTTTCATTTGTCCCAATCCTTTGTCCACAATTTCCTTTCTCGACCAAATCAAGCCTCATCCGAGATCTTGAGCTAAGCGCCAGATACAAACATTTCCTCAGGAATGGTGTTCTCAAGCACAGCACTAACCCTAGCAAAGGTGCTCTTCCCCCCTGCTCCGCGCCACTACCCTCGGGCTGACCATCCGGCTCATAGTACGCTCTCGGCACGTCAGCTGTCGGCGTTACAATAGCCTTAGGGGGTCTCTGGTACTTTCAGCGCAAGCTTATATATCCTTCCAACCTCCCGGAAGGCGCTCGTACAGGTGAGTAAATCTCATATATCATATCTTTCCACATTGACATGCTGCACAAAAGTGGTCCCTAAGCCTATAGATGTTGGCTGTCCTTACGAAGAAGTGACACTCACTACCTCTGACGGCATCAACATCAAAGCCTATGTCATCCCTGTGCGCCGGCACCCATCGTCTATGTCGGATATCCGAGCGTTAAAAAAAGAGGATAGGCGGGCAAGGGCGGAAGAGGAGATGATCAAGTGGGCGGCAGAGATGGGTGATGAAAAGTCCATTTTGGTGAGTGACGATCAACAGGTAGCGAAGCGTGGGTGCTGACGACGAGTCAAGTATGCAAAGTCGAGGCCGACGGTGGTCATGTTCCATGCCAATGCGGGCAATATGGGGCATCGAGTGTTGCTGGCCAGAAACTTCAATGTAGACCACAGGTGCAATGTCTTTATGCTCAGTTATCGAGGGTGAGATTTCCGCTCGATTTCATTCACTCGTGCTGATCATCATACAGGTATGGGTTGTCGGAAGGAACACCCTCGGAGCATGGTAAGCTGTCTCGAGCGGTGGAAGACCTATTGCTGATACTTTGTTACCAGGCCTAAAGCTAGACATCCAAGCTGCTATGAAGTATGTTGAGGCCCACCCCATACTAGGAGATACCAAGATTATTGTAAGCCTCGTGGGCGTGTTCAATCACAGCTGACCCTTGATCAGCTGTACGGGCAATCTCTCGGTGGCGCCGCCTGCCTCTACGCCGGTAGTAAGAACAAGGACATTGTGAGTCATAGGCCCCTTCTTCATCCGCTTGCTGACAAACTCCAAAAGGTAACCGGCCTCATTCTCGAAAACACATTCTTCTCCTTGACCACCCTCATCCCCCTCATCCTCCCCCAGATCCCCAAATTCCTCCTCCCAATACTCCTCACAGAGCACTGGGACGCCTCCAAAACGCTGCCCCTTATCCCTGCCTCCACCCCCATTCTCTTCCTCGTCGGCTCCATCGACTCGCTCGTCAAATTTCCACAGATGCACAATCTGAGAAAGCTGCGGGAAAAAGACGGCGGGAAGTGCCAGTGGAAGGATTTTGAGAGGGGAGATCATAATGACACGTGTGTCCAACCAGGCTATTGGGATACGATCGGTAGGTGGCTCAAGGAAGAGATTGAGGAAGGGAGCTTGGTGGTGGTGGAAAAGGAATCTAGTAGCAGTGGAGAAGAGTTCAGTGAAGTGACGAGAGAAGAGGCTATGGAGGAGAAAGCGTCCGCCTAATCAGGGTGGATTTGTGAATAGATGCTGTGTATAGAGGGTGACATGCCAATGTAGTACTCATGATACCTGGCCATATGAATGCTATCTTCTCCAGTACTGTCCCAACTCTCCTTCACTCCCCTCACACGCTTTCCTAACAGCCTCAGCCAACTTGCCACCCTGATCCCACCCAGCCCAAGCCTTGGCCACATCCAAGCCCAGCCGCTTCACCTCCTTGTCCTCCAGCTTGACCCACGCCCCCGGTATATCGCCCCTCTTGGGATGCTTCACCCAGAAGAATGCTGCTAATTTCTGGGTAAATTGGGAGAAACCGGAAAAGTCAAGTAGGGAGTATGGTTGAGGGTAGGCTGCGGGGGCTTGGAGGGCTGCCGAGAGGAGGAACCGGAGAAGGTGCTGGGTGGTTGAAGGGGCTTTGGGGCCCAGTTCAAAGAGTGTACGGGGGATGGAGTCGAACCACCCTTGGATCAGCGGCCGTATAGACGAAGAAGGAGGGAGGTAGAAAGGCAGTGTCATGTACTTTTGCTCGTGCACCTCAATGAGAGATATCAAAAACTGATCGCCCAACTCCCGGATGAGAGAAGTAGAGGATTGGCGGAGGAGGTGGTTGAGAAGCGAAGTGCCGACAAGAGAGGGGATGTCGGCCTGCTCTGAAGTGGAGGCTGGCGGCTGGACGAGCAAATCCCAGACGATGGGAAGAAGGGCCTTGTACGTTTCCGGTGTGAGAGAAGGGGCAAGGGCGTCCTGTGAGGGAGCCAACACGTCCACCACCCATTCAGCCACCTCTTCCATTGCCCACTGACTTTGACCGGCCTTGCCTTTCCCCTTTGCACCTTTCTCAGCCGTCTGCATCTTTTTCCACGCCTCCTCGGTAGCCTTGACTCGCTCTCGCCATCCCAACTCTTTTGCCCGGCGGTCCACCTGCGTGGGGTAGACCAGCTCAACCGGTCGAGGAGCAAGGAGCAAAGCGAGGTCGGCGTAGGCCAAAGACAACTCGAATTCTGGTGTCACGCCGCTCGGTGTGGGAGCTGTCCTAGAAGCAAACGGGAACCACGCCGTCATCCGCCTTTGAAAGTCAAATATGCAAGCCTTGACCTCTTTCAATTCGGGTGTATTGGACTCGGCGGGGGCACGGGTGAGGATGGCATTGGCGAGAAGCTCAGTGAGAGAGGCGGTAGCGACGCAGAGTTGTAGAGGGATATCCTCCGAAGCGGTGGGAACGGTGGGTGCCGATGGAGAGAAAGCAGTGGGGGCGTTTTCAAGGAATGTGGAGAGAAGAAGAGGGTGAAGTTGGATATAGAGCTGCGAAAGGACGCTCACGACACCCGCTTCGTTGCCCTGTCCGCCGTGGGACCCAAGTCTGCCGACCTCCCATACATTCCCGCCGTCACAAATGTCCTTCAGTCCCTGCGCCCCGACCAGCCAGCCTTCCAATGCTAGATCCTCCAACATCGGCTCCTCCCTGACCTCCTTTCTCTTCCCTTCTCTCTTACCACCTTCCCTTACCCACCCAGCTCCCCATTTTCTTTCCTCTCCGCTATCCAATCCAACCCTGACGAACTCTCTCATGGCCTTCATCGTCACTAGTTTTGCTCCACCCGTCAATCTTCCTATCGAAGAGTTGACGCCCTTCTCACCGCCGAGGCCGACGGCGAGACGCAAGCCTTCAAGAATATTGGATGATTCGTAGGGCCATTGAGAGAGAACGTGGGCGGGAACGTGTTGGAGGAGAAGATGCACCAATTTACAGGCATCAAGTCGGATTTCAGGGAAGATATGCGAGAGGGCGGAGGACGTTTGGAGGACGAGCAAGGGCAGATGCGGCGAAAGAGCAGACTATTTTGCTGTTAGCTCTGACTCTGATGACAAAGACGATAGCTTACCATTGGAAGGTGGGCCAGATACCACTCTAGTAGTCCCAATAACCCCTTTCTGACCCCCGCATCATCATCAGCAACCAAACCGCCGAGAGCCCTCAAGACCTTGCCAATCTCCTTGCCTATACCCTGCTGCAGAATCTCCTTGATGCCTCCTAGCGACTCTTTCCTGACTCCAGAGTTGGGGTGCCTTAATCGGTTCAGGAGATCTTCGAGAGTGAGACCATTGGCAGTGGTAGGTTCTGAGGGACCGTTTCCTTCTGAAACGAGAAGAGCTCTGTTGAGGGCTTCCTGTCCTGGAAGAGCAATAGCTGCAAAAGTGTTAGTAGATTCCATCCAATCAGGGATGAATGCGCTTACACCTGGCCTTGAAAGAAGTGTCGGTCGCATTGGAAGCACTCTTCTTGCCCTTGCCCAGCTTCAATTTGGCTTTCTACGACGTTCTTGTCAGTCTTGCTTCAATTTTGCGCGGGACAAGACGTACAACAAAGTCAGCCTTCTTTTCCTTCTTCTTGGCTGTGGCTTTAGGCATCTTGTTTGGGTTTCAAGGAAGCAAGTTGTACGAGCCGTATGATTTGTTTTGGTGTGCCAAAGTGAAAGAGCAATCGAAGAGCAACAACAAGGGTGGAGGAACTTTTCGAGATCACGTGACACTGCCACTCTTCACTATCATCGTTCCAACTGTGTTCGGCTCGAGCGTTCTCATGTGTACAACATATGCATAAGGGACATACAAAGAGCAAAAACATAATCATTCTTTCAACTTCCTAAAGCGGAAGCGAGCTGAAAATACAACTCGGTGGTCATCCTGTCTCCTTCTGGGCCAGATGCAGTATTTGTCCCCTGACCGGCAGGCTCATGATACGCTGCCCAGTTCATTCCTCCGACTCCTTCTGATGTAGGGATCCCTCTGTCCTCTGAAGAGCAGAGTCCTGACATGTCCGACATGCCTCCTTCCCCTCCATCTCGACCAGTGACAATCGCTGCTAATAGATCGCTCCAGGTTGGTTCTCCTCCAGCAATTTGGGACTCATTACCTCGGCCCGAAACCCCATTGGTGAAAGACACAGGATCAGAGACATATGCGCTGTGGCTGAAGCCTCTCTGACCCAAGGTTTCTCCGTTGTGGAGTGCTGCCGAAGCAGCCGCCATAGCATTGTCGGAGATGTAAGGAAAGTCGACGTCGTCCAGGGAGAACGCCAGCAGCTGATCCAAGCCACTATTCCCCGCGTTCATATGTCCAGGTTCTTGATTTGGCGACTGAGGCTCAACATTGTATAGATCTTGACTAGTCACCGGCAGCGGGAGGTAATAATCTGACGGCTGTTGAGCAAAGTTTTGCCGAGATCGATCGAGAGGTGAGGAAGACGTGGAGCTGAGCGAAGATGAGAATTGATGGCTTCTAGCTGGCGATGTGGACACTTGGTGCGCGTCGTGGCTGTGTTTTGGCTGATTCGAGCCTTGCCTTTCTCCATCTACTCTGTCCGAAAATGACAAGATACGGGCTGCCCGTCTTTGACCCGCCTCCTCTCGACTCAAGCTATACCCGATGAGCTACCCAATCGTGTTCGAATACAATACTCACCAAAGCATGTTCAGAATCTGAAAACCGTTGTGCGTCGCGAACGTCTTCATCTCCTCCCTCCCCGCCTCCCCTGCCAGCCTCAACCCCACTCGGAGAATCAGATCCCTCTCCCGTGCCTCTCGGTCGGTGAGCTGAATGACGATAGTCGAAACGAACACCAGAACCGAAGTCGGACGTAGCATATGTAATGCACGCTCATGGCTCAGAGCGCCCTCCAGGATTCTGGTGGAGACCCCGTATAGATCTTTCCGGAAGTTTGAGGTCCAAGGACCTGGACGATTCCCGCGGGCTTTGGCAAGACGCAAAAGCCCGACCAGGAGAGAGCGGAGAGCGGCGTACTGGAATGACCATCTTTCGAGAGGGTCTGTCTGGGGCTCGACCCAGTGGGATTCCCAGGAGGCAAGGTATGTGTGAATGAAGGAGAGTTCAGCGTCAAGGGAGGTGTCCAGGAGGAATGGATCGGATGGATTAGAGGATATGCGGACTTTGGACTCGACCTGCGGGGATCGTCAGATCTAAGCATGGATGAGGAAGATGAACAGACCTCGAATCCGTAAAGCGCATAGTCAGATGCGATGATAGCTTCTGGGTCAAGTGGATGGACCCGATGAAGTATGCTCCTCTCGCTGTCTGTGAGGTCGAACCCGACATTTATGACCTCTTTCCGATCCGCTATAGACTCCCACCTTACCATAACCATCAGCATCAGCATTGACGACAAATATGGCCTCTGACAAACGAACCTGCTTTCTGTCAAGATCAATGATACCCTCAGCATCAAATCATTCTTTGCAAATGCGTCCAGGGGAACAGCGCCGCTGTGTCTAAAGGGGTGTTGAAGGCCGATCTGTCCTGCCATGCGGAGTGCCATACCGAGCCGCATAGCTCGCTGATCATCTACCAGCCTCGGTGTGCGGAGTGCCCACATCTGAGAGAGCTGATCAGTGGTCAGCTCGATGGCTCCATCACGTACGACTACCCACAAGCTCAGCTTGAACAATCTCAATGGACTTAGCCGCCGTAGCACAAATAACGAGTTGTAGCTTTTCGACATGCGCAAACAACTTTGTCGCTGTAGTACGTTCTCTGGTCGATGATTTGGGTAGGGTTGCAAGGGAGGTGGCGCCCAGGGCGAGGATGACAGTGAACAGGAATACTGAGCGATTGCGCACAAACGCCGGCGTGTGAAGGTTGCGATCGAGCATCGGCCAATGCTTATGACAGTATAGGAAGTATCTACTTACAGTTAGCAACACCTCTGTCTCGAACATGAGAGAGAACCCACGCATCGAACAATGGTTCCACTTGCTTATCAACAATGATCCTCCAGCTGACCGGATCCAGGCCCTCCCCCACATCCCTCTTACTTCCATGAAGTCCATGTTGGAAGTAGCTCCTCTGGTCCTCTACCACCTCCTCGAAATGCCGCAAGCGCCATCCCTCAAGATTCTTCGCATCCTCAGCGGGCAGCTTTCCCACAGGCACGGGCATGACCAGTGGACTTTCCCAGGGCGAGGTCGAATCCCAACCTTTCCTCGCACATTCAGCGAGAAACAATAAAGGATTATGAAGGTCATTTTGGCCACCTGCCTCTTTAGCGTCGATCTGAGAAGAGTCGGGGACACGTTCTGAACCTGTTGGAAAGCTTCTCTCGAGGACACGGAGGTTCTGGCGGTCGAAGGATGATGACGGCTGGGTGGCATTGCTTGATCTAGAGGAGGACTGTGGACGAGAAAAGGGACCAAAAGACGTCCCGTCACTCTGTGAGGACTGTGGTCTGTTCGGTGGAGAAGATATCGCTCGGCCACTCGGAGTGTTTGGCGGCTTGCTGGGGTTTGGTTTGGGGTACAACTGGCTGCGCTGATGTGCTTGCTCGGCCAGTCTCTCGAGTGTCTTACGGCTGTTCGAGTGAGCACTGGCCGAATCTGCTTGGACAGAGCTCACTTTCGGCTGCCCTTCACTCTTCCTCTCCGGCTTTCCGAGAAACGACACTCGATGGCCGCGCTAGCGCATCTCGCGCACTTGAGTGCAGGGCCGCCGCCGAGGCATTTGACCTTTGCCTGTGAGTCCATCCATCAGTGGGTCTTCAGTACTAGGCTGTATCAGACATACTATACGGCAGCTGTATGAGGGTCAGCACCGAACAGCGGACGATTAATTGAAGGCGGACTAACGCATGGCATGCCTTGAGACCGCGGTGCTCCGCCTGAGCCTCTTGCGCAGGCTGTGCTTCTGGCGATCCTGGCGACATGCTGAACGGTCCTGCAGAACTCCCGTATTCTGGCAGGAGATGTGGAATGTACTGTACCAGTACGAGTATTTGCTGTGAGCTTATCGGGAGATGTACCAGTAATCACATCACACATGTGCCAATCACATGCATTCGCTTTCGACTTGCCCTCGGCCTGATCCGATTACCCGAAGACTGCCCTTCGGGCTTCGTGCCTGAGTATCCTAGCGACTCATCTGTTGTCACCATTGCATCTGCTCAGCATCTGCTTATAGCGTTCTAGTAGCGTACGACTATCATTGCTTTTGCTTCAAACTCATAATACTCTCTATTGGTATATCTCGGATCTATCATGTATACAATTTGGGATACATACCTTCTTCCGTTCTCTACTTATAGGCTCAAGACCAGCCTCAGAGAATCGTTGCAGCCCCCCCTCTTCGAACTTGGAAGAAGGTCTCCGATCGGAAGGTACTCAGGCCGTACTCAGGGACAAAGGGGGACCATTGAGTAAAATCCCAGGTATTTCGTTAAAGCTTAGTGGTCTTCTGCGCTCGAGTCAGCTGAGCATCTGGCATCTGGTCCCCGGGACTCCAGATTGCAAGTTCATCCGTCGTCAGTCCGTCGTGCGCATCGAGATGGGCTTCGAATCTCCCACCGCGACACCTGTACTTATTGCGGTGTTTATTCTCCGTTTCTTCGCTTCACCAGTCCATATACAGCCCAAGATGCCCGCACCCACTGACGGTCCTATGATGATCTCTCTGTCCGAAGAGGAGAGACTCAGTGGAGTTCTCACCCCCGAACACCTTTTCGACGCTGTAACTGCCATGTTCCATGATGGCCTTGTTGTCCTCAGCAACGCTATCGACGTTCAAGTCATTGACAAGCTCAACGACAAGATGAAGGATGATACCGCCAAGATCCTTTCTGGAGCCGTCAAAGTTCACTGGAAGTGAGTTAATCGTGTTGTATCAGTATCCAGACAAGACTGACTTGACTGGTTAGCCAAGGACGAGACAAGGGCAATGTATCCCAGGTACCTCCTATTGCCGAAGGTAAGATCACTCTACACTCCCATTATATGTCAATCAACTGACTTCTGTCAAGACTGGCTCTTCCCCGAGATCTACGCCAACAAAGCCGCTTCACATGTTCTATCTCATGTTCTCGGTCCCAAGCCTGAACTTCGCTACATCCGATCCAACACTCTCCTCGGTAACGCTACCGAGCGTCAGCGAGTCCACAAAGACGTCAAGATGCGTCACCTCATGCACCCGTTCGCCATCGCCATGAACGTTTGTCTCATCGATGCTTCCCCTGAGAATGGGTCGACAGAAGTCTGGCTCGGTACCACTTCTCAATCGACTTCGGATGATCTTCAGGAGATCGGGCTTGGATTTGTGCGGGAGGACAAGCTCGAGGAGCGAAGAGCAGTAAGGCCTCCTGTTCAGGCAAGTATCCCCAGAGGCAGTCTGATCCTCCGTGACCTTCGTTTGTGGTATGTTACGATTTGTCTCAAGACATTCATTCCCCTAACGCTGTGCAGGCACGCTGGTATGCCCAACAACACCCCCGAGACCCGTGTCATGCTCGCATTCGTCTACTTTGCCGCGTATGTCCTTCGCATCCATCTCCGCTGCTCGACACCATGGCCTTCTTACTGACCCGTCGATAGCTGGTACGGCTGTGAGATGCAACAGCCTGTCCCCCGATCTCTCAAGCCTGCCATTGAAGCTCTAGCGGCTTCCAACGACTCCAAGATTGTGGTCGAGTACGTTGATGACGAGCTTGCTAGCGACTATCTCAACGTCGAGTTCGAGGCCAAGTTTTGGTCCAAGCTCCAGCAAGGGGCTATGTAACCGTTTTTGATGGATTGTTCTATTTGTCAGACAGGCTATTATGTATATCAATTATGTGTTCGGACTATCATATTTGGCCCACGAGAGGAGAATACATGAGGACTTCCCGTGTCCCCGAATAATGATCAGACTGAGGGCCACGCACTTCTGTCAATGACCTTTGCTCATAAGATCGCCAGATCATCTGCATATGCCTGTGCTGCAGAACAGCGAATCCATATAATGTACTAAGTACTCTGTACTCGAGTAGACGATGCTGAGCACTTTTGTGATTGACGGTGTGGTTCGCGGGGGAGATGATTTGCGAAAGATAGCGCGTTTCCTTGGCAGGGAGCTCAGGGAGGAGGCTTATATTGCCATGAATTCTCCGACCTCTGGACGCCGGAATCCGAAAAGCATTGTTCTATGTATTGCCCGCGCATCTACTCTGCCGTCGACATGCTCATACCCGCCACCTGACCCCAAGATAAGGAAGGGCATATAACTTCCCCATGCCAATCAGAATCGCCCCATATTGCTCTATCCAAATCCTCTTCTCAAGCTCAAGATGTCTGCTCCACAACCTGTAACAGAGACCCTCAAAGAGGACAAGCTTGTTGGCGAAGAAGTCCATGTCTACAGCGTTTCGGAAGACAAGAAGCCCGCCGAGGATGAGCCGGTGGACACTGCCTTCGCTGGCCTGAACAAGATGCAGGCTATGCGCAAGTTCTGGAGAGCCTGTCTGTTCTGTGGTATCACGACCTTTGGGGTCATGATGGATGGTTATCAGACTTCCATGCCTGGTGAGCTAGTCTTGAGACTTCGTGATGACTGGTAGGTAGCAGCCGCTGATCATCTTCAGGCTCCATCTTGGCGAATGCAGGTTTCATTGAGCAGTTCGGCACCATTATATCTTCAGCAGGAGTGAAGAGTCTCGATGCCAAATATGTGTCGATGTGGTCTGGTCTGGTGAGTATGACAATATGACCTCCCTGTTTCATACCAAATTGACATGATTTCAGGGCTACCTGATGCAGTTCATCGGCAATTGGGCAGCCGGATTCATCTCTGACAGATTCGGTCGACGGGCGGTACTCTGGGCTCTCTCTCTTGTGTTCGCCCTAGTGAGTCAAGTCGAGATCATCATGGAGAATACTCATACTGACCCATCATAAGGGTATTGTCGTTGAGATGGTCGCTAAGAACTATAAAGACTGGCTAGGAGCAAAGATGCTTATGGGTCTTGGCCAAGGCCTTGTTCAACAGGGTGTCCTCACGGTACGCCTCTTCTACCCGATCTATCTCCTGACGCTTACTATGCTGGCTAGTACATCTCTGAAATTGCGCCCACTCAAGTCCGAGGTACTCTTATGAGCAGCTACGGCTGGTCATACTCTATTGGTCAGCTGTTGGTGGCTATAGCTCTTCAAATCATTGACGTAGTGAGCGATACTTGATTTGCTCTATCATTGGTCACTTAAACTGACATGATATAGACCGACTCTTACGCCTGGAAGAAAGCCATCTACTCCGAGTGGGTCTTCATGGGTCTCTGGATCATTGCCTTGCCTTTCCTGCCCGAATCCCCTTGGTTCTATGCTCGAAACGAGAATGAGAAATCTGCCAAAGCTGTGATGGCCAGAATATACAAGGGTGTGGAAGACTACGACGTCGACAGGGAGTACACCGCCATGCAGGTCGAGATACAACACGAGAAGGAGAATGCCGAATCCAGTTCTCAAGTGGCTATCAAAGATATCTTTAGAGGGACAAACTTCGTGAGATACACGACGCTGGTTGAGATTGTTGGTGCTGACCGCGATACTTGCAGTGGCGAACGATGGCTTCTGTGTTTGGTCTGGTCATGCAAAATTGGTCCGGGAGTGCCGTCGTGTTCAATTATACCACTTGTGGGCCGCCTTGCATTGTTCTTTATTCGTTGAGCATCTGCTGACATGTCTCCAGACTTTTTCCAGCAAGCTGGTATTCCCGAGCCTTTCCAAGCTTCCGTCATTGTCTAGTAAGATTCTCTGCTCGATACCTGGTATGTAATGATTGACATCTGCAACAGCTGTATCCTCCTGGGTGCCCTCATGATCTCCTTCTACACTATCGAGCGCTTCGGCCGTCGAACCCTCATCCTCGCTGGCGGCGTTGGCTGTACGATCTTCAACGTCATCATCGGAGCTACCGGCTTCATGCCCAAAGACTCTACCACTACCGATAACACCACCCTCGCATTCATCTGTCTCTGGGTGTTCACCTATGCTACCACCTTTGCCGGGACTTGTTGGTCTATCTCTGCGGAGGTTGCGACGCCGAGGTTGAGGGCCAAGGCAACTGCTTTTGCGATCTCGACCAACGCCATTTCTGGGGCGCTGTTCAATACTACCGTGAGTCATGCCTCTGTCCACATCACTGTTTGATGCTTACAACATGACGCTGCAGGTCCCACTCATGATCTCCACCACCTCCCGCAATTGGGGTGTCAAAACCCTCTTCATGTTTGCCATACTCTGCGGTTTCGGAACCATAATCAACTACTTCCTCTTACCTGAGACAAAGAACCGGACTTTCTCGGAAATGGATGAGATGTACGAGAACAAGATTCCTCCTAGGAGGATGGCGAGCTATGTTAGTGGCATGGAGCAGAGCGGTTTAAAGTGAAGAGGGTTAGAGGGCTAGAGATTGTTTGTAGTATTTTTTTTTTGATGTGGTCATGTACGAGAACAAGATTCCTCCTAGGAGGATGGCGAGCTATGTTAGTAGCATGGAGCAGAGCGGTTTAGAGTGAAGAGGGTTAGAGGGCTAGATATTGTTTGTAGTATAATTTTCTTGATGTGGTCTGTTCTGTTTCTCTAAGGGGTCTGTATGGTACGCTTTATATGCACGTGGGTATGATACTCTATGTCTAGACGGTTCGAGCAGTATCGATGTTGTTGAATGACTACGCGAGTAATGCAGCGCCCGCAAGGGCCAAAGGGTGACTACAGCATCAACGTCGGTTAAAGAGGCATATGCATCCATACACGTGAATGACATGACCCTGATGCTCTGCACTAAACTTGTTGATGAACAAGTAAACAACTACGAATGACACAACCCGTATGTGAAGACCACACAACACAACAATGTTGGTTCGCGTTGCGCACCCCACTTAAACATCATATCGATGGACTTCGCGCTTTTTCGTCGATTCCACTATCGTCTTCTTGCCCATCCATACGTGAAACCCCCACGCATCGCATCAAAAGTAGTGGACAGGGTACCTGACCATACTCCCTTCCAACCAACTCTCTTTTACCCCGAAATAGAATCCAACAGAATGTCGACAGAAGACTACGACGGTTCGTAATATCCCAGACGCCTCGATAGGACTGACCTCTCTGACAGAGTTCGGAAACTATATCGGAGGCGACCTCGACTCTGATGAGGACTCCGATGCCGACATTGCCCCTTCCTACGCCCCCGGTCCCAGCGCACAACCCTCGGCTTCCTACGCGCCTTTAGAAGGTCTCGAAGATGACGACGATGATATGGACGACCCCTCCGCCGGGATGCAGCTCACTGAGTACGGCATTGAGCAGGTGGATGGATCAGCCAATCAGGTGGTGCTGCATGAGGATAAAAAGTACTATGCGACGGCGGAAGAGACGTATGGGCCGGATGTGGAGACAATGGTGCAGGAGGAGGACTTGCAGCTTCTTTCCGAGCCTATCGTCGCGCCTGTAAAGAACAGGGCGTTTACTGTGCAAGAGAAGGGTCTTCCAGCGACACGATACGATAAAAAGTGAGTCACAATTCGAGTGGGTATGGAAGTGGGAGCAAGCGTTGACGAGACGTCAAGCTTCCTCATCGATATGATGGAGTACCCGGATATGATTCGTAACGTCATGGTTGGAGGTCACATCCACCATGGCAAGACATCACTTCTCGACATGCTCGTCTACGAAACCCACAAGATGACTTGGGATGCCGACACCCCCATCCGCTACACCGATACCCATATCCTTACCCGGTCCCGCGGTATCTCGATCAAATCCGGACCCATGTCTCTCGTCCTTCAAAACTCCAAAGGCAAATCCAACTTGATCAACATTGTTGACACGCCCGGACACGTCAACTTTGCCGATGAAGTTGCGTCTGTTGCGCGATTGGTGGACGGTGTTGTGATTGTGGTAGATGTTGTCGAGGGTGTCATGCTGGGGACGGAGCAGTTGATCAGGCACGCGATGCAGGAGAAGCTCAAGATGACGCTGGTGGTCAACAAGATGGATCGATTGATTCTGGAATTGAGAATACCACCGAGCGAGGCGTTCTTCAAGATCAAGCACACGATCGAAGAAGTCAACTCAATCATCGCGTACGTTAAATCATTCAAATCTCTACGTTCATCGCTGACGGATGTGCAGCTCGGTTGATTCTGACGAGTCTTACCGTCTCTCTCCCGAGAAAGGCAACGTCGCTTTCGCCTCCACCCAGATGGGATGGTGTTTCACCCTCACCACCTTTGCCAGCATGTACGCCGACACCTTTGGGTCCTTCGATGTCGAAGAGTTTGCCGTTCGGCTCTGGGGTAACATCTACTTCGACCCCGCCTCCCGCAAGTTTACCCGTAAACCTACGGACGCGGAGAGCAAGCGCTCTTTCGTTCACTTTGTCCTCGAGCCGCTGTATAAGCTGTATACGCAGGTCAGTCACCTTTCCAGGAAGCGAGGAGTTCAGCTAATGGTCTGGGGCAGGTTTTGAGTGCCGACAGAGAGGCTTTGCAGGAGACACTTGCCGACCTGCAAATCACACTCAAACCCTCAGCCTACAAGATGGACGTCCGTCCTCTTCTCAAGGTTGTGCTTGAAGCTTTCTTCGGCCCTTCAGTCGGCCTGGTCGACATGATTACAGAGTTCATCCCCTCTCCCAAAGAAGCTGCCGACACCAAGATACGGCACACCTACACTGGCCCTCTTACCTCCAATCTGGCCGACTCTATGATTAGCTGTGACCCTCAAGGGCCCACAGTCGTGCATGTCACGAAACTCTTCCATACCGCCGATGCGGAGCAATTCAGGGCATACGGAAGAGTGATGAGTGGTACCGTCAAGGTGGGGCAGGTGGTCAAGGTATTGGGTGAGGGCTATTCGCTCGAGGACGAGGAAGATATGGCCAAAGCCATTGTCGAAGGTGTTATGTTGAGCGAATCCCGATACACTGTGGACACCCAGACTGCTCCCGCGGGCAATCTCGTTCTTCTCTCCGGCGTCGACAACTCAATAGCCAAGACAGCTACTTTGGTCTCCAACGACGCTGAGGATGATCTCTACATCTTCCGGCCTATCAAGCACCTCACGACATCTGTTCTCAAAGTTGCTGTCGAGCCCGTCGCCCCTTCGGAACTGCCAAAGATGCTTGATGGTCTGAGAAAGGTCAACAAGTCTTATCCTCTTGTGACGACCAAGGTTGAAGAGAGCGGAGAACACGTGATTCTGGGGACGGGCGAGCTGTACATGGACTCGGTATTGCACGACTTGAGAAGGGTGTTCTCAGAGATTGAGATCAAGGTCTCGGACCCCGTGACGAAGTTCTGTGAGACGGTAGTTGAGACTTCTGCCCTGAAGTGCTACGCGGACACGCCCAACAAAAAGTGAGTTTGACTCGAAAGGTACGAGAAGCTCGTAGACTAATATGGTCTCTAGGAACAAGCTCACCATGATCTCTGAACCCCTTGAACCTGGAATTGCTGCCGACATTGAGGCTGGGAGAGTGTCCATGAAGATGACGAACAAGGAGCGCGGGAAGTTCTTCGAGAACAAGTATCAATGGGATGTGTTGGCTTCGCGAAACATTTGGGCTTTTGGCCCTGAGGACAACGGGCCTAATGTTTTGATAAACGACACTCTTCCCTCCGAGGTTGGTACACGTGTGCAGCCGCGATGGATTATGCTAACAGAGACAAATAGGTCGACACAAAACTCCTCAACAGTATCAAGGAAAGTGTCAAGCAAGGTTTCCAATGGGGTACGCGTGAAGGTCCCTTGTGTGATGAGCCTATTCGAGGCGTCAAGTTCCGTGTCCTCGACGCTGCTCTTGCCCAAGAACCAATCTACCGAGGTGGTGGTCAGATCATTCCCACAGCGCGCCGTGTCTGCTATTCGTCCTTCCTTCTCGCCACTCCCCGTCTCCTCGAACCCGTCTATTATGTCGAAGTTCAAGCGCCCGCCGATTGCGTTGCCGCCGTTTACACCGTTCTTTCCCGCCGACGTGGTCACGTCACAAAAGACATTCCCAAACCCGGATCTCCGCTGTATACCGTCAAAGCATTCATTCCTGTACTGGATGCGAATGGGTTTGAGACAGATCTGAGAACGGCGACCATGGGACAGGCGTTCGTGCAAATGAGCTTTGACCACTGGAGTGTGGTGCCCGGTGATCCCACGGATACCTCCATCCAATTGAGACCACTGGAGCCTGCGATGGGCCAGTCGTTGGCGAGGGATTTGGTGCTGAAGACGAGAAGAAGAAAGGGTCTGAGTGACAGTATCGCTGTCAGCAAGTATCTCGAAGACGAGGTGAGTCACCTTTGCCTGACCTATGAGATGCGTACTGATACTCGAGTCAGACCATTATTGCTATCAGCGCTTCCGGTAACGCCGATCTGCTGGGTTAGAAAAATACAGAGAGCAGACATAGGGAGGCAAGAGATTCGCCGGACATGGTGTAAAAGGAGAAAGATGTGCCGTTGTCTTTCCAAAAATGCATTCTAACATACTAGTCTTGCGTTTTCCGAAACCACCTTCTTGCAACATTGATAAGAAACGCTATGCCTTATCATGTCGCCATCGGCTTGAGGTTGGCTGAGAAAGCAGTTGCTTACTTCATATGCCACGGAGATGGAGCACGAGCGTCTCGGCAGTATATTGTTCGTCACGCGCCTTAAATGGAAGTGTCCTCTCTTCTTGCCACCTGTTATGATATTCTTCGCCTCTTCCGCAAGGCAGTCCGAGTCTCACCAGTACTTGCTTGTTGAACGATAGCTGGGACGATACAATGTGCTGCTTTTTACGGGCCAGAAGGTAGCCGAGTGTGAATGAGGTGCCCGTCGAGGCAAGAAGAAGGGTCTTTTGGTGGTGGGCGATGGTAGTCATGATTGACGGGTTTAGGATTGTCACTTGTATTGTGGTGGGGGAGTAGTGGAGGTTTTTGTACAAGTAGACAACATTGTAGCATGCGCGCCTCATGGCGGGTACTCCAACAAGAAAAGAGCGCACTACTAGGGGTGGTTTATCGACAAAGGAAGATCAGGATTGTGTGGTGCTCGGTGCATTGCATGTACAGACTGCATGAGACATTCAGCAGTTGAGCCAGGCCTGGAGTTGTCCCGACCATGATGCTCTGGCAGGCTGCTGAACGGGCTCTCCCTCCTGCGACGGGGAGACAGCGAGTCGGAAGATTGCCAGTCTTCCTATGTTGAAGCGCTCGTCGTGTCATTCTGGTCACCCATGTGCGGAAAGTCATTTTTACTGACGTCTGCAAGTGCGACGAGGACACATACATAACACGCCTCCGAGTCGTGTTGATGGCGGCGCTAAGAAGCCGCAGTCCTACATGACTGATGCCTTACGCCCAAAATCGAGTCTTCTCCCATTCCAACTGTGTGCTATGCGTATGATCACCTGTGCACAGCATTGGAGAGCCGAAGATCGGACTAAAATAACATCTGAGTGTCTTTGCATGTACGAGTACTGTATATAAGAGCGCATGATATCCAACTTGCTGAGTTGCCACCCACCATCAACTACTGCCAGCATGTCCCCCCCTCAAGTGCCACAGCCCACCGTCCCCAAAAACGCTGCCTGTGCAGTCGACGCACCTGTCTCTCAGCAGCCTCAGGGAATAAGCATGATGTGTCAGTACTACGCTCTCTCCGTCTGTGTTTGCCTTTTGTTGAGCTTGTGCCGTAGCGCCCATGGGCATTGACGATTCTCTTACCAGCAACGGGCAGGCTAAGACGCCCAGTAAAGATCCCCTGAGAGTCAGGGGTGGCGCAGGGCCCTGCTGTGCCCTGTTGGGTCTCTGTGTAAGTAGTGGGGATATTGTTCCGACATTGAAGGATATGCTGATCCGAGATAAGCTGTGTTGCTGTGCTTTGGAAGACGTCTGTTGCTGTGGGGTAAGCGAATGTCTCTTCGTTGAATGAGCAGGTCGGCTGACACGAATACAGCTCGAAGAATGCTGTTAGTCTCCCTGCGGTCAAGTCAGAGAAGACGAGAGAAGACTGGATGTGTAGATCATCACTTGCGTAATCGCGACGGCACGTACACGCCACAGCCGTCGACAAGAATAAGTTCACAGAGATAACCACATGTGATGATGAACCTACATACGTATCGATGAGCATCACTCATCAGCCTACTCTCAGTGATACATTGTGGAATGCTGTAGGCCCCTCGGCAGGTTGATCGATAGACTCTGGCAACATCTGAACGCATAAACAGACGCGTTGTCACGACTCGGGCGATTGGCGGGGTGGGGCGTGTACATTGTCGGCAGTCAGCTAGTAGACACTGTAGCTTGAGGATATGTGTCAGTTACCCCAAAGAAGGATTGTGCTTGGAAACCCCGATGCCACATGAATGGGCGCGCGGTCAGAAGCTGAGATGTAAAGTCTATAACATTAAAAGCCGTATCGTAATAGTACACCCAAACGTCGGCACCTGGTCCCGCGAGAGGTCAGGGGGGCGCCCTCCCCATGCCAGGCATTCCGCCACTCAAAGAAGGCGACACGACCATTGGCGAAAGGGCCCAGCCACAATCGTCTATTCGGAAGGGGCGGCCTCGCCACATCTTCTTCGGTTTCTGTTGGGGAAGGGGGTAGTGGGGAGCGCTGCGGGCTTTTTGATGTCGGCGTTGTCGCCCAGTTCGGTGTCTTCATGCACCCTCAGCTCTGCAAAGCGTTAGTTTCGAGTTGCCCACAAAAGAGAGGAAATGTACGCACTGAAAACGCCATCGTCACTCTTGACACCCTGCACAACATTCTTCCTCAAAAACTTGGCCACATCTTTCCACTCGTTGATCCTCCTTGCGACATCGTCCCTGCCTATGCTCTCCTCTTGCACAATGGGCACCTTCGCCGGGGAACCCTCTGCTGAAGCAGACGGGGGAGGAGTGAGAGTGGGGGAGGAGAAGGTGGCTCGAAGGGCTGTGAGGAGCGCCTGGTGTCGCGTAGGGTCACCTATATATCCCGATCTGATAAGCTGCCGAAAAACAAACAAAAACGTAACGATAAGATTTTGTGGACGAACGAACGCACCTTGGAAAGTCACTCGGGCGGACCTGAGCATGTCTCTGTAGGCAGCCCTGGCCTGAGGCTTGAGCGCAGCGGGAAAGACAGGCATGCTGGGTAGGGTATAGGGATCCGACGAGAAGCGAACGAAAAGTCAAAGATGATAAGCGGATCTTGCTATTGTCATATTTGATCCCGCTAATCACCTCTTCCCAAATATCCACCAATCATGATTGCGGTCGCTTTGCTTTGCTTTTGCTTTTCTCCCCAGGCGATCATCCATTATCAGAGACATGTTTCTATTCGAATTGATAGAGGGGAACGAAAGCGGATGAGCGAGAACGGATGTCAGCCCCACGTCCCCGCGCTCCGACTTCTTCAATTCCTTTACCTCCCTGCTTCTTGGCACTGGTTCTACGAGTACAACAGAATATCATGGGTGTCATCTCACTTTGCTCCACATAATCCGGGGCATTCATATGATGTTTACATACTACTCTGACTCCGGTTGCCGCCGTGCACAATGTTATCTTAAATGCTTCCACGAAAGAAGGCGCCTTCAAACCAACCCTATACTAGGGCTGTATGCTACGCCAATGGTTCGTTCTCCTCTTTCTTCCTCCCCGTGTTCCCCTCTCTACGTGTCTATTCCCCGCATGCCATTCTGACAGAACTGATACATCCTCCGCTAGCTTGGTCCGCCGATTGTCTTTCTATGGGCGCCCCACTTCCGTTCCATTTCCTGACCCTGTAGGCATCGCCCTTGTGTTTCGCCAAACGGAAAGTCCCAGCCGTAAGCCTTCAGCCAGAGGCTTCTGGGACAAATGTCACGAGAGGGCGATGGTTTGCTGAGTGTCCCTCGTGATTAAGTCGTATATCGCATGAGTGTAGCCGTATCTCGTCATCACCGGCATCGCCCTCAACACAACAACATTTCTAGAGGATACTACTACCCCCCCCCCCCCCCCCCGAGTGAGGCTCTGACTCAAATCACCAGGCACTGCTCTACTTCATCAGCCTCGTTCCCAAAAACCGCAGTATACCTCGAGTGTACTTGCATTGGCGGATCTTACCCGGGATGGAATGCATACAAGTGCCTCTCCACAGTCCAGAGAGTCCGACATTATTGCTTTCCAGAGAGTCCCACAGTATTGCTTCCAGACAGTTGTCCATCCTTGCGAGCCCTGTTCTGCTCTTGTGTATTGTCAAAGATCAGGCTATGTGGGCACTGTATGGTCAGATGTACGGGTCTCAGCCATGATACACGACTAAGACCTCAAATGATATGCGAGCGCTCGTTTATCTCGCAGCTCATATCGCAACTAGTTCCGCCACCACTGATTAGTAGGGGTAAGAGCGACGCATGCCTACCGGTGTGCAGTGTCAAGCACCGTGTACTGCAGCTGGCTCGGGGCAAGCCCTTCCCGACCCGCGGAGTGGGTGGGAGGGGTGGGAGGGGTGGGAAGGGCTTGTGTCGAGCCAGTGTACTGCAGAGGTTTACAGTGGACGTTTGCCAAGAAATATATGACGCCTTCGCCGATCACCCGGTCCGCTTAAAGCTTTCGTGATCAATTGAATGATATGGACATGCACACCGTCGGTCGTGCTGGTGCACCGGCACTGCGCAGCCTTGCGCTCCCCCATGACTTATGATTCCAGCCAGAAGGCACCATGCACTCCCATGCCTTTGTGCGGTTAGCGCATCCACATAGCTTGACAAAAAGCTGCGCAAATACAACATGAACGACCAGACGAAACTGCTCCCTTATCTCGACTTATCTCGGACCAACGAGCGTCGCGCGGTTCCACACCAGCCTGTCTCGAGCTGCATGTACGCCTTTCCAATATGTTGCGAGGGCTTGACAGAAATGAACAGTCGTGTGCGCTGGCTTTAGATGCTGTTGGTGGTGCTGCTGCGCGCTGCAAGAAGGGATACACGAGTACACTGGGCGCTGCGTTGTCCGTTATATGTGAGGAAAAGACTGCAGTGAACGTGATTGAGCGGCGGAAGCAGATTAGAGGCACATCAGGTCCCCCCGTCAAAACATTACATGCGCCGCGCGAGGCATTCCGCTTTCGGTGCATTGCATGTTTCCGCCCGTTTCTCTATAAAACAGCAATCAAATCCCTGCTCGGTCTCTGGCAGACGAGTATATCTCAAGCGCATCTATACATACTCCCCGACACACCTGCAGGCCAGGTCAACTATGCGCTTCAATACGGCTTTACTGTGGGCGACCACCGCGCTTCACTTGTCTGCTCTGGAAGCGGGGGCGACCATTACCGGGCAGAAATGGTGCAACAAGGTGAGTTTCCTTTCATACTGAAGAAGCTTCTTTATTCTATGGGCCTGACTCTCTTCACTAGTATTTGTGCGTGACTGGACAGCACGACAGTTCTCAGAAGATAGATCAATGTAAGTTTTGCGAGCCGAATTAAGGTTTAACACCGCAAGATCTCTGCCGAGCCTGGAGCTGACGATATGCCAGATACTCTGGAACCCCCAGAGGGCGATACTATCCCACTGAGCAGCTTTGGGTGGATGGCCATGTAAGTGCCTGCCCCTCTTCTGAGCCTTTGGTGCTTGTTCTTGACATCGATGAGCTAACATGAGGCTTGCGACTGCGCAGAGGATTTGGTTCAACCATGGCGGACACTCCTATGGTTATTGGCTGGCCCAATTCTGATGGGTCTATTACTCTCTCCCAGCGAGAGTCCACAAGTCATTCAATGCCAACGGGTGAGCGCTCCCGTTTCACCCCGCCTTCATTACACTTACGTTATCCACAGTCGTCTCTTCCCCATCACGGGAAGCCACCCTTCTGTCCTCAGCTTCCTTCTCCAACTCGTCCACTACTTCCATATCATTTACACTCCCGTCAAACTCTACTGTTAGCAACGGCACATCCATCATCTTTGCCGTCGGCAGCACCAATCCGGGCGACTCTGCGGAAGATGCAACTCTCAAGCAGCATTCCGTCAGCGGAAACACCAAAATCTACCTCCTTACTCCCTGGTCGGCAAACTCTACCGGCAGTAGCAACACGAACTCTTCCAATGGATCGGGCGATGATGATACGAGCTCTGCCGATTCAGCATCCAGCAAGCGTCACAAGATGCTCATTGCACACGTTGTTTGCGGGGCAGTAGCGACCATGGCGCTCTTCCCGATCGGGATAATCACTCCTCGTATCGCTCGTGGATTGACGACCAGCAGGTGGTGGTTCCCCGTCCATGGAGCTGTGAATGGAATGTTGGGCTTTGGGCTGGTGGTGGCCGCTTTTGGGATTGCAAGAGGCAATTTCGATGGAAAGTTTGAGACTTCTCACCGGGTGAGTCTCTTTGATACTCGATATTGCATATCTGACTGAAATGCTCAGAAACTTGGACTTGCCCTCTTCATTCTCTGTATATTTCAAACCTTCCTGGGTATCTACACCCACTCCTACCGCCCCACCCCGAACCAAAAACGATTCACCACCTCCTCTGGTCGCGGTCCTTCCAACTTTATCCACATGGCTCTCGGGCTGGTGGTGGTGGCGATTGGGTTTGCGACTGTATGGGAAGGGTTGGATGAAGAATGGGAGATCTGGAGTGGGACTGGGAAACCGGCAACAGGGTGGAAAGTGGGATGGGGGTTGGTCGTTGGTGTAAGTTCATTCGACGACTGGAAGGCCCGACAGGAACTGACGAGATTTACAGATCACAACTCTCGTCTACCTTGCGGGTCTCTACCTCATCCCCCGTCAACTCCATAATGAACGCCAACGCCGCAACCTTTCTTCAACCATCAACCACCCCAACCCCTCTGCCAACTACGGCGCGCCTCCACCTGGCAATCACGCATCTTCCGTCAGAGGGGACTTTCCTTTGATGCAAAAGGATTCGAATAGTAGTACGGAGAGCGGAGAGCAGTATGGGATGGGGTATGTACCCAGACAAGGGCACGAGAGGCTGCCTCCACCGCCAGTGACGGTGCAGCCGCAGCAACAGAGGAGGTTGCCTCCCAAGTGGGTTCCAGACAGCGGTCGTGGTCGATCCACCTACTAGCCGGCTGTGGTGGTTGATCCACTTATCATACTCGAGTGCTGTACATAGGAAGAAGACAGGGAACTCGGCATATATTTCTTTTGGGAAACTACTTGCTTTGCATAATTACAAGCTTTGATGATACTATTTCTGGCACGGATGCCCTATGTATCATGTAGTACACGATTTCACATCACGGTTCAAAAAAGACGATTCAGCCGAATAGAGACGATTGCAGAGTGACACAAGCAAAACCCATCAAACAAAATGTATAGAAAAAAACAACCGGAAAACATAGTCATGCTCCTTCTTGTACAATACGCTCAAAAGCCGTTCAAGCAACCTCCTTCCAACCCTTTCCCTTCCCCTCGTCAGCCACATCTCCTTCCGGATGGGATGGCGTCTCCATAGTAGCAGGCGTGGGGGAAGGGCCTGTGAACTCTGACTCTTCGATTTCCTTATGTTCTACTTCCGGCTTCTCCACATCTGGCGTTCCTGCAGCTCCGCCAACCCATCCAGGCCTCACGCTGCCACTACCCGCCTCCTTGTCTTCACCCTCCTCCAACTCCAGTTCCGCATCTGCCCCCTCCGGCCGTAGCCCCTCCAAGAACCTCTCTGCGCCATCCGGCAACGTGGGAGCGAGGGACTTTGTCGTTCGCGTCGTCCGGACAGACGCGCGACTGGGCTGGCGAGAGAGTTCATGATGGGAATGTGCTTCGGAAGCCTTGGCTTGGGGAAGAGCAAGGCGCAGGAGAGAGATATAAGGTTGTCGACATACAGGGCAGTACCAACCCTTGACCTTCTTTTTGCGACGCTCGCGATGTGTTGTGGTGGTGGCTAGGGTAGTAGCCGGCGTATCTGTGCCACCTTCACCACCTGCTTCGCCATCGCCTCCACCCCCGGCCCCCGTCCCAGTAGCAGGAGCTTCCTCTCGCCTAGCAACCTTGCCACCCGCTCCAAATTCTACCATCCCCACCGCACAATCGCGGCACACGACAAGGTGTCTGCAGGGGAGCAGGACGACATCTCGCGGAGAGGTGAGGCAGACGATGCACTCATTGGGCGTGGAAGCGTAAGGATCGTCGGCGGTGGGCGGGTAGGATGTTGCAGTGGAGGAAGTGGCAGAAAGACCGAAAATCTCTTTGAGGAGGAAAGTGTGAGAGCCGATCTATGATGGTGTCAGCTAGATGGAAGATGGGGAGATGGTGACGTACAACAGCTTCCCGCCTGGCGACCTTGACAACCCAAACCCGCTTGCCTCCAGGGCCGGCGTCATCTCCAGAGTTCGGGTCGTTTACCCATGTACCAGTGATCAGAATGTGTGTCAACTGAGCATTTCTCCTCTTCAGGTGTTGTCCTGTAACTCTGTCAGCATGTTCAAGTCGCGAGAATAGACATGACCGACCTTCGGGCCCCGTAGCTTCAATCTTGATGAGTATCCTCATCCCATACTCCACTTGCTTTGGCGCCTCTTTCTCTTCTGACTGTGTTACCGGCGAGGTCATCTCAATATTGGCATTCCCAGCTTCCACATCGCTTTCGCCCCTTCTTCGCCCGAAGATGCCAAACCGACGCCTGCCTTGTTGCTCTTCAGGCTGCTCGTTGAGCTCCTGCACTTGTTCAACAGGCTCTTCTTTGACTTCGGGCTTGGTGGTCTGATCTTCTTCCTCGATGCGAATAGCAGAAGAGAGGTCCATGGCCCACTCTTTCGGCAGGTCGAACACTTGCCCGAACCCACCCGCGTGTAAACCTGTGTAGATGACTGTCGGCTCCTGTTCTTCCTCTTCTCCTTCTTCAAAGCTCGCCTTGCCCCCACCTTCAGGGATTGTGGGGCGGGGACGGGGATTGGGATAGAGCAAAAGGGTGATACGTGCAGCAGGGGTAGTGGCGTCGTAGGTAAACTTGAGCGTGTGTAACGGCGGGGTGGGAAGGAGAGAAGTCGGTGAGGTAGGGGAGTCGCTTTGTGCGGCAGTGGGGTATGGTGTGATATCCTCATACTTGTCGGCTTTGGGTTGGGGCTGGTCCACTTGTTGCAACAGAAGACTCGGTCTTTTAAGGTTGACCAGCGCTTGGAGGGTCGTCGTCGGGTGAATTCCCTTTTGAGCAGTCAGTGGCATGTCTCTGAGAATGCAGAATCACTCACCTCATCCGCCTTTGCCTTCTCCACCCACTTCTTGACAACGTCGACACTGATCTCCTCCTTGCCGCCTTCTCCCCACCCGGGTTCATCGTCCTCCCCTACATCCGGACCAAATACGGTCTCCCTCCTCTTGACATTTTTTACCCCGTCCTTCCCCTCAGGGTTGGCGTCATCCGCAGATGGGGAGTTGTTGTGGGCGGCGTCGACCACAAGGGTTTGCTGGACTGGGGCGGGGATACGGGCGCCTGGGAGAAGGGAAGGGGCGCGGAGGCGGGAGGTTCGGAAGGGGCCCGAACTGTCCGAGTATGAGTATGCAGTCTGGTCAGGATAGGGAGGAGACGTACTAGGCGTTTGTGTACCAGCCTGACACCGAGTTGAGGGAGGTCATGCTGGGGGTGGTGGTGGAAAGATGGATGTGAAAGGGAGATGCGTTCGATTGTTCGATTGCCGCCAGTGCCGGCGATGGCGGGCGGTCTGGCCCGAGTGGCGGGGCGACGGCCGTAAGAGGTGGGCGGGGGGTCCAGAGGCTGTGGCGGCGGGGGATGCTTGCAGAGAGCAGGTGAACGACGGGGGGGGGGGTAGAGTGCACGAGTATGCACACAGAGAGAGATAGGAAGGGAGAAGAAGAGGGATGGTACAACTTACAAGCATCAAAGTGGCACCATCCCTTACGCCATCCGTCATCTCTTATTCTCACCGTAACCGGATCTCTGGCAATGCATAGTCTCATACAAATACAATTATTGGTCTAGTATCTACAGTTACGCCCCGAAGCATACAAGCACCCTCTCTATATCCACTCCGACTCATCTTCCTCAGCTGTCGGTACCATGAGCGTGAAACCAAGGGAAGGATGTTGAGATACTGACCATTCTGTCTCACCACCAATCTCGCCCCGCCCAGCTCATCATCCTCACTTTCACTCTCTTCGTCGTCGTCTTCATCGTCGTAAGCATACCTCGGGTACTGCTCGTATCCTTGCTGGACTGGGGCCTGGGAGGGCACTTCTTCATGATCTTCTCCGTCTGCGTCGAATTCTCCTTCTGCCAAGCTTGCACCAAGGAGGTTGGCAAACTCGTCCATCCCATCATCAAAGTCCTGAGCATCGTCGACTTTAGGCTTGCCTTGAAAAGGTGACCGGGTCTGGGAAACGGATTGAGATGGACCGATCTCTTCGTCCGAGTCTTGGATATACTCGGAGCTCTTGAACTTGCCCTGTGGCGTCTTTTCGGCCGCTTTGCCCTTTGCTTTGGCGGCCTTCCCTTTGGTAGGCGTAGCTTTTGGTTTTGACTTGGCCTTTGCTTTACCCTTTGCTGGCGCCTTGGTAGTGCCAATGATGGGTATCGGCGCACTCTCCATAGGCTTCTTGCCCTTTGCCCCTCTCCCTCTCCCTTTCGGCTCCGGCACCGAGAGCGCAGCCTCACTACCCTTTGTAATAATCGGGCCATCCTCGATAACAACATCCTCCAGCTCGCCTTCAGCATCCAAGTCGTCTCCCATCTGCGAACCCGCTCCGGCCCCTGCCGAAGCTGAAGGATGCGGCAGGCCAGACAAGGGAAATGAGGCGGAGGAAGTGGTGCTCCCCGTTGTAGAAGTAGCATAGCTGTTTGAAGCTGTCCGATTCAAGTTCAAATTGAGACTTGTGTCCATTGGATGCAGCTCAAAGGTCTTGTCAAGTCAGCTTTGACCTTTTCATCCGCCGTCCCCGCAATGAGCCTTACCTGCGTGTCCTCATTCCAGATCATGACGCACTCCTTCCCTCTACCCTTCGACCCCTCTTCTGGCTTCACGTCAAAGACTTGTTTCCCATTAGGTACGTCAAATACGACTTGACCGTCGCCGGAGGTGGAGGTGGGGGTGTAGAGGCCTTGGGTGGTGGCGGTAATGGATGCCGGTTTGAAGCTGTCTATATCATAGTCAGTTTATGATCACAGAAGATATCGCGAGATATTCTTACAGCGAAAGGCGACAAATTGGTCTCTTTCGTGCGAAAATGCAGACAAGTCGAGGTCGTACTCCCCTGGGGGAATGCCACTCGCCATAGCTCGGTCCTCTACAGCCTTGTGATGGTCCTCCACGCGTATTTTCAGAAGCCGCTTAGCCGTAGAACCGAGATCCTAAAGCGATATGAGACGTGGTAAATAAGAAAATGAATGGAAAGGACTGAGCAGAAGAACGGAAGAGGGGTACCCTCGGAAGCCAGTCGGAAGCTGCTCGGAACTCCGGGTGGCACTTGCAAAAGTGTCCATGTCACGATTTCTATCTTCTCTTTCACGCGCATCTTTTCCCTCTTTCCTAATTCATCCTCAATTTCGGCGAGCTTCAACTCGACAGCGGATAGCAGAACCCTCGGCTATACGGACAGAGGATGTCGTACAACTACTCAAACCCGTTTCAGGGCTACCAAGACCGGCCAGCCCTCCCACAACGCCCGTACGAAGCCCGTCCGGGTCTCGGAAAGTCACAGATCAAAGTCTTCTTCACTGGGCTGCCAGAAGGGCTGAGTAATAGAGACCTCCTGGTAAGTACTGCTCGATACCAGCCATTCTGATGCGAGGGATCCGGCAGGACTGTATTGATGAGGGCAACAGGCTGTACTCAAGGAAGACCTCAACTTGCCATCTACGACTAGGGTTTTCAATGCGTACCAGCCTGATGGTTTAGATCTTGGGATCGCCATAGTCTGCGTCGATGCCGTCGAAGATGCCGAGCGGATAAGAAGTTGGTATAATGGGAAAGTCATCAACCATCGTGAGTACCCTCCTTCTTCTCTTGATAGATTCCCAGATTGACCGTGATGCAAGGATATACATTGTCGGTCCACCATGTCTTGACGCACGACAAGAAATACCCTTCTGCCCTCATCGAAAAGCTTCACCAATCCTCCGAGTCGAAGCCCATCATCACCCGCACGCCCGTGACGCCCGTGACCACTACCTCCAACCATCCATTCCCTCCAAAGACTGTTGCGCACCATCAGGCTGGTCAGTCAAATGGCTTCCCTCCTCCGCATGTGAATGGCCATGCAAACGGGAACACATACGGCTACTCCCGGTCCCTTCAGCCCCGTGCCCAGGCCCAACGATCGCACCCCCCACCGCCTAGGCCGCACTCGGCCAACAGCCTAACATCGCGCATCGTCCAGGCCGGACCTTCCAGAAACCTCGTCCAGCCTCAAAATGAAGGAGGCAGAGGAACAGCGCAACAGCAAAAGACGGACCCGACACCTGGATTGTCGTTGCTGAAACGTATCAGCGGGGGACCGGGGTCGAAAAAGTCGCACCAGCAGCTGTATGTTTTTCTCTCACGCTTGCATCTAAGTATTGGACTGATGTAGAATGAAGGCTACTGGAACAGCAAAAGCAAAATTTCGCCCGATCCCAATCCCAGCCCCAACCCCAATCTCAATCCCAGAACCGCCCCTCCCAACCCCGCCGCGCTCATCAAACTCGCGCCCAACGTACCATCGCTTCCCTTCGGGCACCGCAACAGTCATCGCGTGCGAAAGTGCAGAGAGCGAAATAGCGTCTGGTAGATGACGGGATCCAGGTTGATCAGGAGGTGGCTACAGGGAATGGGAGCGGTGATTCGGCCCGAGGGCAAGAGGCGGGGCAGAAGAAGAAGCTGAAAAATAAAGTCAAGGGCAAGGAGAGGACAGGAGAGCGAAACCAGCAGGTGCCAGTCGAGAACAAAACACAGGAAGTCCTGGATCAAGAGATGGAGATTTGGAGGAGAGGTTGGAAATTTTCCACAGATGATGGAAACAGAGGCAATGGGAATTAAAAGGAAAGGGCTAGGAATTGATGGCACCTTGAGCTAGGCACTGGCCGCTTGTCAAAATCTTGTGAGGGAAGGGCTGTACAACTACTCGTGATTACGGTGAATGCCTGTGAGGATTACAAGAAACAAAGAGGGAATATTGTCTTAGTATCTGTGGGCCTGATACATGTGATCGAGTGATTCGCAGGCTGATGTGGGGAGTATGACCTCGAAGCAATCGTTCACCGCAACTTTCATGTATGGTCGTTGATTGAACGCGTCGCGTCCGATATCTGTTACGTAAAGAGACAAACAGACGTTCTGCGACCAAAACAACATTACATGAAATCATTTTGGAAGCACATCTTGCCGCCTATCTTCCACTTTGACCTCCAACTAATTCCCCAAAGTCGAATCAATAGATTCTGGGAGCAAGCGCCACACTTTAGAACTCAAGAGGACCACCGGCAACAGCAAATGCCGCCCAGAGGGTGAAGACCAATCTCATACCACACTACATTCCACGACAAATCAGGCCCACCTCTTCAGCTCATAATGCCCCCCACGTCGTCAATGGCCGCACTCATGGCCTCGCCTACTACCTCGGGAGGCGACGCTACTTTGATGGCCAACGGTCAGACCCTTCCCGACATCTCACTCGGGTCTCTAGGATCCAGTTTCAGGTCGGAGGATGAGGACGAGCGGCTGGAGCAAGAACGAGCAAGGTCGAACCCGAATCCCACATCTCGAGGTCAGTACTGTGGAGTATGGAATATGTGACTGATGAAGGTATGCTATAGCCCGCCGCTACTCACCCGAAACATCACAATCACGATCCAACGCCACCCCTTCCCCACCTCGCGCCGCTCTCCTGACTGTGTCTCCCCCACCTACAATCCGCAAATCATCCTCCCATTCTGTCCTCAACACCCAAGCTCCCCGCCGTCCGCGCGTCTTGCATCGCCGAACATCGTCCGTGGCGGCCTCTTCTGATGGCTCTGATGGCGAGGACATCACAGGGCCGCTCGAGGCCAGATATGGAAAGGCGGATGAGGAGACGGACGATGAGGCGATGCTGAGCGCACTAAGCTTGGTGCCCAGTCCAAGAAAGACGGGCGGGGGTGGAAAGAGGGCGTACGGGGGGGCGAGTGGACGAAGTGGGAGGCATAGCGTTGCTGCGGGAGAGCTGAATGGACCTATGACCCTGCGTGATCAAGAAAAGGTGTGTGGTGTCTCAAATGTGCAGAACACACTGACGGGCCGAGTAGCAATTGGAAGAAACAAAGAAGGAAGTCTTCAACCTCCAACTTGAGAACCATTTCCTCAAAGAACGTCTCTCCAATATGGCTCCCGAGCATATCGAGGCCGCCTTGAAAGAGAATGTAAAGCTCAAACTGGAAATCCTTACCCTCAGCAAAGAGCTCAAAAAGTTAAAGAAGCTGGTCATGCAGCAGGACCGGGATCTGGCTGCTACGGCGAGAGACAGCGGCGGTAGCCGCGAGGCAAGGGAACTGGAGAAGTTATGGAAGGATGAGAAAGAAAGAAGAAGACGTGCCGAGGAGCAGGTCAGCAGCCTGAAAGACGAACTGCAATCCGGAGCAGCCGACCCAGAGCTCCGCGAAAAGCTTGAAGACGCAGAAGCCTCTGAAAATGTCTGGCGCCAGCGCACCGAACAGCTTGAGCAGGAACTGGACGATCAAAGGGCAGCCAATGACGACAATCAAGAAGAGTTCGCCAAGCTGCGGGATGAGGCTGACAGGGCGCTGGACGAGGTGGACAAGCTCAGGGGGGAGCTCGATGGCGCGAGGGGTATGAGGGAGAGTGTAGGCCTGGGGAAGGGCAGGGAGACTAGATTGGCACAAAAGGTGCAAGAGTTGGAGTCGCAGAACGCTTCATTGCAGTCAGATCTGTCGATGGCGAAAAAGGGGGTCATGTCGGAGGAGGATGCAGAGATGCTTGAAGAGGTGAGCTGGTCCCGCTTGCAAGATTAGGTCTGACAAAAGAGTAGCGCCTGAACGAACTCCAAGACAAGGTGGCCGCCCTTCAACTTGAACTCGATAACCGTGACCAGGAAGTCGACGACCTCAACGTCGAGCTCGATGCAAAGGTCCAAGAGCACGAGAAAGAGCTGCAGCAAGTTGCCGAGGAATGGAAAGACGAGGTTCTGGAAGCGCGAGCTCAGGTGGATGAAGTCCGAGATGTGAGTTTGCTGCACCTTATCAAGGACCGTCCTGATATTTCAAAGGCTCTTGATGCGAGAGAACAAGAGATGAAGGAGCTTCGTGAAGCCCTCATTGAGCGAGAAGAGCACCTCACCTCTGCACTTGAAGAGATCTCCCAACTGCAAGCCACCAAAGCCGTCACCCACGACCGCCTCGAAGAAACGCTCAAAAACATCGAGCGCGACAATGTCGAAAAGGACGCCGAGCTAATGGATGCCAATCGCGAAATTGAAGAGCTCGGTCAGAAGGTGTACGAGCTGGAAGAGCTGGTGGAGGACCACAGGGTGAGGGAGGGGGAGCTTAATGCGGATCTGAAGGGGGCGGATGAGGCTTTCGAGCATGCCAAAGCACACTATGAGGAGTTGATTGGGGTGCTAAAGGAGGCGAGAAGAAAATTGCAACAAGAGAAAGAGGATGCGCTGGATCAGATCAGGAAGGAGCGAGATGCACGACAGGCCGAGAAAGACGCTGCCAAACGTGATCTCGATGCTCATTCCTCACGCCATCGCCAAGCTCTGGCGGAGAAAGACACCTACTCTGCCCGTCTACAGTCCGAACTCGACGCTGCTCGGGAGCGAGTCACACTGCGCGATCGCGACCTCGCGCGAGTCGAGGGCAAACTCCAAGATCTGGAAGACGAGAGGAGGAAGCTTGGGGACGAGCACACTAGTGATAGGTTCGGGCTGGAGTTGGAGCTTGAGAGAGTGCAGAGAGATCTACAAAGGCTGGAGGATGAACTGGAAATCGAGAGGAAGGAGATGGATCAGAAGGATGAAATGCTTAGGGAGAAGGATCTCGAAGCCGCCCAAATGGTGAGTATTAATTTGGTCAGAGAAGTGGCGCTGACAGAGAGCAGCTTGACAAGCATCGGGACATCGAGAACCGCTTGGCTTCTGAAAGACAAGGCAGGCTCAACATCTCTGATAAGCTTGATCAGACGCTCAAGGTAAGTTTATCGCTATAGCTCTGGATAAGTCACTGACCATTCACAGGCCGCTCGACAACACGAGCGTGAAGCCAACAACCTTCGTGAACGTCTCGAGGAACTGGAGCCGCTGCTCACAGAGACGCAACAAGAACGGTTCCAGCTCCAAAAGCAGTCCGAGTCCCAGAGGCAGGAGAGAAGCGAGCTGTTGTTGCGAGTGTTCAAGGAGGTCAACAAGTTCCTCGGTACAGAGGTGAGTAACACTCTATAGTCCCGAGTGGGTACTGACAGAAATCAGGACAACACGACACCAGCAAACTTTGCGCTATTCAGAGATACGCTGGTACACCGGCTCAAATCGATGCTCTCGGTCCGATCAGAGTTTGACAAGAAGATCAAGGACACGGAAGCTTCTGTCGATCAACGCATGTCGTGAGTCAACTCTTTGTTATTTGGGACATATCTCATGCTACTACAGCTCTCTCAAGCGCCAGCTCGAACAGAAATGGCGCACCTTGGACCAATTTGAGGCTTCGGTCAAAAAGCTCGAAATTACGAAGCGTGAATGGCGCTCCAAGTTTGCTATCAAAGAGGGCGAGCTCGACGCCCTTAAATCCCGCAACACTGAGCTCTCATCCCAAATATCCACCCTCAAATCCGGCTCGTCCACAGAGTCTTCCTCTCAACTCCGGTCCCTTTCTGAAAGAGCACAAGCAGCGGAGAAGAGAGCGCAGACAGCAAGTAACCAGCTGGCAGCGTTGGAAGAGAGGCTGGCAGAGTATCAGGGGAGGTATGGACAGGCGGAGAGCAAGTGGGAGGCAAGGGTGAAAGAGTATGAGAATAGATTGCGGATTGCGGGAGAAAAGATCAAGACGGAGAAGCAGGGCGGAAAGGAGAGGGCGATGCAGCTGGAGGCCCAAGTCAGGTATGTTGATCCTTCCTCTATGCCAAGTGTGACCGCTGATGAGAGATGTAGGGAATTGGAGAAGCAGGTTCACGATGCGCAAAAGAGGAACCAGAGAGTCGAGGGGGTGGTTGCCAGTGCAGGGCATCTTTTACCTGGTGGGAACGAGCGTGGGGGCAGAATGGCGTCGCGATGATTGTGGTCATGTAGAGTACTTTTGCTGGTATTTGATACGCGATATGATAACGACTATCTCAACTGTGGTCACACGAGACGTCCATAGCATGCTTGTGGGTGCAACGAGGTGCATGATTAGCTATGCATATGGAGGAATTCTGGAGAAGAAATATAACAAAAAACGACCACGCGATCCAAAAAAGAATGGAGGAGCTAAGAATTGAACTCAGTACCTCGTCAAAACGACTCGTTGAAGAATGCTAATGACGCGCTCTGCCAAATGAGCTACACCCCCTTCATGTTTGAAGAGTTTTTAGCACTGATCCAGCTAATTGTCTATTACCAGTGAGTCATGCCTCCACTCTGTGGCTCCACGATCTGACGTCAAACCAACGTCAAACGATCGTTATCCTTCTCGTTTTCTGGAATCTGGCATCTTCCTTGGCTGTGACGCACCGAGTATGACGCCGCAGGCCAATTCACAGAGGTATAAAGAGCGGCTTTCTCATGCAACCCCCACTCGCCTCAAATGCTCGCACGGCAATCAATCTTCAAGCAAACCCCAAAACTACTCAAATCTCGCATCCTCGCGACTCCACCTTGTATTTCGAGAAACACCAAACAGTTTACGACAACAGCTATCAATATGGGAGGCGACCAACCTGAAATCATCACCGCCTACAAGGAACTTACTTCCATCAAGGCTCAGACCCAGGAGCTGCCCGGTAAAGATGTCGACATGGACCCCCTTGCCGAATTTACCAAGCTCGAAGACTGGGACGATGACGGAAAGCCTTATCTCCGAGAGGTGAGTCCCCTTATTATCCTACTGGCCTTGTACTGACGGGTATGATAGTATGTCGGAAGCGGCAAGCTGAAGGGAAAGAAGGCGATCGTCACTGGTGGAGACTCTGGTATCGGCCGATCTGCTGCTCAGCTCTTTGCTCGAGAGGGTGCCGATGTGACCATTGTCTACTTGCCTGAGGAGGAAGAAGAGTGAGTCCTTTCTGGCATACTTTCCGTAGGATGCTGACGTCAGTAGTGCGCAACGCGCCAAGAAGGCCATCGAGTCTGACGGCCAGCAGTGTCTTGCCCTCGCTCTCGACCTCATGAAGGCCGACCAAGCTGAGGCTGTCGTCAAGAAGCACATTGAAACGTTTGGAAAGCTCGACATCTTGGTCAACAACGCTTCCAAGCAGATCCTGTGCACTGACATCGCTGAGATCGAGGTACGTGTCAACTTTCCCTACTTGTGGCACGCGCTCATCTTCCATAGCTTGCCAACGTCGAGAGTACATTCCGAAGCAACATTCTCGGCATGTTTGCTCTCACCAAGTTCGCCGTGCCCCACCTCAAGGGTGGCTCCGCCATCATCAACACTTCCTCTGTCACTGCCTTCAAGGGTTCTCTCGGTATGGTGGACTACTCGTCTACAAAGGGTGCTATCGTCACCTTCACCCGTTCTCTCGCTGGACAACTGGCACCCAAGGGTATCCGGGTGAACGCTGTCTGCCCGGGACCTGTATACACACCGCTGCAGCCGGCATCGAGACCGGCGGACAACATGGAGGGCTGGAGCGTTGGTGGGCCTCCCCTGCATGGTAGGGCGAGTATGCCCGCCGAGATGGGTCCTTCATATGGTGCGTCAATATCAATTTCTGACCAGAGTCTGTAGCTGACGGCCGTGTAGTCTTCCTTGCTTCTGCGGACGCGAATGCTATGACGGGACACATGTTGCACGTCAACAACGGGCAGTGGATTGGATAAACATGGAGAGTTACGGTACATATCAGAAGCAGAATAAGGAAACGATTGCATGCAAGACCCGAGTAGCAATAATACTACAGAATGGCTGCCTCGGGACACCCGAGGCATCTGACGCGATGGCTGAGTAAGCGGGTATCGCCGGTCCCATTGCCGTACGGCCGTGGTCCTTCTTGCTCGCATTCTATCTCCATTCACTTCTGTACATCTACTTGCTTGCCCATCATGAGATTCCCCGCCCCCGCCAGCCCCTTCTTCAGGAGAGCATTCGCCACAAGCGCTTCCATGAGAGTGCCCCTGCTCGTCACCCCCAAGCAGCTCAAGGAGCTCCCAAAGGTATGTCCACGCCCCTTCCACCCTTATATCAAACAAGGGGTCGCGACTTGAAATTGAGACTGATCCACAGATGTGTAGCAAACCACCCTCCCCCTCGACGCTTCTTGGCACATGCCCAACTCGCCTCGCTCAGCTGTCGCCGAGTATCTCCACGGTCCCCGCATCCCCCATGCTCGCCGATTCGACCTGGACGAGGTCGCAGAGCTCTCGGTGGACAAGAACCCTCTGAGCTTGACACACATGCTGCCTACGAAGGAGAGGTTCCAGAAAGAACTCGGTGGGTCTACAAGACTTGACAATGACTTTGTGGCTAATAAGGAGTGTAGAGAAGCTTGGTATTGAGAAAGATACCCATGTAGTGGTCTACGACTCTGTGGGAGTATTCTCGTCCCCTAGAGCTCTGTATACATTCAAAAGTGAGTCTATGACCCTACAAGACGCGTCGGAGCAAGGTGCTGATTCTTCCGGCGTCTAGTTTTCGGCCACGACAAGGTCTCCGTCCTCGATGGCGGTCTTCCTAGGTGGATCCAGGAAGGGGGCGAAGTGGAGATGGGCGACGTCGGAGATGTCGGCGCGAGCGACTATGGCAAGATTGAATCCTACCACAAGGATTGGGTTAGATGTACGTCGCTCTCACAAAGGCTCAAGTTCTGAAGCTGATGCGGTTCACAGCCTACGACGAGATCAACAAGAATGCTGAAAAGCCCCTCTCTGACCCTTCTACCGAAATCATCCTTGACCACCGCCCTGCCCCCCGCTTCACCGGCGCCGCCCCCGAACCCCGGCCCAACCTCCCCTCAGGCCACATGCCCAACTCTCTCTCCCTTCCCTTTACCCAGTACCTTAACCCGGCTTCTGACAAGGTCCCCTTCTCTTCTTATAAGCCTGTTGACGAGCTCAAGGCTGTTCTCGTCAAGGGCGTGGGAGGAGAGGAGAGGTGGGGAGAGGTGGAGTGTGGGAAGAAGGTGGTGTTTAGCTGTGGAAGCGGAATGACGGCTGCCATAGGGTGGTTGGCGAACGAGCTTGTGAAGGAGGGAGGCAGCAAGGCTGCGACCTCGGCGCTCTACGACGAGGTAAGTTCCGTCATTGCAGTAGATAATGCAATTGCTGACCTGCTCTAGTCTTGGACTGGCTACGCCTTGCGAGAGGAAAGCAAGATCTCCAGGGAAGGTTTCTACCACGAATAACCACAATCATTCACAAGAAAGACACCGCGTTGTACAGTACTGCAAGGAAACACTGAAAGGGCATGAGGAATGTTGATAGATGCTAGACCACATCCCGTTTGCCCATGCATTTGTAAATGGTCACTGATGGCTGCAGGGCGGCTGCAGTGGTGCAGTTTAAGCATAAGCCAGGTATTTACGTAACTCGCTTTATGCGCTAGTTGTTTGGTTCTCCCAGCAGACCAGATTCCCACGACAAGGGTATTTCCACTGCCTTTCCTGGCGCCCGAAAGATGTCATAGCACGGAGCCCTGGTATACATACACTGATACAATGGGTGAAAAAAAAACAAGGCAATCGGCGCAGTCGCTAGGCGCGCGTTAGTCCATTACACGTATTCCTCGGGTGCGATCCAATTTCAACATTTCTCCTTCTTTCCCGGCTTTCTCCATTTCTCACCCTACGAGCCATATACACCCCTACTCCTCACCCCACGACCATGCCTGTGACCGTCCTGCTCACGGGCCTCAACGGTTTCGTCGCCGTACACACCGCCGTCACGTTCCTCTCGCAAGGCTCCAAAGTCATTGGCACAGTCCGGTCAGAGGACAAGAAGGCCAAGGCCGAAGGCCGCTACCTCATCGCTGGAGAAGATTACACCTTGAAGCAGATCCTAGACACGACGCGCAAAGTCCAGCCTGACCTCCAAAAGTATTTCAACAGAGCTCGCGAGAGTGTACCTCCCGAGGCGTCTTATGTGATTGATTCGAGCAAGAATGGGCTTCGGTGTGAGTGTCTGTAGATGTGCTTGATGGCCGCAGTTGCTGATTGTAGACCCAGATCGTACGCTGGAGGAGACAATACGGGATTCTGTTGCTGGGTTCGAGAAGCTGTGTGCGTATGGGGGTAGTGTTTGTGCATAGCATGCTCGACGTATGTGTAAAATGTAAAATCCTCCGGCTAATGCGATACCCGGCAGCCTTCGGGCATTGACCTCCACATTTCACGGAAGCTAATCATCCAGTGGGATTAACTGGATTCTGTTCAAAATCATTTCATCTCGTCATCCACTTCTCCCTTCTATTCACAGCAGCATGGACATCCAGAGGCTCTTCGACGTCAAGGACAAGGCGAGTGAGCTGCACGCCGCGGGGGGCATGGCTGACTCGTGCATCACCAGGTCATCCTCGTGACTGGAGGAGGACGGGGCGTCGGCGAGATGGTCGGTCTCCTATCTTGCCCATATCCACATGATACTGACTTGTGGAATAGATCGCAGAAGGCTATGTCGTGAACGGGGCAAAGGTAGTTTCATAGCCTGTCTTCTTGACTACCGAGTACTCACGCTAACACATCCGTCCGTCTTGACAGGTCTACATCTCCTCCAGAGACGCAGCCGCATGCGAACAGACCGCAAAGAGGCTCACCAACCAAGGACCTGGAAAGTGCATTTCCCTCCCTGCTGATCTGGCCAAGTATGATGAATGTGTTCGGCTGGCAAAGGAGCTTGAGAAGCGTGAACGAGGTGAGTCGGTACCCCTTTTCCGTATCTAGGATTCTCTATGGATGGGCGGCTGACGATTGCAATAGTACTGCACATCTTGGTCAACAACTCGGGCGTCACCTGGGGCGAGTCGTTCCACTCCTACCCCGACGCCGCCTTCACCAAACTTCTCACCCTGAACGTCCAGCGCGTCTTTACGCTCACCCAGCAGTTGCACCCGCTGCTGGAGAAGGCTCACGAAGAGGATAGATTCATTGCAAGGATTATCAACGTAAGCCGCATCATTTTATATATAGCCAGAGGGAAACATGAGTTCCCTCACCCCTCCCAATCACTTCGAGAATCATGCAAGTCCCACCCCCATACCAGCCTTCTCCCACCCTCGCTCCGTCGGGGCCACTCGTACTGTATATATCAAAGCTCATGGAATTGTGCAGATCGGGTCCATTAATGGTGTTGGTAATCCAGGGCTTGAGACTTACGCCTACTCTTCCTCCAAAGCTGCCCTTCACCAGTAAATTCCTCCCCTTTTCCTCCCTCTTCTCCGCTAACCTGACACTCTCGTATCAAGGCTTTCCAAGCACCTGGCCAACCGTCTCGCCCCCCACATCACAGTCAATGCCATCGCTCCAGGCCCCTTCCGCAGCAAGATGATGAAGCATACGCTGGATCATTTCGAAAAGGAGCTCGCGGAAGGATTGCCCTTGAAGAGGATTGGGGCGCCCGAGGATATTGCGTCGACGGCTCTGTGGCTGTCTGGGCCCGGAGGAGCGTGGGTGACTGGGTGAGTCTTTTGTGTCTGCCGCCGAGTACGAGGAATGACGCTGATGGGTGTATAGAACGGTGGTCCCGGTGGATGGCGGATCTCTTGTAGCGACAAGTTCAAAGTTGTAGATATTCTGATTCTAGTTCCTGGCCCAACTTGTACAGTAGAGTACTCGTAGTCATGCAAATGATTCCTTGGTTCAAACAAAATCATCTACATGTGTTTATACAACTTCAACCCTTAGGGAGAACGATACAGTTCGATAATTCTCGAATATGCTATAAACGATAGAAGATAGGGACCTAATGCAATGATGATTATACTGACGAAAATGCTACTCTATAGGGTGGGCTTGCTGCCTCAACGAGACGCGCGATCCAGAGAGGGATGACTGAAACGAAATCAGCTTCGGCGTACCCACGTATAGAGGATGAGACTCACATCTTCACTGTATCTTGACTCCCTGCCATGCCCGAGGTTCTTGGCCTTCAACTTGCCAAAGAACCCCTTGATTCGACTCTTCTCTTCATTATCCCCATTCTCTCCCGAGTCTCTGGTCTCTCCCCGGTTCTCTTCCAGCGACGTCGACGCGTACCGACTACCAGAGGAGCGGCCCAGCGATGATGTCTGGAGACCGTTACTAGCCGCAGCTGATTCCCTGCGTCCTGCCTGGGGTGTAGAAGGGCGCTGGGCAGACATTGACATGGCGCGGTGCGTCGAACGAGATCGCATACGGTTGATGGAATTGTTATTCGCCAACTCGGCGTCTCTTGACAAGGCTCGAGAGAGAGTTGATAGCAGTTCGGGATCGGGCTCAGGGGAGGGACTGGAATGGTCCATGGTGTAACGGAGGTTTGAGGGCGATATGGGAGGGTTTCCTTGATCCTTCTTCTTGCCCTTTTGGGCCTTCTCGGCCATGGCAGTGACGGAGGCAGCCTGCTTGAGTCGTTCTTTTGAGCGGAAGAGAGAAGTCTTTTTGAATATCTGAGAGATGATATCTCCAGATTGAGACCAGGCAGAGTTCTTGATATCTAAAACAAAGTCAGTCTCGGACCGACTGTTATCCAACCGTGCTTACCTCTCTTGATATGCTCAAAGAGATCCTCCATAGCCCAGACCTTGTTCACGTAAACCATCTCCGGGGTCTTGAACTTGAAATCGACGCAGTCGGGCATGCTGAAAGTCCCATGCTTGCGAGAGTCGTCACTCTGCCGTGTGTCAGTTTGTTTCTACGCTCAAAACGGACTTGTCGCACCTTATAACTCAGATTAAGACCCATCCCTTGTAAGCGGAACGTTCCAAACATCTTGTTGGTAGACGCCCGCAACCTCATCTCCCTCGTGTCTTCGATCATCTTGATCAACGCTATGTCCCCATCGGCCTGTGACGGCACCAGAGATACCTGAGACTTGCTTTTGTGCACAGAACCAAAGTCTGTGGTAGATGCGTTGGCTCGGCGACTGCCGAGATCATCTGTCGAAGCGCTGGCGTTGGTGTTGCCGTTACCGTTGCCTTTGCCGAAGAAGGATGAATTGGGTGTGGTGGCACTGTTCTCGATCCCGCCCTTGACAGCGGTTCCCGTCGCCTCTCGTCGTCGGGTACGGTCCGCAAAGATATAATCCATCACTTCGAGACCAACGCTCTCTTCCAGCTTGAAAAGGATGTTGACGAATTCAATGTTGACATTGGGAAGGATGGGGATGCCTCCAATGGGCGGCCGGGTTGACCAATACACAGCCGAAAAAGCCTTCTTCTACACGAGAGTTAGCATACGATAGTAGATACACATACAAGACTCACTATCTTTCTCTTGGCCGGCTCGTCTCTCACGATAATCTCTGGATAGAGCATGTTGCTTCGGCCGTTGAGGGCTTTGAGATCGCCCAGAACCATGGCGTTGTCCATCGTCCCATTCTTGTTGTTGAGCATGGAGAACAGCACACCAGTGATATCCACCTTAGCCATCGTCTCTAATCTCTGATCTTTCAACATATGCCAGGCCACGCCGCCAATCCTGACATCCATCTTTGAAGCAGTCTTCATCGCCGCCCTAGCATCATCCTTCGCCAACGTCGCTCGTATTAGAGCGTTGACGGTGTACATGCTTTCATACCCCGCATGAAGCTCGGATCGAATTTTGAAGAGCTCTTCTTGACCGTCCTTGTCCAGCTGATCGAAATGGGACTCGTAGCCATGTCGAAGGCCGACCAGATGTCGCATATGAGTTTGAAGAGCGTTGACATCGGCGATCAAGCGAGGGATGTCGCGGTCCGCAGCATCGAACGTTCGACTGAAGTCGTCTACGGCGTCGGATCGTCCTTTATGCTCTGGATCATCATACATCAGCAAGTTGGTGACGATGGTGTACAGGGCAGCGAAATTCTGGGAATTGGCGGTGACGGTCAGCGTCGGAGCAACGATCGCAGTGAAATCCTGCACGTCTGTGTCAGTAGATAACCAGAAAGGCCGATTGTGGAACTCACCTGGTGAAGCCGGAGATGCTTTATGACGTCCCCCCTGTCATCAACGGCCTCAGGCCATTCGAGACCCTGAGGCATTCGGATGTGATTGAACTTGTCCATGGCAACATTGATGGTCGTCTTTTGGAGGACGCGATCGTAGTCCTTAGCCTCACTTTTGACGTCGAGGAAGATCTCCAACGGAATGAAATCAAGACCATGAGGGAGGCCTAAACCGGTCCTTTCACGATTGAGAGCATTTTCGTTTGGATAGAAACCTTGTAAACCGCTCATGGTCACGTAGTTCCTGCATACTGTTAGCAGATATACGATGCGACCAGACTGTCGCTTACCTGTTGAGGACTTCTGCCATCATATTGTCAAGAGCATGTTCATCCAGTACCTTGAATCGCTTGAACGAGACTTCCTCCATCGACATCAGAAGGATAGCATCGGGATGTGCTTCGCTTCTAAGAGCAATCTGCGGCATGAAGACGAGTATCTTCGTTTTTGGTTTCACATCACAGACGTCGGGAAGTCCACGTCGTACCTCAGCCGCCATCACAGGATCCTCGACGTGATGTATGCTTTCAGAGGCAGGCTTTTCAACAAGCCAAGAGACAAGATCGTTGAGGATCTGCTGCGCACTCTGCTCCTCGACAACTTGCTCGTCATAGGAGTATGAGCGCTGGCGCGTCATTCGCTGCTGGAAGCCCTCCAGAATACTTCGAAGCGATCTGCGACGGTCTTAGCTCTACCTCAGGAAAGAAGCTGTGCGGCACTTACGAATAAGAAGTAAAGTATTCTTCCTTTTTTCTATCCCCCATCATGTACATATACTTGATGGCGATATTCCGTGAACTATTAGACAAGAACAACCTGGGTCCGTGCACATGAATAGTATCTTCGAATCCTTCTTTTGCCCCAGTGCTATTGTCTCGAGGGGCGTTGGGATCGGTAAAAGTATGGTCGCTCAACCGGCGAGTCTCATGCGCAAGGTCTTGATGATGCTTTTCCAAGATATTGATTCGCTGCACAAGGGAAGTCTTATCGAGCTACAAGAGAAGGTCAATTACATCCTCAACACATATACTTCTGACATACCTGATCCCCGTCTTGAGAGAGCCCTTCGAGTGGGTAGTTGCTCAGCTTTTCTCGTAGCTCATTGATCCTTTGCCTCGTGAGCGATTGCTGTACCTCTCTCACGCCCTCCGCCGTTCCGAGATAGCAAGGATGAGTCGGCTCATGTCCGAATTTACTAGTCTCCAATCCGAGTGTCGCCTGACTCGGAGAGTCGTCTCCCGACGTGCTCGTTCTCGCCTTCACTCTCTTACAATAGAAGAAGTGGGGGCATTCTCCGAAGTTGACGAGCTCGATCCGGGGATTCTTGTCGATGGGCTTGCGATCGGCATCGATATAGTCCAGATAGTTGTACCATTCTCGATGACCCAACGGCAGTTCAGATGCTTTGGGGTGGAGAACTCCTGCTTCCCCGCCGTTTTCGCCAGGACCTCCAATATGTTCATCAAAGTGAGCCCGCAAACCCTTGACTTTGATATCATCTGCGAGGATATCCACAGCGTAGAACGGCTTATGAACAACCACTGTCGAGCGTCCAAGCTTCTCGTGCCTTTCGATTTTCTCTTGAGCTCGCTGATGGGCATCGGCCCTGATGCGCCCGATACGACCTTTGATACCAAGCGACTCTGACTTTCCGGTGGCCGAGTGGTCTTTGGAGACCTGGAAGTACATGTGGGAGATGTAAACTGGACGAAGGTCAAAACGATACTGCTCGACATCAGCTTTCAGGACTCTCTTTCTCAAAGTGAAGATGTCTACCTTGATGGTGCCGAGGCTACGGCCAAATTTCTTTGAAGGGGGCGGAGAGTCTGGAAAGAGAGAACCATGACGAATGGGCAGTGACATCTGGTGGCTGAAGAGCCTTCGCGCATGTTGTCAGCCACTGACAAAAGTGAGAAGGCATTTGCAACTTACTTCCACCAAGCCAAGAAATGATGGGAAGCCTTTGGAGCGAAATGTAGGCTGTTGACTCTGTCTGGATGGTATTCTTCACTCTGGATATCTTCGTTGCCGTTTGGTGCGGACAGTGATATAGAGAAGTGGACAAAATCGCTTCTAAAGCCCTCGTAGGAGTCGATTTTCTGCATGTTCTGTTAGTACCCGTAGTGGGAGCGTAGACCATCTACTCACTCTTCCCAGTTCTTTCTCGTCCTTGGCTATGGCTGCTGGGGATCGGAGACGAACGTCTTGATGTTGCTTGAATTCGAACAGTCTGCATTTCCTGTGCATCACGTTCTCTGACTTGCCGCATGTGTCGCACGTCCAAGGTCGACAAGTACGTTCGAACTCGAAACCGAATCCGACTTTGACACCATTGACGAATCTGGCGCAAGGTTTGGTATAGCGGCGCTCAATGAGGGTCTGTTCAAAGTCGCCTGATTTATGACGATCTTGGCTTTGTCCGTGGTGGCGATCATGTCGTTGGCCGTTCCGATTGTTACCGATAGCAGCTCCGTCGTGGAATGGTGCCAAGCTGTTGTCACAAATCAGCGTGATCTTTATCTTATCTTGTCTCAACTCACTCTGGTATGGCAACGACCAGCTCATCAGCTATGATCTGAATTGTTTCACCCTCCTCGTTCGGCTGG